ACTTAAGGAATTTTTTCAGGGTTTTTATTAATTTGGTTTAATTTTAAAATATTTTATCTACTCCGGGTTGGGGTTTAATTTTATATATCCAGGTTACTATTAAAAATATAAGGGCTTATGATTTCTTGAAATGGTGTGTTGGTTAATGGGTTAAATTTAATCAACATTCTTTTAATCTTAATTAAATATAACTTATTCTTATAAACTCAAAAACTTACTTTTCGATAGGTTTTTATAAGATTTGAGATTAGTAATTATTACTGATAGTTTTAGATAGTAGTAGTTTAAAGAATTATTTCTGTTTCTTATTAAAATTTTCCTCGTTGTTCAATATATTCTTAATGATTTTCAAATGATTATTAGTTATGATGTTCAATCACAGGCTATACTTATTGTTATTTTTAATGAATAATTTCCTTCTCTTATTAAATTTCAACTTATTGTTCAACATGTTCTTAATGATTTTCTACTTATTCATAATGATGTTATTCAACCACTTGCTCTACTTATTGTTATTCTTAATGGATAATTTCCCTTTCTTATTAATTTTCAACTTATTATTCAACATGTTCTTCATGATTTTCTACTTATTCTTAAAGATGTTATTCAATCACATGTTCTACTTAATGGATAATTTCCTTTTCCTATTAATTTTCAACTTATTATTCAACATGTTCTTCATGATTTTCTACTTATTCTTAATGATGTTATTCAATCACATGTTCTACTTAATGGATAATTTCCCTTTCTTATTAATTTTCAACTTATTATTCAACATGTTCTTCATGATTTTCTACTTATTCTTAATGATGTTATTCAACCACGTGCTCTACTTATTGTTATTCTTAATGAATAATTTCCTTCTCTTATTAAATTTCAACTTATTGTTCAACATGTTCTTAATGATTTTCTACTTATTCTTAATGATGTTATTCAACCACTTGCTCTACTTATTGTTATTCTTAATGAATAATTTCCTTCTCTTATTAAATTTCAACTTATTGTTCAACATGTTCTTAATGATTTTCTACTTATTCTTAATGATGTTATTCAATCACATGTTCTACTTAATGGATAATTTCCTTTTCCTATTAATTTTCAACTTATTATTCAACATGTTCTTCATGATTTTCTACTTATTCTTAATGATGTTATTCAACCACGTGCTCTACTTATTGTTATTCTTAATGAATAATTTCCTTCTCTTATTAAATTTCAACTTATTGTTCAACGTGTTCTTCATGATTTTCTACTTATTCTTAATGATGTTATTCAACCACTTGCTCTACTTATTGTTATTCTTAATGAATAATTTCCTTCTCTTATTAAATTTCAACTTATTGTTCAACATGTTCTTAATGATTTTCTACTTATTCTTAATGATGTTATTCAACCACTTGCTCTACTTATTGTTATTCTTAATGAATAATTTCCTTCTCTTATTAATTTTCAACTTATTATTCAACATGTTCTTAATGATTTTCTACTTATTCTTAATGATGTTATTCAATCACATGTTCTACTTAATGGATAATTTCCTTCTCTTATTAATTTTCAACTTATTATTCAACATGTTCTTAATGATTTTCTACTTATTCTTAATGATGTTATTCAACCACTTGCTCTACTTATTGTTATTCTTAATGAATAATTTCCTTCTCTTATTAATTTTCAACTTATTATTCAACATGTTCTTAATGATTTTCTACTTATTCTTTATGATGTTATTCAATCACATGTTCTACTTAATGGATAATTTCCCTTTCTTATTAATTTTCAACTTATTATTCAACATGTTCTTAAAAATTTTCTACTTATTCATAATGATGTTATTCAATCACATGTTCTACTTAATGGATAATTTCCCTGTTCTTATTAATTTTCAACTTATTAAGCAACATGTTCTTGAATGATTTTCTACTTATTCTTAATGATGTTATTCAACCACTTGCTCTACTTATTGTTATTCTTAATGAATGAATTTCCTTCTCTTATTTAATTTTCAACTTATTATTCAACATGTTCTTAATGATTTTCTACTTATTCTTAATGATGTTATTCAATCACATGTTCTACTTAATGGATAATTTCCTTCTCTTATTAATTTTCAACTTATTATTCAACATGTTCTTAATGATTTTCTACTTATTCTTAATGATGTTATTCAACCACTTGCTCTACTTATTGTTATTCTTAATGAATAATTTCCTTCTCTTATTAATTTTCAACTTATTATTCAACATGTTCTTAATGATTTTCTACTTATTCTTAATGATGTTATTCAACCACTTGCTCTACTTATTGTTATTCTTAATGAATAATTTCCTTCTCTTATTAATTTTCAACTTATTATTCAACATGTTCTTAATGATTTTCTACTTATTCTTAATGATGTTATTCAACCACTTGCTCTACTTATTGTTATTCTTAATGAATAATTTCCTTCTCTTATTAAATTTCAACTTATTATTCAACATGTTCTTAATGATTTTCTACTTATTCTTAATGATGTTATTCAACCACTTGCTCTACTTATTGTTATTCTTAATGAATAATTTCCTTCTCTTATTAATTTTCAACTTATTATTCAACATGTTCTTAATGATTTTCTACTTATTCTTAATGATGTTATTCAACCACTTGCTCTACTTATTGTTATTCTTAATGAATAATTTCCTTCTCTTATTAAATTTCAACTTATTGTTCAACATGTTCTTAATGATTTTCTACTTATTCTTAATGATGTTATTCAATCACATGTTCTACTTAATGGATAATTTCCCTTTCTTATTAATTTTCAACTTATTATTCAACATGTTCTTACTGATTTTCTACTTATTCTTAATGATGTTATTCAACCACTTGCTCTACTTATTGTTATTCTTAATGAATAATTTCCTTCTCTTATTAATTTTCAACTTATTATTCAACATGTTCTTACTGATTTTCTACTTATTTTTAATGATGTTATTCAATCACATGTTCTACTTAATGGATAATTTCCCTTTCTTATTAATTTTCAACTTATTATTCAACATGTTCTTAAAAATTTTCTACTTATTCTTAATGATGTTATTCAATCACATGTTCTACTTAATGGATAATTTCCTTTTCCTATTAATTTTCAACTTATTGTTCAACATGTTATTCATTATTATTTATTTTTATTTCGTTATTTAAATCGATAATTTTTTTCACTTTTAGTTATATATCTTTTTATTATCCTTCCAAACCTATATTATCTTATTAATTTGTTTCTTCAACTTATTCATTTATTATATTTGCAGGTTATTCATTTTTTATTTCTAATTTTTAATATATTTCCTTCTCTTATTTTTTATTTTCATTCCCTTCCATTTCTACTTATTTTTCTTGCTCCTAGTTTTATTTCATTATTTCATTAACCTCATTTTATTCATCTTATATATTTTAATTTTCTTCTATATTTTAATCATCTATCTCATCATACTCCATTAAACTAACATCCTTGTAAGGAGATTTATCATCATCATTTACATCATTTTCCTTAACAGACTATAAATTATCTCCATCATAATCTGGATTAACTGATTCATTTACGTTTTCAGTTAGTGATTAATTTGTTTAACTTCTATATTAAAATTATTCTTCATTCAATATACTATCCTAATTATTTGCTTCTGTCGTATCTTAATTATAATTCTCTTAAATTTAATCTTATTCTATAATTGAGTTGTTTATATCTGTTGTTTTATCAAACTAATTTGATACTTATGAATTAGTATCATCTTATGATTTTATTACACCTTGACCCTTAGTTTAAACTTATTCTTTTTATTGTTCCACTTTTTGTTTATCCTGCTGTTTACCAGGTTTTAAAGTTTATTTTTTTGAATTCTTATTTTAAGTAGAATCTTATTTATTTGTCAATTCAGCTGGTTGCTTAAGTTTTCCATCGTCTAATTTTGTAGTGATTGATCTTGTTGTAGTTCGAACAACTTTAGTTGATTTGGCAGCCTATGCTGACTCAGAAGTTTTTTCAAGCAATGAATCAGTGTTTGCAATTTTCTTTTAAGGAGGCTCATTTGCTTTTTAGGTTTATTAAACTCTTAAATTAAATAATATATTACGGTTGTTTCTTAATAGTCGAAGATGTTAGCTTGGTCGTTGATTAATTTGTACTTTCTTTCTTCAATTTAGGAGCAGGGGCATTCTTATTAGCAGTATTTGACATCTGGGTTTTATTTATGAAATATTTAATTTCAATTATAGAAATTCAAAAATATAAAGAAATACTGTTAATATTACATAATCTGAAGTGTTATATAAAGAAAAATGAGAGATTGCTGACATATTTTATCATTTTAAGCTAATAGATTTTCGATATATCATGGTTGAATAAATTATGAAAACAAATGATGCTGAATGAAATATAGTCCTCATTTAATATTTTATTCAAATGAGAGTTATCATTAATAATATTGCTTTTATTAACTGTTTTATTTATATTAATTATTTTATTCATTAAATTAATCATTTAGAGAATTCTTCTGCTTAAAATTTCTAATATTAAGACTGTTCGTGATGTATTTTTAATTAATGAATAATTAAAAAAATAACTAACAATTAAAGAATCAATATGGTTTAAGGAATATATTCATATGTTTTCATTTTTTCTAAATTTTCGAATCTAAGTAAGTTAGTATTTTTTACTATTAATAGAACTTGAAAAATCAAGATTTTATAGAATTTTAAACTGTCTTGCTACAAATTACTTATTAAATCTATCTTTTTAGTTGTTTAAACACCTGGACATACTGAGTATTAAGTTTAATATAATGGAGAAATGAATTTTCTTTAATAATTTTATTTATTATTTTATTCTATTGTGAAAAAATATAATAGAATAAAATTTTATTTACAGCCTTGTTTATATCAAAAGAGTACTTAAAATTAATGTAGGTCTAAAAGCTATAAAATGCTTAGAATTAAATCTAGAGAGAAATTTAGTACTTTATATTCTAGGATTTGGAAAATGCTTTGTGCTAATTAGGTCAACTAGAAGAAACAATCGAAAAATTAGAAAAGGTGAAAGATCATCCCTATCTTCCTATAGCTATGAACAAAGCAATTTTATAAGCTAATTTATCCTTTGGGATTTATTTTGATTAATATTCTTAACATAATAATAAAGAAGGACAATTTTTTAAAAGTTGTAAATCTAAAGCCAAATCCATTTTTTAAGAAGCTTTAAACAAGAAGATCATTTAGAATACCCATCCTGAAGTTAAAACTATCTGCAATTTTTATATAAATGAACTCTTTGGTGATAAAGACATATATGCATTACAATAGCTTCCACTAAAATAAACTTAAAGCAAGGGTTAATTCAATTAAAATGCATTAGAGAAAGTGATTTGGGGAACTCAAGCTGTAGATAAATAATTAAGCCAAGTCTAAAATAATGAATATAAACCACCTGATGCTCAAAAAATTTTTTAAAATGTTAAGTAATAGAACATAATAATAAATTTAGTATATAAAAAAAATAATGTGGAGAACAACTGATAAAAAATTTTCTAAAACCTTCTAATAATAGTTCAACTTCGAAGAACTAAGATTAAAAACCAAACAATTAATCAAATAAAAAGGATAAACAACAGCCTACAAATGTTAAAAAAGTTTGTGTTGGGAAATAAACTATGGAAGAAGAATTTGAAAAAAAAGATGATTAATTTAATATGTAAACCCAAAACTAGTAGAACTAATTAAAATAAAATTAATAAGCGATGTAATTAGAAAAAAAAAAATAACCAATTTCACATGAAAATTCAGCTCATAAAACAATACAAAACGGAAACCAAATTATTTAGACAAAAAACACATAACAGATAGATAAAAGCACTAAAGGAACATAAAATAATAAGAGTCAAGTTTAACAGCAAACTAATAAAACTCAAGGAGTAAATTAATCAGGCTAGATTAAGAAAAAATGATTTATTTTTAAAATAATGTGTTCAATATATCAATTAATATTAAACCTAATAAAAACTTCAATTGAAAGTTTACATTAGGTAATTTTATAACCAAATTACCTTACAAATACTTAATCTTATTTATAAATCTTCAATAAATGAGAAAACCAACTGCTATAAGATTTTTATTTCTTATTTGAAGTGGAAATATTTTTTGCGATTAATTGTACTAGATAAATAACAATAATGGGGTCAAGTGTTTCAAAATTTCATTTGAGGTATAAAGTTTCCAAATTTAATTTGTAGTAAGTATAACCCAGCTTCTAAACATTCATTTAATTATTTTGATTTAACAACTTGGTAAAAAAGATGAGTTGAATGGACTCAATAAATATTTATTATTGGATTATTTAAGAGGAAAAACAAAACTGCATATATTAATGTTGATCATCTTTAAATTTTTATTGTAAATGGAATTTAGAGAGTCATGATCTATATATTTATCAATTTCATATAAAAAAGGACAAAAATAACAAATGGTAGAATATTGAATAAATTAAGTAATTTAAAATCATTTCTTCTAATTAGTTTTCTTCTCATCATCCCATCTAATCCGTTTTCCATTCAACCATTCTCCAGTTCTTTCAATTTCCCCAACAATATAGAGCCCTTTTCCATGCTATTTTCCATTTTCCCATTCTCCTTCATATCGTCTTCCGTCATTCCATTCATATATTCCATAACCCTTTGATTAAATGATTAAGAGATACATTTTTTTAGTCGTTAAAATATTACCCATAATATTTTCTCCCATCTGGCCAATTGTAAGTTCCTTTACCATGCATGTTGTTATTCTAGAATTCCCCTTCATATTTTCTTCCATCTGACCAAATTAGAACACCAAAACCGCATAATTTGTTGTAAACCCAGTCTCCTTCAAAATATTATCCTGACGGCCAAATGTATTTACCTAATTTAAGAATAAAATTTACCCTTCCCATGTTTAAAACTGTTCTGAAAGAACCCTTGATATGATGACCCATCTGGCCATACTTCATAACCATATCCATGTTATTTATCATTGAACCACTATCCTTCATATTTTGCTCCATTAACATGTAAATAGATTCCATACCCATTTGCCATATCATTCTCCCAATCTCCTTCATAAGTATCACCATTGGAATGGGTAAATTTCCCTTTTCCTTAAGCTTTGTTATGTTTCCATTCTCCTTGATATTTTGCTCCATCTGGCCAGACTTATATACCTATTCCATCCCTAGCTTATCCTTTCCATTCTCCAGTATAAACTGCCCCTCCTTTAAATCTTATACTTTTTATTTTGTACTTATAAGGTTTTCGTGTTTCTTTCTCAAATTCATCTTAGTTTATAGTTATTCCAGATTCAAATTACTCTTGTTGATCAACTTCATTGGTGTGAATAGTTTTTTAAGGAATCGATTCTAATATTTTTTAGTAAGTCAGCCTCTTCCTAGCAAAGTAACCCCTCCAATATTTCTATATTGTGATTGCCATTTTATTTTTATCAATTGCTTTTGACGTTGATTTTTAAGAAGATGTAGCAACAACTACTACATATTCCTAAAAGATATAATGAGAGATCTTTAGTTACTGCTTTCTCAATATCTACAAATTTCTCCTTTTCACAATTACAATTATTGCACTATGATCCCATACTTTCCAAAAATGTAATTATTTATAAATATATCAAATGACAATTATTAAAAGTGTATCATAAATAAATAAAATTGTTGTAAATTAATTAAGAAGATCCAAAAGTTCTCAATAAACAGTATATCTATAAATTTCTTTTTTGAAATCGTATATTTAACAGTACAAAAGTATAATATATATTCTGTTGTTATTGGAAATAACCTTTTTATTTTCTCAATTCATTGAATTAATTTAATTTGTATTACTTGATGATTACCATCAATATCGAAAATAATGAAGATAAGGTGCTCATATAGGAGTAACCTAGTGCAACACCTCAACAAAATGAAAATCAATAGGAAAAAGAAATCCAATTTCAAAAGGTACTTGAGATTGTAAGGAAAAGTGATTCCAATTATTTCAAATATCCGCCTGATTTAGACTTAGCTTAATTGCATAAATAAGCCTATTATCTATGTCCAAACTAAGAAATAATCAACAAATACTAATTCAACACATGTCCGTGCTGCAAGTATTAAATTTAAATTTTTCTAGCAAAACTATCAATAAAAACAAGTTTAATTGGATTACTTCTGATTTTTATGAATAAATGACTGACGAATATGGTATTGCTGTTCCGCTTTACTTCACTTTAATAAAATTTTAAGTGATAATTTTTATTATAGTCTTTTGCATATACGGAATTATTTTTATGAAGACTGTGCATCAATTATGTGATCCTTCTAAAGTGTAACTACAAGAATAATGTGATGACTATTTTTCAGATTATTGCAAAATGTGCGAATTTAGGGATAATTATCACTTTATTGATATTGTAAGCCTTCAGAAATATTTTTCAAACGAAGCAGATAATAATGAAAAAAATTATTTCGAATTTGCTGCATTCTTTGTTTTTTTTATTAATCTTCATCTACCATTTCTATATGATTTATTAGTGTCTTACATGTAATTTATTTAAATGAATCTAGAGAAATTAAATATTGGAGTAGGGAACCTTGTCGAAGATAAACAGAAACTAAGCATTCTATTTATGTTAGACATTTATAAAATAAAATGCAACCAAATGAAATATTTGATTTAATCAAAAGATGTGTTGAAAAGCATCCTAACTAAGATATTGCTTCTTAATCTGAGTAATGATATAATAAATTTAGTAAATTGGTTGACCCATTGTTTAAAGAAATAATATATATATATGACGTTGAATAGTTAATAAAGTTTGCATCAATCAGAGAGGCGGTTTTAATAGAGATAATCCAAAATATATAAAACTACTCAAAATACTGTTTATAAAAAGATTTTGCTTAATAAATTAATTGTTAAACAAAATTAGAGAACAATTTAACATTGCTTGAGGATATTAATAATAAAATCTAAAAGGAGACTGGAAATGTTTAACTTAATTAACTAACAGCAGATTCTTTAAAGGATATTGATTCATTACAGTTTAGCAAGAAAGCAATCATCCATTTTGCTGATAAACAGGTTTTTAGTTTAGTTCACTCAAATTTTAAAAGAACATTTTTCCAAGATTTAAAAATTAAATTAAAGTTTATTGTTCATCCTAAATTAAGTGATAAAATTGCTGTGAAAAAGTCATATCGAATTAATGGTTTGTTTTGGAATCATTTAGGAGCCAAGAGTATGGATAGAGTTATATAAAAATGTAAATCAATCGTAATTATGATCTTTGCATGTGCAATTTTAATGGTTGCATATGAACTTATTTATCTATATGTCAATGACCCAGATTTTTAAACTAACAAGGCATCTGGGAAACTGACTACAGGAGAAAAAGCAGCGACAAACATTTTTACAATACTTGTTCCAATAATTACAACAAGTGCCATTCTTGCTGTTATCATTAATTAAAAAAAGGCTTAAAAAAGTACATTTGCTCATTAAGAACGGGGTTTTATGCATTTTTTAATTGTTGTAAATTATCTATTAGTTACATTTGTTCCATATTTATTTACTTTTGAGTTATGGAATGGAAAGGAGAAACCTGCTGCAATCTATAATTTAATATCACTAACGTAAAATAAATTAATTACTAAGCATATATTTCACTTATTCCATATAAGATTTATTTCATCCTTACTAAGAACAAGAAAAGCACTCAAAAATTATTTACAATATTTTTAAGGACAATTAAATTAATTAATAACACCTCCATTTTTTCCATAGAGAAGTAGAAATTGCAACGCTCTTTATAGTATTACCATTGGATTATGTCTGATCTACGTTTGCCCACTAATAACCTTAATATGCTTTTTCTTTAATTTGTTTATGTACTTTTTCGATAGATATACTACAACTCACATTTATGCTATTGATAAAAGATTCACAATAATCTTGATGAGACATTAAATCAAAGTCTATTCTATAGCATTCTATCCAATTAAAATATATTTATTTGTTAAATTGTTTTGGGATTATGAATGGCTCATTTATGCTGGCTTACCTTTATGCGTATCAATTAGTCTACTCAATATAATTTTTAGAAAATAGATAATTAATTTTATTTTGTTGACAATATTAAAAATGGAGAAATCGGATTCTAATTAAAATAAATAAGAAACATATTCAGAAAATTATTTAAATTATCTTAAAAGTATATATTGTTATTATTGTTTAAAGATTTAAAAATAGACGAAACCAACCAAATTACTTGGCAAATATTGAATTTATATAAGAAAGTTTGATTTAATAATTTTATATCCTTAGTGTTTTCAAAAAATTTATCAAAATACTTGAAATTATTTTAAAGCCTTGTAATCATAATTATATCTAGAGAAAGTATTTAAGATTATTAAGTTTTATTTTTCATATTCCAATAATTTATACTCTCAAAATTTAAAGTTATTTGAAGAGAGATAAGCCATCTTACAAATTATTATTCTGATTTATTATTTATTCTCGCACTTAATTGTTCCATGAGATAAATTATTTTATTCAAATTAATTTTAATATATTTTATAATTAAGTATTAAAATAATATAATGTTTGACAAAATAAAAGTTGGATATAAAATGTCAATATAAGAAGCTAATTCCAATTAAAAAATATAAATTTTGAAAATTAAAGCCGAAATAGGAGGTCTGCAAACTACTCCAAAAAAATCATGCTTTATTGCCTCAGTAGAATTATTTATTCTTATTAAAGATTAGTAGCATAGAATCAATGCAAGCTCCTAGCCTAGAAATAAATTACAAATAGGAGTCTAAGATTATATGTTAGCGTCCCATAAGCATGAAGATTGTTGAGGGGGGAAACAATTTACGTGAGTTATATTGGGAAATCCCCATTCATCAATGCTTAACCCTAACTAATTATAAATAATATATAGAATTTAGTTCTTTAAATAAACTAACAATATGCTATATATCTGATGAAGAGAGAAAATAAAAGGACTTTATTATATAATTTAATAAATTCTATGATGTTAATTCTTAAAAATACAAATAGATGCATGTTGACTACTTTATGTATGATAATGAGAATGAATCTTTACAGAAGGCAATTTAACATGAATTAATTCTATAAAGATCAGGTTAAAATAGAATCCCAATTATTCTTAGATTGAATTCAACTGTTTTTTATTAATTTCAAAATTAAAAAATAGAAATAAAATTACAAAGCCGATTTTTAAAGCACCCTCTTCCATAAGTGGAAGTTGTTTTGTATAACAGAGTTATTTTTGATAATATGTAATAAGCATATCATCAATTAACTCAGAGAATTTCTAAAAAACTGGAAAATGTAGAGAATAATAATCATAATAGTGAAGTGGATTTCGAATTGGATTTAGGCTAACTTTAGAATATTGCACCATTATATTTAGGATAGAAAATAGAATCGCATCATATTCTTCTAATCAAAGTTATTTTTGAAAAATAAAATTGTTGTGATTGGAGTTAAAGAAAATTTGATATATTTGTTCCAATTGAAATCATCACTTAGAATCCTGAAATTGATGAAAATATCAATTAGAATCCTGATATCATCGAATTAGATGTTTGGCCTCATTTTTGCCAATTATATTAAAATTATTTGAAGGTGAAAGTTCTTAAAGAATAAAATTTGAAAATCTTATGAAATTAAAATTATAAATTAAATTTCCACTTAATTACAACACAATGATTATATATTAATTACAAGAGTTATTAAAATTGCCAATGAACAAAATTATATTCTATGAATTTATTACATTTGATCTTTAAGAAAGGCTACATGGCAATGGATTCTCATTTAAAAAGAGATAAAATAAAGAGACCTATTAAAATTAAGTATACATGTGTAAACATAAATTTGCAAAATCTAAGGTTATATGTTTTTTTGTATCGCTTTACACATATCATTAAAGTGTTAGATTCTGAAATTCAGTACTATAAAGTAAGGAGTTATTGATTAAAGCATTCAATTCCTTCTTTCTTTTTTAGTATATTGAGTTGGTTTGATAAATTTACATAATTTAATGGAATACCTTATAAATAATAATGAATATTAAATAATTAGCTACAAATTTCGATGTTCTCTATCGTAGAGTGAATGACAGAAGCAAAGTAACAGAATTTATGTTGGGACAGCTTTTCGAGCGATCTGAAGCCGAAGAGAAGTACCACAAGGCTTTGGAGAAAATAAGTGGACAAATGTAAAATAGTGGAGGAGATATGGATGATTTAGTGAGAGGAGTGAAGATAGATCTGAATCAAAGGGCCCAGTACTATAAGGTATGTGGGTATTTGTAACTAAGCAATTCAATTAATCGTACAAGCATGATGTAGAGTAAGCCATCAATGAGCTTAGATAAATCCAAAGTTAATTCAAACCACTTATTCAAGATGTGTTAAAAATGGATAAAGAAATCAAAATATCCTGTGATAAGTATGATCGTCAAAAGGAGAAGACAGTGAGAGCATCAAAGGAATATGAGGAATCTGCAATTACATTAGAAGCGTTGTGTTGGAACAAAGAATGCAATATAGAATAAAGATCAAAAGCATAACACAGACTGAATTCACAATTACAATACAAGTAAGAGAATGAATCTGCTTTGAGATAGGCAGCTACAATTTATAATTAAGCTGTTTAATCCTATTGCACTTCTTTGTAGAATGGCATTTAATAGCTAACTACATCATATAATCAAATATTTTCAATAGCTAAAGTATATAAATATTTAATTAGGACATTGTAATGAAGATCTTAGTTTATGAGATTTCCAAAACTAGAAATCTTTAATATGATAGTGAACAGTTTTTTAAGCAGGCTGAGATTTATTTGGATCCCTAAAATGACCCTACAGCTCCAGGACCCTCAAGTTAGATTGGAATTTCTAAAGAGAACTATTTAAAAGTTAATTCTCAATTAAATTCTTCTTTTTTAAGGAGTATAGCAGATTAAATTTCTCTTAATCACAGACTGAATATTAAAAGAGAAACTACAGCTTCTTCTGCTTAAGTAGAAAACGTTGATTCTTTTGATATATTCTTAGCTAATTAGGAATTTATTGATGATTTAAAAGGAGTAACAATTAAATTAATTGGAAAAGTTAATAATAAAAATAAACCAAAAAATGCTGACGAACAACCAGCTGGAGTTCAATAAATGGTGAATAAATATAAAGATCAATATGGCGAATAATAACTTATTAATACTTATAGTTTCATAAAACATGTGATTTAATAGACTTAAGAACAATAAATAAAAGGTTGGAAAAATATACCTGAATTATAAAAAAGAAATTTGGATGAGATTTTTGATTCAAAGTTCTTTAGAGAATTAGGATGCATAATCCTTGAATCATTTCGATAAGCAGGGTAAGATTATAGTTTTATTTCTTTAGGTGCTCAAATTTAAATTCGTATGGATTCAAAAATATGCATTAGTTCACTTAGAAATTATTAGAGATATCATAAAAAGAAGGAGAATTAACTTTAGTCAAAAGGATTATTACCATGATCTCCACTATCTACACAATAGATGAGCATGAGAAAAGATTTTTCTTACAAGATAGTTTAATATCTATGCAAATTTGGAAATAAATTGATTTATGGGAAGGTTTAATTTATACAACGATTGAGTCAGAGATTGATAAATCTGCTATGAAAGATACAATTCAGTTTTCAAATGAGCAAATATTTAAGGATAAGAACGTTATATATTCTAATTTATTGACTTTAACACTTAATATGATAAACTTTAAGTAATATACATTATTAATATTTAGAGTGGATAAATAAGAGATTAAGAATATTTTAGTGAAGTACGCAAGAGTATTTTCGCTTTATGATCTATAAGCTTAGGAATTGCTTAAATTTGCTGAAAATGATGGTAAAATAGAGCCAAATCAAAAGATTAATTCATTATCTGTTCTTCAATCTTTATATTATTAACCATAAGCAAATTAAAACTAATAAGGAAATACTGTTTAAAAAAAAGTAGTTATATTTGATAAGAAAAATCCATTGTCAACTAACCCTAATGTTAATGTTTAAAAGACAAGTGGCAATTAAGTATACCTTGGTTCTGAAACACCTACCAGAGAAGTAGTTTAATCAAATTATACATAATAATCACCGATATCTACTTAATAATAACCAAGTCCATTAATATAATAGGCTTCAAAAGAATCATCCTACTTATAATAGAACTAGAATTAATAATAATAATAGTAACAATAATAATAGTAATAATAATAGTAATAATAATAATAATAATAGTAATAATTATAGTAATAATAGTAATAATAATAGTAATAATAGTAATAATAATAAAAGGCATCTTAGAATTCACCAACTATTTAATAATTACAACCAACCTCTCCATAAATTTAATAATAATAAACATAATAAGAATAAGAATAACCAAAAATTAGATATAATTAGCATCCTTTAGAAGCACCAAAAGCTAATTTCTTAAAAAAGTTGCCATGATATTTTTCATTTAACAAAATAATAAAGGAACATATTTATTTAATCTGTTTAAAATATATATTTCGATTTATAAGTTATCTCTAAAAGTCTTTTAAAATTTGATTTTTAACTAAAAATAAGACTTAGCTACATAGTAAATCCAATTCTATTCTAATTTTAGAATTTGAATATTGAATTTTATGCTTACAATTATTAATTAATTTTCTATGGAATCTATAATTTTGGGAATCAAACAAGGAGATCTTAAATATTTTGATGACTCAATTGATTTATAATCATTGATCCCTTATAAAATTCATACTGTGAAGATCTTTTTTACAAACTAAGGGATTTTGGGGATTCAAAATTACTACTATTCATTTAGCTCTCAATCAGTCATAAAATGCAAAGAACACAGGTATTTTAATCAATAGATTATAGATCATCAAAAATTTTTGGAGTAAATGAATAAAGGTTAGTTTTGGATAATAGTGAATACATCATTTCATTGACATGGTATTAAAATGAGATTGGCATAAATCGAGTAGAAATATAGACAAATAAGCAATAAATTCAATTAGGATAAAAGGATGGCGAGAAGAAGGAATTTAAAGTGGAATAAAACTACCAATTAGGGGCGATAGCTGGAGGATACAAATAATAATTATAATTTTTGGAGTGGCAAATAATTCCTTTGGTTGAACAATAAACACAATACTAATCATAGTTATACCAATTATATTTGTCCTAAAACGAAGGTAATTAAAAAAACAGTAAGTTTGAATATATTGGTAAGTAATATAGAGTTTGTGATCCATAAATTATATAATAAGGACTAACAAATAAATTTGTTTAATTTCGTATAGTAGATAACACTGAGTAGGAAGTGATAAGGAGATTTTAAGATGTATTTTAATTACGATAAATATTGCAATTGAGATGGTATAATAAACAGAATAATAAAAGTTTAGGCCTGGAGTTTATATCCCGCCTTTGATGAATAAATCAACATTCGAGGATTATTCAAATGAACACATAGAGAATGTTAGGAAGGCCATTGAATACTTTTTGATGAAATTATCCAAGATAACTTATTTTGCATAATCGGTGGAATTCAATGTTTTTATAACCAAAACAAATAAGGATAGCAATTAAGAAATGGAGTATGTGCAAAATAAATTGAAGGAGATGACCCAACAAATTAGCCTTGAATAAATTGATTTAAGATATAAATAGAATTTTGAAGAATTTGAAACAAAAGAATCAGTTAACGAATAATAAAGATAAAAATGTAATGACTTTTCGCTTCTGATGTCTAAATTAGAATAAATAAAAGTAAACGATTTTTCAGATATCAAAAAATTATTTGAATATCATTCTAAGAATGTCAATTATCTTTCGAAATATATCCTTCCAGAGTTGCATTTGATTCATCTTAATTTGTAGTCAGAAGAAGTCATTTAAAGAAGGAAATCAAATTCCATAGATAGAGGTTTATAAATGTAAATTGATACAATGAATGATGTTTACGATTATTTCGTAACAGAATAGAGAGAAGCTAATGCTATGTCTTAATGCATGAATTATATCAAAGATCTTGAATAGTAGAAGAATAAATTAGAATAGAAGATTATGAGTTAAAAACTTAAATAGGAGGAATTAACTATTGCAAAAACTCAATTTTCGCTTATTTAATCTATTTGGAGTATTCTAGTAAAGTCATATGCAAATTATTACATTGATAAGTAAAATAAGTTATATTTCTATTTAGTTATTTCAAAGAAAGATATCAATTGTATCTACTGATGATAAACAGATTGGCCTAGATATAATTAAATAATTTGAAATTAAGATAAAACTTTTGGCAGTCCATTTGATTTATATATTTATATAATTTAATGAATATTAACATGAATCGATGTTAAGATTGTGGAAATATACATCCTAGATAACCCTGTGCTGCTCAACCAGTAACATTTATTTGGTATTATTGTGAATATTCAATAGGCCTTATGAAGGTATAGATGTATTATTATTTGGATCATGGAATCTTTTCTAAGTGGGGACTAAATTAATTGGAAATAAATGCACTTTAAATTTGGCAGTTGGACAATATGAATATAAGTTCTTGGTAGATAATCAATGGAGATATCTGTAGAATCAAGAGACTGTGAATGACAATCATGGATCATATAATAATATGGTAAAATTTATAATGATTACAGATTTAAGTGCTTCCTAAAAGAGCGTATCAGATCTTTGAATCTAATGCAAAACCTCTGATAAGACTGTTTGAAGTAGCTGAGGAAGTGATTGGTTCATGGGATAATTGGAGTTAACCACTGAAATTATAAAAGCGATATAACTAGTTCAAACTATGCGATGAATATTATACGTATGTAGATTTGCAAGAAGGGCGTTATGAATTCATTTTTAAAAGGGGAAGTCAATACTTTCATGATAGTTGCCAGCCAACCATAATGAACTCTTTTGGAAGGAAAAATAACATCATGGTTGTGTTAATAAATAGAACGGAATCATAAGAACTAGACTTCAATAATGTTTATTGGACGAAACATGACTTATTATATCATACATTTGATCACATATATGGACATACAATGACAAGTATTGGGAATTAATTCTACATATTTGGTGGAGCTCCAAGTAGAAATGAAATGTATAAGTTAACATTTGGAGATCATTAATTGAATTTAGAAGAAACTGAAGGAGAAATGCCAAGACCGAGAGCTTATCATAATGCATTAGCTTATGGAGATAAAATATTATTCTTTGGTGGTGTGGATGAACATAATATATTGAATGACCATTTTGTATATGTAACATCAGCCAAAACTTGGTATTTGGCTAAAACTGATAAGAAATGGACTGAGAGAGAAAGAGCAAGTCTAACTTTTTATGCTTAGGAAGAATTAGTAATACTGTTTGGTGGATATTATTTATCTCCTGATCTTGAAGTCGAATTGATATACAATGATGTCTATTATATGAACATTCAGAACATGCAATGGGTGAAACTGAACATTAATAATTAACCATCTCCACGATATGGACATACTGCCATCTAAGTTAATGAGAAGATGTACATATTTTGTGGGAAGAATTAAGACGAATATTTTAATGATATATGGGTGCTGAACTTTGATAGTGTTTAATGGCAATAGATCCAAACTTAAGGGGTTGCTCCTGAACCAAGATATGGCCATACAACCAATTTGATTAAATCTAAAATTTGTATTTTCGGTGGTAGAAATAGCAAATCTAATCGACTGAATGATCTACATCTATTCGATTTCATAACCAATACATGGATTACTCCTACTCAATATGGTTAAATGCCATCTCCAAGGTATTTTCATGCGGCAGATATTTACAACGGGGAATAGTTGTGGATTTTAGGAGGAAACATTGGGCTTAAGTAATTTTGAACTAATATTTTAGACGCAATGAACATTTTTATATTATGAACTTTGGAAAGCAAGAGGAATAAACATAAGTATAATAATAAATATAATAACAACAACAATAACAATAACAACAACAACAACACAATTATTGAAAGAACAGAAAATCCAAGAGCTTTTTTAAATAAAACACAAAAATATATTATAAATATATCATTCTTATTACTATTGTAATTCAGCTTCCCTTCTCTCCTATTCTCTTCTTCTTTCATCATCACTATCTGGTTCCAACTCATCTGGCTGTTCTCTGGGATTTGGTTCAGGAACTTCATCAATGTCTTCAGGATCCTCTTGCACATCTTTTGGAGCCAAAGGATTAAAAGAATGTTATTGATTCTTCAACCCATATCCAAAGTAAACACTTATGTATTCATTCGACTTAGATGTTATACAATTAAATATATACATTGCTAACAGTCACTGCTCCAGGCCACAAAAAATTTCTCAACAAGACTACTTAATAACTTAAAGGTAATTATTCATCTGAATTGACAGTATATTATTATGTTTCTCCAAAAATTTTAATCAACCAATTACCATCATTTTATTCAAATTCTATACAATAACTATCAATTATTACGTTTATCATCCTTAATTGATTTTAATCTCTCTTATTCAGGGTCAGACTCCTTCATCTAATTTAATTCTTCTTCCTTTAAAGAAGGATCTTCATAAAATGTAATTCTTCCTTATTTTAAAATATAAGCAGGCAAATGAACCCATTCATCCATAGTTGCCAATTGAGTTGATTCAGGCATCTTGAATTCTTCTTCAAATCCTATTGTTTTTGTTTCATCGTCATATTTATACAACCCTCGTGGAGCTAATAAATTGGCGTGTGTTATTCTTAATATTTAAGCTTTCAATAGATGTTTTTCTTTCCCTTCAAAGTATGGATATTAAATTATGTTTTTGTTAAGATCTCCACTGAAAACGTAAGTAATTAATCTACTGGCTTCCATTTATTTGCGTGTTATTTATGGCAATAAGGCCCAATCTTCCAAAACTAATTTATTATGCAATCAGAATTACAATCTTAAGTGACATAATGTACATATTCATTTAGTTTTTCATCACAATCAGGAGGTTGGGGTTCTTTTATTTATTTATTTAATGTAACTTCAATAACAAAGTAATCCTTTTGTTGTGCTAGTATTTTCCCCCAAAAACGTACGCTTTAAATATTTGGATCTCTTTATGCAATTTGTTTAAGACATTATTATATTACGTATGCATCATCATCATTGACACCATACCCAACGATATTCAATAAGGTGTTTAATTTTAGAAAATTCTAGATATTGGCATTAACTTATTTAACTTTGAATTGAATAAGTTACATTAATTTAGCACAATATTCTTACCATGGGAATGCTTTATCTTTTAAATTATTAACCTTATCTGCTGATTAGAGTGGAACATGATAAAATCTGTTCTCTTTAATAAAATTACTCAAATCTTCAAAATCTGCTAAATCTAGTTAAATTAAAAGATGTGTTTACTTTTTGCATTATAATATTTATTCTCTTGCATCTGATAGTACAATTCACAAAAATGATTGTAGAGAGTCTTATTTTTGTATTTGGAATTGAATATTTATTATAATTGCTCCTCCATTATCCTAATCTGAATAATAATAATTAAATTTAAATATTATAAATATGTAATACTTGGACAATTATCTTGAATCCAAAGGAGGTTACGATTATACAAATGTGAAAAGGTAAAAAATGATTTTATAGTTAAAGAAATGAATTAATGAAAGCTTAAGGATTTAAAGAAATGCCATTCACAAAAACAGGAACAACAATTGTCGGTGTTTTATTTGATGGAGGAGTGGTGATGGCTGCCGACACAAGAGCTACAGCAGGATCTATAGTTGCTGATAAAAACTGTGAAAAATTACACACTCTAGCTCCAAACATCTGGGCTGCTGGAGCTGGTACAGCTGCTGATTTACATCATCAATGTGCGCATTTTAATGCCAAACTCAAACTCTAAAGACTAAATCTAAATAGATAAAGTAGAGTGAATGAAGTCATCACTAAACTTACTTCTAAGCTCTTCCCTTATAGAGGTCATATTGGAGTAGCTTTGATTATTGGAGGAATAGATTGCAATGGACCTTAATTAGCTTCAGTGTCTCCTCATGGAAAGTAAATATCATCCTTATTTACATAGTTATGTTTATCATCCTTTCCAATCTATGGGAAGTGGATCACTTGCTGCTTTGGGTATATTAGAAGCCAAGTTTTAGGATGGACTTACAAAATAGTAAGCTATTGATCTCGCTATTGAAGCCATCGAAGCTGGTATTTTCCATGATATGGGGTAAAATGTTATTTCTATTGATTTTCTAGATCTGGAAGTAATGTCGATGTTGTCGCCATTACAAAGGATGGTGTGGATTATAAAAGAAACATTAGATAATACAATGCAAAATCATATTAAAGGCAAGTACCTTATGATTTCCCAATCAACAACACACGTATCATTTTTATAGATTAATCTTAGCTGCTCTTAAAAAATATTAGTTTGATATTGAAAAATAAGAATTATCTGAAGTTGGATAGGAAATGGTAATTATAGAATGATATAATGACAATATATTTAATTATGTGCATTCATAAATCTAATAAATTCAATTCCTTTGTCTTTGCCTAATTTTATTATTATGGTTATGATTAGTTTGTAAATGCCTAAGACTAGGGATTAAATTATTATTGAGGCTATGATTGATATTGTTATCCGAATCCAAATGATTATTATTATTATGGAGGAGCCTGTTAGAATGTGTTCTGCTATGGTACGCTGGGTTGATTCCAAGAGTTGAAATCAAAATTACCCCAACTATTCTACACTGATTGAGTTGGTTGTTGTTGAACTGGCTATGAAAATTAACCAAAATCGCCTGCATCAGGTGGAGGTGCAAATTTAAATTCAGACAAATTAGTTTACCCTTTTTACTATGTTTACTTCTTTTATTGATTTCCTTCTCCCAAAGATATTTAGATTTTCTATCCTTACTTCAAACTAAAGTCTTATGAAGGTTGGAATTCATTTTTAAATTTCTCTGGGTTTCTTTCCATTTCTCGATCTGATATGAATTTCAATATCTTTTCGTTGAAATCAAACGCATCATTTCTATCTCTAAACACACACCCAACCCATTGATGACCTCCTGTTGGAGTTACTAATCTTATTGCGTATCCTCTAATAATAAATACTAATTCTTTACCTTTAACTGTCCACTGTTTTCTCAATTGCTTAGTATGGATTATCTGGAAAATTTACGAAGGTCTGAACAGCTGAGGTGTTTTTGTCGATAAAATATAAAGTCAATTACCCACCTTTTTCTGTTAATTTGATTCCCCCTGTTAATTATAAGCTTTATTTTACCTTCCCAAAACATCTCTTTCCAATCATCCAAATAATAACCCTTGCTACTGCTAACCGGTGGAATCTTAAATAGGCAAACCTATTGTTGTTTAACTAAAAGCACGTATTCAATAGACATTTTAATTAATTCAAGATAAATTAGCAAGACTCTATAATATTATATACCAAGAAAAGCTATATTATTAAAAGAATTCAAATTTTTTCTATTTATAAAACTAACTTCTTTTCATTAAGATGTATACTTTCAATTATGTATAATATATACATATCAAAAATATATTATGATCAACATAGAGAATATAATAAATAAAATATAATATACTTTAAAAATAATTAGGGTTTATTAACTTGCCATTTCTGCTCCAGAATTAATTAATAGAGAATTTAAAATGTACTTTATTAGTGTATATCAATTAAAATGTTCATATTATTGTGATTTCAATAAAAATAAATGATTGAATCATTCATAAAATAGTAATATATATGGAATACTGTAACTATTACATTCTAAATGTGATTCTAAAAGTCATAAAATAAAATAATGTAATGGAAATAGAAATAGAAAGACTAAATTTAGTTGAATAATTAAAAAGTAAAGCACAAAATTACTGTCCTATTTTATTATATTCTTAGAAATGAGTTTTTTGATTAATTAAATGGATTACTTATGATTATATTCATTATTTAATTATTTTAATGTAAAAAACATAAACTAATCGATTGAATAAGGAATTGCAGGACTTTAAAGAGAGAGAAAAAAAAGTATTCTGTTTGTATTTATTCTTCTAAGGGAGAAGATTCTGGAATTTCAATTTTGTTAGTTGATTAAAATATCACTCATTGGAAGGGCTTTATAAATGGGCCATCTGATACTCCCTATGCTAATGGTTACTTTCAAGTAGACATTGTGATTCCTCCAGAATATCCATACAAACCTCCAAAAATGAAGTTCGACACCCGCATTTGGCATCCTAACATCTCTTCGTAATTTTTATCACTATATCTAGTCAAACAGGAGCTATTTGTTTGGATATATTAAAAGATGAGTGGTCACCTGCCCTTTCAATACGTACAGCTTTGCTGTCACTTTAGGCATTATTGTGTGATCCTTAACCAGGTAATGAATTTTCTAATACATAAATTAGATTCCCCTCAAGATGCTGTAGTTGCCAACCAATTCAAAACCTAAAAAGATTTATATGTTAAAACAGCAAAGTATGTTATTCAATAATTTCATAGAGAATGGACATAAAATTATGCTTCAAAAAATAAATAAGAGGAGAAGGTGTAAAATTTAGTCAATTTAGGTTTTGAAGTCGGCGTAGTTAAGGTAAGAATTGTAATTAAATGTACTAGGAAGCTCTCCTCAGATTTGGATATGATGAAGAATAAGCAGCAAACTTTCTTTTGGGAGGTTGATTAATGTTTAATACAAAAAATAAATATTATCTTTTTTTTTAAATTCATTCTCAACAAAATGAAAAGCATTCTACATACTTTTGGAGTAGATTCATAATGGGAGTGCTTTGAATCGTTAAATTTATGTTGGAGAGTTTATAACATAAAAATATTAAGCCTTTTTGCTTTAGCTATCAATGTAATTAAGAAGCAAATCTTTACTCATTTTAAATTTCTTCTTTATAATTAATTGAAATTTATAAAAATAAAAGAAAAATCTTAATTTAGTTGAAGATGAACTTTAACTTTAACTATTATTTGAAAATTATGCAAAACTTTTATTTAAGAATAGTGTTCATTCATTTTCCTAAAACCTATATTATTTATATATTTAATATAATATATTTTATTATGATTTTGACTCTAATCAATTGTTTAGTACTATTGAAGTAAAGCTGTACCATATGATAGATAAATATTTGCATACTGTCCCTATTATGAAAATTCTAATTACTGGAATTACATTTTTGATTCCAACATATAATGGGTCCCTGTTGATACATCAATGTTTTAGTTTTTGGAAAAATTAGGAATTGGTTTTTGGTTTAATTATTTACCAAATTCTGAGTCTTTGAGTATGAAATTGATCTAAATATTTAGCATCTTAATCATTTGTTATTAAATAAATGAATTATCTCCTATATATTGTGGAAAACGCTGAATCTACTGAATACTCAATAATATTTTATTTAGATATAGATGCAGATTTGGAACAAATTAAATTAAAAGGAGTATTTTAGTTGTAAACTCAATCTTATGTATTTGAGTAACTATTAGATACTTCAAATCTTGAAGGCGATTGGCACTTATTATACTATTATGTTGATTAAGCATCCAAATAAATAATTATTTATCTCTTTAATTCAAGAACAAAAGTGATATTTTCTAAGTAACATATTGGTTCAATTTCATATGGGAAGAAGACTTTCTAAAGAAATTTTGGAACCTTTTAGAACATTGAAGGGTCTGAAGTTGTAAAATATAAAAATTTTCCTGGGAAGCTGGGATCTATATTCATTACATTTTTTAGTGATATATTTACTAATTTGGAATAATATAATACAGACTGTCCATTGTTTTAATTTTGTATAGAAGGACAATAGTCCCTGGTAGGTTATAATCAGGAATTCAAAAAGAATAAGATTGTATCAGGATAGACATTATCAAATGAACTACACAAAGTAGGATATGTGATACAAGGTTGGGTAAAGTTAAATAAGATTGAGTCAATTTAATAATTGGATACAGTGTTATTAAGAGTGACAACTCGATATTAATATTTTAATGATAAGTAGTATGGAGATCGTTTGATATATATCGTTTATCATCAAAACATCATTTAAGATCAGAATGGATTTACGGTGTCTCTAAATAGTTATAAATTTCCAATAATCGAGGAAACTTATTACCATGATGATCTAGATAAAATAACTATAATGGGTAAACAATATAGTGAGGCAATAATATATTGGCACTATTTTTAGTATGAGGTAGGAACCAAAACTAATAATGGATAGCCATTGTTTACGATGTACTTTGCATTTCTAAATTAGAAATAACAATGGAAATGGAATAAATAGATCAATCATTTTACAAATAGCAAATTTTATTACTTTATAGGTGGTGATGACTTTGTTTCTAATTAGTTTTCTGGATTTTTAAGTGACTGGTCATTCTCTATCTATTGTTATCCAGTAGATGTATAGTTTAAAATAAAATGTCACTTTTCATGTAAGACTTGTGATGGTATTTCATCCTCAAATTGTTTAAGTTGCAACAGTGAGAGTCATAGATTATATTCTGAAGAATAAAAACGATGTCAATGTGCATATGGATACGTTGAAGTAGCAGATAGAGAAACCTGTTAAAGTAAATTAATTTGTGATTATAAAGCTCTGGAAGAAACAATGGGGAATTTGGTAATTGATGAGTATGAGAGAAAGTGCGATAAAGTTGGATATTTCACTTGTAATGAGGATAACATTTAATGTGATTATGGTTATTTTTTGGCTGGCAATGAATGTCTTATGTGTCCGAGATTGAACTTTGAAATATTAGATGAATCTATAGAATGCGGAGATTGCGTACTTGCTCCTGAAATTTTTTCATCTGCGTTAATTTGCAGTTATGATTTTAAAGTTTTGGATAAATCAAAATAATTTATCTATCAAAAAGTAATTAGAGGAGCTTAGCAATAAGAAGTATTCAAAATAGTTTAAGATGAATTCGGGAAGAGTTAACTTAAATTAATTTAAGGAGAATATACATATGGTTGCAAGTTTGGTTATTACAGAGACTAAAATGGAAAATGTAAAAAATGTATGGAGGGATGTTCAGGATGTCTAATTGATTCTAGTTGTTAAGTCTGTTTTATTGGGTATACATTGAGAAAAGATGGTAATTGTTAAAAATGCGGATTATGTCATAATTGTATGCTTGAAAACAATAAAGAGATTTGCATGTTTGAGACTGATTGTTTAAGCAACTAATATTGGTCTGAATAATAATGTTATGATTGTGGTTAATATTGTGCAAAGTGCATATAATCAAAATGTCTTTATTGTATAAATAATCAAGGTTACTTTATCTCATTTGATAAATTAAATTGTGCAATTTGCAATATCAAAGATTGCTAATATTGTTTCTAATATTATTAATCAGATGACAAGTACTACACAACTCTAGATTATGAACCCTTCATGGAAAATATTCAATAAGAGTTAATTAAAATTGGTTGTGCCTAATGTAATTAGAATATGTACTTCAACTTTCAAACTAATTAATGCGAAGAATAGCTTAATAATGATGTTAAATGTTCTTTTGGCATCATTACTAAAGATTTTGGTAAGTCTATTTGTATTAAAAGTCTAACTCCTCTAGTGGGAATATAATAAACAGAATGTCTTACAATATCCTTTTGTGAATAATGCATTCTCAATTACATTAATACTGATGGTTTTTGCATAAAGTGTAGTGATGGATATTATTCATCTATCACAACTGGGCAATGTAAATAATGTCCTCTCACTTGCAAGACTTGTCAATAATAGAACAAAAATCATGAGGATTTTTGGAAATGGGATATTAAAGCATTTTATAAATACTTTGTAAATTCTAATGAAGACCATTATTTCGAATAATATGGTCTAAATTTTAATACCAAAAATTTTGAAATTGTATGCACTAGTTGTTTTTCTGATAGTTTTTTATATTAGAACGAGTGCTTTAAGAATTGTGGATAAGACTGCAGTAATTGTTAAATTATAAATGACTATTATTCTTCAACCACTTAACCCTAATCACCTCGATGTTTTTAATGCAATAATGCTTTATATAATAAATAGAGAAGTACAAATTAAAAGGATTTGACTGTATGTCAAGAATGCGTTGTATTTTGTAAAGCCTGTGAATCAAGAGATGTTTCATAAATAAGCTACTTAAACCCTTTTATTACAAATGACTCGAAATACACTAATTTATGTTACAGTTTTGATCAGGAGATATAACAATCCGATGAAGATATAAAGTACAATATCTAATACAAAAATGAAATTAATTTTCACCCATTCTTTAAAACACCTTATAAATGTTAGAAGTATGATAAATGCATCAAGACCTTAACCTTTACTCAATTTGTTTATTGTGATTCATCTTACATGTATTACGATTTCTTCAAAGAGGAACGTTAAAATTATCGATAATTATATAAGACATACTATTAATTTACTGTTTATGGTGTTGAATTAGAAGATTATATTTATGACTTCCTCAATGAGTAATCAATTATAGAAGTCAATTTTGTTAATTTACTCAAAATTCTCCCTAAATATCCTGGTCCGTGTTTTTAATGGGAGGCTTAATCAGTCAAGATTAAGAATCCCTTTTCTTCATAAGTATTTACTATAAAAACAGCCAGAATTAAACTCATAGGTGAAGAACTAACATTCCTGCTTACTTAATCAAATTATAATGTTATGAATTTTGATGAAGTCCATTTTTAAAATGTTGGTATATTAGCAACATCAACCTTAAGTCATCCTTCAACAAGTCTATACAATATTTATTGTAAAATTAGTATACTTAATGAATTCTTTCCAGTCACTTTTAAATTGATTGATTCCTAAATACTATGTGCTAATAGTTTTAGATTAACTTCTTACACGATAATGAGCAATAACTCTTTGAATATCTTGTTTGATAATGTTACATTCTTAGATTTAAATTTGACAGATTCTAAGTTAATAGACTTTCAGCCTTTATAAAGTACTAAAAATCCTAAATTCCATGCTCAAAATTTAGTTTTCATCAACTCTAACTTTACTAAATCAAGTATCTTTTGTTTTGAATCGTTAAAATTCAGTCCTGATTATCAAATATCAATTTCCAATGTTTATGCTTCTAATCTAACTTTTAGAGCAGGATCCTAATTTATTTATACTTCATTCTTATTGCAATATCATGTAGGATACATCACTCTTGAGAATCTTTATTTCCAAAATATCACATTGATGAATGCTTCTTAACTTTTGAATCTTATGGGTTCTGGCTCATGTTCCATCAAAAATTTAACTTTAAAAAACATTATTTTTTTAGATTCGTCCTCCTTCTTACTATCCAACATAATTAATATCGAAGACTTTTTAGCTATTAATATAATCATAAATACAGGCTACTTAATTACTAATAAAGGCACTTCATCAAAGGCAACTCAAGCTTTAAAAAATGCTGAATCTATTAGGATTAAAAATGCAAGTTTTATTGAAAACATTTACCATAATTCTTAATGTTTTATTGCTATATTTTAGAATCAAATCTCAAATAACTCACTCATAATTGAAGGTTTAACCTTAAAGAACAATCAATATTATAATATTTTAAAAGGAGTCAATTCAATTAAGTCATTGACAAATGATCAATCCTTGATCTACTTAGAGTGTTAAGTATGTATTTTGGATAAAGTGGAAATACTTAGAGGCTTAGGATATCCAGAAATTGCGATTTTTCAAAGTAAAGTTTTGAAATTTTCAAATATCATCATTTAGCAGAGTCCTCAATACATTACAAAGACATTGCATTCCTCTTATAAATGCATTGAACAATTTTTATACTTAGACATATACTTTGTTTTTTACCTAAGTTCCTTCAATCAAGTGGAATTGGATAATGTAGTTATATTTTAATCCGTTATTTTTGATAATTCATTTTTCTTATTTGCAAGTTAAAATTAATTTGATGATTAGGTAGAAAATAGCATAGTTATAAAAAATTCAAAGTTTTTTGATAACATGTTGATAGTAACATAATAAAATAAATTTACTTCAATTATATACATTAAAACAGAGCAACTAATGAATATCAACATTGTAAATACAAACTTTACTTAAAACTTCTTGAATGAATATTTCCAAGATTATTAATTATTTTCATCCTCAACTTTAGTCATCTATGCCCAATCAAGTGAAGTAATTATATCAAATTGCTTTTTTGATCAAAATATAATTTCCAATTCTACTGATTCAAATCTCTTCATTAAGGCAAATTATCTTAACATTTCAAATAGTGTCTTTACTAAATAAAATTAACTAAACCCCACTATTTTCGAGAAGTACTTATTTGTCTCCAAAACAGATACTGAAATTTCTTCCAACATTATGCTTAACTTTCAGGTGTTATCATCTGGTGGAAATGGCTACCTTTTAATAAATTCTGCGTTACTAGAGTAAATTCAAGTTGAATAGTCTTTGGCCTTAAATGGAGGAGCATTTTATATAATCACAACTCAACAAGGTTCAATAGAAATAAGCAATTCAAAATTTATAAATACTTCAACTACAATTAATGGATATTAAATATCAGTTGGAGGTTGCTTTTATATTGACTCTTCAAAAAGCAGATTCAATCTTAATATTCATGATTCAATATTCTAACTTACTTCTTCCAGAACACAGGCAGGACTTTTGTACATAGAACCTTCATTTCTGAAAAATGAAATTAATCTAGATAACTTAACCATATAGGAATCCTTCTCAATCTAAAATTCCATACTTACTTTTTCGCCAAGTAGATAAAACTCTGTGTATTCAAACTTTAAAATTTCAAACTCCCTTATAATTAATAGTGAAAATGCATTCAACTACTACATATCCTAATTATAAGATATATCTTCTTAAGATGTTAAGCCATTTCAAAGAGAAAATCCCACTATGTATGTTCAATATTGTAATTTTACAATGGTCAACTGTTCATTTATTTAATTTCACATAGCCACCATTTTGGAGATATATAATGGATATCTCATAAACTTAAATAATATAGAAATTTTGAACAGTACTTACTATCTATCTCCAATTCTAAGAATCTCCTTAAGAGAAGGTAATATTAAATATATGTTTTATAGGTTTTATGGGCAAGATATTACTTTAAGATTTTAAGTTGCAAAAACTACAACAATATCAAACCCAAATCGAAGATTGCCAGGAGGTGGAAATAGTGGCGACAAAAGATTTACTATGTTTTGATGATTTATCTGATATTGTTTAGAACCCTTTGGTCGAATTAAAAAAGTACAATTTAACCAATCAATTAATCTGCAATAAAAAATTGATTTTTGAAGAAGCCAATTATAACATGAGTTTAATTGAGATAAAAAGTATTGATAACGAACAAGAATTACTAATAGAGAATTTATTAATTTCTAATATCGAATGTTCTAACTGCTACTTTGGAGTATTCACTGTATAGGATGTGAAAGTGAATTCTATGAATTTAAGATTGAAGAATGTAAGTCTGATTAATAATACATGTGGTGTAATTGGTTGTTTATCATTTTTACAAAACTCTAATTTCAATCTTAACGAGAATCAATAAAATCGTATCCTCTAAAATTCAGTTGAAAAAATTAAAAATATTTAAAACAAACAAATCCAATTAAAAATTAGCAATAGTTTATTTATAAATAATATAGCCGATTATGGTGGGGCCTGCTTTTTTATTGATTTGAATATGTTAATCGAAAAATGCTTATTCAATAATAATCAGGCTAGAGAGACAGGAGGGGCTATATATTATTACTCAGAAGAGCAAAATCATATATTGATTCTTGATAGTTAGCTTATATAGAATAAAGCTTAAATTGGAGGTGGATTATATTAAAATGGAGAAACAATTCAAGAACTTACAAAAGGGAATGTGTACATAAAGGAAAATTTAGGGACGAAATATGCAGATAACCTTGCATCAGTGCCTATGTATCTGAGCCTTTCGTTGGATGGATTAAATTTATTAAAAAACAAGCTGCTATTTAAGAATCAAACTACATAGATTGATGAAGTTGAGGTCTAGCCCTATTATTATTTGGGTGCCGAAGAAAAAACTGATTAAATCTTAGTACCATCAGGTCTTAAAATCTATGATTACAAACATTTCGATGCTTAGAGTAATTCTTACATCGACTATAATTTCTCATTTAGACTCATTCCGTTGAATATATAATTTGAGCAAATGAAAAATCTAAATGGCACAGAATGTACCATAAACCCTTCAGTTGTGAATACAAGTAACATATAAGAGAAAATTTAGAACATCTTGGAGAATATCTCTGCTTAATCACTATCATATACTTAAGTGAAGTTTAATGATTAAACCTAAGATTACAACTTAGATAATCTGACTGTATACTTCAACCCTTTACAAGAACAATAATATTCACTTTAATTAGCTTTTATATGTAAGGCAATTAAGATTCCTGTTTTTAATAACTATTCTCCATACGAACTCAATTACACTCTAGATAATTATATATTATTATTGCATTTGCGTACTTTCAAGTGTCAATTAGGAGAATATTTAAATTCTACTTCAGGAGGTTGTGTTTAATGTGATATAACTCAAAATTAATACTCAGTTTAAGAAAACGCCTAAGCTTGTTAATTCAAAAATGAATAGAAAATGAAATCAATTAAGCCAGCAATGATTGAATTAAGATCAGGATATTGGAGAGCATATTACTACAGCAATGTCGTAGAACTCTGTTATCATTAACAATAAAATTGTTAGGGAGGATGGTTTGCTGGGAATCCTTCCTGTGGATTAGGACACATTGGAGCTTTATGTGAATAGTGTGATTTGTATAACATTCGAGGCTAAGGTTACTTCTCTATAAGCTAAGCATATGGTTGTAGTGGTTGTGAGCAAGTGGCAAAAAACATTATCAATATAGTTTTAGTTGTCTTATGGACTTTATTATCTCTATTCATTTCAGTTACTAGCACAGTTCAGATGATTGAAGAGTTTATCTTTCAGTTGAAACTTAAATCATTACGGAATTACATGATAACCCAACCAACATCGACGTCTGTTCTATTGAAAGTTTTTACTAACTATCTTTAGATTATCAGTTCAATAACTTCATTCCAACTGTCGATACCTTCTGGGATATCTTTAGTAGTTAGTGGAGTTGGCAATCCAATGGATTCCATGGCATTTTCATTGGATTGTTTTTTAGCTGACTCAATTGAAATCGTTCCAATACTATACTTTAGAATTATTTTTAGTCTCTTAACGATCGGAATATATATAATGCTCTTTTTTTCGATTTATATAATGCTTTTATTCTTAAAGAAAGGCAAGTTTTAGATAACGTTTATGACAACAACATTTATTTACATTTACATTTACTTATTCCCAAACATAGTCAGTGGATTAATCGGATTGCTGTCTTATAGAAAGATCTCTAATGAATTTTGGGTGTCAGGCAATGTATCTTATTTGTATAATACATATCAACACACTATTTGGTTAATCAGTTTTGTTATACCAAGTCTTTTCATTTTAGGGTTGTTTATACCCTTTTTATTTTGGTTCGTTGTGTACTATAATAGGAAATAGTTGAATTCGATGAAGGTAAGGAAGATGTGGGGTTATTTATACAACGAATACAAATTGGAAACGTATTACTGGGAAACCTTGAAAATCCTGTAGAAAGAAATAATCATTTTGGTCCTACTATACTATTCTGATTATGTTGCCGTAAAGGCTTCTTTAGTTTTCTTGATTCTCTATATCTACAGCCATTTAAGCACTAAGTACAAGCCTTATCAATCTGCTCCGTTGAATAAAATCGACTTCTTATCCACGTCTATCTGTTCTATTTCTATAGTCTTAGCATCTTCAATCTATACAGCATAATCTTTTGACATAATTGAGGTTGTGTTGCCATTTTATACAATCTTAGCAGTCTTAAACTTTTTGTTTGTTGCAAACATGCTATAGAAATTGGTATATGCTTATTTTGATAAAATGGAAAAAACTATCGATGAGATCAAGACAATCATTTATCTAAAGTTCCCTCATATAATCAACAAGAATAGGACTTTAAAGAGAATATTCATTAAGAATTCGCTAAGGAAGAAACTGATTAAAGACCGATTCAAGATGGTTAGACTTTATTTAATCAATTAAGCCCAATAGATAATCGAATTTAAATCGTATTTATTAGTGATTAAACTAGTTCTATGACATGTGATTTGTATATGCCTAAGTTGACAACGAGGAAGGATGAATAGACAATAATTACTGACCCATTATCAAGTTCTAATCGTAATACTGGTAGACTGTTGAGACAGAATAGATATTTTTCAAAATAGCCCAGTGTAATTAGTTTTAAGGCTGTCGTAGAGAGCAAGTAGGAATGAATGAAAAATTGAAGTATTGTTTATCGAGCATATATAAAATTCATAAATTTTAAATTTGATCTTAGATATTGAAAATGTGTCTCTCCCCCTTAAGAGTTCATATTATTACAATGGTAATTAATGTATGTATGACATTTATTAAAATTCATATAATTATTTATTAAATAATTGAACGAAGAAATTAGTATGTACTAATTTAATGTTCCTCAAATAGTGCAGCCATTATGTAAGTTTATATTTATATATTATACGCTATATAGATTTCCAAGTATATTTTTATAATACTTATTTTTATAGCCTTAATATACATTTACACCTTCACTTATTGATATGTATTATTACAAACACAATTATTTATTTATTTATATAGGCCCCAGCAAATGCCGACCATCAGCACATTCCCACCCCCACATCATGATGTTGATTGGTTTTACCTGGATGAAGATGGGAAATGGAAAATATTTGATTGGAGAAGGTGCAATCTCCTGGAGAATATGCTTCATTACTGCAATCAAGGAGAGTTCCAGATCATTTTCAAGGACATGTAGTTTATAGTTGACTATGATCACATGGTCATGCATCATTAAATTAGTTATTATAAAATTAGGAGAGAATCCTCCATAGTGTCAAGGCAAATTAAAATATAGCAAGGCAAGTGGTCCTACTACAATGGGCAGACGTGGATTCAATATGAAAAAGTGATACAAAATTAATTGGAAGACTTGATGGTCAAGGGAGAAGTAAAAATAATTAATAATTGAAGCCTCTCCTTATAATGTATGTAAATAACAAGCAATACATATTTGATTTGGATCAGAATGTTTAGGTGGAGCCCCTAGATGACAAAGGGTTGAATAAGAGAAAGATAATTACAAGACAGTGGATGAACACACATTAATTACAAGAGTTTTGTAAAATAAGAAAATAATAGGAATTAACCTATATAAGGGAGAGAAAGGCATTGGAAGAGTATATGAAATTACATCAGAATCGTAAGAAAGTAGGTGGATCTAAGAAAGCTAATAGATTGGGGGATCTGGGAATATCTCCAGATCAGGAGAAGCAGGAGAGGAAATAATAGAAATTATAGCAATTGCATTAATAGTAGTAGCAGACGAAGCCGAAGGATGAATGTTTCAAGATGATAGAGCATTAGAAATAGCCGGATCCCAAATAATTGGAGGAATGGAATTTACTGATTGAAAAGATGAAAGAAGAGAATGCTGAAAATAATGCATGAAATAGTAATTATTTTTCCTTAAAATAATAATCAAGTAGAAACATCGAATCTGACTTGTTTTCTTTTGATTCTGTTAAATCTCTTAATTAAATTCCTGGTTTCTTGAAATTGTTCTTCAATATTTTTAACATCAGTTTACAGCTTTTTAATCGAAGAACTCTTATGAAAAGTGATTCGTTAATCAGTACTCCTAGATCTAAGTTTGATATTATTTGAAATTCTTGGAGTTTCAGTTAATTTAATTAGTTTAGATAACTCTAGAAAATTAGGCAGATGGCTTTGTTTCGTAGTTATGAATGGGAACAACAGGGAATCGTAATTTCTTAAGTGCTGATTGAGTGGTCTTTTGGGTGTGCACAATTCTTTTTGAATCTCTATTTGGGGTCTTTTCTTGATTTCATTTTCCTTCACGACTTGAGAAATGCAATTGGCTGTTTATTAAATATTTTTTATCTAATATTTAGGCCTCTTAGTCAGGTTTGTAGTCAGTATTATCTCGTCATCTGTCAGTCTAAATTAATCAATTGAAAGATCAAATTATATATTAGGGTAATTCTTTTTATATTACATTATATAATAGCATTGTTTATTTTGTGAATTGGATGCGAATTTTTGGCACTTTTAGGATTTAAATTTTAGTGGCTTCAAATCAATTCAATTAATATTAATTATTATGCGCCCCACTAAATAATAGGATTATTAATTAATAACTCCTCGATCTCCAGAAAGGATTCTCAAAAAAAGACTAATAAACAATCAAATCTAGTATTTAATGAAATGGAAAGGAACTGATTAAACCACTTGGGAATATGAACAAAATGTTCGACGCTCAATTTTAGAAGAATTCCTTTAGAATTAATAATCATATTAAGAGCAAAAATAAAAAAATCTTAAAAATGTAGCACAACAATTACCTGTCATGTAGTAAGTCTAATAAAGTCTCAAACATCCCAGTTATTCTGAAGAACTTCTCTTAAACAAATAAAAGGAAATGGCTTAAAAATTTTGTAGTTCCTACCCTCAAAAATGCGATGAAATAGACAGTGTACATTTGATGTTAACAAATGAGGACTGCGTCTTTGAAGTCAAATGGAAACCCAGAGCAGATGGAGTAGTCCCTATTTCAGATTTCTACTAATACGATCAATTCAAATTGGCTGCTCCATTGCTCTTTATGAACTTTTTAGAGAATTGTATAGTAGGTCATGAAAATAACGCAGATATCAAATTCTATGCTCCTGGAAAAGATAATGTAGAAAGAGCATAATTGATTAAGTAGATCCTGCTTCGCAATCCCAAATATACTGATACTAACAAACAGCCTAGCTATGTTCATGCTGAAGAATAAAAATAACAGGATCCTCCTATTCAATAAAATAAAAATGCCATCATCAACTTTACTCAGTCTGATAGCAAAAAAACTATTTTAAATCAACCCACTGCATTATCAGATAAAAATCAATGCGAATAATAAGAGAGCGAAATGAAGAATCATATCATACTATAGGAATCTTAGGAAGTCTAACAACAGTTAGATTCTACTTCATAATAGGAACCTCAATAACAATAGTCTAATGATGAGAGAGAACCTGGAGAAATGGTGGATCCTGAAGAAAATCAATTAATTGATGAACAATTAGATTAGAGATCAATTTCTTTGGAACCTTAAAAATGAATTATGAATTAATACAATATATTAAATATTAAGATTAATATTCTATAAACAAATGGATAAAAAGATATTAGAAAACATTGAATAACAATTAAAAAGACTGCTTGAACAACTTAAAGATCTGGAGGAATATAAAAATGAATTGGATCCTGAAGAATATAAGTATGCTCCATCGTATACATTATAGACAAATGAAAAATGACACATTATAGGAGTTAGAGATTTTCCAAACCAAATTATAAGAAATAGAATAGGGCGATCTAACATTGAAGAATGCACTATAACAATAATAAGAAGAATTACGAGCAGCAATCAAGAATTCTTTTAACTCTGAAGAAATCAAACATCTCATGTCATCATCATAAGGCACTTCAATAAGAGAAAAGATAAAGAAATTAGATTAAGACTATACACTTTAAAGAATAAATTAAGCTTAATATGTGAAAGAAACTCTGAATTGCTTGAATTAATTGCAAGATATTGGAATACCTGTAAATTATAAATTAATTACTTTAGTTTACTCAATAAGAAATTAATTTTATCAACTCTAACACAGGAAAAGATAACTTTGTAATTAAATAAGATAATGTCTAAGGAAAAACATTGCTTAAATCAGCAGAATAATAATTGGCTGCTAATAACATGAAATGATATGTCATATTAAAATAACATAATTCCAATTGAAATTCTTTACATATAATTGATATTGCTTTGCATTTTAATCTTAGATCTCTATATAATTATATCAAAAACAAATTATTTAATGTGATAATTTTATGGTTGACAGAAATTTCTACTTTAGCTTAATTTATGTTTTGTTATAATAATAATTTTTTGTATTTGGAATAAAATAGTAATTATTAATGTTAATAATTCTTTTTAACATCAAACTATTTAAAATTTTGAATAATTATAGTAAGAGATGATTATTTACTAAGGTTATTTGAATATTGATGTAAGGGTTGTTGAAATACAATTCTTATAGATAAATATAAAATATACTCAAGAAAATCTATAAATCCCAGAAATACTTAGTATATTGCTTATCAACATTTTGAATAATGAAAAGGACATAAATAGAATTGAGATTAACAAATATTTGAAAATTGAATTGTTTAAAATTATTTTATTACTAAATATTTAAGTATAATATAAATATTTGATACCTATTTTGAAGCCAAAAAAAGCAATTTAAAAGATAATAAATGTAAATGGAGGAAGAAATGGTCGTGAAGAAGGAATCTTAAGTAGAGGATATAGTAAGGAAAAAGGTGAGAACTTAAGATGATAATCTTGGCGATTATATTCCATTATAATAACAACAAGAGGCCTAGATATCATAATCGACTCATCTGAGGAAAAGAGTTATAAAACCACTGACAGAAAGAGAACGAAAAGCGTTGCCTATATATAATGTGAGTAACAAAATTCTGGAAGAAATGCAGAATAATTAAGTCATTGTGATTACAGGAGGGACAGGTTGTGGTAAATCAACCTAAGTGCCACAGATGATTTTGAGGCATCATACAAACACAGAATTCGAAACACCAAAAACAGTGAATATTCTATGTACTCAACCAAGAAGATTGGCTGCTAAATCATTGGCCAAAAGAGTGGCATAGGAGTTAGATTGTTAATTAGGCACTCTTGTTGGCTATTAGGTTGGGATGGATTCACAAATAAGTTCTAGACAAACCTAAATCTAATTTGTAACCACAGGAATATTTCTATAAAAATTAGTGCATGACAGAGAACAAGTCTTGAAAGATTATACTCACATTATAATGGATGAAGTCCATGAAAGAGACATTGACATAGACTTTTGTCTAATCATAATCAAAAATCTATTGAAGCATTTTCCAGAAACTAAATTGATTTTGATGTCTGCAACTATCTGCAGTGATAAATTTGCTAACTATTTTTCCAAAAAATCACTTAATTTGGTTGATGATCTAACATATATACAAAGAGTAGATAGAAAGTACAAGTTTACAGATATGACATAAGAAAATGATGTAGAAATATCCATCAAATTTGAAGGGGAAGAAGATCATGACATTTCCACGCAATGGGGTCAACCATGGAAAGAAATCGAGAGATAAGTTCAATTAACCTAAGAATAGAGAGAATTAGAGTAGAAGTAGAATGAATTAAGAGAATTAGGATAGCATTTCTTGGATGGAGATGAAGACCAAGCTGCACCTATTATTAAAGTCCCTATGTCTTAGAAATACCCTATTGAAACTTATTATATGGAAGAAATACATTCATATTTCAATGATGCTGACACTGCGAAATTAGAACTCCATCAACCTTTAAGATTTCAAACCTCATTATACTTTTAAGATACTCCTAAGGTTCAATAGGATAGTGTCTAAGCCATGTTATAAATACTAGAATTCTTAGACTCCAATAAAATTAAAGATACTATAGGCATGTAAGGAGCTGGGGCTATCTTGATTTTCCTTCCTGGATATTAAGAAATCATGGATATTAGAGAAGAGATCTATCAAAAATTTGGGGAAGAGAGATTCATCATTATCATACTACATAGCACTGTCACTATCCCTAAAGAGTTTGATGAGACTCACAAGAGAAAAAGAAGATTAATATTAAGCACAAATGTGGCTGAAAGTAGTATTACTGTTCCGGATTGTAGATTTGTTATTGATTTCTGTTTAACCAAAGAAATTATATACAATCCTAAGAATCTAACAGAAAAGTTAGCATTGTAATACTGTTCTAAAGCATCTGCTGATCAAAGAAAGGGAAGGACTGGACGTTTATTCCCTGGAACTTGTTTTCGTTTGATACCTTAAACCATATTTAAAAATAAAATGACACAATATTCTGTTTGTGAGATGTTGAGATGTCCCTTAGAAATTATTATATTGAGACTGAAGAAATTATATCAACTATCCATGGAAAATGAAAATAAAACTGAGAAATTAGAACTTAATACAATTGTTGATTTAAAGTAGGTTTTCAATGATCCCAGTCGCACTCTTAAAACTGCTATTGACCCTCCAAGCACTAAATAAATTGAGAATGCCATCTCCAATCTCTAAATGTTAGGGGCTCTCTCTTATCCAAACTCTCAAGATTCAACCATCCATATAACTAGGTTGGGATAAATGATGGGTGATATGCCCATTGATATCTTCTTAACAAGATTCATTATGTATTGTAACATAATTGGATGTGCATATGAAGGAGTCACCATAGCAGCCATATTGAGTTAAAGGAAGAATTACTTTTTACATCATTTTATGAGATCTTAAAAGTTGTTCTTCAATTCCTTATATCTCTATGACAAAGGCAATGAGGATGATCTACTTATACAATTAAGAGTTTATTAGGAATGGGAAATTAAGTTTTTTAATATTCTTAAATCAACAATCACTCAACATGATTTAAAGAGGGAATTAAAGAGATTTACAAATAAAAATATAGGACCTTTAGAAAAATTATATTGTGATTAGAGATCTATTGATCCAAAGAACATGAGAGAAATATTAAATGTGAAATATGAATTATTCATGAGATTAGATCAGTAATTTAAGAATGAGCCTCTCGATTTGAATAATCCAGAAAACTAACTTAAAGTTAAGAGTGCCTTTTGTGCTGCTTTTAAATAAAATACATTAAGATTATCAAAAGATGAGAGATTTGATAAAAAAATAAAGTATTTGAAAGATTAAGGATTTGATTACACCCGTACAATAATGTTAGAGAGTGATAATATTAAATTTGATGGAGTAAATATTTAGAATAAAGAGATGATAAAGGAGAAGATTGCTATGATAATGGAATAATTTTGTGATTTCCATTAATTAGATAGAAATTAAAAAAGGTTAGATGACCAATTGAAAGACATATTGGCATATCATGATGAATAGGCTTAGGGTAGATAGGGATTACCCAGATTTCATTTCAGATCGGATTTGTAATTGCTAACAGAAATAAAGGCAAAATCAAAATTTACTAAGAGTTGGGTTTAAAGTGTTGTTCTATTAAATAATACAATAATAATAGAATTCAAAGAGGTGGACTTGACTAAACTGAAATATGTATTAAAAAGACTTATGCATGAATGTGAATTAATGAAAAGATAATAAAGTAGAAAATAGCCTTAAAAGATCCCTTGGGAAACTTTCACAACAAGCAATTAAGTTGATATCATTAATTTCATAGAAACAACTTAATCTTTGATATTCTACGGATGTTATTGTAGATTGATTCATTTGCATAAAGAAATTAATTGTGATCCTGACAGCATAAATTTTATCTCATTGGACTAAAATAAAGTCTTAGTAGCTTATGAAGTTCAAGAGAAGGATTCAAATAAAAGAAATTCCACAAGACAAGTGATTTCGATAGATTAAAATAAGTATTTGTTATGGTCATAAATATTGGCTATGCTATTTGGAGTACAGGTGAAACTCTTTCATAATAACACTAAGACACACTTTATAAAGGCAAAGGTTGATGACAGAGACTACTAATTTGATTATTTTATTACAGAGGATGATTTGTAAACCATTAATTCAATAAGACAATAAATAAAATTATAGATTTTAGAATAGAGTTATACAGATAGCGGAATTTGGTAAAAGATAAGATAGTTGGATAAGGTGAGATAGAAAATATTATATACTTCAGAAGAAAGATGGAAATAATTATTTGATATTGAATTGAAAGATGAAATCCTATCATTTTAAGAATCAAGTGAAAATAAGTAGAAAAGAAAGAGAATCTAACACTTTGAATTGGAAGAACAGAAGGCTGATAGTTTAGATTATATGAATCCCATCTAAATCATAAGAACAGATTATGATTCTGAAGTACCTAAGCAATTTGATAATGAGGGAATTAAAATATATGTTCAAATTCAATAATTATACCAGACTTGGAAATAAAACATAGTCAATACAATAAAGAAGTAGAATTTCTTTTTAAGAATGGGTAACACCACTCAGATTTGTTGTTTGGAATGCAATGATTATATGACTGTTGGTAGAACAAATGGACTATCATATATATCAGAAGATCCAGATATTAGACGATAATTAGATAATGATTCCTTGGACTGGGCTAAGAGGATGGTCATGATTTTGGATGTAAGTTCTTTTGGTGATTATTTCAATATCTCAATGAAGGTGGATTAAATTAAGGAGTTTCTGTCAGATCAAAGAATTTAGAGCATCTTTGAAAAACTCAAACTAATTTTTGAACCAATCAATTATGTGTTCATAACCTGTAATTCTGGTAAACACATTGTTGGCTTCTATCCTAAGATTAAGCAATTTAAAGAAATAGTGCAAATAGGAGATATTTAGAAATTTTACATAATCGATTAAAAATTGAAATTAGTTTATACAAGTATGGAAGAGGAGAAATTTATATTTCGAAAGTTAACTATTGATGAGATTAAAAAGAAAGAAAATTTGGTATTCAATTTATATTAATTTTTAGGCTGTTTAATAGCGAAAATTGTAGAATTTGAAGTTTACATGCAAATGTTGCTATGTAGAATAAAGATATGATGAAAAGGGATATTTTGAAGGTAATGAATAAGCTTACAATCAACATATTAAATAAGAAAGCCATAAGAAAGCATTTGAGGAGTTATAGTTTACGATTTTATGATGAATTATTTCATACATTTTAGTTTCTAAATACAAATTTATAATCCACATCATTAATAATATAGCATCTAGCTGTATTAAAATTATTTTCTAGTAGAAATGCTTTTGATATCAATTAAAATAGATATAATTATTTATTATTAATTAGAAATATTGTATATATATTTTGATATATATCCTTAAGTAAGTTAATTTAAAGTATTATTATTCAAATATTTGATTATTCTCAAACTGATACATACACCTTAATATGTTTATTGATAGTAATTAATTTATATTTTGAAAACATTATAATTATTTTTAACTGTCATGTCAGAAACATCTTTGGGTAAGAAGAACAATTACTTAAATTAACAAGATCTGAATCCTGAATTCATGGAGTCCTCAAAATTTTAATATGTATCATAAATTATATGGGAAGGAAAAATAACTTGATAAATAATAGAATTAATAGCAATCGTCTTTTAGACCTCAAGTTCAATAATACAATTCTGAATCCTCATGGGATGAATAACGGTGTAATAATAGAACAACTCCTTTTGTTTTTACAGCATAAAATATGCCAAAAGTACATTATATAATAGAGACTAGATTATTTGTTTTAATCATTAAGGATAGACACTAACAAATTTTTGTAAATGCAAGGAATGTCTATTGCCATTATGTCCAGAATGCGTGAAAGAACACGTGTATGAACACTCAGAATTTAAGTCATACCCTAGACTTGAATGTTTGGAGAATATATTGACTGCTGTTCACCAAGATGTCTGTTAACAAGGTATATTCGATAGAAAATATTAAGCAAATTAATTGGCAGATGCAAAATCAGATATTTAAAAATCTATATCTCAAGCATATTCATCTACTTAAGAAACTGTATATAACTTAAAGGAAGTTAAAAAAAGAATAATAAATATAGTAGAGCAGTATTTCAATGCATTAGAAATTGAATTGGAGAACAAATAGAGAAAGAACTACGATAACTTCAATCGTGATGGAAAGGCCTTTATATCAACTTTATAAGCAAGATTGGATTCTCATCACAATTTCCTAGATAAATTAAAATAACCAGATTGCATGTATTCTCTACTGCCATACCTACTATCTACAACTTAACAAGATAATAATTTATATCTTTAAGCAGCCTAATAATTTTAGACCAGATTTAAAGATACTTCATCATTGATATCTTTTAATTCTTTTAAATCGTAATTTATTTATCAAATCAACTATTAGCTCATAACTTAGTTCACAAATTGCAGAGATTGTAAATGTAGTTCATTAAGATTTGCCAGAGTTTCTTGAAATTCATAAGCTTGCATCCCCTGACATTATTCAGAGCAAAGTCTTAACGGTAAAATCTCAGAATTCTCAAGTTCCTCAAACAAATTTATATTAAAGTTCTAAAGTTTAGGGCAACATTGAAGTAAAGGATTAATATTAGTCCTCAATTATTTAACAACATCCAGGATTGGAGCAGTCTTATGGCTATCCATAAGTATAAAATTAGCCTCTCTAACAGGTTCCACAGTAGTAAATCTAAAACCCATTACTTTACAGCGGCTACCCGTAATAAATTTATGGTCAATAATAACCGTTCAAACAAACTTAATTAGTTTAGCCTAACAAATATTAAGGCTATCCTTAAACACTTTAAATTTAATCCGCTTATCCGAATTTTAATAATACTTAGTTGATGAATTAAGGATATACATCCTAAAGGTTTTATTGAAGAATTTACATTATAAATATATTAAATTTTATAAAATTTATAAAAATGTTAAAGCCTCCTTCTAAAAGTTCAAAATCAGCATCGCAATAAAAAATTACATAGCCTTCTAATGAATCCTAAAATCCTCCTAAATTAAGTCGGGAAAATTCGTCTAACAACATTAATAAGGGATCAAATACCACTCTTTAAAAACCTTTATAAAAGTCAAGGTAGGGGAGTAGAACATCTTCATCTTCAAATATTCCAGATTTATCTACAAAGAAAATTGCGAGTAAAGAATCATCGCCAGCAAAAGTAGTGGAATAAATAATTGTTAAGGGCTAACTAACTATTAAGCAAAAGGTATCCTCAAAGTAGATAACTTCTAAAATAGATGATGGGAGACCAAAAAATTCAAGTGAGTTTAAGTAAAAATAAACTCTTATCAGTAATTAACCATAATATTTAAAACATGGGACATAAAAATAAAAACCAGATTAAAAGAAGGAGAATCTTTTATAAGGACATCGTCCAAGTGTTATGAACAAATTAAATAAGACAGCAAATAGCAACTCTTCAAGCCGTAAACCATCTCCTTAAAATAAAGATGCATAACCCACAAAATAAAAATAGATTTCATAACAACAACCTAAAGTGCAGTAAGAAGACACTTAGTAATAAGTAATAATTAATAATCAAGAGTAAATAGATGCGATACATTAGAATCAAGTACCCTAAGATCTTGAAGATCATTAAGATTATGAAAATGATTAACTTGATACATAAAATTATGAAGAAACAGTAAATGAAGGCAGGTCAGAGTCAAATTAATTTGATTAAATGGACCACACTAGTAATGCCTCAGATGAGTAACATTACTATGAAAATTATGATTAATAAGGAAATTACGATGAACCTGAAAAGTAGCAAATTATGTAAGCAAATGATCAATAGATAAACAATGAGGATCCATAACTTGATTAAAATGCTGATGATACGTTATCAATCGAAGGCGATATCAATTAAACAGATAATATTGAAACAGGCTAAAATTTGGATTCTGAAAATTAAAAATTAAAACCTCTACCTTAAATTTAAATTATATCAGAAGATTAATTTAATTAATAATTCAACAAAGGACCACTTGAAGTTGGAGATTTAAAATAAATTCCAGATGCAATAGGAGATAGATTGAATACAATCTAAGAAGATATTCAGAGTAATGATGCCCTGAGCTAAATATTGAATGATATTCCTGATGGGGAAACCAGTGAACCTGTTCTAACACATAGAACAGAGGATCCTATTCAAAAAAACAATGTCAATTTTTAAAAAAAACAATCTTAGGATATTTCAAGTACCAAATTTATAGAAATTGAAGTTCAAGAAGATCAATAAAAAGGAAGTTAATCAGCTAGACATTAGGATCTAAATTAGGAAAATAAATAGGAAGAGTTAAATACTAAAGAACCTTACTAAATATAAATTTCTTAGCCAGGTGAAAATAATCAAGAAGAAGAGGAAGACTATGGTCTTGGTGATTTGGAGTCAGAATTTGTGAAAAAGAATATGGAAGATAGTGATGAAGAAGCAAGTCCAGATAATATAATTCCAACAAATTAAGAGGATGGATTTGAAGAGAATTAAAGTAACAATCAATAAAATGAAAATGATGATTCAGCTAATTAGATTTTATAAGATAATGAAAAATAAACCAAAAATAAATTTCATCTTTAATTGAATCAAGATTTTTAAAACAAGGAACAAGAAAAGGAGGATTTAATACAAGACAATTAAGAGTAAACTCAATAAGAAGAAATAAAATAAGATGTTGAAACTCAATAAGAAAATCCCAGTATCAATAATGATGACGAAAATCTCAATAATATTGTAGAGGTAGTAGAAAAGGAAAATACCTAGAATTAAGAAGACATGATTTTAAATGATAATTAGAATATAGAATAAGAGGTAGATTAAGAAATACAAAATGAAACAATATAAAATAATATAGAAGATATTAATTAAGATAATAGCAATAATAAACAATAAATATTAGATGAATAAAATATTTAAGTTACTGAACAAATCCTTAATCAATAGGATGATGAATAATAAGTTATGGATGAATAATAAGATATGGTTTAAGATAACTCCAACTTAGAATAGGATAATTAGGATATAAATAATTAGGTTGAAACATAATCCAATTAAATTAAATAAAATCCAACTGAAGTTGAATAATAATAGTAGGATGGAACTTGTGAGTAAAATGAAAATCCAGAAAGAATATTAGAAAATAATAAAAAAGTTGAAGATATCAATGAATAAAAATTAGAAATTGAAGAAACTGGTGAACTAGTTTAAAATATTTAAATATTAGATTAGTCTTAGAACTCAATGCTGATGTAGGATCAAAATGAAAGTTAAGTATAAAGTTCTCCTTTGAAAGAAAAAGATTTGGAAAACTAGAATTAAGAAGAAATTTAAAAATAAGAAAATAATAATCAAGGGGATGATCCATCATTATTAACAGTTGAACAAATATAGGAAGAATAACCATAATAGACAGATCAAATTATTAAAAAGGAGGAAGAGGACCAGGATACCTTTAAATAAATTAAAAATAGTTCAGAAATTATTGAAGAAAACCCTATTGATTAACCCTAACCAAGAGATGATTAAAATACTGAAATAATATAAACTCACAGCGATGTAAATGATACATAAAACAAATCCTAGGAAGAGGTTTAAGATTTAAGTAAGGATCAAATTCTAAATGATGAAACTCTCAATATTTAAAATTAGAAAGATAATTAAGATATTATAGAGGATGTTGTCAATTAAGCTAATGATGAAACTAATTAGAATGATACTTAAGAGAATATTAATGAGAAAAAATAGATACAGGAGGATATAACAGAAAAGAATGAAGAAAATAATGAAGAAAATCAAGGTATTTCTAATCAACTTGAAGATAATTTATTATAGTCAGATAAAGAGTTGGCTGAAGAACAAAATATAGTAAAGGACAGTTCATAGATTAGTAAATAAGGAGATGAAGATCAAAATAAAGAGATTTAAGAAAATTTCGAAACAGAATAATTGTAAATGAAGGAAGGAAGAAAAGAATAATAAGAAGAAGTGCAGAACTAAGAAGAACAGATCGAATCAGATGTAAGAGGATAAGAGTAAGACAATATTGGAGTTGGTTTATCTTAAGAAATTTAGCATAATATTGAGTAATAATAAGGAATTTCAAATCAAAATGATTAAAATATAAATAAAGATGAGGATGAAAACCTATTAGAAGAAATTATAGATGTTGAATAGGAGACATAATAAGAATTAATCAAATAAGAAGATAGATAGTAATAACAATAACCAGTCTAAGTTGAACCAACAGTAAATGAGATTCAAAATGATGATGAAAACCTCGATAAAAATTCATTTGAAGGAGATCAAATAGATTAGATTACAAATGAACAGCAAAATAATGAGGAAAATCAAAATTCAGATAATATATAAAATAATGAAACATCAAAAGATACATCACAATAAATATAAGTTAATGATCCTTCAAATGTATTGTAAACCATAGTTTAAGCACATATTGAGGATTAATTTGAATTTCAAGAATAAGAAAATATTGAATCCAATCCTCTTGTAGAACCATAGGAAGAATAAATTATTGAGGACAAAGACAATTAAAATCAAAATAATCTTGATGAGGTTGTTAATTAAATTTCTCAAAATTAACCAGAAACTATAAATGATGATGAAAATACAAAAGATTTAAATTAAAAGGAAATCAAAGAATCGAATAATTTTGATGAGGAACCATATCAAGAGAATGAAAATAACTCATAAGGATAAGATGAAACTCAAAAAATAGAGTTCTAAAATTACATCATTTAGGATACAAATAATGCAGTTGTTTAAGAATTAAAATTTGATGATTTAGGAAGTGTTTATTAAGCCAATTAATAAAATACAATATTTTTCGAATAAAGTTATGAGATTTCTAAAATAGATTTAGGCGTTGAATAATCGAAATTTAATAATCTAAATGATGAAAAATAATTGTTCAAAATTGATGATTAGGAGAATCAATTTAAATAAGATTAAATAGACTCTATCGAAAATTAAGAATAACAATAGATTAATTCAATATAACAAAATGATTAAGAAAAAGAACTACCTAAAGATGCTAATAATGAGTAGAATTCTGAGGAAAACATTAAGGTTTAGGATAAAATTAGTTAACATTAAAATGAAAATTAAGAACAAGATGAAAATCCTTCTGAATAAGTTGAAAATATTGATGTGCAAGATTAAAATCATAAAGAGTAAGTGTAATAGTAAGACGAAAGTCATTAAGAGTAAGACTAATACTAAGATCATGAGGAGTAAGATGAAGATCATTAAGAGCAAATTGAAGATCATTAAAATCAAGATGAAGTTCATTAAGAGCAAATTGAAGATCATTAAGAGTAAGATGATAATCATTAAAAGCAAGATGACGATCATTAAAAACAAGATGAAGATGATTAACAGCAAGATTTAGATCATTAAAAGTAAGATTAAGATCATTAAAAGCCAAATGAAGATCAGAAATAGCAAGGAGAAAATCATTAGAAGTAAGATGGAGATCACCAGGAGTAAAATGAAGAGTATTAAGAGTAAGATGAAGATCATAAAGAATAAATTGAAAATCAATAAGAGTAAGATGGAAATCATTAATAATAGGAAGATGGAAATCATTAATAATAGGAAGAAAGTCTTTAAGAGTAAGATGGGGATCATTAAGAATAAGAATAAATTCATTAAGAGTAAGATAGAGATCATTAAGAATAAGACGAAGATCATTAAGAGCAAGATGAAACTCCTTAGTAATAAGACAATGAACATTAAGAGCAAGTTGAAACTCCTTTATAATAAGACAATGACCATTAAGAGCAAGATGAAACTCCTTTATAATAAGACAATGACCATTAAGAGCAAGAAGAAAATTAAGAGCAAGAAGAAAATCAAGACAAAAATCATTAAGAATAAGGCCATTAAGAATATGATCTAGATCATTAAGAAAATGATTAAATTCATTAAGAACAAGAAGAAGATAATTTGAAGAAAGATTTAGATCATTAAGCACAAGATAAAAGTCTTTAAGATTAAGATGTAGATCATTAGGAGTAAGATTTAGATTATTAAGATTAAGTCGAAAATTATTAAAGAGAAGATGAAAATCATTAAGAGTAAGATCAAGTACAATTAGAAGTATAAGAAGTTCAATAATAACAACAAGAAGACCATTAAGATGAAAAAGAAGTTATTTAATTAAAAGAAGAAGATAATTTTGAGAAAAAAGAACAATTCTAAGATTACGATGAAATCAATTATTAGGACAGTAAATGTAATAATAATGATGAAAATTAATAACATGACGATGAAAATCTTAATGATTAGGATAAAAATGAATTCAAGGATGATGATTCATAAAAACATATTCATTAGGAAGAAAATCAAATTAAGGATACCGATTCTCAAAAGCACTCAGTTAAATCACAAAAATCTTAGAAATCTATACCAAAAAATACTCAAGAGAACGTGGATGCTAGTCATTAGAATGAATCCGAAGTGGATTTTAATTGCAATGATATCCCAAGCTATCGAACTTAAGAATTAGAGAAAGAAATAGATCAATTTACAGATTCTCAACAAAAAATATAAAAGGAAGAATAGCATTAAGAACCCAATAACATTCGTCCTGCAATGTAATTGAATTTATAAGGATTAAATAAAAATTACAGGGAAGATTAATTAGACACAGGAAGAACAGATGACAGTATGATAAACTAATTGGTAGCTTAAGAAAGGGATTAAAATAACCTCTTAGTCAGATAGAAGTAGAAAAGGCCTCAAATTTAGATTAATAATGTAATATAAGAAAAATAGGAATCAATGACTCCAGATAACTGTACGCGATCTTAGAATCCTACACCAAAACCAGGAGGCAGTGCTAAGCATTCAAAAAATGCCTATTCTTTTGGAGCTTAGGATGATTTTAAATCTAAATAAAACGTCATTTTGGAAATGGAGTAAGATAGAAAAAGAAAAGAGAATTGTTTTCATAAAAAATAATAAGAAAGTCATGGTAAAGGTAAGGATAAAGACATTAAAATCTAAATCTAATAAGAGAAGGAAAAAGCTGAAAAATAAGATGAGGAAACAATTAAAGAATTATAAAAAATATTGTAATCTAAACATGAAGTTCTGTTATAAAAGGATAATCAAATAAGAGAATAATAAGCTAGAATTTTTAGTATTCGTCAGACTCTTGATGAAATTCCAGATATCTAAGATTTAGATGGAAAAGAGGATTTTGATTGGAATAATCTTATAGATTTTTTTGATGATTACAAAAATAACAGATATACAAATATATCAAACATGAAAGACCCTTAATTGGCCACCTTGATGAAAAACAAATTTTAGGAAATCTTATAGAAAGAAGAATAGTAATAGGATATTCAGATTAAATAACAATAATAAGTTGAAGCTGAGGCTAAAATAAAGTAAGAAATTAGTTATGTGTTGAAATTACTATTTTAGGAGTATGAAATATTAAGATAAAAATCTCTTTAATTAGACCTAGATATTGTAAATTCACAATAGATAATTTATGATAAAATGAAGAAGCTAAGTATTTCTAAGAAAATAATTCCAAATTTAAGATAATTAGATATTGATTAACATAAAGTAACGAATGAATTTAAAAACTATATTTCATGTGAGAGAACGGATTTTGAACAAGAAAAATTGATAAACTTTATATAGTCTGAGATATAGGTTTAAGATAATGTTTATCAATTTATTTATAAAATTAGATAAATAATTAAAGAAAGGATTGATCAAATAAAGGAAGGGGAGAAGGCTATGGAAGAATAGCTTTTATCTAATACAAAAAAATATTGATTAAGCAGATATATGTGTTGAATTAAATTATATCAGTTTAGTAAATATTATATTCAAAGTTTAATAATTTTAATGGTTTTATTTGAATCTCCTATTAATATCTATTAAGATAAGGGTAGTAAACAAGTAATTTTATCAGTTAATTAAATCTTCCGAGTTTTTTGAAATGATTAAATAGTGATGTTTAAGTCTTTTAGAATGATAATCTAATTTTTAGGCATGGCATAGATCCAGTCGGCATCCAATTCAATTTCTGAATTAAAAATTAAATTATTTTTTTAATCATCGTAAACAATTAATGATCTTTGAGTAGTGAGTATATATAATTATTGATCTTCATAAAAGATGGTTTTGATATGTTTATCAAGTTATATTATTTGAATATTAGTGGTATCATCAATAATTTAGTGTATTTAATTATCTATGGCAATAATGATTTTTTTGGGAGTCACACTCAAGCATTTTACATTTCCGCTTAAGGAAATTTTAAAGCTTTGATAAGTTAAGAAATTGGCAGTCAAAATGTATAATGATCCTTATTAGTCTAAATGTAATTAGATAGGAGGTTCCTCTATTCTAATGGATTATTAGTATTTAAAACGACCATGCATAGAATCTGATACCCATTGGATAATCTAGCCATCGCTACTACTAGTGTAGAATGTTTTATTATTGGCTTAAATGATAATTTTAGTCATTTATTTAATTGGCCTGTAATGTTATCCTATACATGTAACCACCTTAGAGTATAAGTTTAGTGAGTATAATTTGTAATTTTTACAGCAAATGATGAGATCGGTTTAGTTAGGATCATTTTGAATATGAACGGCTATAGATTATAAAATAAAATGATCAAGATTTTAGATTGTTGATTAGCTAGATTAACGAATTCGATTGTTTCTTGTTGTAATGTTTTCAGACTTGCTATAATCTAAAGAGCATTGATTGTTATTGTTATTGTTATTATCATTAGGCCATATTAAAGATTAATTATTAAGGCCATCATTAATCTTTTATTCATTAATTTTATTGTTGTTTTATCGATTTCTATGCAAATACTTATAGGATTCTCTTTAATATTTGATATTTATATGAGATCTTTCTGTTTCTGTTCCTCCTAAATGACTGTAATTAGTGGGGTAGATTGTATTATTTTACTTTCGTTTAGAAATTGTTTATTTTTCTTAATTTATAGGTTCATAAAATGCTGATGTGTTTATATCTTTCATGTTTTGATTGAATCTATCATGGAAACATTGAAAAATATTTTTGTCATTCTTAGGTTTCTTTTTAGATAATATATTGTTGAGTGATTAGCCAATTTGTTGAATTTTTTAGAGTGAAAACTTCATTGATGATTATGGTCTTTTGAATTGAGAGATCTTACATTCATCCAATTCTGTAATTCCAGTCATTTTATTTGGGGTTGTCGAACGAATACTCATGTAATTAATAATTATATTAATAAATAGAAATTATAAAATGGGGCAAAGTAGTTCTACACCTGGATTTAATTTATAGCAATATTAATATATAAATTAGATAATAGATCCCAGATTTGGAAACATTAAGTTATATTAAAAGAATGAGACTGGAGAAACAATTTGCATAATTGAAAAGAATTTCATTTAGATCAACAATCCTGTTAAAAATCTAGATCATCCAAACATATTAAAAGTCCATTACTATAAGGCTGATATATGTAAAGTAAGCACTTGATATAATACTTTAGAATATTTGTTCATCCTTTACAAAATTACAACTTATTTAAGAATATGTAAGTAACGAGTTAAGATCGAACATAAAAAATAGAGCAAACAAATAATAATATTTTGAGGAGAAATAATTATGGGGTTTGCTATCCATGTGTTTAAAGGCATTAATGTATTTTAAATCATTTTAAATATATCCAATGGACTTAAAAAACATTCTCCTTTCTAATTAAGGAGCCATCAAATTTCAATCTTATTATGATATTTCAAATAGTCAATACATGCAATTATTGAATTAGATCACAGAAGATATGCACATCTCCCCTGAGGAATTGGAATGCCTAAAATCCAAAGAACAAGTATTAAACTTAGATTTTGAGAAATGTGAAATATTTTAATTGGGATTAACAGCATTATGGGCTGCTACTCTAGCCGATACTAATTCATTGTTTAGTTATGACACTCTCAATGTAATATTTCACATTATAATTCTAGTACAGTGAATATGAGATGAAACAACGAATAGAGGAATTAAATTATAGTTAATAATTTAAAAATATCCTATTAAAAATGCTGAAAAGATTCCCTCAAGACAGAGGATCATTCAATGAACTTCTCTAAGTAGTATCCTATCATGAATGTAATGAGAATCTATTAGAAATCAAACCATTAAACTAAATGGACTAAAGCATACAATAAATATCTAGAATAAGGTAGTAATATAGTTCTAGATCACTGTTATCTGATAACAATATTGCTAAGAATGTAAATGAAGATTGTTAACTCTCGAGAATTTCTAATTAATCTAACTTTCAATTGTAACAAAATGAAACCAGCAAAATATCTTTGGATAACAAATTTAATATTTCTGAATCATAAAACTCGCTCAAACCAGATATACATCCAATCAATAAATATAGAAATAAACCAAGCTTTTCATAAAATAAATAACAATAAGATACCTAGAATATTTATTTGTAAATTGGTACTCCTAATCATTCTCCAGAATCAAAAAATACCTCCAAAATATCATTATCGACAAAAAATCAATTTTCTCAAGCTCCAAAACCAACAAGTTTATTAGCCAACCCACTGAAATTAAATTAATAACCCTAGTAGCAACTTAAAAATAATATTCCAAAACCGTAAAAACCTGAAAAACCTTAAAGTCATCATTAACTTTATGATACTTCCTATTTCTCATAGTTGTCATTAATGAGTAATAGGAGTATTCTGGAAAACAAGGTTGAAGATGCTATACTAAAAAGTAAAATTGCCTTAGAAAAATTTGATTAAACAATAAAATAAACAAAATAATTTAGAAATTGATTTTATAAGTTTCAATTGATTTTGATTGATATATATCCCAATTTTTAAACTAACCAGGTTAATATTAGTAGTATACCCAGTATAATTCTAAAAATGAACATTTTATTAAGCATACCATTATTAAATTATTTTTCTAACCAACTAAAGATTATATCTATATGTGAAAACTTATTTTTTTCAAAAGCTTCTTTCATTTTTTAATTTAAACCTATCTAAAATGAAAAATAATAGTCAATCATATTTTAAGCAGGAAAACATTATATAAGTTAGTTTGATCATCTAGAGCTTATTGTCATACTATTCTGATAACATATTCAGAACATTCTAATTATCATGATAACAATATTGATATGTTTATTTTCGAATAGCAATGCCTCAATTTACTTCCATTCTATCACAAAATTAATAGGTTTTAAAGCACACTATCTAAATATCTATTAAATCTTAAGATTAGAATTTAATGTTTTATAAGATTAAGTAGATGTTAAATCCTTTCTATTAATTTAACTCAGACAATACAGAAATTTGAGATAAATATAATGGGAAACCATTTTTGAAAATTATTATTTTTTTGTGATTTGGATGCTATTTAAATATTATAATTAGTCTATATTCTAATCTAAAATAATTGGAGAATAAATTTCATAATGGTGGTATATTCATTCAAAATATAGGTGATCATAAAATATATGAGTATAGAGGAAGACAAGATTATACCTAAAAGTAAATGAACTTTGAATATATTAATTGGATTCTAATTGAATGGTATATAAATCAATGGGCTTTCTTTGAAAAAGAGTGATTATTTTATTTGCTATTACATAAGCTTTAGTTAGATAGTTGTATTCATTCAGAAGATTTTAATAAATATTTAAAATTAAAAATAAAATATCGAAAGAATGCCAAACCATTTATTCAGAACTCATCCAAGAACCTACGGAAAAGATTCAAGAGGTTATCTATAAATAATATAAATAAAGAATGCAGAGTTTGCGCTGCTAGACAAGGTTTGATCAGAAAATATGGTATGAATGTTTGCAGAAGATGTTTCAGAGAAAACTATGAATTGATTGGCTTCCACAAAGTATTTATTCATTAAGAATTATTAAGTATAACTGAGGGAATCGTAGTGAGATATATGTACATTATAAATATTAATTTTACATTCTCCCCAATAAATTATATGAGAAATAATCTTGGAAAATATAACAAACTTAGTTAAAGGTAGTAAAATTCAAAAATTTGATCCATCTCTTGTTTTAATTCTCCTTCTGAAGAAGCTTTCTATATCATATTATCCAGGACCCTAAAATACTTGATTTTTCATACAGGAATGATTTCAGCTTTTTTTGGAATTCTTTTCTACGCCTTCCCAAAAGAAACAGAGGTCTTTCTAAGACTAGTGTAATCATTGATATAACTTAGAGGAGTAGAAGGTTTTGAGTGTTAATGCACAATTTATTTAGGAAATGAAAACTTATATATTTATAATTCTTACGCTCACACTTCTGCTTTGAGGTAGTTCATAATCAGCTGGGCCAGGAGATTTCTCCTTTTTGCTGTTTCCCCTTGATGCCGTACCAAAAACAGCTCTTGGTGAAGTGTCAGTTGCAATTCTAGGAGAATAATCTTATGGTCCCGGTCCTAAGAGCATAGATTTTTCCATTCTTGGACTGGTTCCAATTTTAATACCTTTAGTTTTGCTTTCCTAAAAACTGTATTCGCCAGGACCAGGAAAAATTTCTTTTTTATTTTTCCGTTAACCTTTTGGTATTTTGAAACCTATATCTGAACGTAAAAGCGAAGGGATATTGTAACTTCCAGGTCCAGTTACATGATAGTTTATTTTTTATTTTCTTTCTACTTTTGGAATGTAACAAGCAGGAGCAAAAAGCTTGGCCTCTTGATTGTGTTTGGCTGGGCTTGGGGAGTCTTTGAAATTTAATATTATTCGCTTTTCTTGTGGAAACTTAAATCCATGAGTGGTATAAGATAATTGATTATATCTTCCAGGTCCTGGAGAATCGGCTATTTTATAGAAGGAGTCTTTTGAGCCTGACATCACTGCTTTTGGGCTTGATCTAAACGGAATTATAGGATGGTATTTTCCAGGACCTGGAGTATCTAAATTTGGCATAACTTTTATTCTAGATCCCATTGTATATGCAGGGGAATTGGGTATTTTACTGTAAAAAGTCTAAGTTAATTACTCTTATTTAGCAAATAAATTTACCTTATTTCATTCCAACAACTTTAATGAAACAATAAAAATAAATTATATTTCCTTATTTTATTGTATTAATAGGAAGAATTCCATATTTTAAGCAAATAATAAAAATATTATTATCTTATTGAGGATGGTGAATTAATCACATTCTTAGATGGTTAAAATACTTGATTTTAATATTACTAATTATTTATTAAATATATTACGCTTCATGACATCATTATATTAAATTCATAAAAAGGCAACAAAGAAAGATATTATAAATAATAACATGTTCTTATTGTTCTATCTATCCATTGCTACAGCCAGCAATTGTTTGAATCAGTACGGATAAGTGGTAGACTATTGGTTGATCTTCAAATTGCCCAAAGACTCAGTCAATTAATATACAGGAATGGAATATTATTATTGTGACTCTACGACTTAGTGTGCAGAGTTAAAATATCAATACGACAAATTAAATGATGCTAGCTCTCCACTCTAAATAACTATGTAGTAAGTTCTCTTTAAGGATACAACTACTATGAATGTCATTTGGAATGATTAGCCATTTGATAAGGATTATTATCCAGATATGGCACATTCTAAAGGAGTCTTGAGTGCTTCTTTAAATGGCTAAGCCTTCATAATCAATCACTCAACTCCCAAATTCCCAATTATGGATTCCAATTATGAGTAAAATATAATTCAAAAATATCTAGTGAGATAATATTAGGGATGCCAACAAATTCTTTTACTAATGCCCAACATTTCATGTGTTTCAGCGTGAGCACTTCTGAAATAGAAAGAATCGCTTAGTAACTAATAATAGCCGAAGTGATCACAGTTAGGGCAAATTCCCCATCTGACTTTAAAACTAAATACCCAAATTTATATAGTTTAAAAGATACAACTAGAAAATCATCATTAAGTAGTGGTTCCCTTACAGTGTCGACAAGATAAGGCTTATCATTGTAAGTGATCTCAACTAACTAAAACAATTTAGTGGATTTTTACTCTGCTGTTGTTGCACCTAAGTTGAAAGTAGGATTAGTAGTTTAAACCTGGGGAAGTGGAGGATTGTAGCCTCCTGATTGTACTTCGTCTCACTAAATACTCAGCAGTTTAGCTAGACTATAAAATGTAAATTTTGATTTAATAATCAGGGATATAAATTTTCATACACAAAAGATCATTCAAAATTTGGAATTTCTTTAAATTCAAATACCCCGTATGTCTGCATGTCTGATATTAATAGATAAGATAGTCAAAACAAAAGAGGAGGTACTACTATTTGTTTTATTCACTATAATTTATGGTCTTAAATAAATTATCAATTTATTCAAAGATAAACATGCTGACTAATTTTATTTATTATATAAGTTAAAGACTTTATTTCTTATTTCAATATAAATATGACCATCAATATTTATAATTTTACTATTGATTTTCATTAGACTTAAAGATTTAAAATTTATGAATATTACAAAACAGTTTTGATTAGATTCACATTCACTTAACTTCAAAAAGAATTGAATATTGTAAAAATAACAAATAAATAATTAAGTAATTTAGAATTAAAATAGTGCATTTGAAATTGAGATTTCAAAATTAATTCTAAATTCCAAATGCTAATTTATTTATAATTGGATTTATTTTGCATGATTATCATATAGAAATTCCCTTCATAAATAATTTTTGTTTATGGATTAAAGTAATGGGAATTACACCAATTCTTACATAATCAAGGATCATGTTTATTACTAATATTTGTTAGACGTATTTATTTTTTAAAATACACTTTGATCAACTAGTGAATAGATAAACTGAAAGTTCAATTCATGTCTTTTAAATTATGAATGACTATTATTTAATCCAAAACTGTCACCATCCAGAAATAAGTACAGTAGTTCTTATTAATAAAATAGTGATTATTTATTGATAATATTAATATATTTCAAAGAGACACTGATTAATGTTCTGCTGCAGTACCAAAAAGAAATAAAAAGAGTAAGTTGTCTCCATTCAAAGGAATAATAAGATCTTAACAGTATTTTTTGTTTTTTATATTGCTAGGAATTCTCAGAAGAAATAAACGATGAAGCAATGACGCTCTACTAATCAGCCTACTATCCAAACATATCAACATTGTTTTAATACCCAGCGGAGCCCAACTCTATGAGGTAATTCATATGGTAATATAGACCTAGATCTGGTTCGAATACTAAGACCACAAGATCTGTTGAGCGTCTGACAAATGCTCTTCCCTAATTTGTACCTCGAAAAACTTCATTCAATAGTTTTAGATACAGTAAAACCAATCAGAATACAAAATTTGTTTCCACTAAAAAAGGATTTACATTATTAGTGACCAATACCAATCCATGTTGATCTCAGTATTATAATTAACTTTATATTGTATAAATTATCAATTCATTGGATCTTTATTTGGGTAATCTTTGAAATAAAGACCGACTTCAATGAATTTTATATTAACATATTTAATCTGAATATTTTTTGTTAATTCAAAATGTACTATCCAATTCAGAACAATCAAGGTGGATGATTCGAAGGTAAAAATCAACATTCTGAATTCTGTAATCTCTTAATTATTATTTAACATGAGATGATTAAGTTCAAAAGCGTATCATTTAATTAATTTAATGAATAAAAGTTGCGTATAAGAAACCCTTTATAAATAAATAAAAGCATAATTCACAAATTATTAATAAAATATAATCTAACTCTTGATATGTTGGCATTTTAATCATGTAATCCTTCACCCAATTAGTAATCTGATCTCTAACTTATAAATGTAATTAATCTCATAAGGAAACTTTAGTCTCAATCATCATCATATTTGCTTTAAGCATTAAATCAAATCCCATAACAACTTTAACAGAAAGCCTAGGCAATACAATAAGAGAACTAGAAATTGAGAAATGAGAATCAAGTTCTGTAATCGTAAGTAAATCATTTAGAAAATAAGCAATAAGAGTTGATTAATGAAGTATTATATTCTTCAATTTTAGATCCACGATTTACGATAGCTAATAAAGAGAGTCTATAAAGAAGGGGAAATGTCTGTTCAATTCTTAAAAAATAAAAATGTAAAGGATTCAATAATTATTCAAGACCATACTAGAAAACAATAATGACAGTTTAGAAAAAGCCCTCAAAAATTTATAAGCCAATGTTCAGATGTTTGGACAACTAAAAGAACTTTCAGAGCTTATGAAACAAGGAAATGATTTTTGATCACCTTATGAATTTTAACTAACTACTATTTATAACAATTAAGATATAATTCTCACTTAAGTATGAAATTAATTATAATATTTCCTAAAGAATAATTAAGCAACTTAATTCGATCATCATCCAATTGTTATTAAAATAATTTAAAATCATTCCCCATCTTTATTTGTCTCTCTAAATTACATTCATTCTCTTCTGAAGAATAGAAATATGTTGGTTAGATCTTTAAATTACAGTATTAAACAATGTTATTAAATGAAATTTCACATCGTTCGAAGAAGTTGTTATCGAAAATTACAATTGTTCTAGATAATATAAAGAAGTTTTGTTATGACTTTTAGATATTATATTGTTGTATAGAATTTTAAATGGCATTTAATTTAATAATATGATTATTACAGATTAATAATTTTTTAAGTGAATATTAATTATTTGAAGTTATGTGCGAAAATTATTGTAGAATGCAGCTTTTATATCAGTTGAAGCAAAAAAAAAGTTTAGAATAGAATTAACCTTCCATTTTATATTAGAAAATATCTTCTATAGTGAAGAAAGCAAAATAGCAGGCTTAGAAGTCTCTTGGAGAGACACAAATTTAAGCAGTATTTAATGAAACAAGGTTCTAATCTTCAAATAGATAACCGTTTTATAAGCAAAACAAATTGAAGGAGATTAAATATCAAATTAGTCATTTAAAGACTGAGTAAAAGTCTATAAACTTTGATTTCAATTAAAATGTATCGAGAAGGTATGCTAAGTCAATCACAGTGCAAAGAGAGGAACTTCAAAATGAGCAGCAATATTATTAATCCCCTTAAAATTATCGTTATGCATAATTTAATAATTATCCAAAGAAGGTGATAATCTTTTCATAAAGAGCTACGCCTCAAAGAAAAAATTTAAATATAGGATTAAATTTAGATACGTTGAGAAGTTGGAGGAGGAATAGTTAAGATAGTTCTAAATGATGATTTTATTCTTATTTTCTCACATCGTTTAAATAATTAATATTTAGTGATTGGTAGCAAAATAAATTAAAATTTAGACAGCTTAGAACAATAGAAAACTGGATTAGACAATAGATTACTACATCACTTAGGGATTGCTAATTTTAATTGTTTTATTGTATGTAAATAATCTACTGTATGTTATTAATCATTTTGGTACATTCTTTCTTTGTCTTCTTTATTCGACTTACTTCTTTCTTTCCTCTTCAATTAAGTCCTTTCTTCCTGCATGCCAATTTGGTCCTTTTCTCTTTTATTATGGTCCTGTTGAGGCTGCTGCTGATCCGAATCTAAAAGAATATAAAGAGTGAAGACCTTCTATTGAAGCAGATTCTTTTGTAGGCTCTTCCTTTTGGGATTTTGTGTCTTCTGACTTATTTTTCAATCTTTGGAGTTTGCTTTCTAACTTTACCTGCTTTGGCTAAGGTTCCGTGAAGTTTTCCCATAATAAATTTTTTAATAAAAAGATTTAAATTTATTTGATTAATCAATCAGGGCTAACATCTTGTGTTTCGTTCAGATTTTGAGACTTGAAAAAATCAGATAGTAGTTTAGATTTGAGAACAGATTTTATTAAGAGAAATCACTCCAATATAAAAGATTGAAGGACAGATTAACTAAAAGTTTAATGATTATATATAATTTTTTGCATTTTACAATAGTTTTATTAAAACAATTAAATTTTAAAGTATGGGATTAGCTAACAAATATGATCTCTTCCATTATGGAAAGCTAAATCTCTTAAGAAATATTTTTATAATTAATGGAATTACACAATATTTAAAATATTAATATTAATGATTTATGAAGGAATTACATCCATCTTACATAGTGGTATAAGAAATTGCTATTTAAGAATTTTACATAAAAAGCGGAAATGGACCATCTATATAAAGGAACATATTTGAAAATGTTGATTATGATGATTATGAGAAATAATTAATTGAAGAGATTAAAACGAAAATGAAGGAAAATGGTTTACAGATTAAATTAAAAAGAAGTATACTATTGAAAATGTTAATGGCAGCCTAATATAATATTGAAAAAGCAATTATTGTATGTTATTTTTATACTAATAGTGCTTTAGAATTGCTAATCTCATTTAAATTTTCTATAGGAATACTCCAAACAAGACAATGTTAATTAATTAAGAAAAGGACATCTATATGTTTGCGGTTTTGACAATTAATATCGCCCTGTTATTGTAATCAGATAATATTGCGATATAAAAATAATTGCTTACTTTTTGGAAACAGTTAAAAGATAGTTGTTAATTGATTATTATGTTGAAAATTGGACAGTCATCTTGGATTTAGATATTGATTTGCCTGTACTGGAATTAGATGATTTATTGTATTTGTAATTGCATTTTTATGGGAACTTAAATAAAATTTTAATAGTTAATGGACCAGACGATATAGATGACATAGTCAAACAATTCACTGGTATTTATTTTGTTGATTAGAATTTTAGAAAAAATCAAAGATCTATAGGTTAAAATAAAAATTATTACAGAATATTAATAAATATTACAGTATATTCCAAAAGAATAGTTAGAAATCAAATATGGGGGTGATTTAAATAATATAGAGTTATTTTGGTTAAATTATAAATTTATTCTAGGCCGATCTTAAAAAGAGAGACGCATACTGGAACAAGTAAATTATTGAAGAAGAACTCTCACTTATCAATAAATTCAATGGGTAGTTCAATCAACAAAAAGCCAAGCTTTATGAAAATTACAGTGTTGGAAGAAAATGGGAATCCTTTGTTGAATCAATAAGTAGAAGTTTTCGAAGATTAAATAGAATCTCAATAAGGAGAACAACAATAATATTAGAACAGTTTTTAATAACAACAACATCAATAGGAGGATTTTGAGGAGAAATCAAAGTCTTACCAAAGCTCTACTACAAAGAAATAAGATCAATAATTTATATAAATTGATGATGATGAAGATGATTTGATTGAGATGGAAAGTGGAGATATGGAAAAGAGAAAAGGAAAAAAATAAATAACGAAAAAATATGGTGAAACCACAAAAACTACTACTTATTCATAAAAATAGACAATTTTAGAAGGAGAGAAGGAAATACCTTCCTCACTTTCTTGTTGTTCTAGATCTTGTTCAATATTTTGAATTTAGAGAAAAACTGAAGAGCATAATTTTTTTGACTATCTTATGTTTTTAAATTATAATTTAAATATATCATAAATCTTCATGCATTAATAAATTATGTCTCTCTTTGATAATATTGGCTATGTTTTTGGCTTGAATCATTATAAGTTCCATGCATGAGGCTAACCCTTCAATTGAATTTAAGTAGAAGAAATTCTTACATTAAAATAAAAATAGATACCTTTTCATATTCAAATTCTGTTTTCAATAAATTTTAACTAAATTATGGATATGCTGCATCCCATACTTTTTTATATACTATTTAATGGGTTTCAAAGATCTGGTCTAACTATAATTCTGATCTTCCTTGTACCTTATAGACATTCCAACCTTAGAAACATTTTACACACTCTTATTTGAGTTCAGTGAGATTAGCATCATCAAGAATAATGATTGTATTAAGATCTTCTGGATTAACGCCAAGATATTTTTGAGAAATCTTACCTGCAACAACATAGACATAGGTGCTCTAATATTTTACATATTGAAAATTATTCATTTCTCTAATGTTATCAAATGATATGTCTAAGTTGACTAAAGTAGCTACAACCACATAATCATACTCATCATTAAATATTTTATACTTTCCATTCTACAAGCGATGTATCATGTCAACTTTTGAATGTATAACATTTATTTTCTCTTCATCTATTAATTATCTATTTCCTCCTTTGATTGAATATGCATCATTAAAGGCAGCAACCATAGTGATCAACCCTGCAATAGTATTAACATCCTTTTAGTTGTAAATTGCTAATAAAATTGCATCTACAAATTCTTCTTAAAATTATTGATCAATTCCATTTTCATTCAAATATTCTGTAAAGTTCATTTTAATATCATTCAATTTAATGATCTATAAGAACTCATTAAGATTGTTATAATGTTAACCACTTTCTAAAAACGTGTAGATTGACTTAAAATTAACTAAAACTTAGTCTGTAATATCTTTCATTCTTTTAGGCGAGAGTCCATAATTATAAACCATCTTTAGAATGTTAATGATATCTGAATCAGCCTTTTGCAAGACAAATTATTTGTTTTTTACAATTGCTAGTTTACCTAGATCTCTCTTGTAATATTCTAAATTTCTTTATTCGATTTATTTCAGAACATATTCATTTTCTTTAATAAAGAATGTAGCCCCAAATTCAAGGGCACTCAACCCAGGTATCAAAACATGATTAATTCTTCCTCCACATTAATAATATGATTCGTATACAACAGCACTTGGTATCAATTAAGACAATGTTGCTCCTCCAATGCCACATCCGACTATAGCAACTCGTTGGGCATAAGCCAATGTAGATAGCAGATTTAATATAAAAATCATTTATATGATAAGGTAAAATAAATTCTAATGTTTTTAATTGCATTAATTCTGTTGAATTTTTATTATTTATTTTTGGAAGTCCAAAATGAAAACTCATTTTTAGTGATTAGAAGATATTAAAAATTGGAAGGATATAAATAATTCTTAAAAATTCATTTATTACTAATTTTTGAAATGATATTTGATATAATTGATTACATATTTTGTATGTATTTAAATCAAGTTTTTATTAATTATAAAATTTATGGAGCATAAAAAACTATTAGAAAATGTTATGATTGATTTGCTCAAGGATCCAAGTTGTCCTATTTATCAAGTAACACGTTCAATTAATTATTCATAGTATTAAGATTGGCAATTGATAAACATATGCCAATAACTCTAAATACAAAATTTCAGTAATATAAAAGATTAGGATTTTTAGAAGAAGTTTGCTTAGTTCTTTATAAATTATCTTGAAGCAGAAAATGAGATTACTAATATTTTAGAATAGTCCTCAATAAAAAGAAGTGATTCCAAGAAAATAAATGAAAATTATTCTAATCAAAACAATTAACCATTATAAAGTAAGAGTTTAACAAAATCAAATTAAGAGTCAAATAAGCAAAAATAGGATTAATTAGACATGATTAGGAATAAAAAAAAAGTAAAATTGAAGTAGTCAAACCCATCTGATTTATTAGAGATTGAAGAAAATATATGTACTCACAGTTCAGCGAACCTTCATTAAATGATATCTCAAGGGCCAAAATTATCTCAGTATAGCTTTGATCCCCTTATTGATAGTCATCAAGATTAAATTATATGCAAAGAAAAAACTTAAAAAATCACTTCTAAAGAATAAGGATTAATAGAATCCATATTCTAAAGACAAGTTAAGGATCATGACTTGGAACCAACCTCAAAAAATAAGAAATAGAGCCTAAAAGACTCTAAAAATTAAGTCTAATCTAATCCAATATAGACATTAAATGACTTTATCAGAAATAAAAAGTAATTAAATGTTGATTAAAATAAAGAAGAAAGAGAAAATAATAGAGCCTTTGTGGACAACAAAACTATTGAATAATATTTTAGAAAAAATAGATAAATACAAATTCAAAAAAAACCATCAAGAGCTATTATAGATTCATCTCCTGAGGAAGGAGAAATTGTGATCTAAATCTCAGATTCTGAATCACAAAAATAAAAAAATATTTAGGATTAACAAAAATTACAAGGAAAGTATCAAATGGATGAGCTAATCCATGTTAAAAGTAATAAAATTTAACAAAAAAAAAACAATACAAGACAAAAAACATTCAATCAATATAAGGATTAAGATATCATCTAAGGAATGTAAGTTGAACAATAGATCAATCAACCCTAAAGTTCTATATTGTAGAATCAAGAATAATCCTTAACTGATGATAAAATTCAATTTGAAATTCTAAAGCAAAAATAATTACTAGAAAAATAATACACAATCATCTAATCTTAACCTCCCTAATAGAATTCCAACAATTATTTTTAAAATTAAGAAAGAAATAATTTAATTAATTCTCTATCCAATACAAGCAATAGCATATTGCAATAAATAAATTCATAAAATGATATTTAAAATCCTAATTTAGCGGCAATTTCGAATCCCGTACTTGCAATTCCTAAAGAGCCATCTAATGTTATTTTATAAAATTAATAATTCAACTAAAATGATTAATCAAATATTAATTTAGAAAAGAGTAATAAATTTCTCAGACAGAAAAATTCATATTTGAACAAACTTAATCAATAATAGATAAATTAAAGATAACTTTAAGGGTAAATGAAATTTGCTGAAAAGTAAAACTAGCAGATTAATTAAACCAATAATCCCCCATAATCTTTAATCTTTAGTGTTGAGGATGGTGTAAATTTGGAAAGATTGAGAGAGAAAAAACCTAAAATAGAGTCCAATGATACTGGTAATAATAACATTAGTTAATAAGCTCATTAATATCTTAAAATATCAACAAATTGGAATTAATGCAATTATTGTAAATAAATTGATGGGAAAGTAAAATTGATAGAAATTGAAAATGAGGCTAATATTTGCTCATCTTGTTTACTTGAGAAATTAAATCCATTCAAAAAGATTGTTTAAACTTTAGGATTTCTAGAATATCAATATTAATAAAGATCTAAAAGTAGGATACATCTTGATTTCACAATTGCATAAGAGTTATTTCGAAATCCTGAATTATTACTTGAAATTAGATGTGTTATGATGAATAAAAATGGATTAACTGATTTCACATTTCCTAATAGTTGTACTCTTCTTATTAATGGAGTTACCATTAAGGAATTCAAACCTCTTATTGAAAAGTCATGCTTAAGAAAGCGAAAGGATCATTGCATTTTAATTAATCTTGATGAATTTAAAAATATCTATGAAATACAAAGAAAATACACTTTCACTTGTGTTGAAACTATTCCAGATTCTAAAATGAGGTAAGAGATTCCAAATTAAATATATATATTTGGATTGTTTGTGGTTTAAAATTAGAGATTAGAACAAATAATTCAATCAATAGTTAATCAAAGTATTTTGTCTCAAATTAAAACCGATGTTTAAAAACACGAAATCAAGGTAGATAAATCCAAAGTGAGTCTTGTTTGCTAATACTCTTTTGATTTAATTAAAATACCTGCAAGGTACAAACTAAATAATAAATTAGAGGAGAATTTTGTCAACATCAACAGTGTTTTAGCTTAAATAGTTATTTGGAAATGATGATTCATGCAGAACACATGAAATGGATTTGTCCAATTTGTAAAAAAAATTCTATTAGCTTGAGGATTGATCATTATTAATGGGGAATTATTAAGAAAATTTAATAACTTAATATTAAAGTTGATTAAATTACTGTTGATTAAAATGTAAAGAAATATTTTAAAGTATTAAGGGTACTTTAGATTCTAAGGATCCTTTTTATGCAATAATTTAAAATAATTAAATTAACGGTTATAATGATCTAATTTCACAAGGGTATACTAATTTTGAAAGAAGTTCTCATTAATTCGACAACGATGATCAAATTATGTCTTAAAATAAAATGTAAACTAAAGGTGGAAATGAATCAAATGCTATTCTAATTGATTGATTATTATTCTTAATTGTATAATATAAAACATTAATATAAATTTCAAAATTACCATTAAATTTATTTGAAATATGTTAAATTATGGTTTGATTCATATTAAAATTGATTTTAGAAAGAAATATCTGATTAATAAGATATAATATGATTTCATTTTTAAATTAAAATAATTATAATATATAGAATTAAAATAAATTTAATTGCTAATTTTGTCTATAAATTTTCACTCATTTGTATTTCAATTTAACTCCTAATTAGTTTTATGATATTTGAGATAGATAAAATTTTAAATTTTATTATTAAATATTAATTTTAAGTTTTATTTGAAAAATTAATATAGAGTAGAAATCTAACTATCAAAAATTTCTATTTTAGGGACCTTATTAATTAACTTTATTGTTGTACACTAAACTTAGCTGAATAATTGTATTTTCAATTTTAGATATTATGAGTAAAATACATCATTATTAAGTCATTCTAAATTTAATTAAAAATTATTTTTCATTAAAAAACTTATTGAATAATATCCATATGGAAGTTTTTCATATAAATCAAAAACAACCTTTAATTTTTATATTTTTACTCAATAAAAAAGGAGACATAGCAAATATACCAAAAATTTTATTTTTAGGGTGCCTCACTAAGATAATATCCTTGATTAAATTGGAAGTTCAAAATAAAACTTAACCTAAAGAATTAGACTCAGAAATATGATGATGAGAATATGATCAATAAAAATATTTAATCAATTCAGATGAGGAAATCAATAAAAAGTATCTATAAAATATAGTCAAATCACTCAAGATTAAAATATAACTTTATTCAATTTTAGTTACAAAAATGGTAATTAAAAGGATTTTAACAATGTAGTTATTTAAGTAGAAAGTGGAAATTAAAATAAGAATGTATTCTAACTCTAGAATATTTGGAATAAAAGAAAAGGTTAAAATAAAATGTGTGTATCTTGAATTTTGTAAAGTTACTTTTAAATGCCCCAAATAGCGTATATAAAACTAAGATTTAAAATTAATTAGATATTTTCAAGTGGATGACTTTTAACAATTGTAAATTTCTAAATTAAGATGAGTAGTATTTTTTTAACCATTATAATAAAAAATAATAAATAATAATTGTTAATTTTATAATAATTAGTATTATGATATAAAATTTATATTATAAATATTTATAATAACAAGATCACTTTATAACGCATTATGATGTATTTGAGGTATTATAAATTTATTTATTTTTCTATAATATAGTTAATCCTTTGCATTTCTAGAGGTTTAAAGATTTTATTAAATTTTATATTTTTTTTGTTGCTTAGACTTATTTTTGCTGAATTATATGCAATGCTAACCTTTTAATTTACTTTAACTTAGAAGATTTAAACGAATAAGGTGATAGAAATAGAAGAAAATTAGGAAAAATTTCACATATAACATATAATTCTTTTATAAAATTTGAAAAATTATATATAGAAATATTAATAAGAAGTTTGGCAAAGGATGCAATATTTTATTGAATTCAAGAATATATTATTTGATGATATCAATTATGATTTATAAGTAAAACAAAATAATACTTAATAACTTTATTGGCCACATTGAATATTAATAATTATATTTCATATTAATTGATACGCATTTACAAGGTTTATAACAATTATTTACACGTTTGTGTTATTCCAATTTAAATATGTGTGGAATTTTGGCAATTTTCAACATTAAAGGAACTTATATTGAAGTTCGAACTCTCGCTTACAATTTATCAAAGAGACAAAGACATAGAGGTCCTGATAGATCTCGTATCATAATATTGGTAAATTTTGTTTGTTATTTGGTAAGAAAGCAGGCCCAGATACTTATCATATCCTAGCTCATGAAAGATTGAACATCGTAGATTTAAGTGATAGAGGAAGACAACCATTCTAATTAGTTGATGATTAAAATGTCTACTACATGTAAAATGGAGAGCTCTACAATTATTGGTCAATCAAGCCAGAATTCGAAAAAAAATACAAATTTAGCAGCAATTCTGATTCCGAGATCGTGGGAATGCTCTATAAAGAAGTATAAGGTTAGGTTATAATAAAAGTATGGTCCAAATGATTTTTGGAATCACATGGATGGAATGCATGCTACAATTGTCTTGGATATGAACAACCAGACTTATTATGCAGGAAGAGATCATATTGGAATTATTCCTTTGTATTATGGATACAACAAAGACGGAGCCTTGTTTTTATCATCAGAATTAAAGGGAATTCATGATTAAGTGGTTGAAGTTAAATAATTCCCTCCAGGTTAGAATTTATTATTATTAAACAAATAGGTCATTATATTGATCAAACTAATGAAATTAAGAAATGGTACAACCCACTTTGGCATAATTTTGATCATATTCCAACAGGAGAAATCAATTTTTAGGAAATGAGAGATAGATTTATTGATGTTGTAAGAAGAGAAGTTAAAGGAGATGCACCATTTGGTCTATTTATATCAGGAGGGTAATGATATCTTAGATTATGATTTTAGAGTTGATTCATCAATTGTTGCTGGTATTGTTGCAAAGTTGATTAAAAATGGTGAGATTGATTTGAGCAAGAGAGGAATGAGAAAGGTTCATTCTTTTTGTATTGGTTTGGAAGGATCCCCAGACTTACATTTTGCAAGGAAAGTAGCTGAATATCATGGATTTGAACATCATTCATTCACCTATACAGTTGAGGAGGGTTTAGATTATATACCAGAAGTCATCTACCACACAGAGACATTTAATAACACTACTATTCGAGCATCAACACCTATGTATATGATGTGTAGAAGAATTAAAGCATTGGGAATTAAAATATGTTTAACTGGAGAAGGAAGTGATGAATTATTTGGAGGTTATTTATATTTCCACAAAGCTCCAAACAGAGTTGAATTCCATTAAGAATTAATTAGAAAACTTAATGATTTACATAAATATGATCTCTTAAGAGCTAACAAAGCCTGTTTAGCATGGGGTATTGAAACTAGACCACCATTTATGAACAAGGCTTGGATTGAATATGTTATGTCTATTGATCCAAAATACAAAATGATCAATGCCTTCCAACCATAAATTGAGAAATATATATTAAGAAAAGCCTTTGAAGATCTAGAAAATCCGTTTGTTCCATAAGAAATATTATGGAGATAAAAGGAACAATTCAGTGATGGAGTTGGTTACAGTTGGAGAGATGGACTTATCGAAAGGGCTAATCAATTAGTCTCAGATTAAGAATTCGCTCAAGCCTCAACCACTTATCCCGTATCAACCCCTAGAGATAAGGAATAATATTGGTTCAGATAAGTTTATTCTTCTGCCTTTCCTAGTGATAGTTCTGCCTTGACAGTACCATATGGCAAGTCTATAGCTTGCTCTACCGAAAAAGTATCTATTAACAATATATCTTTCAGGCTTTGGAATGGGATGAGGCTTTCAAGAAAAATACCGATGAGTCTGGAAGGGCAGTCTTATCAATACACAATGATGCACTCAAGGAAATCCTACAAGAAGAAGACAAAATTACAGATGAAAGCATCAAAGTATAGGATCACTTTTAACTGTGATATTCTATAAAAAAATTAGTACATTAAATAGTTTGCGAAATTTTAATTTTAATTTAATATTAATTAATAATTAAGAACTATTTTATTTAAAATAAAAAAAAGAAGGGAGCATCAGGGTTCGCACCTGAGACCTACAGATCTGCAGTCTGCTGCTCTGCTACTGAGCTATACTCCCTTAACGACTTTTATCCCAACACTCTACTTATATAGATCTGCATATATTTTACCATTGTTTTCTTATACAAAATTATTCTCATTTATATAACTTTAAATTAATACAAATTTACAGATTACAAATAAATTAACTTATTATGAGTGTGACGAGCAGGTATCTATACAAAAGAAACAAATAGACAATTCAATAGTAGAAATACTAAGATTAAAATCCCTTAAATTAAATTTTTAACGATTTTAACAAATATATTGGGAAGAAAAATATTGATTTATTGCCTCCTATTAATTAATATAAAAGAAATAAATCGCATTCATATCAATATGACTCCTTATAATATGAATTCTCTCAACTAAAGCATCCTTATTTGGATAATATAAAACCTAAATAGAAGTTAAAAACTAGAATTTCACAATTGTCGGAATTAGAAATCAGATTGTCCTTATAAGTTAAAAAAGTAACTATAAATGATATCAAAAAAATGAGATAAAATAATTAAACTAATGGATCAGGACTAACAAATAGAAAAAATGAGAGTCTTTTGACATTAGAAAATATGTCTAATTTATTTTAGCATCAAAAATTAAGAAGACACAAAAAATATATTGAGGAGACTTAAAAAAAAACAGAAAATACAGAATAATTCATTTGCGGCTGGTTATAATTAATTAATGATGATAATTGATAGAATTACAATCTCTAATCTCATATATAACAATATAAAAAACAATTTCTATATTTCTATTAACATTTTTTTAATGTCTAAGTTTTTTAAGCAAGGAGACACATATACCAATGGAGAATTTATCATTCATGAATCAAAATAAATCGGTAAGGGAGCTTATGGTGCCGTTTATGATTGCACAAAAGTTAATGCGAAAGACATATTATGTGCTAAAGTAATTATATCTTACATATTAAGATTATAAGATCTTAAGGCTCTGATTCTAATTATATGAGCAGAGAAACTGATATTATAAATACTTTACGCCAAGCATACCCAAATAATCAAAATCTTGTTAAAGTGTATTATTGCTAGTATTAAACTTTTGAAAATCAAGAAATTTTAATAATTGTAATGGAAAAATGTCTTACTAATCTAAAAGATGAATTGGCTAAAAAAGGAAGCTTCACTTCTGATGAAGTTATAAACATATTAAAGTAATTGTTGAACGGATATAAACCCTTATACGAAAAAGCAATACTTCATCGCGATATCAAACCTGAAAATATCTTAATATCTAATGATTTTTAGGGAAAACCTATTTATAAACTAGCCGACTTTGGAATTGGTAAGGTTTGTAAAAATAATGATATCACAATGACAAAAGTGGGAACTCCAGTATACGCGGCTCCAGAACTTAATACTTTTATAAATGATGAAACTTTAGATTAGGCAATATTGTAATTAAAAAAGATACCCAATGGAAAAAGCCAAGTTGATGTTTATTCAGTATCAAATTTATTAATTCTAGATTGGAATTATGCTTTATCAACTTCTTTTTGGTTAGCCTCCATTTGAAACAAAGTATGGGGATTCAATAAAAGTATTTATAAATAACTTAAAAAATACTTCTTTCAAAATATAAGACAAATCTAAAAACATCAACAGCGATCTTTAGGAGTTGATTCAAGGAATGATTGTATACAATCCTATGACAAGAATTAAATTTCATGAAATTTATTCAAACAAATTAATTTGCATGTAAACATAGGAGCCAAAAAAATTCGATCAATTTAGAAAAACCTTAAATCCAGACTTAAATGCTGGTGTTAAATTTACTCCAAAGCAGGTTGGTCCTACAACATTTCAAAATTAAAGTTTGAGAAGTACAAATCCTTCTCCGAATGCTACATAATTTTAACCTAATTTTACTATGAATTAAGAAGGACCCAAACCTAATGGGGCTCCTCGATTTGCCTCCTACATACCGAATAGTACTAGTTCAGATAATACTAAGTCAGTCGGTTTTTAATAATCTACTCCAATCCTACAATAACCATAAATTAAATAAATCCAAATAGATGACATCAACGATCCGCAAAACTATTTAAAAACATAATTGTAATTTAATAAAATATATCTAGATCTGAAAATTCCTTATTATATAGTAAATACACAGAAAATTTATTTAGATAAAGCCTGGATTCAATTCAAGTATTCAGCCAAGAAAAAATTTAAAATAATTCAATAAAATTGATGGAGTGTTTTCAATTTGATGAAAAAGGTAATTATTCTTTAGCATTTCTCAAATTTTATTATTGTCTTATTATGAGAGCAAATAAATAATAGATGATTAAGAAACAATTTATTAGTGAACAAGAATTACAATAAGAAATAGCAAATATTTTGGCCAAAAATCCTCAAAAAATGTGAAATAATAATAAAATATAAATAAGATTTATTGACTAAAACCTTTAATTATATTAAAAAATAACAAAAAATCTTTAGAATTATCGTTTATAGCATGTTTTATGTGTTCAACAAAGTATATTCTTAATTATTTGTTGTAATTCTATTATTCCTGAATAAAAAAACAATTATTTTTTTAATAATAGTTTAAAAAAAGCTTTAATATATATTTTTCATTAGTTTAACATCTTTTCTAATTCGCCAACTTTTTTCTCCAATAAATTCATATGGGATGTTGATCCTAATCTTTGCTCGATAAATTTTATTTGATCTGGATTTAGAAATTCTACTAAAGGTTTCCAATTGATAGTTTATCTTCTCACTATGGATACAAATTACTCAACAGTTTTATCAAAATCTATTTTTAGTAATTCAACTATTTAACTAAAATGCGTGTCTCTTGATCTTCTGTACTTGGCTAAATCAACTATTAGATTAGTATTGTTTTTTTCTTGCACATCCAATATCCATTATCTTAAAATGGAATTTTCATTTGTGTTTTGCATAATATATTAATACACTTTAATACCGTCATTGTAATTAAAGAAAAATATAACTGTGGTCTTGAGAGCATTCAATAAGCAATTATGATATTAAGTGTATTCCAATTAAGGCTTTTGACATTTATTTAAATATTGACTAATTTTTTCTAGAATTGCTTAAACCTATGACCATTAAAACTAGCCTTTTAATTAATCTGCCGATTTACTTAAACACTTAGTGACTAATGCATAAAATTACTTAGTTTATCTATCAGATTCTTTTACATTAATTAAAATATCCAAGAATGCTAAATATAAATTAGATAAATCCTGATTATTTAAGATTTTAATTAAATTTGAATTGATTAAATTATAACAACTTTTTTATGCTCCATCTTTGACATTATTCTTTGTTGACTATTCAACCATCTTAAAAATTAGTGAATCAAAGATAATATAAAATTAATTATACGAGATGCTTTTGTAAAACTGACTTGATGATAAGACATGTATTAATTTTTCCAAGAATTCATTCATCTTATCGTAGCATTCATCATTTGATAGATTGCTTAATAGATAAATGATTTGTTCAGCGAAACTTTAAGAATTTTCAATACAATTTGTTTCTCTAAACTTGCAATACATTTATTAAAAGCTTCTCACAAAAACATCAGATTCCTTTTCTTTTACATTTTGAATTTAGGAGCAACTTGAACTCATATTTTTATTCCCACTGTTCATGCTTTGAGTTATTGGCAGGTTAAAATTTTTTTGTTATAGGAGCTTTTTTTATGATTGATTTTGTAAGGTATTCATTTTATCAGATATTTATTCTTGAGCAAGTTTTTAAGAACTTTAAATTTATTCTTATTTATTTTTAAAATCAACAGTTGATGCTATCATTGCTTCTACTCTCATTGAGTTTCTCTTTTATTCTAGAGTCCTTTCTTTTGGAATATCCTCTTTATTAATTAGTGACATTAAATTAACTAATATTGACTTTTATTAGAGTTGAGAATTATTATTCCACTCAGAGATGCTTTCTTACATTTATTAAGCAATTTAATTAGCTTAAGCATTAGAAATATCATCATATTCATCGAATTTGCTTAATTAATTTATTTATACATTTTATTAATTGCAATCAGCTAATAAATTCATAAGTAATGGCAGGGTTCTTTATGCCAATCTTGGCATTCCATCTCTTATATATAAGAGTATCATCATTTTAATATAAGATAATACAATTTATTATTCTAATTAATTGAGTTTACGTTACTAAGTCAGGAATTAAAATAACATGATGATTTCTGTCTGTAAGGGTATACTTTCCTTAAACCAAGAAATTAAATAGCCCCATTTAAAAAAGATTTCTGTAAATTCTCCTGGCTAAGCAATTTTTTATCTAATATAAGATGCACCAGCTAAATTTGATTATGGATTGTAACTAAACAGTTTATCATACAAATGTTAAGGTATTTAAGGCACTTTCAATTATTCTTTCAATTTATCAATTTATGGATCGCTAAATGATGTTAATGAAAATGGAATTAGTTTTTATTCTGACGGAGCTTTTTTTATTTCAAATAATTATTTTAATGCACTCTAGCAATCAGTTACTAGTTATTTTGCCCTTGAATTAGATTAATGCTAGAATCCTTTTAAAAAATCAGAAATTAACTGCTAATCAATAGTTTTGTCACTTAAAGGAATGTATTTTAGTAATAAAGTTAAGACTTCAATTAATTATGCTTAAGTAGGAGCATTCTTGAAGCTTGTAATTAATTGAGTTATATGATTCGGCTTATATGATTACATACATTTTTCAAATAACTAATAGCAAAGTTATTTTTAGTCTCCTATCTTATCCACTATATAGTCCATAGTGAAAGTTAAAATTTGCTTAGATTATTGAGTGACGGCAAGTAAAATATTGCCAAGATCACTTTAATCCTTATTTTTAGTTTTATATTATCTGAGAAATGCCTCAACTTAATTAGGAGTCATAGTAGATTAATATTTAATTTCTTGGCATTCTTGGTTAATTTAAGATTAAGTGATTGATTTTTGTTTATTTGCATTTGTTTCTGGTTTCGGATTAGCAACTGCTTAATTCTGAATATTTTCCTTATTTTACTGCAAATTTTATTTCTAAGGTATGAAATTAGCTGTATTATTGCCTTATAAAGCTTTTATACCATCAAGATAAATATTAACCTGAGCTTGATACTTTGTAAATTTATCACCTTTTAGATCCACAGCCATTGAACCGCTGTACATTTAAACTGATATTTTAGCTAATAACATAATGGCTTTTGTTCTTACTTCTGCATTTCCATCATCAGTTAATTTCTTACAAATAGGAACCAACTACTTTATGCATTAAAGTTTAAGCAACCTTTCTTTTTGGCATTCATCTAAGAAAAACTCTATAAGTATGAACACATTAATTTTTGGACTGGATGATTTATCATCTAATAATGCCTTAACTTCTTCAAATAGTTCATCAAGAGTGCAACAGTAAATGAACTTCTTTAATGATGTTATTGTATCATCAACAATGTTCTATTTTTTATCCTTGAGTCTAGCGAACAATGGTTGTATTAATATTTTAACATATTAATAAAAATTTTTTCTTAATCCATTTGCTAGAAGTCCAGCAATTTTTATACTCATCGTACATATGGCTATGTTTTACTCATTTATTAATTTCTTTAGTAGTTACACAACTGAATAAACATTTGGAGATGGTACCATTTTGGCAACTGAACACGCTTTTTATAAATTTTCTAATTGTTCTTTTTTTTCTTACCATTTTTCAAGTTGGAAGACCTTTTCACACCAAGAATCTGTAAATTTAGGAAATACATCGACTGCTTCTGCCAAATCATACAATTATTGATTTCCAGTTTCAAAATCTCCATCTTGATTTGGAGCTCTTTGAACTTCTGTTATGGTTTCTGTAATTTTCTTTAGGTCTTATTACAGTTTTTCATTCAATCCACCAAAAAATGCTTCAATATTTTTGCCAAACCATTTCGTTGCTTCTTTGTAAAATGATATTGCATCAGCCTTTATTGTAGTTTGCTATGCTTCTGTTAATTTTGATAGGATGGGGAAAAAAGGTTTTAAATTATCCAATTTTCTTACACCATATTATTGAAGTAACTCTAATAGTAAGCTGATGGATGCTTAGACTATCTTAGGATTTTTATGAGACAATTCTCCAATGATAATTTCAAAAATTGCCTATTTACAAAATGGAAAGAGTATTATGGCCAATTAGCATCCATTTTGTTTTAATTTTTATTATATTAGCACTTTTTCTATCAACACTTTTATTATCTCCTTCTATTGCGAAGACTCTAGTGAATGGTTTTATTCAAAGTATTTTAGTGCAATCTAGAGTGCTTTTTCTTGACATTAAACATGTATGTCTTGTATTATTTACAAAATGCACTCATACTCAATTTCTTACTCATTTGCTAATTCCTCATAACCTTGAAGTCTAACTTTCCAAACCTTTGACTTTATTCTTTGTTTTAATGGTAAATCAACTTTATCAAATTATTAAGGATCGAAATCTAATTTATTAAATCTAAATTACCAGGAGGAAACTCCTCGACCATGAAATTTTGCTTTTATTATCCAACCGGCAATTCATCAATATACATTTTGAATTTAATTTAAATAAAAAATTAATTTTTAAGTATTTGATTGTTAAAATTCATATTCTTATGATTCATGAGTAGTCTGCAATTAGAAAGAATGTTATTATTGAATTACCTACCATTTACATTAATTAGTAATTAATATTTTTTTCTTAAATGAAGTTATTTTAAAAATAAGTCTCTAAATGTATAATTGATTCAAATCTATTGTGATTAGAAGGGAACTCAAAAAGATTTTACTATTCATGATCTAAAAGGAGATTTAAAATTTATAATTAGATAATATTTAAAGATTAAAATAATATTAATTCATCATAAACGTTAAATTAATGAGCTTAGCATTTTAAAATTTGTTTTACATAAAGTTCTTAAATTATTGAATCCTCAATGGCAATTTCCTTATTTAATACTAGAGTGTTCTGAAAAATTGAATTTTTTAAGTATATTGGTAATTAGAATAAATGAAATCAGATTGTTTTTATATAAAAGTAGTATTATAATTAAAATGATACTTATCTTAAGTAAAAGTTTGTATTACTTATATGAAGTAAAGAATTTTTCAAAAAGAACTTCGAATTTGAAAAAGAAACAGAATTCTGTTACTGTGTCATCTAAAGAGTTTCTTTTTTACGAGATGAATGAGATGTTGATTTACAACTTTAATAAACTGATATAATAGTAAACAATATTATCGTTGAGACTTTTAATTTGATTAATTTTTTTATTATATATCTAACTGCTAATTTCATGAATGACTCTTTGAGATCTTTGTCAACTAATGATTCTTTAGAAGGGCAAACTAGAAAAAAAAAGAAAAGCAATGCTACATCTAAAAAGACTAATCGTCCTCAAAATATTAGTTATACTGAAGTCGTTGATTTACTTAATCCATAAAATTTGTTCATTAACAAAAATTTAGAAGAAGAATTTAATGCTATTGAATTGTACGAGTGTCTTTATTATCATAGAATTCCCGAGACTTCTTATTTTCCTCACTTCAAATTTATTTTAGATGAGAATTTAACTTGTACGGAAACAAAATGGAGACGTTTACCTACATTTATTAAATTAACATCATGATATTGATTTTATAATTTTTGTCACCTGCTAGTTTTAAACTATTTATATTAAATATATTAACTCATTTGAGTCATTCTTTTATGATAATTAAACTACTTCCATAAAATAATTTTAATTTCCTTTTATAGATCTTGTAAAACTCAGCATAACAGAATCATTAATTATAATGTAATAATAAACAATTAATCAGTTTATGTGAAATCTTAAATCAACTTAATTTAAAAGAGATAATTCTTCTTTAGATTACTTAATTAGATTAAGTTTGGATTTTTGCTGCACTTGTCTGCTGTCTTGCTCTTTAATTAAATACTATGGAAAATTGACTATGTTCTGTATTCAAAGAAGATTGATTATTATTATTCTAAAAATAATAATTATACCAGACTCTTAACCTTTTGAATAATTAATATTTTTAATCAAGGAATTAAAAATGTTACTTACAATCAATGATTAGTTATAGAAATAGTATTAAGGACAAAAATCCGATTATCATCCAACCAATATTTGAGATTTGATGAGAATCCAAAATATTAGTCTACTCATTAAATCCATATACCAAAATTAACATTACTGACATCCATAAGATTAGTTCACAAATAATTTATTTGATAAGTTCATTTTGATCTTCTAAGGGTTTGTTATACAAAAACAATAATGCTTATGATAAGTTTAAAATAGAAACCAGACTAATTTGTAAACAGGGAGTATCATATAGAAAAACTAGAATTGCCATAAAGGTTGCTTTCTTTATAACAACGAATAAGTTGAAGTAATGGTGGAAATGATTTTAAACTAATTTTAATCCTTCAAAAAGTGATCCATAATTTTATTAGGTTTCTTTTAATTTTAATGTTGCCAGATCCTTATTCATCAATTAAAAACATAAATAGATAAAATATATTTCTAAGAAAAATGTAATTAGAGCACTAATGCTACTTAGTTTAAGAATATGATTTTAAAAATTTAGATCCTTAAATTACAAAAAAATAGCTAAATTTAAATCATAGGCTGAAGCCATAAAAGTCCTAATGAGAGCACTTTTAAATTCACAAATAATTTTCAAGAAGTATTTTTAACAACTATTGGTTAATTTGTAAAATAGAAATGTAAATATACTAATTTACTTAGTTTCCATCATTATAATGTCTTCGCAAAAGTCTTTTGTAGCTTTATGTAGAAAATATAACACAATTTTGATGATAATAAACGTAGTAGTTGTTGTAATAAAGACAATAATGACAGAGATGATATTTAAAAGAAAGACTGTAGAGTATCCTTCTTAATAAAATTTGTGATCACTTTCTGGAGTATCCACATATTTAGTAATCAAGTACTCAAAATCAAAATAAGTCTTAATAAAATCAAATTCAGCAAATCCAAAAATAGTAAAATAATACTAAAGGTTGAATGGGTAAGTAATATTAAAATACTTGAGATAACAAATAAGTTATAAAGTATCCAAAAGATTCCAAAAGATATCTAAGCCTCCAAAAATCATAGCTAATATTGCTAATCCTAGTAAAATGTAAAGGAAATAAGAGCTCATTTGAGTTAGATTTTTGGTATTTTAAATTACAATTTGATCCTATTTAATAAAATCTATTAATTCTATAGATGCCCTATTTGTTTTAAATGATTAATTCTGTTGATTAGTTATCAAAGTATGGTTTTAAATAATAACATTAATTGATGGAGAAATTGCTGATGAATCTAATTCTAAATCCAAATCTAAAGCAATATTATAATATCCATTTTCAAATTCTGAATTGTCAGTAATACTTATGTTGGTTAATATAAGATGAGGAGTATTTGAAGTAATTTGAACAAAACTCGTTATTGAACTATTAGTGGAAATTTTGATTTCTTGATTGAATTTCAATTTGATCGTTCTTTTTGAATCATAAATATTGTCTAATCTATCTTCTTAAAGTAAAATCTCAATATAGTTGATCTTTAAGCATTCTACTTCACAAACATATCCATCCTCTATATTACAAAACTAATTGCAACCATCTCCATTCAACAAATTCCCATCATCACAGAATTCCTAGAATGTTCGAATACCATCTCCACATATGCTAAGACACTAATTATCAATATTGGTAAATCCATGTTCTTAAGAACAAGTTAAACATTCTTCAGTATTAGAATTGGAAAATCTGCATTTTATACAATTATTTTATTATGATTCACATGTTTGACATTCTTCAGAACATTAAATACATGCAAAATCATGATTTATATAATATCCATCTATACATTAAAGACATTAATTGTATTAACATTTTAAACAGATGTTATCAATGCAGTTGTTATTTTAAATGAAACATTAATCGCAACCATCTCTTGAAACTTAGTTACCATCATCGCATTCTTCATTCCATTGGACAATCTGATCTCCGCAAAAGGAATAGCATTAGTGTATATTAGGGGGATTGATTACATGATGACAAGATAAACATTCTAGATAACCATTATCAAAATATCCTTTTCTACATTTACACTCAAAAAAATCAAGATTGTTTGCAGATTTCTACCTAGTTTTTGGACAAAGAGTGCATTATGAGATTAAATTTGAATTATTGCATCGACTACATGTATAGTAACATGGTAAACAGGTTAAGTCATTGTTATCATAATAGCCTTCTTAACACACGCATTATTTGATTTGTGAGTTCAATACTCTAAATTGAAGCTCATCGCATGATGTGCAAATAGAATAATCTGAACAACTATTACAATTATTGCTGCATTCTAGGTAAATAATATTAATTACTTAAACAAACATCTGCCTTATTATCGTAATATCCATTTTGACACACACAAGTATTTTCCTTAGATAATATCCTATATTATTCAGTATAGCATTTAATACAGCGGTCTTCTTTATATAGACAGGATTTACAAAGAGTTGTACATTTTATACAAATAGGATTAAATCCAGTTTCAAAATAACCATCTATGCATTGACAATTATAATTGTAATAAAGTCTATTTTAATCGGGAAAGCAAGTTATACAAGTATTTTCATCTGAACATGTTTTGCATGTTTCTTTACATCTTTAACAAATACTTGGTATAAATGATCTATCCATATAATATCCTTAGAAACATTCACAGACATTAATATTCAAGACTTTATGTTCATTATGATCACAATAAGCACAAAGTTAGTTTAATTTGATATATGGGCTAACAGTATTCAAATTGATTTGATTTTGGCATATCGAACATGAAGGATGGCAATTATCACTCATACAATCTGTAATTTCAGCCTATTTAGAATTCATTTTACAGATGCAAATATTTCCATATTAGAAATAGTTATCCTGACAAGCAACACAATTAGTTTAACTATTACAGGTTTTACAAAATTTCTAACACGTTTTGCAAGATCCCTCAGAGTAGAAATAACCTTCACTAGGACAATCATAAAATACTTGAATATTTGATTCCGGCTATAAACAAATTGAATCTGATGAACAAAGCTTACAATTAGGAGGACAATTTGCTAACAGAATTACTAAATCATATAGACCACAATATGTGATACTAGGTGATTTTGTATTACAGTATAGAAAAATTTCAAGTTGTGAAGCTGAATGATCAAATTCTTGTTCAAAGTTAATTAAATAATCAGGATTAGTTTAACCAAGATCTTCTTGAATTATGCAACCTGGTGTAGCTACACTACTGAAGCAATAGGAATTTGGTGAATTCATGTTGAGAGTATATTTTTGATTATCTACACTTACAATTATAGTTTAATCACTGTTAATAGGATCTATCAAAATAGCCTTAAAAAATAGTTTAATTTTATAATGTGCTTAAATCATAGTATTGACTATTCTCAATTACTTACTTTGCCAGATGGCCTCACCTCCTAAAATATACTGATTTTAATAAAAGTAGCAAGCATGATAAAAATAAGTTATCTAATCACAGGGATCATCAAAATCTAAGTTTTATTTTATGGCAAATCTATCCGTGAATTCAATTCTTAAGATTTTGGCAAATTTGTAATCATTAAGAATACTTATGCACTCATTTCCTGAAGTTCTTGTATGTATTGGACATTTATCAACACATTCATTCTTATAGTTTTTCAAAGGGCAAATAATTGGAAGAGGTGTGATTGCATTGACTTTAATATAGGATAATGCCCAACTGATGTCCTTTATTTCCAATGGTAAATTAATCGATATGGATATAAGGGACAGATCAGAGATATTTTCAACGTTTAATAATACAATAAACTTTATACAAGACGTAAATCCAATTATACTACATGAATGTTGTTTTGCTGCTCCTACAATTTATATATTCATAAAATTGCCATTCTCTATAATTAAGTAGTGTCCTATCACATTATTATTCAACTTAATAGATAATCGTTGCTGCATATTAGTTATATAATTTAAAACATAAATTTCAGCTTCCAATAATATGTTGGTTGCAGTTCCTACTGGTTAATTAATCTTATATTCAATAGCTTCATTCTAAATAAATAGGCCTGCCACAAATTTGCCACCTAAAGTAGTTTAGCATACTCTTTGAGTTGTATTGTAATCAGGTTGCAATGTGAATTTAGATGCCGTGTCATCATACAATAAATTTATTAATTGAGCGTATTATATACATGTAAAGCCATCAAAAATATAATTTACAGGACATTAAGTTATGCATTATCCTTGGAAATATGTTAGGAATTATTCCTTACATATACATTATCGAATGGAATTTAATTCAAAATCAGGCAAGCACTCTAAGCAAGATGAAGAATCAGAGCATATTTTACAATGTTATGAACATCTCTCTGCATAAATCTTTAAATTTTTAATCCAAAATGTAGTTGCACTATCTATCTTAATTAATAAAGTTGCTTATTATTCATTCATTTATGTAGTCGATGTAAAATGAATAAATGTTTTCAAACTTGCAAAAGAACACAAATTTCCAGAGAAAAAGGAGTATGAAGTACCCTCATATTCCTGTATAATCTTGCCACTTTCAATAAAGCTTAATTTTGAATTAAAACTCTTTTCAACATGTAAATCGAGTGTATAAAGTAGTTTATTATAACCATAAGCAGTATTTATTTTGAATTCCATAACCCTTGGGGTCCCAGTTGTTGGAGATCGATAAACTTTTGTAAGACTTTGGCAAGTCAAGTTTTAGGCTGATGTTGAGGTATCTAAATAATAAGATAATATTTTCTTAAAGTAGATCTGTAAATTGTAGTTACAAATTAGAAGTTACCACAAGGAGCAAAATCATATAGATATAAAAGCTGTCCATTTAAATTTTAATTTAATAAATCTAACCATCTTCTAAAGAAAGAATTTAATATATTATTTTATAATATTAAATTTGTTATTTGAAAATTTCACTTTAGTTTTAGATTTCAATTAGAGTTTGGAATTAGATGTCTATATTAACAAACTATAATTTGAGCATGTAATTTGGAAATTTAATTAAATTTAAGATATTTAATTTATAATTTAATAGTGTCTAGAAATGATACTAATTAGAATTAATAATATAATCAACATTAATTAATTAAGTAACTGCCTAATGGTAAGTAAATAGCTTATGATTGTTGACATTAAAAGTGAATGTATTTATTGTAAAAATTGTAGTCTTCAAATATGATTTATTCAGAGCTTTGTTTTTTTATTTGTGCAATTGCTATTTAACCATTTAATTATCCACTTACAATCTAATTAACAAAATAAATTACCTTAACAATATGGTGACTTTCATTATCGTTAATGTTTGCCAAACAAATCTCGATCTCCACAATATCATTAATAAATTGTTCTTAATTGTTTGATAACTAAAAGCAAATAGTTCAATAACTTACAACGATTATTTGATTTTTATCATTTTTATTGAATGAGTGAAAATATGTTAAAGGATGAACTCTATTATTAATTTCTTCTGAGATTTATTAAGATTATCGATCTGCAGGAGTGAAATAATTCAAGATTTCGTTATTAGCAATAATCATTTTAGATATTTCTAAATCGCTTCTTTCTGGATAATGAATTCTTTTGCTGGATCTTTTGGGAACAAGTATTTCTTCAACTTAATATTTCTCTTTTAACCTTTGAGGTGCCTTTTAAATTTCAAATCTATATCCTGATCCATGTTTATCCATAAAGTTTTGATCATACCTTTTATCAACAACAAGAGAAGAACGTCTCTTCTTATTATTTGATATTTGTTAAGATTCAAGATAGTGTGATTATTCTATGTATTATTAATTCGAAGGTTATTAGGAAGATAAATCACATTCAAATGCATAATCAAGTTGAGAATTTACATTTGATTTTTACATTATTTTGCTTATCCTACTTTTTCTCCTTCTTTCATTTTACGAAGAATAATCAAATTCATCTTTTTTAATAGGTTCTTCTTCAACTAATTAATGACAATTTTTGGATTAAATGGATGAAATCTTATTTTTGGGTTTAAAATAATCATCAATGGTTTTCTGTTTTGAATTAATTATACTTGATGATAATTTATACTCAACATTTATAATATCGTTTAATTCGATTTTAGACGAACTATTTTTCTCATCATATTATTATTACTTAGTTTCAACTTAATCATTAACTTCATCTGAATCATTTTCTAATTATTCTAAATCCTCCTTCAAAATCTATTGAGCCTGAACATGTGCTAATTATTCCTCATAATCTTTGAAATCAATATCTTAATTTAGTTTCTCTTCCTCTTATTAGATTTAATCCTTTTATTCTTCTTTCGTCCATTAATTTATACTCTATTGATTCATAGAGAAATGAGGAGTCTCTCCCATTTAATGAGATTTCTTACAAAATTAATCAGTATTTGAAAATGAATCAAAACTGATTTTGTCAAAATCTAAAATATATATTGGTTTATCCTTTAAATTGTTAATTTTATTATCCTTAGGTTACTCTGTTTATCTGTTTTCTTCAATAAAATTAGGTTAAAATATGGATGCCTCTTGAATTTTGATATTTTCAAGAGAAGTCTAACTAATTTAATCCAACCCCAAATTTTAGTAACTTTCATGAATGTCTTCTTCTAAATCGACAAAGAGTGCATTATTTAATTGTTCAGATTATAAGTTATCTTAAAAGCCCAATTATTCCATTTGAGCAATTAAAGAGATTTCAACTTGGTTACTAGCTTAATCCATAAAAATAGAATTCTTGATTAGATCTTCAGTTTAGGATTGCTATTAGAATGAGATATCAGGTATTTAAAAATCATTCAGATTAGAATTATGATAAGTTAATTCTACAAAATCATTATTCAAATCAATTGAACTATTAGTTGGAGCTTAAATAGATACATCCTCATTTGTGGCTGATTCAATTTGATCCTGAATGATCATCATGTTCTGTTCTAAAACTTAACTTCTTTCAATAATTGAATTGTCTGATAATGTAGCCATATAGGATTTATCAAAACAAATTTCTTTGTAACTATTATTGATCTCTCTGCCTTCTTTACTCTACTCATCACGTTCCTCTACAAAATAATATTGACTGGTATGCTAATTATTTTATTTATTTTGATTATTTGTTATTTTAGACTTTTGTCTATATAGTTTGACTTTATTTATAACCTCTTCTCTTAGTTCATAATTTAAATATTCAGTCATTTTTTTAACTATGCTTTGCCAAAGATATCTTGCATATTAATTCTTATCCTAATTCACTATATCAAAATAGAGCAATAGTAAAATCCAAATTTCTTTTTTGTTCAATATTGTAAAGCCAACGAAATCTTTTTCTTCAGGCACAAACAATTAAAATGTGATGTGTTTCCGAAGTGAATAATTTGGATCAGTAAACATTAGATTTATACTTGTAAAACATTTCATGTAATTTCCATTTTCTAAATCCTAAATGTTAGCTTGAATATCTTGAATCAATAATTATTGCTCTTATAAATGTGTTTCTTTTTTTTAAGCATTCATTTACTTCTGTGAAGGATGCTCTTCATACTTCCGAAGAGATGACATAAAGTTTCTATCTATTGATGACAACCTTTTCTTCTACATAATTGTTAAATATATAATATTGAATTTTAAATTTTCAAAATTATTGGCGCTTTTATATTATATCGTTGATAACTTTATTGATAACTCAAAATTGATTAATTGTATCATTGCTATTCTCTTCCTAAAGATTGCTAATCATAGTTTTTTATTGTTCAACTCTATTCTCATAACTTTGATATATATTTCTCACTATTTACAATTGATTGAATAGCATATACTTTTGATCTTATTCCCCTCTGATCCTAGAATTGAATCTCTAAATTTCTTATTTAATATCTTCTCTTTTTTCTTACATCAATTTGAGTTCACTAAGCTTGGCCTGAATATTTTTGTAAGACTAATTCAGATTCCCAACTTGCTATTAATTTTTAATCTCCTGCAACTAAGCCTTCTTTAACACTAAGTCTATCTGGAGTTATTGCAACTACTTTTCCTCTTGAACACATGGACGTATATTTTAAATTTTCTCTTTAAGAGTCCTTATGCGTCTTTCCTTCTCTTGCAGCAGAGTTGTTAAATATACAGAGTCTTATATTATTTATTCCTAAGTGTCTTATTACTCCTATATCGTAGGGTCATTATTTAATCTCCTTTTAATAAATGCAATTTTGGCATCCAATATTAGTATTTCTTATTTTTATTAACTCATAGTTTCTACACTTTCTTTAAGTTTTCTTGTGACTTCAAGCTTCTTGTTTTCATTCTGCTTAATCTGATCTTCCAAATTATTTATCTCCTCCTAAGATTCCTGTTCCATCTACTACAATTTCTGAAGCTCAGCCTCCACTTCTAATTACTTTTTTTTAATTTTCGAATCATCACTTGTATATTCTTCTTCTGAATTATCGTTGTAAAGGTTATCCATTTTTTAAAAGCTGAATGAAATTAATATTATTATTTTTAAAACTAAAATACCATCAAATGAGTACAAAATCTATATAAATAATAATGAATTTTTTATTTCCAAAAATTTAGACCAGACCCATCAATCTATTAGAAAGTTAATGCCAAAGTGCACTCAAAGAAATTAGTTCATCAGAATAACGCCTGCAGAAATATGCTTCTAAAAAAATCTCAAACAAACATAGCTTTTCAGACAAATCATGTCTTCATTAATTCAGAAGAGTTTCTCAGGTTATCAATGATCCTTCTCCAGATGTCAAATAATTTCCAGATGTAAAGAAAAAGAATATGTCTGTTTGTGTAAATCCAAGAATTGAGAAATATAAAATACATCTTGATATGATTGAAAATTAGAATCCAATCTAAATACCTCATTTAAGCATCAAAGCTCCATAAAAATATCCTCCTATTTTATCTAGTAAAATTCTACCTTCAACTAAAAGATACAAAACAGACATAAGTGAAGGTACATAAATTTATAAAATTTCGAATCATTTTACTATTCAAAGTGTAAGAGACAAACAATAAAAATTAGTTAAAAATATTTAATCGCTTATTGAACATGTTAATTCATCCAGAGACGAGAAACTCTGTAAATTATTCGATAAATTAAAACATGATTTAGATTTAGATGATATAAAACTTGAAAATGAATGAATTTGTTTATACTTCTCATTATTTTAATATCTATACATGCATTTTCTTCAAAATTGTAGTGAATTAAACCTAAATTTCCTATTCTTAATCCTAGAGCTAGAGTATATTTCAAACATTCTATCTATCTCATTACTATTAGAAATGTAACTAATTATTTTCAAACTTTCATTCCCTTCAATTTATGAGGAGTTGCTCTAATTACTATCCAATTTTATTGATGACAGCCTTTTAGGCCTTAGATTTTGCTAAACCAATTTAAATTAACCTAATTTTCTTTTAAATTATTAATTTTCTTGTTTGTAATTCACACCCATTTGGGTTTGATGTTGATTTAATATTTTTACTTATTTAATTTTTGGCAAACTTACTCCGACTTTTTTATTCTTACCTTATAAGTCATACATTGCTTTCTAACAAATAGTTTTTAATAAATTAAGAGTATGAGTACTATCTTATGGAATCATAATATAATATAGTAAAAATTATATCTATTTAATAATTAATCTTTATTTCATTTTTGATTAGCATAATAAAAGTATAAACTTATAATTAATGTTGTGATTGAAATAGTGGTATTTCATTAATAAATTATTATTATAGATTTAAACAATTATGAAATAACCTATGCTTGATAATTACTCTAAAGAATTACACTTAAATTAACTTTATTCACTTAGATCTCTTAAACAAACACCATTAGAGAAAATAAATCATTAAAATTATTTTGTTCCAACCATTCTAAGTTCAAAGAATAATAATTCTAATCGAAGTAGTTTATTAAAACTAGGAGATGGAATGGCCTTATAAAAGCTTCATCGTTCCTAGAACAACTCAAGAAACCTACCAGATATCTAAATTGGAACTAAGGCGACAAAGAATATCTCTAAACCTTACATTAATTAAGGACACAAGAAATAGTATAAAATTCAAATAGAACCTTTGGAGGAGGAACGCATGGATATTCCATATTTAAGATTGAATTTTAGATTGAAACATGGATACAAAAAACAAAATTAAGACAAGAAAGAAAAAAACAGTATAGAGAATGATGATCTAAAAGCTTAATAAAATAATAAAAGCGCAAGTCTATTTAGAGAGAAATAAAAAGAAATTATAGCTAAGGTTTCAATGCAAGTTTAAGAGTTATTATTAAAAGAGAATCAAAAATTAAGTTTTGGATTTGATAGATTGGAAAGAGATCTATTACAATAAATGAAATGATAAGGGTTTTGAATTAATTATTGTTTTTTGTTTGATTGATATTAGATTACATTTAAAAATACTAGAATGGAAATGAAATAAGATTCCATAATTATAGATTGTGGAAGTTGTAGACTTTTCATTTTATATGAGTCCTTGGTTATGAAGTATTTATTGCATTTGGATAATCAATTTTATAGTAATGTTTTTACTTTGTATTAATGTTATGTTATTGAAGAGAGATGGCAAGCACACTAACCAAAATTGCAGTATTCTTACTTCAAATATGGACATTCAGCATGTTGATATAAATTAAAAATTATAGCTTTTTGTTTTGTTTTGTTATGTTTTATCTTATATTAATATTGATATACTTTATAATTCCTTGATTTAGAAATAAATTTATTAAGAGAAGTTAATATTTCGTAATCTAGATTCTGTAATTTAGATTTAATTGAGAATATCAATAAATGAAAGATTGTTTGATAGCCTTGGTATTAAAAACTGAGCAAAATCCAATTTGAAGGCATTCTTAACATTGCCATTAATCTAAATCTTATAACGCTGTGCTCAAATTAAACACAACTATGCTTATAAATCTACATAAACAAAGTTGAAAATAAGATGTCTTGTTATATTAGTTATAAAGATGATTTTTTTAATTTTCTTTGTTTTAACACAAACTAAAAATTAAAATTTTGTAGTTTTTCTAAATGATCATATGAAATCTAATTCCATAATTATCATTTTTCATTTGTTTCTTACAGCTACTTAAAAAACAATAGGATTTGCAGATGGCTTGAATATTTTAAATTAGAACAAAACTGATTAAATTCATGAATTTTCATTTATCAATTTAATTAGAAGGTAGTGAAAGAGTGCTGAATCCCATTCCTTTCATAATAAATAAAATAAGGACCATTCGAAAGTCAGTGAATCCATTGAACAACTTATGAATTAAGTTATAAAATAACCTATTTTATCGATTACCATTTTGTCAAATTGTAGGGTTATCAACTGATAAGTGTGTTTCATATTTTCTAGAATATATCCTCTAACTTTTTAAAGATTTAGCAAAAAATTAGATGATCTATAACATAAATCATATAAGACAGTTTATAGTAATTAATTATCATCATGAATTATCTAAATGATTGTGACCATTCAGAGCAGAAACATCTTGATTCAACTATGACAAAATTAAATAATAAAAAATGAGATTTATGAATCAACCTTGTTATTATTATTTACCATAATTAGATTTTGGAGTCCTTGATTTTCTTAATGTCTGTATATCATCTGTTTATTAAGGAAGTCTTATAGTGTTGTTTGAAGTAGTGTAATAATCATTGTATGGTGTCATATTTTCAGGTACTTTAATGAGTTTCTCACTTCGTTGATTTGAAGAAGGCTCGTTTAATTCTTCTTAATTTTATTGTTTTGACTTTAAATTATATTACTATCTTATACTTATATTCTTTAAAATGGTTAAGACTATTCTGATGATGAATCTCCTCTGGTTTGTCGATTCATTTTCCCATTATTAGGAGTAAGATCCCCAATGAAATTCTTTGAGAATTTCTTAGCCACAGCTTGGCGTAATGATATTACTGGCACAACTCTGGTTTCTTTTTCCAGTTGCTCCTATAATGGCTCAATTGTTTAGTATTGAAGATATGTCATCCAGAATCCATATAAAGATATAACAATTATAATTATAGAGATTAATAACAAAATTGTTCTTTTTGTCGAGCTAAAAGATTGCTGTGTTTCATTGAATTCTATGAAAGTTAATTCTATGAAACAAGACAAAAGCAATATTATTCCTGAACTTAAATCAAATAAAGAGGTCAAAACATTTACTATTACCATTATTTTCCCAATATAATATACTGAATGCCTGATAAAGAATATGAATTATAATATAAGTCCAAATACAACCAAACTACCTAACTCTATATAATATTTTCAATACCTAAACTTAATAGACTCAAGGCTATTGGTCTCTAAAATACAAGTAATTCAAATTATTCTAAAAGTCCAAAAATCCCTATTGCTATTAAAACTAACCCTTAAATGGCATTGGTAGTCATCATTAAATAAATATAATGTTTGTAAGTAAAGAACATGCAACAATAGCATACCCCAACGCTTTAATCATTGTAATCCATTTTTCTAATTGATTTATTAATTATCAAAATTTTTTCAATTACTATACATTCATATGCCCAAATTTAAAGCATTAATTTGCTTAAATAATTATATGTCACCTATTCCTTATTGGGATGAGAAAGATAGAGTAATTTGCCAATTGATTGTGTTTCTCTCCGTTTAAGCTTAACAATCCAATATATTAATAGTGTAGTTTGATTTAAGATTAATTAATTGAAGGCCATCGTAATTATTTTTGTAATCGTTCACATTAAATTCTTTTTATTTAAATTCATGTCAAATTTTTTGCTCCTTTCTTTTTATATTTTCAATTTCAGTCTTTAAAATCATGATCTTAACAATTATTAGCCTTAATTATTCTTATTTTCAATGTTTTTCATAGTCTCAACAATTAATAAGTTAATCATCTTTCTCTATAACTGATTGCTATCCTTAAAATATTTGATTTGTAAATATCACTTGGATTGAGTTAATTTATGTATTCGTAACAATCTGGTTGAGGATTTTCAGCTTTTTGTTAAGGTTTATTTTTTGACCTAATTTAACCTTTCAATTAGAAGGCTATCAATAAGTAATCACAATTAGAATTATAAATTATGATAATTATATAGCTATCTTACATTTTACAATAATCTTAGAATATACTGTTCTGCTCTTTCTCTAAATATTAAGATGTCAAAATTAAAATAAAATATAATAATCTTGCATAGAAGTTCATTATATTGTTTTTTTCAATTAAATCAATATTACTAATTTATGATGGCATATTCCTAAATATTTGAACATGTTTGGAATATTAATTTAAAAAAACTATAATTAATATATTTATTCGAAATGGGAAGAAAAAATAGGGATTTATCATATTTAAAGCCATTTTGTTTTTACTGTGATAAAACATTCAAAAATGAAGTTTATCTACATCAGCACTAAAAGGCTAAGCACTTTACTTGTTAAAGGTGTTTTAAGAAGTTTTCATCTTGTGATTCTTTGAAAAATCACGTTGAATCTGCTCATCATGAAGTTTTAACGAAGTAGCTTATGTTTAAAATATTAGAATACCAAATGCTGCTGGAGACAGGAGTGATATAAAGAATAAGATTTTTGGAATGCAAGGTGTCCCAAGAGTTGAGATTGAAAAAAGAATCAGAAAAGGAGCTGAGGAATATTGGACAAAGATTCTAAGTGCGTAATATCAATAGAGAAGGAAAGAAAACAAATTAAGAATTAAGCAAAATAAATTAGTAGCTAAATAAGAGAATGCACAGGACATCAAACAAGATGTAATTTTATTAATTAACTAATCAAGAATGAATAAGAAGAAATCAATTAATATGAATATAATCCAGAAGCTAAACCAATCAGCTTTGATCTTGATTTTGATTAATTACCAAAATAATGAGGTATTTTAATAATGAAAATAAAATATACACTTAGAAATTAATCTAGAAAAGTAATTGAATAGCAAGAAAAGAATAATCACCCTAAGATTAATTATAATTTTTGAGCAATTCTCTCATTTACTTCTTATTTTAAAAATAAGTTTTCCAAATAAGGCATTAATTCTTCAATTAGGTTTTGTTTTGTTTATTTCAAAAGAGCAATCACTAATAAAATTTACTCCGCGTATTTAAATGTTTCTAAAAGAAACTTCAAATTGTTGATCACATCAAATTCTTTCAAAATTTTCATAAACAAAGCCCTCGGACATTTCAATAACATCTAATAATGCAATAGAAGAATCAATCTTTAATGCCTATTAGAATTCTGTATGACTTAAATTTGCTCAACCAATTCATTATTGCTAATTATTCTTTCAACATAATATTAAGAGTAATAATAAAGAATACTTAAGATATACTTCTATCGATCAATTATTTTTAAATGATGAGGACATTATTAAATGAATGTGCTTCGATTCAAAATAGCAATGAACTCTACATTATCATCAATAGTGTAGTAAAGCAATTGAATAATAATTTAATCAATACCTTTATTAAAATTATCACAACATAATTGTATAATTTCATTTTAAACAAATTATACAGACGCTAATGATAAAAATCCTTTGAAACACTCCTCCTAAATTTTGAAAATTTGTGGATATTTATTTTAGTAATAAGAAAATACTTAATATAATTTATCTTTTATTCTTTATTCTTCTTCTAAACGCGATAAATCAGTGCAATATAATGCTATTATATTGAGGAATCTAAGTCTTTAGACTAATTGCTCGATATTTTGATATAAATGCACTTCATTTACTATAGTTTCAAAAAGTATTAAATCTTTCATTGAAGCTTACACAGAATTTTATGAATATAAATTAGATAAACCAATTATTGCTAATTCTTTTTCAGAAGAATTAAGCAAATCTGAAAAATATTCAATTCCACCCATTTCAAGTAGTTCATTAATTTATTTGCTAGATCCTTCACTGACATTTACTAACTTAATTATTGAATCTTAATCTTTGGATTTTATGAGTTCCAGCAATTGTTCCTTTGGATAGATTTTTTGTCTCTTACTCTTGAATATTCTTTCTTTCTCAGTTCGTTTCAATTGAAGACAGAAGGTTTCTCTTTTTAGAATTAATTCACTCATCATTTTGGTTAAAAACAAAATTTATAATATAGTGAAAAAATCAATTTTTCTCCAGAATTGCTAATTTAGCTCTTATGCTGGCAATATATAAATTATTTGCTTCTTCTTCTGCTTCTAAATCTCGATTAATTAAAGCCAATTTTTCTCTTTCTTTTGCCTTTTACTCTAATCTCTAAACATTATTCAAAACATTTTAAACTTTTTATTCATTTTCTAACCCTTTGTTTTCAATTATTCTTTTATAATATATAGAATTACTTTTCCCATTGATCTTCCATGTTTACTTATACTTTTCTTTACTGTCTTAATTATTAGAGATAATCAGTTGTTTTAGGTTTAGGTGGAAGTTCTGAAGGCTTTTCTGCTTTTTCTAGGACCTTTTATTACTTTTTGATTTATGGTTTTGGTGGTCTATTTTCTTAATGGTTACTTAGATCAGTAATTGAATCTTTAGAATCATGACTAAAATGTCTTTATTGAGGAACAAATTTCTTAATTTTCCTTAGGTTCTGTTCAGTGACTTGAATTTCCTTGATTTGTTTAGATTAATCTTCTTTTGGAGGAGGAGATTATTTAGGCTTTACAGGATGCTCTTTAAAATATATCTCTTGTGCAACATCAGCATACTTTAATTATTTCAATCTGGCTAACTTCTTTTATTCCATTTCTTATTCCCGTATCAATTTTTACATCTTTTATTCTTCTTCAACTCTTATTTGGGCTTGGCTTTTTGGAAATTTGAAGGATTTTTATTTAATTTCAGTTTCTATTTCTTACTTATGATGTTCCCTTTCAAATTCTTTAATCTTCCTCTCCTCCTCATATTTCTTTTAATGTTCTGTCAATTCACTTAATTTGATTGGTTAACTCAACTCTCTTTTTTAAGCTAGAACAGCCTTAATAGTATAAATAAATACTTTTCGCTTTTCTAATTCAGTGACCTATAAAGCTTCTTCTTTCTATTTAAGTAATAACTCCTTCTGTTTCATTTTTTCTTAAATCTACTTGATTATTCTATTTGCCTCTTATTATTATTTTGCAATTCTTTCTTTTTCTGCTTTGTCCTCTTCCATTCTCTATAAAATTAGTTATCTCTTATTAGGTCTGGGGATACTTGCTAATTCTTCTGCATAAGCAAAAGCTTATTCTTTGGTTGTTTATGACTATTATTTAATGGAATGATTTTTTGGTCTCTTCTTTTATTCTTGAGAATTATGTAATTTTTGATTTTATTCTGCTTACTCCTGTAATTCATTCAACAATAATCTATCAGATTATTTTTCATCCAAAATCATGGCTGAATCTTATTATAGGATCCCTGATAATTCGCATTTTTAAATATTTTATTCATTAATGGATTAAATATTTGTATTTATTTGTTAAGCTTATTGTTCTGGAGTCTAAATTCTTTATTCTGATTTTTAATCCAATGATTTCTATCTCTGTACTTAATTGAATGTTGATATAGAGAAACCGTGACTAATTGTTTTTGATTTAATAATTGATCCTGCTATTGAAAAGAAGGATTTAAATTTTTGTAAATTGGCCTTGTCATTTTTGACTTTTTCTACTATTATTTGCATTCCTTCTTATAGTTCAGTCAATGTCTAATTGTCAGTTGTAAGTAATTCAAAATTGAAAGCTATCTATTTGATAATTAAAAAGAGTTACATTAAATTGATCTTAGATAACAAGAATTAAAGCTTCAATTGTTGGATCCTACAATTCAATTTCATGCTGTTCAGAATTAAGAGTAATAATAACTTTCATAATAAAAATATTAATATAATTTAATATTCATATTTAAACAACAAAGCAATCTTATGCAAATATAATACCATCAGATTTCTTAAATAATTATTCTGTTCCTTCCTCTAAATCTAATTTTCCCCTTAATAACATTGCCAATGTAACTTATAGCTTTAACTTCAAAAAAACCTCTGTATTATAATCTAATATTTATTGAATATTGATAGCTGCCTAAATTAAATTAGTCTCTTTCTCATTTTCATACTTTTTTATTAATCAATCAAAAACTTATAGTAATCCTTTTGATTTTTAGGTAGTTAATCTCTATTGATTACTGTTTAATTAATCAGTATCTATAAATTATTAACACTAAATTTAACCAATCTAATTATTTGATTATCAAAATTACTCTATTCATTGATTATGCTAATTTAATCCCTTTTGTTCTTTCAACATTTTTATTTTTAATTAAATTTTTATTTATTATAGCGATTATTTTACAACAACAACAACAGTAATAAAACTAGAATGATCTATATTCAATCTTGTTCAATTTTAAAAACAACTAATAATTTACCCTAAACTCTCTAATTATAATATGATATTTTCTGTGTTGCTTATGATACACAAATAGGGGGGTACAATGTGCGATGAATGAATATTTAGAGATTCAAAAGTATTTAGACAAAACTGCTTAAATAAAGTTAAAAAATAGTCTTTCATAAGATCTTGTATAATCAATAATAATAAATTCTATTTAAAATTTATATAATCAATTATTAAAATATGATCATCAGGATTTATATCTAAAATGTTAGAAATTTATAATATGGTAAAGTATAATATTAAGGTCCTAAAACGATAAATATGTAAGAGATATATTAAATTCAATTTTAAAAATTACGCCGTTGGAATTGGTTCATTTGGTTGGTCAATTCATTGTAGAAGTGCCATGAATACTTATCATGTTTGGAATGTTATATAATTACAATACGATTGAAGCGAAAGAAAATTGTTTAATAAAATTCAGAATAATCTCTTTAAAAATGTGTAACACCCTGAACAAGTTTTCAAGTGTTCAGGAAGTAAGAAATCAATTAAATAATAAGAAATTTGAAGTAAAACAATCATTTAAATGAAATAAAATCGAACTTTTCTTTAAATTAAAAAAAGATTATGATGAGAAATCAATCATTTGATTAATAAAAGTTATTATAAAATGGAATTATAATACAATAGAGTAATTATAATTATTTGAGATATATTTAATATTGATTTTAGTGGAATAATATTAGATCATTAATTTTTATCAAATTCTTAATCCATTCTAATGGAATCAATGTTTAGTCGTAATTAAAATAAGTAATCTTTAAATAACAATAGGTGATTGCTATATTGATCTTATAGAGATTCAATATATTAGATAAACTAAGTTAGTAACTATTTTTCTTTGATCTGATTTATTTACAATTTACAAGTTGTTTCTCTGGTTTGTTTTATATTTTAATTTTTTATTTATTATACCGAATCTTTAACGAATTATAATTGTTCCTTCAAGATCTCCAATTCCTTTTCCCTCTCCTTTAAGTTGATCTCATCCTTCAATATTTTCTATTTTTGTTGATCAATTTCTTTTTGGCATCTTTACATATAAATAATATGAATACAGTTTTAATTTATCATTCAAGATGACTTTTTGAGTATCAACCTTTTTATATTATTCATATTAGAATTCTTTATAGAGGTCATTTGAAGATTTAGTTTTAGATTTCATCATGACGTTTTACAGTCGAATATCCTATAACTTTTGTAAAATATTCATTCTTTCTTGATGTTCAACGATGAATTTGTCATTAAATAAGTCTTTTTCAGTTGACATTTGAGTAGAACGTTCAGATGTAAGGTTCATTGATTTCTTATGACCAAGAAGTATTTATTTTTTTGTTTCTTTACTTGGAGTTTATAAGTTACTTTATGGAGAACTAACTTTGGATTTTTATAGGATCTGATTTTTCCAAGTTTAAATAATAAATTGTCTATCCTTATAATTATCGTAAGTTATTGTGCCTTTTTCAGACTTTTAATCATGTTCTAAACCCTTACAATTCATATCAAAATTTATACTTATTATTTATAAATATAGTAAATTGTAAAATATATATTCAGATTTATTTATCTAATGTTATTTGCATTTACATATAAATGTTGTTGAATTTATTAACATACTCTCCAAATTAGCAATCCTAACTCAATAATTATTCCTTCAGCTCTTTAGTGATGAACTCATTTACCTTTTAAAGTATTTATTTGTGTTTGATGATACTCTGTCTATTATAAACTATTTCATCTTTTAAAGATCTATTATTAGTACTGATTTCAAGAATTTTCTAATCTTCATTAAGTTGATCTAACTCATATTTTAATTGTTCCAATAATTTTTTATTAGATTCATATTACTACTTAGCAAATTTTAGTTATTATCTCTTTTCTTATAAAATTTTTTTAGTTTTAATGATTTTCTATTCATAACTTTCTACTTGTTCTTCGTTTCCAACTAATATAGGTTGTGGATTTTAAATAGTGTGAGGTGATTTACTCATCCAATGACATAATTTTTATAATTTTTGATCAGTTTCATTAACAAAATTTTCAAAACTGGTTATCAGTAATCTATCACTGAATGTATTATCTTCTTTTACAATCTCAGTTCTATTGATCTATTACTTTGATGTTAGTGGATTCATTTTCTTCTATTATACATCCCTTTTAATCTCATTTTAATAGCATTTAGTGCCGTTTTTAAATAAATAGTATTTATCTGTGGAGTGTAGTTTATTTGTTGGACTTAGTCCTCTTAATTTTTATTTTGAAGAAGTGTTTGGAGTTAGTAAACTTTTAGGTGTATACGAATTCTATATTTTTGGTTATCTTTGGTGAATTATTTTATCTAAACTTTGAATGCAAATAAATTCATTCATATTATGAAATAAAAAGAATTAAACTTATAATATCTCTAAACATGAGATTGACAAGTTTTCAAATTGATATTTTAACCAGAATTAAGAATCACCAAATAATGATATAGATAACATTGTGGATTACTCAAATCCAAAATCCATTAATTCAACTATTTATTCTAGACCTTGCTTTAAATTTAAAATAGATTTATTAAATCCAAAATATTCAAAAGAAACCTGATCGAATAATTCAGGAAATATCTAGTCTTAAGGTAACAGTTTGACTCTAAAAGAAAGTTGGAATTAGATAGAAGACCAAACGGGCTTACATAATAAGAACTCTCTTTAAAGTTATTAAAATTATTGATAAATATATAATTTAAAGTCGTTTAGATGTTTATGTTATGAACTACGTGTTCAAGAATCTTATATTATTTATTTATTCTTTTTCAAGAATTGGAGAAAATGAAAGAATCAGTATTAACCATTTTCTAACTCATATGTAGCTTCTTATTATAAAGGAATTAAAGAAATTTGAAAATAATACTTTATAATAAACATAAATAATCAAACAACAATTTTAGACTTATCAATCATAAATTTAATTAGAAACTATGAAGAATAATTACTTTCCAATCGATCAAAACATTTGGATGTCAAATATTTCAATTATTACAGCAATTTTTTCACTAACTCTCTTTTTTCATCTTTAAATTCATTTACATTTATTAATTTTATTGAATAATAGAATAAATGTTAGGCTGCCTAATAAGTTTTCTTGCTTTAATTTAGTGTTATCAACAATTATAAAAATTTTAATAAATCTTCTTTCACCATTTTTTAAGATAACATAGATACAACATTGTCATAATCAACTTGCCTTAAATAAATATAATATTTACTTATAAATTTAAGTAACAGCCTAAATAAAATGCTTTATATAATTATTTTAAAATGCAATAAATGCTGCATCTAAATATAGTTTATCTCTCATAAAATCTTGGAATGTTTGTAACTTTATTTTAGTTTCATGTTATTGTAGTTATTATTGCTAAGTCACTTACTCTGTCTTATCTTTCCATAGAATTAGATTGGAATCATTTGCTCCAGTCACTATATAAATATCTTGATTATCTCTCTTTATATCCAAGGCATAAATTTTACCAGTATGTTGTGAGAAAGTATTAATACAAGTTTATTTTTTGACATTCCATAATTTAATATTACCAATAGAATCAGTACTTATTAGTTCAGATCCTCTGGCAAGCCATTACACTTTTAGTTGAGGAGCCACTCCTTAGAAGGATTTAATGATAGAGCCATCACTAAGATTCCAGAGCTTAATAGTATTGTCTCCACTTGCAGAAGCCAATATTTTTTCAATTGGAGAAAACTATATATCCCAGACTCCTCTTTTGTGACCTTTAAGTGTCATCTTATTCATTAAATTTTCATCCCATAATTTAATAAGTCTATCTTAGGAAGATGTGGCAATAAGTTTATTATTTGGTGAGAATCGAACACAATTCATCTCTTTCTCATGAGCAACAACAGTTTTTATAGATTATTCAGATTGATAATTCTTTAAATCCCATAACTTAAGTGATTTGTCTTTTGAAACAGATGCAATATATTTGGAATTGACATCTATTGAAATTACATCATCAGAATGACCACTATATTTGTGTAACTCTATAGGTTGTTTGAATCCCTTATACTTGAATATAATGACGCAATTATCTTTGGATGCTGTTACTATTAGATCATCAATAAATTCACAACACATGATCACACTGTAATGAGCCTTCCATGCAATGACCTCCATGCTATCTAAATTTAATATCCTAAAAGATTGATATTTAATCTTACTTCATAAATGGGGAATTTGTAGCCAAAAGCAATTGGTTATTTTGAATAAACTTTACATCTAGTATTTCATCATTATATCCTAATAATAATTTTTACTATTGTATTTGTCCAGATACTAATTCAGTAATATAAATATGCAATTCACTTGTTATGATATACAATTTCTCATTGCAGTTAATAAATTTCAATATTTATTAGCCATTAAATTATGAATCTATAGCAATTTTTTTGTTTTGCTATTTAATATGTAAATCTCCAGATTCTGTACCTATGATAAGGGTATTTTTGAAATAAATGAATGTCTCAATTTCAATATCAAACTCTATGGTTTCAGTCAATTTTTATACGCTTGTGTCCCAAAATTTAATGTATTTATTGCAACTTGACACCAACATATGCTGACTAAACTAAATATGGGTTATCCTACTATTAAAGTCAACGAAACCGCACAGTATTCTGTTTGCTACTAAATCAAATAATGAGATGCGTCTGTCATCTGTGGCAATTGCCACTTGTAATTTCCTCATAATAGGAATCCATTATAATTTGAGAACACTTCCACTGACTCTGAATTCAGTACTTTGTTGGTTCTTTTTAACATTTATAATTTTGACCATGCAATTTGTACCACCTAAAGCCAAGTAGACATCTTCTGGACTAAATTACATATCAATGGCAAATAGAGGATCTGTCTTAATTGTAAATTAGGTGATATGATCATTCAATCTAACATATCTGAGCATATAATTCTTTGTAAATGTTGCGATATAATCATTTAGATTGCTCACACAAAAATTTGCTATTTCTTCTTGATTATGTTGAATTTTCTTATCAAGATATTGCACACAAAAATTGAAACATGTATATATCACATTATTTGTTATTTGTATTTTACCCCCTTGATAGAAAGGCAATAACTATTTAATTGGTTCTATATGCGTAATAAATTAATCCTCATTTATAATTTGAACCTATTTGGTTTCTTATTCTTTTTTATTAGGTACAATTTGTTTAGATTACAATGATAGTTTACTCAGTTTTAACCTAGTTAGACGCCTTGATTTAAGCAATTTGGTTGCTTATACGATTTTAACCATATATTATTATATAATTAATTATTAATAAGAAATTTGCAAAGCACTAAAAAAAATAAGTTAAATTAGATGAAAATCATTTGGTTTTGACAATGGTCTTGATATCCTTCCAGATATCATTTACAGGTCTTTCTGCATTTACTTCAAATAAAATGCCTTTTCTAAAATTAATATTTATTTTTAGTTACTTTCTGTAATAATCAATAATAGGAGATGTCTTATTCTAATACACATTTAATCTATTTCTGATTGTGGCCTCTTTATCATCTTCCCTCTAAACCAAAGGTTCACCAGTAACATCATCAACTCCATGAACCTTGGGAGGGTTGAATTTATAATGATAAGTCCTTCCTGAATTCAAATGAGTCCATCGGCCTCCAAGACGATCAACAACAACTTATTCTCGTACATTCATAAATATTGCTTAATCAATGGATTATCCACTTTGTTTGAGAATCTAATCAAGTTTTTCAGCTTAAGGAATAGTACGAGGGAATCCATCTAAAATGGCACCATTAGCACAAGCAGGTCTTACATAACAAAAGTAACATACTTGGCTAATTGTTATTTGATGAGATTGCACATAACTTCATCCTCAATCAATTCTCCTCTCTCCATGATTCCTTTTAGTTTCTTCCCGAATTCACTTCCTGATCTTACTTCTTCTCTCAATAAATCTCCAGTGGACAAATGGCACATACAGAAACGAGCCAGCATTTTAGCTGAGTGTGTTCCCTTGCCTAAGATGAATTAATTGTATTAAATACCTGCTCCTGGCATTCCTAACAATACAATTCTTTTTCTCAATGCTTCCTCTTGACATCTATATCTCCTATACAGTTCTTAAATTAAAGCAGCATTTGAAATCTTGGAGTAGGCTTGTGTATCCATTTGATTTTTTTATTATAATTAATAAGAGCTAATTTTTAATACTTTTTAAGATATATATCCTAAAATAATTATTATAAAAATTTATACTAAAAATTTAATATCTCGTCATTTTATTAATTAATCATTATTTTATAATTAAATAGTTCAAATTATGCCATTATATTTTCTTTTACTTCCTCATCGCTTGAGAATATCTTTCCAATATATTTGTTTAAGATGAGACTAATCTGAGTCTGAGGAAGAAATGATTTCCATCCATAAAAGAAACATTATTAAAATATAGATTTGATTATATTCAACTTCATACTAAACTTTGTTTCAGTTAGAAGAATTGGTTCTTCAATCTTATTTTAAATACAATCTAAGTCAATAAACACAGAAAAGAACAACAACTGATAATTCTTTTAATGTTTCATTTAATAAAGTACTTAGATATTTTGAAAATCAGATAGTGAATAGAAAATATGTTTATAAATAGAAGAAAATATAATAATAAATAAATATTGTCTTATTGATTGTTTTTAAATAGAATGTTATAGTTTCCTGTTTGGAATCCCTTATTATTTGGAATATCTAATGAAATAGCTTAAGTTAGATAGACGAGACAATAGTAGTTATTGATCTTTTAGTCACTAATCACTTAATTATTATTTAATAGCCTGATCCCATCTAGTTAGTATCCAAAATTAGTAGTAATATACATTAATTATTTTGTTAAATACAATAATATATTAGTAGAAATGGCTTTATTAATTATATTACATAATACAGATTATAAATAAATTGTGATTTAATTTATTTAAAATAATAATACGTTGATTAATTGCACACTTTAAGAATATTAGCATAAGATATGGTTTAAAAATAGAATTTGCTAATATTTAAAATTGATATTAAATGTAACATTTATTCAAATCATTCAATAGCAAATGCACTTTCCATTCATCTAACCTCCTAAAGGAAAGGTTGAGATAGATTATACCGGTTAAATAAGCTATATTAAGGGACATTAGAAAGCAATATGGATAGAAAGAGATCTGCAAAGTGACTGTGGATCAAGCCATAGGAGGAATGAGAAATGTGTTTGGATTGTTTTATGATATTTCACTGTTGGATTCAAAAACTGTACTTTGTATTGTTACTTGATAGGGTATCACATTCAGAGATTACAACATTCCAGAGATTTAGGAGTACCTCTAGAAGGCTAAGAATGGTAATGAGCCCTTGCCTGAAGCTTTGTTTTGGTTGTTATTGACAGGTGACTTTCCATCAGATCAAGAATTTAAATTTGTTTAAGAGGAATGGAAGAGAAGAGGAGAATTAGACTAAGAGACAGTGAAATTCATAACTAGTCTTCCAAAATAATTACATCCAATGACAATGTTGTCACAGAGTGTCTTATATTTACAAAAGGATTCAACATTTTAATAGGCTTATGAAAGCGGAAAAGCCACTAAACCATAATATTGGGAATACTACTATGAAGATGCTATGGACTTAGTTGCCAAACTTCCAAGAGTTGCAGCTTTAATTTATAGACATAAATATAAAGTAAATTAAATAATATATGTAAATAGAATGGTGAATTGATTAACAGTGACAGTTCATTAGATTGGGCAGCCAATTACTCTCATATGATGGGTTTCAATTAATTTGATGCATATGAATTATTTAGAATGTACTTAAGCATTCATGCAGATCATGAAGGAGGAAATGTGAGTGCCCATGCTACTCATTTAGTTGGTTCTGCTTTGGCTGATCAATACTTATCATATTCAGCTGGTATTAATGGTTTGGCTGGTCCTCTTCATGGCTTAGCAAATTAAGAAGTTCTTAAATGGTTGATTGAAATAAGAGTAAAATTAGTTCATAATACAAATAGGAAAAATTAGGAGATAAAGTATCAAATGAAAAGATCCAAGAATACGTGTTAAATACCATTAGAGAAGGAAAAGTAGTACCAGGATATGGACACGCTGTCTTAAGATATACTGATCCTAGATATATTCATTAAAAGAATTTTGCCGAAAGATTGATTAAGAATGATCCACTTGTTGAGCTCGTTAAATAATGCTATCATGTTATTCCCCCTGTTCTCAAGACAATAGGAAAGATTTAAAATCCATGGCCTAATGTTGATGCTCATTCAGGAGTTCTATTAAATCATTATGGATTGAAAGAATTTGAATATTACACAGTCGTGTTTGCTGTCTCAAGAGCCCTTGGATGCACAGCAAACTTGGTTTGGGCTAGAGCCTTTGGATTACCAATTGAAAGACCAGGATCTATTACTATGAGATGGATTGAAGAAAAGTTTGGAGAAAATTAATCTGTTAAATGAAAATGTTTTGTATGTTAAATTTAAAATAAAAATAATGCAATCTAAAGGACCTTCAGCATAATATCTATAGAAACTCATGATTGAAGATCCAAACAGAGCACCCGAACATGTTTTTAAGACCAATTAAAAATATGCTGAATACATTGCTTATTTAGGTTCATAAAAGGCTCCTATAACTGCATATACGAAATTGGCTTAATGGAAACAATACTCGTTCGAGAATGTAAATCTATTGATTGATCCTGCCAAAATATCCCCTTTGTTATCTGCACTCACAGATGAAAATAAACTATTAAAACATGAATGTTTCAAATAATCTAATGATATTGTTGAATTAACTACAATGGTTGAGAGATTAATTGATGACAATTTAGTAATAAAGAAGCACTTAGATTTGAAGACTAATGAAATGCAGCATTTTCTATTGAATTAAAAAACATAAATTAACGAGGAAATTTAGGATCTCAAATTTTAACTTTAATCGCTATAGGATGAGAATAATCTATTGATTACACATTTGGAAGGGTTGAGAAGAAATCAAAATGATGATGTGATCAACAATTTAGAAACTGAATTGAGTAATGCTCGAGATTTGTTTGAGTAATAGCAATAGAATTTCAAATAATGTCAAGAAAGAGAATACGATATTAGCAGAGAACTTGTTAGAATTAATTCATAATATAAAGAAGCTTTGGAGAAGATTGTTGAGTTATCCTCTTAATTAAGCAGTTATGAAGATAATAATCATGAACTCAGAAATTAAATCATGTTAATTTCTAATAAAATGAACATTATATAGAAGAATGCTTTCGACCAAGTCAACCAAAAGGAAATTGAACTTGAAAGTCTCTAAATTAAATTTAACTCTTTACTTAAGGACAATGATTCTTTAAAGGATTAATTTAGCCAATACGAATTTAAAATATAAGAATTGATTAAAGAGAATACTAGAATAGGTGAAGAGATGAAGATGTATTAGTTAATGAACAATGAACTTTTGAATCAAGAGAAAGATATTAAGAATCAATTGCAATTAGAGAAAATGAAAAAAAATCCTAATATTTCTGATGAGTAATTGACTAAGGAATAATTAATAAAAGAATGCAAAAGATTAGGGGAGTAATTAGAAAGAGCGCAGTTAGAATATATTAAATTAGATGATTTCTTGACAAAGCAAATTGATTTGTAAAAAAAGCAATCAGAATAAATTCTTGAGAACATGAAGATCAGATTCTAAAATTCTTTGGATAGCAGATAAGAATAAATTAATTAGTTAGAAAAATAAATTGCCTCATAGATTGAATAGATTAATATTCAAAAGAAAGAATTAGAAATCATTAATTTAGAGTATTAGGATATTAAATAAAAATAAGTATAATCTTCAATATTAAAAATAGGAAGATTAATCTTAGATAAAGAAATTAGTAGATTAATAAGTCATGGAAATCAGAGTTCTTAAAAGCTAATTGTAGGATAAGAAAATGCTGATCAATGAAATGTTAGAAGAAAAGGATAAAATGAGTAAGGTGTTTAAGAGTGAATAAATATCATCATAGTAAAATATTCATCTGTTGGAGGAAGAAATAAAATAGTTATAAAATCAATAAATCAAATATTAATCATAGAAGGAAGATCTGGAGAAGTTATTAGAAATCAATGATAACTTAAAATAAGAAATTCATCACATCCAATAATAATATAAGGATGTTTAGGCTCTATGTAGAGATGAAATTGAAAAAAGATAGAATGTATAATATTGATTAATAAAGTTATAAGTAGAAGCAGGCATCTAAGCTAATTAAATTGGAACACTAAAAGAGTAGATACGATACTTCTAAGATTAACAGCAAAGGAAAGATAAATTAGACTAAGTCTTATAGGAAAATCAGATTCTAAGGGCTCAACTTAAATAATGATTATAATATTAAATAAAATACGAAAAAACATAAACAAAACTATTCATCAAAATAAACTAAGATTATTATTGTCTATATGAAATGAATGCTTAAAAAAGCTAGCTGGTCTTTTATTTTGAGTACTGAAAAAATGGGATGAAATTTATGGTTTTTGAAGTCCATAAGTTTGTTGATATTTTTCATGTGTAGATCTGACATGAAAATTTTTGCTCCAAAGAGTGCTAAAGATTTATTCTTTTTTTTTATGAGTTTATTAGTCATAATGAGTAAGATCAATATCAATAACATCAGAAATTAAATTAATTAATTTGGAGACTGCTTAATTATTGTTACGTTTAGAGACCACTTATGATGTTTTACGAATGCTGTAATTACTAATGCTTCGTGTTTTGTTAATAATACAAGAGGTTGGTCTGCTTATTGCCATCTTATTTACTCTAGGTGAAAAAATCTCTTCCTTTGGTTTGCTAACAATTTGTTTCTATTTAAATATTCGTTAGTAGTACATAATTAGATTTCATTTAGGTTATAGTTCCATAGAGGGAAGAGAACAATTTGTTAAATTGTGATCTGCAATATTCGTGTAACCACTTCATAAGGAGAGGCATAAAAGGAATCTAATTTAATCCCCTTTATTACTTTATCATACAAATTATTCTTCTTGATCGCCTGTATCTATTGTAATCGATGGTTCATCCCAGATGCAATAAAAAATTAACCATAAAGTTCTGCTATGTCTAAAAATTCTCCAGACAAGTTCACCTTCACCTGGAATTGAGGTAACCACTACGTTATTAGTTTTAGTGATAAATGATAGAAGGACCTTCATCATTCAAATCTTATACATCAAATGTGTTTTCGATTTGTTTGGGACCAGCATTTCAATGAGAGCAAATTCCTATTCCACTCTTTGTTTCTCCTATTTAAGTGATTGAGTTAAGCATTTCTCATTAACATTAACAAAAGATAAGAAATCGGTTGGAGTTTTGATATGCTCAGTTTGGTTAAGTCTCTGCTAGATCGTCTTAGTATTGTTGGCTCTATCAAGCCCTATCTGTAAAAGCATCGAGAATATTTCAAATGTATTTGCCTCATGCATCACAGGATATAATGAATATGTGGACATAGGTTTTAAAATTTAATATATATGATTTTGTAAAATAATATGTCTTATTTCATCAACATGCCTTAAATTGTTTAACTCCTTTCTATCATATATTCTATATAATAATACAGGTTGACTGCAAGCCGGACAGACATGTGTAACATCTTGGCAATCTTTCAAATAAAATGGCAAGAAAGCTAAAAATGCTCCAAAAATGCACAGAGTGACACAGCATAACCAAGTGTGAGTTCCTGGCTTATGCTGTAATATAGAAACTGCCTAAACTCCGCAAGAACTGCATTTGAACATTACTGGCTAGCCAAATTCTTCGAATAACATAATTTCTATACCATCAAGTTATTCAGGTAATTAATACTACTCATTTGGTATATTCAATGGAATCTAGTCATCATTAGTTTATTACATATTTTATAAATAATTATAAAACGAATTTATGTTAATAACATAATTATAAAATTAACAAATTTTTACTATGTTTGATTACAAAACTGCATCAATTTTATGGGATTCTTTTTATTGAAAGTTTTGCTACTCTGACCATAAGATAATACTTTTCAAAAGTGTAAATTTGACACATATGTAAAGAGAATGAAAGTATTGAATTCAATTTTAACTTTTTATTTTATATATAATTTAAAATAATGTAGTTTAAACAAAATATTACCAAAATACTTAAAATTATTAATAAGATAACTATCTCGAAAATCTGAATTCCAATTGAAATTCTTGATTACCAAGATGTGAAAATATAATATCATGAAATTCTCATTGATAATAAATAAAGGATTTAATTGGTCTATAGAATTTAAGATATCATTGTGAAACAGATATACTTTGAGTCGCTTTAATTAGATTATCTGAGTATTTGGGAATTTCATCAGAGGAGTTAAATTTCTTCTATAATAAATCTCTAATTAAAATTTTATGAAAGAATAATTCAATATAAATTCTATATGACATATTATTGAGAAATAATTAAATATTTAGAATTGATGTTCAACAATACAGAAAATTAGTTGAAGAAATTATTGCTCATGGGTTAATAGAAGAGTGGAAAATCGTCTATGCATAAAGTTATCTTTGCTTGTGCTCCTATAAAAGAGCTTTAATAAATAGGAGTCACTACAAATGTTTCTAAAATTAATGTGAGATTTATGGGAAATCTCCATATAGATTTACTTGATATACCAGGCTAGGTAAATTTACTTTAACATCTTTAAGCCAGAGGAATAGAAAAAATACTTATTTGATTTAAAAGAGACTATTTTTTCTACTGTTGAAGTTCTAGTTTATTTATTTGATGTTGAGACAGAGGGAGAATAATTTAATTCTGAATTGATTACTTACAAAACTACACTGTCTAATTTATCAGAATATTCGCCAGGATCTAAAGTTTTTGTTTTAATAAATAAGTTTGATAAAATTAAGGAAAGCGACAGAAAAATGGTATTCGAGGTAAATATAAAATGCTATTCAGCGTAAATACAAAAAAATAATATAAGATTCTGAAGGATTTAATATAGAGGTGAAAGAAATATTTGCAACTTGTATATGGGATGAAACATTATATAAAGCATGGTCGCAGATCGTTTAGAACTTAATACCTGACAGAGATATAATTCATAACAGTTTGAAAACCTTTTGCACTAAATGCAGTTGTGATGAGGTTGTATTATTCGAAAAATAAAGTTATCTTGTTATTGATTTCGTAGATGTAAATGAGAAGAAAGGTATGTGTGTTAGTGTAATCTTAGATATATTAAAATATGAGAGGATATCTAATATTATTAAGCAGTTTAAACTCTCTTGCAAAATGGCTTAAATTGACATATAAACTATAATGGTAAAATCATAGAAATTTAATGTACAAATTGTAGAGTTTACTGATAATACGTTTATACTTCTTTTGTTTACTGACGAAAAAGTATATCCTGCTGCAATCTAACATAATGTATAATATGTAAATATTGTTTATAATTATGTAATAGGCTAAGAAACTATTTAAAAGCATCAATGGTTCTGAAACCGATAAATTGAAGTTGCTGCTGTGAAGTAAATGTGAATAATTTTATAATTAATTAATAATTTGAATTCCTCAGAATTATAAATTTTAAAGTTTAAACCACCTAAATTTAGAGACTATATTTTTAATTGAAATATATGGAGTCTGAATTTTTTAATTCCATTAAATTTTATGGAAATGTTGATTCTTCTGTAGTAATTTCATTACAAATGAAGTATGAATAGAATTGTTGGTTAAATATTATTTATTATTATAGAAATCAACTGTTAAGTTTAGCTGTAAGATCTTCTGATTTTTTTACTGAATCAACATGGTCAAAAACTAGATTATAGGCTTTTTAGACAACATCGATTTCAGCGAGCCTTTATTTTAATCATAGATTAATAATACCTTTGAGTTTATCTGCTAATATAAGCTTAATGATATTATTCCTTTTATTCTTTAGTTAATTGAAGTAATTCTTCAGTAATTGGAATATCAATAAGAAGTTATTCTTTTTAAGCCAAGACAATTTTCTATTAATATTTCTTAAGGTTCTTACTTGTTAATTGAATTTGTCATTGAATTATTGATTCAAGTTTTCAAGATCTGTGGATAATCTCTTTCTCAAAGTTTCAATTTCGGTCATAGAATTATCAAAATTAGTTGATGCCACTTCTTCAGCTGCAATGTCTTCATTTAAACTTTTAGTAGCTGCATCTCTAATTTACTCTAACTTCTCTAAAATTCTTTAAACTGTTGGAACATCGAATCTGGTTGTTAATTTAACCAAAATTGTGATTGGATGATTTGGTCCAAATTGTTCGTGACATTCACTGTGTATTTAAGCTAATATGGCTTATCTATTTTCATCCGTAGTTTATTCATCAACAGCTTTGCTTAGTTTTTGAATAATGAGATTTAATGCATTAATGACTTTATTTGCAGATTCAACTCTTCTATTATAAGCTTTGACATCAGCAGCCCTGGCATTTCTAATGAATTATTCTTGCTCATTCAGGATAGACAATTGTTTTTCATATGTAATAATAGTTTCTCTTAAAATGACCAATAATTCAGCCAAGGTTTAAATGAGAACATTTGCATTTGCCAAATCTGTATTTAATTTGGAGAGATCATCTTCCAATTCACTAATATTCTTAATCGAAAACTGTCATTTATCTTGAGTGTTCAACATCATCATCAACTTAATCTGATTTCAATGAATCCAACAATTCTTGGATTAGTTTCAGAACTTCATCAACTTAAGCTCCTGTCTCCAATTTGATTTGTACCAATTCTTTTAATTAATCACTATAGGGACTTTAGCCAAACTACAAGACTCAATACTTGTTCATACTTAGTGGAATGACTTCATCAATAATGAGGCTTAAGGTGTCATGGCTGATAAACATACCCCTATGGTCAAAAGCAATAAATTAAAACGGATTAAGCTCATATTTATATTATAAATTAATTATTGAACTGTGTTATTCATCTATATATTATTAAATTGAATTGATGAATCATTCATGTTAGACTTATTTCCTTACTGCATCACTTAATGAATATTCTGATCTCTCATAGGATTGTACTTACTAAAATAAAACTAATATATTACTTTGTCATTTACATAGTCATCAACTCTTTATTTAAACTTGTCTTCAGATGTTCCAACTTAGGTAGAATAGATTCTGTATACATCAGTGAATAAGTTAAGTTCTTCTTGTAATCTAGCTTTATTTTTATTATATTAGGTCTCTTCTATTTTTAAGTCCTATCCATATTTTATGTTAGAGATACTTCAATTGCTCTTTATTATTATTGTTGTATAGCAACGCCTCTTTCTCTACAATTTACTGCAGCTAGTCTAGCTTAGACTAATTGTTCTTAGAGTTTAATGATATTTTTCTCTTCAGATGATAGGTCATAATTGATTTGTTCGTTCTCAATATCAATTGCTCCTTTAAAGTCAGCCAATGTGACTCCAGTTGTGATTTCTAAATTTTAAGAGTTTTTTATTTATTCTCTGATGTATCTCTCCATATCATCAAGCATTTCAATCAATTGTCCTTTAACAGTATTGATATTTCCTTAGGAGGATGGGGTCACTTAAGTCCAATCTATGAACATTGTATCAGCAAACTCATGTGCCAATTCTACGAGTTCTGACATTTTTGCAGATTTATACATGGTCAAGAATTTCTCTACGTATGCTCCATATCTATTTAATTAATTGTTATCCAAGTTTTATAGGGAATTTCTCAAAAATATTATAAGTCTCAATGTCATGTTATCATTTTTAACTCTCTCAATATAGTTGGTTGAATGAGTGCATCTAAATTATATTTGTATCAGCTACCTATTACTGTCAAGGATTTCTACTCTTTTTGCATTTTCAACTAGTCTTCTTTACAAATACGCAATGAATTTATTTGTTTTATCAATGTCCGATTCTCTATCAGAAACTGATTTATCTCGACTTGCGCATAAAAAGTTTTATTCTTAAATGGCTTTGCCCAAATTAAAAATGATGTTCTCTTTCAGCTAAAAAGGTCTATTACATTCAATACATTTTTGGAAACTGTGTAATCTGTATTGAGTGCTGTAAGTTCAACAGCTGATGCTCCCTTTAAGTCAGCCAACAATTTCTCTACTGTATCGACTTCGTTCTGACACAAAACACCAACAAATAACAATAATAAAAGGCTCTTCATGCCGTTTTTTAATTTTTTTATATTAAATAAGTTTCTATAATAACAATCAAAATACTAATACAATCAACCTGGAGGAGCTAAAATTTTGGTCTTGTCTTTAATATTATAAACAAAATGATGAAAACATAGTCTAAATTAAATTGAATAGAATGCCTTAATTTATTGTAATTAAAATTTTAGATTCTCAAATATTTACTGTTATCCAGGAAATAATTTAATAAAATCTTAAATAAACTGTAGAATTTGTAGTATTTTTGAACAAAACAAACTTCCTTTAAAAAGGAATTAGAACAATCAGATTCTATCTTATAGTTGATATAAATTAAATTAAATTTCTAAACCAATTCTTTAATCCATTTTAATCTACAAATTTCAATTTACTATTTATATATTTGTACTTTAAAGAATTATAAAACTAAAGGAGTGAGTAATTCTGAGGAGTTAATCAAGTAAGAATCTTTAAAAATAACATTATTGTTCTTCTCTTTTGTTTATTATAAATAAACATCATTTTTTTGCTTATTAAGCTGCTTACTTCTTTTTCTCAGCCTCAAGTCTTTCTTTCTCTTTTTGATCTAACCATTCTTTTTTTGCTGCTTCAAAATTTCTTTCATATTTTATATCCTATTGGGTTGCTATATTTTGTAAAGTTGTTCTTCCTTAAGGACCTTCAGCATTCTTTCTACCATTTTAAGGTCCTTTTTTATCTGTTCCATTCTTAAGATCTTCTAATAGCTTTAACTATAAAATAATTGATAATGTAATATACAGTATTTTCAGGTGTTAAATCTTCATATACCCATTCATTATTAACTTGCATCATTGGTGCATTGGCACATGCTCCTAAGCATTCAACTTCCTATAGTGTATACAAACCATCAGCAGTTGTCTCTCCATTTTTAATATTCAATTTTTATTCAATTGTTTTAATTATATCCTTAGATCCGCATAATTAGCATGGAGTAGTACCACAGACTTAAAGATGAAACTTTCCGACTCTCTCTCTATTAAACATAGAATAAAATGATGCTGTTTCAAAGACATCCATTTCAGGGATTTCTAAAATTTTAGCAATCTAGTAAATTAAAATCTCATTCAACCTTCTTCATTGCAGATAAACTCAAAAAGTTATTATTTTATTTTTATGCAAGCATAAGTAGAGGTATGGTGCCTGATTTTTTCTCATTCGATGGGAATTTTGTTAAAATGGCTTCGATTTTTTTGTAGTTTTCATCTGTGAAATCAAATGGTACTGAATCACTATTGTCATCTCTATTTCTATGAGCAACAAATATGCTAGAGAATCTTTGAATAGATTTTAGTTATGCTAATTATGCAAACTTTTATATCATAATTTAATTAATAAATATTATATATTTTTATATATATATTAAGTAGAAAATTAACATTTCATTGTTTTAATCAAACTAAATATGAATGATTATCAAGAACATATTAAGAATGATAATGAAATATTGATAATATTATCATTTATGATTACTTATTTTAAGGAATTTTGAACTTAGAACTCTCCTTATTTGCATAAAAGTAATGGATATACCAAATAAAATGAATAAATATTATATTAGTTATTCTAATGCTATAAAAGAATCCTAATGTAAATAGATAATAGTAAATGTTTTGTTAAAAATCTTAAAAATTAAATTTCTTTTTGATTAAAAATGAGTAGTGTGCAATTCGTCAATTCTAAAGCTGAAGTGCTACGTAAATATCAAGCATTAGCAATGAACATAAATGCTGCAGCTGGTTTAATGGAAGTCATGAAATCCAACTTAGGACCAAAGGGTACCTTAAAAATGCTTGTGGGAGGAGCTGGATAAATAAAACTTACAAAAGATGGTGCTGTCCTTTTGTCAGAAATGTAAATTCAGCATCCAACAGCAGCTATGATAGCTAGAAGTGCTACAGCATAGGATGATATTATTGGTGATGGTACAACAAGCAATGTTTTGTTAATTGGCGCATTAATGAAATAGGCTGAAAGATTATTGGCTGAAGGAATTCACCCTAGAGTAATTACAGAAGGATATGAACTCGCAAGAAAGGAGGCCCTATCATATTTAGATTCTTTCAAATATTAGTAAATCGATAAAGCTGTGTTAATAAATGTGGCCAGAACTTCCTTAAATAGCAAATTGACACCAGATGTTGCAAATTAGTATATTAGCTTATGAAAATATTTAGAATAATAGAGATAGTGGTCGATGCAGTTTAAATTGTGTAAGTGCCTGAGAAGCCAATAGATTTATTTATGGTTGAGATCATGCATATGTAACATAAGATGGGAGCAGAAACAGAATTGATTAGAGGATTAGTGTTGGATCATGGAGCAAGACATCCAGATATGCCAAAGTTTGTTAAGAAATGTTACATCTTAAATTTGAATGTCTCATTGGAATATGAGAAGACTGAAGTAAATCAAACATAAATAAATAGGTTCACAGTGGATTCTTCTATAATACAGCTGAGGACAGAGAGAAATTAGCTAGATCTGAAAGAAAATTGACAGATGACAAATGTCAATAAATTATTGATTTCAAGAGAAAGGTGTGTGAGAAGAATGGTTATGGATTTGCAGTTATCAATTAAAAAGGAATTGATCCAGTCTGTTTAGAGATGTTTGCCAAAGAAGGCATTGTTGGTATCAGAAGAGCAAAAAAGAGAAATATGGAAAGAATTGCAAAGGCCTGTGGTGGTAATTCAGTCAATGCAGTTGAAGATATGTCAGAAAGTGATCTTGGATATTGTGAAGTGGTAATCATATTATTTTATAATTAGTTAAGAGAATATACCTTAGGAGAGGAGAAGTATACCTTTATTGAAGGAGTATAAAATCCTACTTCATGCACAATTTTGATTAGAGGACCAAATGAACATACTATTGCCTAAATCAAGGATGCTATTAGGGATGGATTAAGAGCTGTTAAAAATGCAGTTGAAGATAAATGTGTTGTTCCTGGAGCTGGTGCCTTTGAAATTGCCACTAGTGTTCATCTTTAAAAGTTTAAAGATTCTGTTGCTGGAAAGGCTAAATTAGGAGTCTAAGCATTTGCTGATTCATTACTAGTTATTCCAAAAGCTTTAGCAGAAAATTGTGGATATGATGTTTAAGAAACACTCATTTTAGTTATTGACGAATATATTAAAAATAAGATTCCAGTTGGAGTGAATGTGAATGAATAAGGTTTTATAGCTCCAATTGCTGATGGCATTTTCGACAATTATTGTTCCAAAAGATCTTGGTTAAACATTGCACCAACATTAGCCTAATAATTATTATTAGTTGATGAAGTAAACTTAATTATCATACATTTAGATTATGAGAGCAGGAAAACAAGCAGGTGGTGCACCATAATGATATAATTATATTTAAATTTATACATGAATAGTCAATTTATCATTCTTGAGTTTTCACTATAATTTGACGAATCTTATTTTCTAACCATTTCATGTAAGCAGAATTTTGATATAAATGTTTTAAAATAAATTAATATCCAAAATTTAAACAAACTCTAATGACAATAAACAAATTTTATAATTTGTTAACAATAATAAATTATAGGATTAGACTTCCTTTTTATTACTTTTCGAACAAATTAAAATACTTTAATTTTAAGCATTATTAATTACATAATTGGTTGATATTTATAAGATTTCTTTTACATTTTGAAAAGATAATAATTATTATAACTTTTAGATTGCCTGATGTCATCTTTTCTGACAATATAAAAAGCTATAAATAAAGAAAAAAGTGAGCAGTTATCCAAATAAGCTTAAAAAAAGAGGCGTAAAAACCAATACTCTGTAGACTTTGAATTTGGCAGTAACGTAGATGTCACTTTACTTAAAGAAATTTTAGTAATAACTTAAAATATACCTCAATATGTACCTGAAAAAATCATCTTCAGATTGAATTCTAACATATAGTTCCCTATTATTGTTGATTCTGAACAATAGCTAGGATTTTTGAATATTGATCCTCATTCCTACAATTACAAAGTAGCTAGGTACAACAAATAAAATAACTATCACATTTTTAACTTAGAACCAATTCAAAGGGAGTTTACATCTCTTGAGAAAATTAAGGAAATATTAATGAAAGAGGAAGAGCAATTGTTTGAGAGTTTCGAATAATTTCATAACAAAAATACAGATATTTCGAAATACAATGTAGTAACGGAATCAAAACTTATAGAATTTGAGAGGAGCATCCAAGTTCCATTTACATTATATATACAAAAGAATTAAAATGGAATTGTCACCACGTCAGCAAGAATAATGAATGATGCCTATCTCTAAATGGTAGGAGTTAATGAAGAAATGCTTAAGGATTACGTGTTTAAGACAGGAATGATTCCCTATTCTTTTACTGGCGATGGGAATTATAAATGGTCTTAAACATTGGCTTAAATATTTAAAAGCAATGCTTCTTAAGCATTTGGAGAACTGACTATAGTTAATTATCAAGGTCAAAAGTTTCCTGCCAGATTGTATTCTTAAAACTTCCATATTTTCGATTAAGATGACAATTCTTATTCTGAATACCTTTACTATTTTTACGATGTTGAACAGAGGTGGATGAATCAGAATCAAATAGATGAAAACTGTTTAGATTATTTCAATAGAAGGTCAATAAATATTAATGAAGACACAAATGAGGTCGAGTATCAAAAGAGATGTAAATATCGATAATTATGACTGACTAAAATATTTAAAATATTTAGTATAATTATTTTCATATTATTACAATTTAAAAACAATCAGATTGGCCATCATTGCACTTTCATCATCTAAAAGCATTTGCAGATTTTATTTATTTATTCCAAAATTATTATAAAAACCTTTGTAATGTATTTTTGATATATAAATAAACTCAATTAAGAAAATAAGGGTAGAGTGGATGAATAAACATTTCCATATGATAAATTTATAAATAGAGGATTTCATATGAAAATAGTTGTTTATCTACATTTTTAATGAGGGTGTTTAATATTATATAAATTTTAGTTAAAATTATGTAAAGAATTGTTTATAAATTAAAAATTAATTAAATGATTATTCCTGAAAAATTTAGTGGTTTAGATCTCTCAAGCATTAAACCAATTATGAATCAGAATTTGATAGTAGCAAACAAATACAATTATCGTATCTACTCTATTCCTGATTTGAAATATATATTAGACGGCATCATTTTTAATTAAAAAATAAGAGCAATGTATTGCTAGAATGAATTCATGTATGTAGGATGTGGAAAGAAAGTTTATACAATTAAAAGAAATGTAATAGATGAAAAGGAATACGATGACAAAATTGAATAAATTTTAGTATTTCACCCAATCAAGATAATAGCCACAAAACATAAATTACATATAAATGATAATGTGATGAGCTTTTAAGGTATTAAAGGTATTCTTCACATTCCCACATATTTAAATAAAATTCTTTTGTACACCTCCCAATACATCAAAATAATTAACATAGTTTCTCTCAGCATCGTAACAACAATATTTTAATAATCCATTTTCAATAAATAAGAATAAACAATTCATTTAATTAAGGAAACATAAGCATTAGATATAGTGGCCATTGCCACTCAAAATCCAAGTGAAATTATATTTTTCAACTTAATGACATATGAAGTCATTACTCAATATGAATTGGGATTGTCCCAAATCAAAGATATTCAATTCAATAAATCTGGAAGTATTCCCATTATGAGTGTTGTCTAAGACAAATCCTTAATTTTATACAATCTAAACTCACAAGAACTAATATATACATTTAAGCACGAACACTTAATTGATTGGGTTTTGTTTTTGGCAAATAATAATTTAGTGATAGGTTCCTAATAAGGAAATAGTATTCAACAATATACAATCGAAGAACATAAAATGATGTAGTTAATAAGGGAAAGGCAAGGTGTCAAATAAAATATTGAATAATGCCATTTTTATGGATAATTGGGAGAACCATAAATTAATTATGTTGCAATAACAAAAGATGAGATACTCTACTAATCAATTGTAAACCAAAACCTTACAGCTATAAAATAAGGATAAATAAGGAATTTTTCTTTTTCTACTTTGAGAGAAAATGATTGGGCTAATATGTTGACAACAAATAGTTCAAATTATGTTGAATTTTGGAATACCTATTAAAAAAAACTAACCACAAAAGTGAATGGACTAACTAGTCACGAAAGGATATTACAAACCTTTGTTTCTAAATGTGGAAACTATGGATTTATTGCAAACCTTAATAAGATTCATAAGTTCATAATGCAGAGTGGATTTTATTAGATGTCATATGTAAATTTATTGTTTTAAATTGTAGAATTTATAATCAAATTTCTTGTAAATGTACATAGATCCATCTAATATATTCTTGATTGTTGCTGAAGAGGGTTAAATTGAGTAATTGGATTTTGTCTCTGGTTAAAACTTAAAAACCTTAATGATTGAATCAAACGTTACAAAGATTATTGGATCACAATCAACTTAAATTGCTGTTTTATCCTTGCAAAATCATAAAATTTTAGCAATTGATTATTCAGCCATGAAAATTATTCGATCATTTGAAGGTCATAATGAAAAAGTAGATTAATATATATTATCAATAGATTTTGGATATGGCTATGACTATAAATAATTAACATTTCATATCAACATCTCTTGATAAGAAGATTAAGATTTGGAATTTAATTTACGGAAATTTAGTCTAAGAAATTTCTATCAACAAGGCTCTCATTTCAATAGACGTTTCAGAAAATCAATTAATAGGAGTATTTCTCAATTCAAGACAAGTCAATGTTTGGATGAGTAACCTAAATAATCCTTAACAAATTGCAAAGGCAAAATTAAAATGTCATATTAATTTTCATTCTGACCTCTCTATAAAATCAAAGGATTATAGATCAATTTTATATGGTAATCAGATTAAATTGGCTTAAAAGATGGAAGAAGAAAAAGATTCCAAAGAGAAATTGCTAATTAACGACTCATCTAATAATAAAGAATTTATTAGTTTCACAACTTTAGAAGAAGGAAGATGGGTTCCTATACAAAACATTGATTAAATTAGGGAAAGAAATAGAGTCAAGCTTGCTGATGCTGATGTAAAAATGCCATTCTTTTTGGATTTCAGAAATACTGATGTTGAAAAATAGAATATGTTAAATGAAATTAAGGAATAAGTAAAGGAAAAAACTAAAATTTTAAAATAAAAGAAAGATCATTATTTAGCTGAATTGAAATCGGAATTTGAAGTTTTAGTCGAGTAAGAGGATGTTAAATTAATTAATTTAATCAAAACTTTAAGTCCTTCTTCATATGATTATGAATTAAGAAGTATATTGATGGGTAAACCACAGAATTAAATTAAGATTTTTAGAATATTTGAAGAAAGTCTTCAAACTACAACTGATTTAGATCTAAAAGTCACATACTTGATGAGATTTATAGAAGTAATTTAATACTGCAAACATATTAGGTAGCTAGAGAAGATATCGATTTATCATTGGACGAAGAGTTAAAACAAACCTTGTTGAAGATAATATAGATCTTAGAATCATAATGGGATAAGTTAGATGATACAAGATCCTATATTGAGTGCGTTATTGATTATTCTAAAACTATAATTTGATTTTTAATTTAGAGTATTTAAATTTAAACAAAATATTATTCCATATCTCTATTTAATTATATATTAGTTTATTATTTGATCAATCTGCTCCTCTATATATCATATCTTATATAGAGTTTATTGAAGTACCACTAAAACATTGAGAGATAAAGGAAAAAAAGTTGAAACATTAAATTTTCATTCAATTTCTCTTGAAATTTTTGATCTTCAAATCCCTTTATTTTTTAATATATATTAAAATAATTTTAAACAATCAATTTTAATCATAATAATAGAATTGCTCTCTCAAAATAAAATTCATTTCCTTATCACAGTATAAGTATATTTATATCATTTATTTAATAATTAAATACAATTAGACTTATATATTTTAATATTTGATAATCTCATCTAATAAAATTCATTTTGATTAAGTGTTTTTTGTTGTTATTGATCAAATGATACTACATAAGAGGAATTATCTAAATTATATAGATCTAAGTAACTATATATATTTTTTGTTTGAAAGCATAAAATATTTGCCCATTAATTAGTAAAACCGATCAGATATATTCAAAATTACAGTTAGTAATCCCCCATTTAAGATATTTAGTTACAATAATCAGAAATATACCAAACAAACATATTTTTTTTGAATAATATTGGAAAAATTAAAAAATATTCGATAGGAATTTTGATGGTTGAATAGATTTGAAAAATAATATATTATGCGTATGATTAAATAAGAATCAGGTTGTATTTCATATTTGACTCAACACTTTTATAAATTAAGTTATATTAGATGTCTATACAATATATGTTGACTTGTTGATTTGATATTCGAATTATACACATATCCTATAGCTTCTTTCTTTAGAAACCTATTTGATAGGATTCTAAATAATTTTTATTATTTATCGTCATTGGTATACTTAATTAAATGTTTAACATTTTTTATGTTATTTTTTAATTACGTGAGCAATTTTAGAAATTCTATGCCTTGCTTTTCGCCCAAATATTTTAAGACTTCAATCCTTTGTCTTAAAATGTATTGGACAATAGCTTTGGCATAATTTTTTTAAATATTTGTAGATTTTTATGAAAGACTGTTTGATTGTAATATATTTTTAGATTTTTTTTTCATTACCACTGAATCGATGCTCTCCACAGATTCTTAAATTTATTTTTCATTCAAAAGTGAACAAGAAGGTTATAAAGGTGCTTCTAGTGAAGTAATTTAAGGAGTTTATGAGGTTAGTTAGGTTGTCAAAGAATTACTTAAATTTCCATCAGGCTATCCTTAATTCCCAGTAAGCACAGGAATGAAGTATAGAGGATAAAAAAGAGGTTATTAAGGTTATGCATAAAGATTATAAGCAGGTAAAAATTATTGATTCCACATTAGATTTAATAAATATTAACATCGATTCATATGTTAATTTATAAACAATTGATTTCGGTTTATTCGTTCAATTAAAATTTTCAAAAAATTCTGTTTATTTCATTAAAATTTTGAATATCATAATGATTTTTTGATTATTTTCCAAAAATTCATTAAAAATATGATTTATATTGATTTTTTAAGTAGAAGTGAGGTAGGTTCTACTACCTTAGCAGTATTTTCCTTTCACTGAATTTAATTTTGAATTACTAGATTTTCGGTTTTTAATGAAAACTAAATTTAGTAAAATTACTTTTTAGAACCACTTTCTTCAATTATTCCTTAACAAAAATCAACATTTGTATGAATGTGAATAATGAGTAACACTTAATCTACTGATCAGCTTGATTATATTCTTTCTGGAAAATCATTATAATAAATATATGTAATGTCCTCTTCCATAATTGAATTGTTTATTATATTCAGTTAAATAACTTGTTATTATCTAATAATTCTTCTCTGATTATTTATTTCAACATCTAAACATCCATTAGTATTTTTTTAAACAAGGTGTACGTAACAGAAACATATTATTAGACTTTTGTCATAGTATATTCTTAAAAATTATTAAGCAAAGCCGCTGACCCTTTTGTATTACTTTTGGTGGTTATCTGAATTTATGCCTCATTTCTAGAGGACTTAAAGAAAATATTAAAATTTCTTTCTTTGGTTTTTTATGTTATTCCAAAATTTATTGTAAAATTTTAAAACTCAAATAAATACAATAATATTAATAGGTCTACAAAAATATCAGTATCATTCAGAGACATCATTTAAAGAATTCATTATAAGGTATTCAAGATTAGTATGAAAAATATAATAATTTTATTAATGCAGTAGAAAATGTAAAAAAAAGTATTTTAGGATTGTCAAATTATATTTGAATCTCAATTCGTGAACTAATTTAACTTAAGTAAATTCCTTAAAGTACCAGAATAATATTTAATAATTATAAATGAAATATTATTATTTATGAATATTATTTATTGAATTTCAACATCTTAGAAGACTATGGTGGATCAATTTTTTGTGTCTAAGATGGCTATTCTTTTTTAATATTCTTGAGTTGAATATATAAGAATTACTTTTTGTTCTTAGGAAATAGTTTCTAAAAATAATTTACAAATAATAATACCCTAAAATTCTAAAAGCCTTAATAAAATCTTAATTGTTTGTATATTGAGAAATATGACTAACATTTTAGATCTAGTTTTTTATTAGCTTTATTAATTAAATAAACTCATCGACTTCTTAATTGCCTAAGATTTTTGAAGCTAATGATTTATTTTTATAAACAAAGCCAGCAATGGCTTTAGCGTAATTCTTTTGTATATTCTTTGACTCTTTTTCAAATTAAACTTAGTTGTTTAAGTGATTTGATGATTTTGATTTTTTTTCCTATATTTATATTGGCTTATCTTATGCAGTCTTGGCATCAATTATAGCCGATTAATGTGGAGTAGATGAAGAAATTTCTGTTTCCTTTTGTTGTGGTTATTCTACTCTTGTTTAGTTGAGCTCTGGAATTTCAACTTGGGGAAGCTATTATATTAATTCATTTTAGGGCACAAATGTTTAAAATGGTTAAAGCTGGACATAGTAATTGAATTAAGGTGAAGATTAAAAGAGTGGGACATAAACAAAAGCTGTTTATTAATGAGGGTATGAAGGAATAAAGCAAGGGAGGTTAAAGTTCATTAGTTTTAGAGACTCTAGTTTTGATGTTAGATTAAAAAGAAGATTTAATTAATCAAAAGTACTAGATTTTTTTGTGTTAATTATCCAAGTATATTTCAGTACTCAATCCTTATATATTTATTTAAGTGGTTTCTAAAGATCTGATCTAGAAAATGAAACCTTAATATATTAAATTAAGTATAAACTGTCAGAAAATGAGTAAAAATAGATCATAAAGAGAACAAAGTTTCTATTTAAAACCAAATGTTTGTTTAAAATTAGAAGTTATATAGAAATTAAATAAACATTATAACTTCTACGCATCTCATTTAATAAATATCTGATGCAATCTGACTTAGAATGCATAAAATTAATAAGTGATGATTATTAATTGTGATTTTTTATGTTTATGAGCCCTATCTAATAGTTCAGCATTTTTTTAATTATATTTTTTCATTTACTTATTTTCTCGGTTTCTAATTATTTTTTTTGTTTGCTTGTTGTGGGAAAATATTTAAGGTTTTAATTTTTACTAATTTAAATTATTTTTAGTGGTTTATAAGGTATTATATGTTGAAATTAAACAATATTTATTATTCTAAGACTTTTTTCAAATATGGAATCTATAAATAATAATATGCAATGCTCAAATCAACTTATTTATTATCAAAAAATTTTCATATTAAATTATTTTCAGATACTCAAAAGTGTGTAAATAATAAGATATTTATTATATATTGTTGAGAGCATTACCAGTTTATCAAAATGTATTTATTGAAAATTAAATAAATAAATGAAAAGGTTTTACTACGAATATTACTAACAAATAAACAATAGAAGAAAAACACTCAATAATAAGAGTGAATTATTTATTGGAAAAAAGGAGAACGAGGGATCAACTATTCATTCTATTGAATAGTTAAAATCGAAAAAGTTTTCTATTTCAAGGCCAATAAGTTCAATTAGTCTTAAGAGAAATAGCACACCTTAAATCGATAACAGTTTTAATCTAATAAGTCTCAATGAATTTGCATTGATTTAATAATATAAATCAGTGAATTTATTGTCACATTAGCTAAACCGATCATCAAATAAATAATTCAGAAAAAGGATTATCAGTTCAGATAAAACCCAATAGCTTCGACCATTTCCAAACAAATCGATAATTATATCAAATTTTAATGTGGAATGATTGATTATAATTTACATAATCATCATTTTTAAATTTAAAAAGCCATCTCTCACAATTCACTAGATGAAAGTGTTCATATATCATGAGAAATTCAAATGATTTAGTTAATTCTGTTAATGTAATTATTCAAAAAATTTTTTGGTTTATTGTACTAATTATTAATTGGATTAAAAGAATATAAAAGAATAATTTTTAAGAAATAAGTAGATACCTATTACTGTTTCATTAAGAAGAATTTGCTCCTATTTTTTCCTATGAATCTAAAGGTTCATAAAACTCTTGAATTATTAGAGAATTTATAAGAGTAATTAGTGTGTAAGATAAGAAATATTATACTACAAAAAACTAGATTCCAAAGTAGTGTAAATAATTTTTGCTAATATTTTATTTATTCATTGAAGCAAAAAGATAATTTTTTTATGATAATTTTCACCATGTTAAATTGCCTTATTATTATATGATAAGAATAGGTAAAAATTGAGAATATTTCTAATACATAAATAAAATATCAATACTTAAGTTTACAATTATAGTTTTAATAGAAAGAGCTCACATTATTTTACTATCGAAAGATAGATATATTTTTAATAAAGATTGTTCTCAACTAAAATATCCATAGGGTTAGATGATTGAAAATTTAAGGATAGCATACTTGGTAATCCAAAGATTCTTTCTAATTTCAAATAAAATCAATATTATATATGGTGTTGGTAATGGGCAAGTTTTTGGTTTTCAGTGTGTTTATTTCTGATTTTCTTAAATCTATAGGGATTTATTAGATTATAATGAATATAAATCTTGAGAACCAAATATAATATAGATGAAACTCAAAAAGAAACTTTGGAAATATGGATAAAGATAAAGAGTCAAAGAAAGGTGAAATTAAAATCTAAAGAATGGTGAAGGAAGTTATGAAATTAAAAATGTAAATTATTTATGACATCTAATGAGTCTAACTTCATCAATATTTTTATAAGAATAAAATTTTATTTCATGTTTCAGAACAAAAATATAATTAAAGAATTTTTATTAATTAATATTTCAGATGTCTTTCCAACCATGCAAAATACTATCCTTGATTTCCCCCAATTAGTTTTTGATTTAATCTTAATAATAAAAGACTATTATTGTTGGGAATGGAATTCCAAATTTTTTAACAAGGAGCAAATTAAATGTTAATCAAAAAGCTCTTGAAATCTATTTTTAATAATTGCAATATGTTAATAAAGACGCATAATACATGACCAAAACTAACTAAATACAAATAAATGGATCAGACTTAATTTAAGAGATTAAAGATGAAACAGAAATTCATTTAAAACTGATTGGGGTTTAAAATGAAGAAGCAAAATAAACCCAACCAGTTTTAGATTTCATTAAATAGCATAGAAATAAATCTATTGATGCAATCTTGGTTTCCTTCGAAGGAAATATTTTAAATTTCCTTTATAATAAAGATACATTAATAAGTTTAATACCTAATGCAATTTATATTGATGGTAATCATTGTAATTTAAAAAGAATTTGCAATTTAAGACTAAGGTTACTCTAAATTAATGTAGAAGGATTGGCTTAATAGAGAATTTAGTATAACTTTCAAAGGAACTTAAATTTTGACAGTAAATCATTAAAGGAATTTTATTCATTTCCCAATTTTAAAAGCTGACTTGTATCCTACTAGCTAAAAAGATTCTGAATTAGGAAATGAATTCTATTCTTCATTAATTTCAAGTGGATTTGCATTTATTACTGACTGGGGGTAAACATTTAAGTAATTATAGCAAATTGAATTTACCGCAAAATTCTTTTCAATTATTGTTCTAAAACTAAGAGGAGGCTAAAAAAAACAATTTAGGACTTTGGAAGAACGGAGAATTGGATAGAAGAATGCTGAATTCAGTTAGTTCATAAAGGACAGGATAAATTGTTGAAATTATTGAAGCTAATTAATACTTAGTGAAAACAGATAAAGGGATATTGACAATTAAATTAGATAGAATTTTCATCGAAGGATTAGAAGCAAAGGAATTTGCTAGAAAAATATTAATAGGAAAGCAAGTTCATATTCTGGAGGTAGGAGACAATATGCCATTGCAAACTATACAATTGTGTGATAATAATTTAGATATTGAAGAAGAACTTATTGCCAATGGATGGGCAACACCTAAGGAGAATCATCCTTAGTTATCAAAGTTTAAATTTCAGCAATTTTAATAAATGAATCTATTAGCTAAATAGAGGAAAATAGGACAATATAGTCCAGAACTGAATTGGAGAATTGAAGATTAAACAGATTAGAAACAAGGAAAGAGTGTAAATGAAATAATTTGGTCTAGTATTTAAAGGGACAAATAAACTTAAAAATAATCATCTGTGACTACTGGTATTGCAAGCAAGGAAGATTTTCAAATAGAAGCATTGGTTGATAAAATATTGCCTAATGGGTCATTTATCATAACTCTCTTAAAGTATCATTCAATGGTTAACTTTACTATATAAGGAATAGCAAAACTATCAGAATTTGCTGCCAGTTTTCCTAATGTTACCAAATATTAAGAGTAAAGGCAATAGTTTAGTTATAATATTTTAATGTAAAGAAATACTTGGATTGAATTTGAAAGTTTTAATATTTTGGAAAATATGTTTTATGGAAAGATTTATGAAAAGAAAAACAATAGAGACACTGATTTCACTTTACAATTACTTAGGGAAGGTTTAACATTTATCAAAAATAATACTGAGTTTTATAGCAAATATGAAGAGGCATAGAAAGAGGCAGAAAAACAGAAGAAAGGGTTTTGGAATGAATCCTATGCTTAATTTATAATCGACTTTTCATAAAATAAACAAACTTTGAAAAAATAAATAAGTAATTAGGGAAACATATAGAAAAATGAAAATCAACAAATCTAATAAGTGGTAGTAACTGCTGTTAATGATTGCAAAGAGTTTTATATTAGAAAAGAAAATAATCCTGAATTTGAGGATTTGGAAGTTCAAATTGAAAAGGCAGCATTGATTGTAATGATATTGTCTTATTTGTATTTAGCCTCTCAAGAAACCAGTGAAGAAAGGAACCTTATGTTTAGCAACATTTAGCGAAGACAACAGAATTTACAGAGCATAAGTATTATAAGCATTTAAGAATGATAAATTCCTTGTCAAATTTATAGATTACGGCAATAATGATGAGGTCAACTACTAAGATATGGGTGTATTACCAGCTTAATTTACTAACATACCTTAATAGGCTAAATTGTGTTCTTTAGCTTACTTGAGAGTTCCTCCATCATCACATGAATATGCAGAAGAGGCATCTGATTAATTTAGGGAATTACTACTTGATAAATAATTTGATTCTAAAGTTGCTTATACAGAGAAATCAACAAATAGATAATTTATAACTCTTTAACCCTAATCTAAACCAGATGAATTATAATTCACTATTAACAAAATTGCATTAGAATAAGGGTATAATTTATATCTAAATTAACTAGACTAGGAAGAATAGATAATAGAGTTTTGTATAATCCTCTGAAAGAGTTCAAAAACTTTGAGGTAGAGGCAAAAGCAAATGGAATTGGTATTTGGGGATTTGATGATTGTTTAGAAGATGAAAAACAATTTGAAGATGAATATGATTATTACGATTCATGAATTGATTTCATTAATATTGTCCAATTTACATATTTATAATATCATATACATAAAGATCAATTAAAAGGATTGATCATTTCAAAAAGTATGGAACTTATTTTGTTACCTCTTGGCTAAAATCAAATAAATAGAATAATTACTAATTCATCCTTAATATTTGATCACCAAAATCATGGACATTTTAGAGATCATTCATTATACTAACATCTTTTTTTAATAATTTTTTTAATGACTTTCCTTGAAATCTGATATTTGATTGTTTATAATGCAAAGGTGTCTCAAAGTAGTCTTTACATAAAGTTTCAATCATTTATTCATGAGTATCAGGAAGTGTATATGAAAAATAAATCTAATAAGCAAACTTTGATTTAAAAGACGTCCAATCCATTAAAATTGATAAAATAATAATTAAATATTCTGAATTAAATTTCTATGTTATCGTGAGCTACCTATTTTAAACATAATAATTCTAACTTTAATTACTACATTTAAACTCTAAACCTCATAAATATTCTTCGTATTCATTATTATTTTAATTGATGAATAAAGCTTATGATTCTCTAATTTGATTTGTATATTTTAAAAAGTCCTATTAATTAATTTATTGGCAGCGGCGATATGAAAATGAAAAGATATGTAATGATAATAATGATAATAATGATAATATCTATTTTTAAATTAAAAGTTAAAAATACATTAAAATTGATACAAAAATAATTCTTCATGCGCACTTGTAGTTCTCTCTAATTGTATACATCTGAAGTGACATAAGATAGGCAGTTGAATATGATAGAACCACAAAGATATGCCAAATGGTATGACTGTTGATCTAGGATTAATTGAAAGAATACAAAGATATCAAATCTTTTGGGATAGCATCTTTCTGGAAATCGAGTAGCATATGTTGTAATGCCTGATATTAAGAATATTAGCATAAGCAAAAAATAGCTTTCAGTATCGTTAAAGTGAAAATGGCCTCCCAATAAATTATATCTGCTGAACATCATCAAATGGAAGACGGGAGTGAAGATAAAAGTAAAAAACAACCCATATATAAGTGTTTTATAAACCACGAATTGTTCTTTATGCATATAATCAAATAGACTCGATGTGAATGTTACAATGCATAGCAGAATAATCATAATTGTATAAACATCTTTAATTTACTGATTACAATAGAATCCATACTGAATTACAGGTATGACTCCTCCACTTGCAACTAAGCATATTCCTCCATAATCTAGTCTTAAAAGAACACAACTCATAGTCTTATTAACACAAAATAGTGTGTGGTAGGTAGTGGAAATAGTAAATAAAATGATGGCACATAATAAACAGTATTGTAAGGGCCATAATTGGATGTCAGAATAATGATTTTCTGATTCTTTCATAAAAGATATAAATGGGGCAATCTATAAAACCTGAGAATAAACTAATAAACCCAAAAACGAAAATAATGGCAATAGATGTGACCATATGTTACAAGTCTCATTGTGTTTATGAAACATACTTTCTATTGTAATTCAAATATTTTTACTTAATGCGAGACCCACGGTATTGTAGTTAATTCGATACCCTGTCAATAAGTATTTATTATCTAAGGTATATTCAGGTGCTTCATTATATTCCCCTATGTAGGGTATTTATTGGCGAATATCTGCTGACTGTTTTACTTTACTAATTTTGTGTTATTTCCTTCTATTGATTAGACTCATAATTTTAATGTAATAATTATACTAATTGTGTATATAATCAGATAGTAATATGATCATCATCACTATCTTCTTACTGAATATACTCAGTCATTCTTAGTATAGCAAGTCTATTGCTAATTATTTCTAGACGACTATGAAGAGTTGGAGCATTTTATTATGACTAGTACATCTCATTTGGTGTTAAGGTTACAGGAACTTAAAAAAGCAGTTATTATTAATTATTATTATTAACCCTTTGAGTTTTTGATCCCATCAAAGCTAAATGAGGAGCCATATCTGTCATCATTCGACCCATTCTATCAAATATGGGTGCTAATTGTGATCCAATCAAACTGGATTTAATTTCATATTCACTTAGTTCTTTTTCTTTCTTCATCATTTCCATATAGTTTTCTTGAGTGTTTTACTCTTTATTTTTATTCATTAACATCTATTAGTATTGTTATTGTAATTGTATCTATTTTTCAGCAATCCTTTTATTGTTTTCGAATCTTCCGAATTCTATTAATAATTGAGTAACCTAATTCATCATATGTCCAACATCAAAAATGAATTTATGCATATCAATTTCTTATTTTTCTACTTCACAATCAGGATCACTCACAGGGTTTGGTGATAAAAACTCTTGGTTAATACTACCCACAGTATAAGTTCTAAAAGTAGCGATTCTTGGAGATTGGGTATCAATCCATTCATCCCATCTATTACCCCATCCATTATAATGTACAAACACTCTATTCTATTCCACTATTTGCACTTATGCTTCAAGCTAAAATAAAAAGATAGAACTTATAATACCCACTAATCGATTGTATCCTTTACATCAATCCACTACCCAACCTAAAACTTCCTCTTCTTTGGATCAAATGGATTCACGTATTCACCTATTAAGCATAGTTTATTTTAATTATACCTTATAAATCTTCCTGCTTCAGTTCCTCAGGTTTTACTTAGGAATCTAATAACTACTTAAGGGTTTAGTAATTTTATCTTATACCCTCCAATGACAATTGTTTGTCTAGATGGAAACCTAATTAATAATCATTGATTAAGTGTACCATTGCTCCTCTATTATTGAACCATTCTTCTTACATTCTATCTATTATATTAATGCTACCCTAAAATAACAACCTCTTTTACTTAATGTTCTTAGTATGTTGCTCAAGATATCTATTTCAGGGAATTCATTTACACCTTATGTAGATTGCTACTATTATTATTATTGAGTTTAATTCTAAACTATTTAATCTTCTTATAATGGCTAACCTGGCAATAAAATGACATGATCATTTTATAACTATGTCAATTCAATTACTAAATACTTTATATTCTTATAAAGTTTTGTTGTTCTCTAAAACTCTCCCTTAGTAAATCAGTCTTTACTTATCGAAAGGGATGTTTAGTTGAGTTTAAATTACATTTTTCAATTATTATACAGTATTATTCGGATCGACAACAAATGTAGTAATTTGATTATCTAATGTTTTTATCTTTAATGAGATTTAAGTTTCCATTATTATATAAATTAAATATAATTCGCATATATATTTCTATAAATTCGTTCGTAATACAAAATCAGAAATAGAATCATTTATTTTTAGATCATGGAATCTTCATAAAAAATTTGAGAAGTACGATTTGGAACACATTCATATACAATACATCTAAATGAAGGGTCATTTAATCAAAATATTTGAGCTAAATTAACACAACTTATCATTTCTAATCTCTTCTATAATTTTAAAATAATAAAAAATTATTAATTTGCTTAGGATTATCAAAATACATAGTAAAATCATAATACTTTTATAAAATATATGCTCCTTATTAATAAATTAATTTAAAACATAAATATTAAGAGAATAATAAATTAAATAGAATAGTCGATATATTATTAAACACACTTATATATATTATTGACATAAGAATAAATACATATTTACTAAAATCATTTAATTCTATCAATAATTTGATTATAAATTGCTTTAAATTTACTGTAACTTTTTATTGCAATTGTTTATTTACGAATTGATTCTTAAATTATACTTACTTCTCTAAAACAAAATTTATTTTTATAATGCTTTAATTTGTCTTTAATTATAATCAAAAATGTCAATATCTTTATGCAATTTTTTCAGATTAATCGAGTTTCTTATCAACATTTCTTTGATCTCATCATATTGAAATCCCTCATCTATGTCGTTAATTTCCTTTAAATAGCAAGGTTATATACATCTAATAAATTATCAGAAGACGATTTGATGAATGCCTAATCTATGTCTATTGATTTTGAGTGTAATCTTTTAATAGTCGGTTTTTGATGGGAAATATTAGTACTCTAAGTAATAGTTTTTGTGTGTCTTCCTTTAGGTAGAGTGTGAATCCTATTGTCTATCGACTCCTTATTCGATTCTTATAGAGACACATTATTAGATGGTGAGATTAATGCTCTCCAAGTTGTCATATTTTTTATAAATTATTTATTTAACTCATTTTTTTAAGTGTTCTTGAGCTCCACTAACAATATAGGCAATACAGCTAATCAACTTCTTAGTGTAAGGCAAGTCTAGGCATTCATTTGGACCATGTTCATTTGAATTAGGACCTAAGACTCCTGTAATTATGAATTGTGCTTTTGGGAATTGCTATTACAAAGTGTTCATCAAGGGAATGGATCCTCCCTCACCAAAGGTAACTGACTCCTTTCCATAAAATAGATTAGAAGCATCGTTGATGAGTTGATCAAGATAAGGCTTATTATCCAAAGCATTAAAACCAGCACCTGAATTGAGTCCTTCAATTTTGATTGTAGCACCATAAGGAACATTGGTTGTTAACTAAGATAAATATGATGATGGATTACAATTCTCACTAATGATTCTTCAGCCTCCTTTGGATCCTTAGTTGGAGGTAACCTAACCGATACCTTCAAAGTGGTTTCAGGTCTCAATACATTACCAGCAGTTTATGCAGGTGGAAGTCCATCAGCTCCAATAATAGCAAGTTAAGCTTTCCAAACTTTGTTGATATATGCTTTGAAAGGATCAGGAGAGACTGGTTGTGTGTTAGCACTCAAAGGAAACTTATTGATTAATCCTTCTGAAAAAACAGCAGCTGTTTTCTAAGCTTGGATGTATCGTTCTCCTGGAATAGTCACTTGAAAATCATCAACTACTTCTCCTGTTTTGGGATCATCAATTTTATTTAATAATTATCTGAAAATCCTGAAAGAGGATGGTACTACTCCTGAGGCATCTCCAGAATGGACTCCTTCGTTTAGTACTTATACTGTAACATTTGCTCCAACCAATCCCCTTAGTGTTGTAGTTGACCAGAATTAATCGTAATTTCCACAACCTGAATCTAAACATACAATCAAATCAACATTTCCGATTCTGTCTTTTAATTTATTCAAGTAATGTTCTATGTGATCTGATCCACTCTCCTCGTCAGCCTCAAATATCATCACAGCTCTAGGATGCTTTAATCCTAGATCTTGAATTGTTCTCATTGCAATGACAGATCCCAAAACCGAATATGAATCATCTGCTCCTCCTCTTGCATAGAGTTTATCATTTATTATTTTTGGATCATATGCTGACAGTCCTTCTCTCCATCCTGTAAATGGAGGCTACTTATCCATATGACCATAAAACAAGACTGTGCCATCTGCACCTCCATCTGTGCCTTCTACTTCCACAAACAAAAAAGGAGATAATCCTTCATCTGTAAACAAATCAATTTTTGCGTCTATTTAATATCTAAAGTGTACTTTTCAATTTTAAATTCTCCACCAACTCTTTGAATAGTTTGGCTGTTTGTAATAGCAATCCATTGGTCAAATACTCAGGATCGAACTCTCTAGATTGACTGGGTACTCTGAGGATATCCATGAACAATGGCAATGAGTCTTCAAAATGCTTATCTACTATTTCTTAGAATTAGATTCTTTTATTTGTTTACACTTAATCCTATTGCATAAATTAAATTTATTTAAAAAGTGATCACATATTGCCATCTATTTAATGTTAGAATGATCTCATCTATTTGAAAACTGCAATTAATTGATGTATTATGTTTTATAGTATTATTATCTTTGTTTCTAAAAAACATATATTAATGTCAAATTTGTAATTATAAACTGAAGAAAATTGTGATATAAGTTTATCATAAATTGAAAATATGTTGGACTAAAGTGAAATCGAGCCTTAGACTAAATGTAAGAATATTGAAACTAAATATTGTAACCACTTCAATTTATTCTAGGCATCAATAGTACTGTGATAAGCATAAGCAATTAAATTAAATTATTAGGTGATGATTTTAGTGAATTCAATGTACCAAGTCATTATCTACCTCCAAATATCCAAGTAGGAAATGTCTTTTAAATAACCTTCCAAAGAAATAGAGCAGAAGAAAACAAATTAAAACATTAGATCGAATAGATCTAAAAGAGTGCTCTGAATGATTAATGATTTATTCATCTCTAAGCATGTTAAACTACCAACCATATTTCTATTCATAATTCAATGCTACGATCTTCATAGATGAATTTCAATCTATAAGGGTAAACTAACATTAACTCATGACTTCCTCTAACAAAAATCTATTCTAATTTAGTATGGTTGGTCATAAACAAAATAGCTTTAATAACTAAAAAATAACTTTCCATTGTAAAACCATTATATTATAATTCATAATCATTATATTCATCTTTACTATCTTCTTATTCTCACTCTATCACGACTACTACTTTAATCTTATCAATTACATCCTATTGTTTTTGGAATAGTAATTATCTCATAGATATAAAAATAGTATAATGACAAATCCTTTATTTAATACTTTATAGCAGAGATTCTCAAATTGATCTAAAGCCTAATTAAGTATTCAATCAAAATGATTAGTTCAAAAATTGGATACATGCTCTATGTGAGATAGTAGCTGAGACTTAGATCTAATTGAAATTTAGATTATTGATTCCTCCCTTACACTATTCAAATAATTTAAAGAGATATTTTTATAATTAATCTATTTAATAAATTATTTCTGATTTATTTCTTGTTGTATAAATTCTTATCAGTTTAAAGCAGTTGTGATAAAAAAAATTTAATTTTCCTAATTGGTATTATATAATTTTATCTATTAATTTCTAAAATTCTTTTCAAAAATCTACATCCATTTTACCATAATTTTAATGTTTTCTTAATTTAAGAAAATGGCATAAAAAGCCATACATTTCATTAGATTAATTAAATAAAAGGAATAATAGCCATTTTTAGTTCTCTAAAATTAAGATATTTTTATTCATCGACTAATAGAAGAATGATGAGCTCATTGTAAAAAAGTTTTATTAGAATTAAGAGCGACAATTATAATAGTAGTTTGGATTAAATATCAAAACATAATTAATTTTTTGAGATGATTTGAATTTGAGGAATGATTAAATTCAATTATTTTTTTGAAAAATTTTGATTGTTTTATTATAATGTATTATTGTTGTGATTAAGAATCAAAAAATTTATATTGGAATTGTGATAATGTAAACATATATATATTAATCATTGTTCAGTCTTAAGCCTTCTTGAGCTTTTGATTTCATTATAGAACTGACTTTTGGGTTACTCTATATGGTGTTTTTAAGATAGTTTCATGGACCTGTCAGTTTTTGATGATTCATTTGATTTAACTGATTCTTCTGTGTCCAAGTCCTCATGCTATACACACTTTAGCTTTTAAATTTTATTAGTAAAAGTCAGAGTATGAGTTTCGAAACGAGGAGATATCTACAAATAATACTCTTCTTTGGATTTCTGTTATTTTTCATATTTAGTAGAGTCTGGGATGGAGAAGAGACTAAGATTCACAGACTTTACCATTTTGTTACCCTTTTTGTTGATCGGCATTTTGTAGTTTTACATAGTTAATCTATAAATAAATGATTAATAAGGTATTAATTTGATTATTACAAAAATACTCCTACTTAATATGATGTGATTTATGAATGGATCGTGAGAATTAGAGATTATTTGTTGCTTTGTAGGATAGAAATAATAATAAATTATAGAAGTGATAAATAAACATTTTATTTTTGATTTCATATCTAAAGTTTATTATTATTAATATAAATAATAAATATGGCACTTGTGCTTAAATAATTAGGTGGATTCAGTAGATTGAATGCTCAATGCCCAACTTATAAATAGTAAATTATATATAAGCTAGATGTTAAGTATTTGTGCTGGTCTGAGTGGTGGATCATTGCTATATGCATTTTATGCTCAAGTTCAAAAATAATGGAGAGAATAGGAAATTAATTTCAGAAAGGAATAACTCAAGAAACCTATATATGAGCTCAGAGACGAAGAGCTCGTTAGTCCACCATGGAATAGTTCGAATTTAAATGAGTGGTTATACAGAAGAGTAAGAGTAAAGGGAAGACCTCTCCATTACTTATAAATGATGGTGCCTAGAACCGAATTTTAGAAGCCAGGATATGAATGCGTGGTTCCATTTGTCACAAAGGAGAATGAAGATTAATCAGTATAAGAAGGGGTATCATAAAAAGTTTAATAATAGCTTCTTGTATCTTTAGGATTTGTGCCTTATGAATATAAGGAAGTAACAGACAGACACAAATTGGAAGATGCTTCAGTGTAATCATTTGATTGTTTCTTATCCCAATTGCCAGAGTTACAAGACAATTCATTTGGAAATGTGGCTAATCGCAGGAATTCATAGTGGTATTATGCAGATCTCCAATTAATGGCATAATTTACAGGATTCAAGAATGCAGACAAGATCGGCAAGGTTGTTTTGGAGAAAGCCAATTTCAACACTCCTTTGGATGAGAGAAATATGAGGTATCACAATATTATTGAGACCTATTTAGAACTTATGATTTGGATGCTGATCATCACTTGGATTACCCATATTTGAAGAGCAATTCTGGTATTTTATATCATAAAAACCATATGCCATGGGATTGGTAGAGAGCCAAATAATAAGCATTGGGCTCAACTGTAGTCTTTGGTGCATTTGGTGCATTATTACATTTAGCAAAATGAAATCTATATTAATAAGATAAAGATTAATATTGAAAGAATGACTCCTATTAAAGAAGTCTCGCAATGTTTAAATGAATGGATAATTCCTTAATAGAATATCATTTTCTTGTGATGGGTTTGTTCATAATTCTAGTGACGTCGCTTCTTATGTGTCTGAATTGGCCAGGATCTGTATATTTAGAATGCAGAGTGTAAACACCATCTACATATTTTAATGACATACCTCCCAAAGGCAAACTGGTAGCAATATCATAGGGATGAACCTGATAGGCTGTTTTCTTATAATTCTAAATACTACTAGATCTCAAATTATTCTAAGCAGTCTTCAATCCAGAATCCCCACAATGAACCCATTGTCTTTATACTTCAGTGTTCTCTTTTGGATCAACAGCTATTGGATAAATGTATGAATCATACAATCTCTATATTTTTCACCTGTGATCACCGAAGTCATTTTCAATCCCTAATCAAAGGGATCTCTTTCTCTGCATCCAGCTGCTACAGGTTTAACCTTCTTATCAGTGAGGATTTCTTTGACATTGTTTTCAGGAGGCTGAAATGATTATTAGTAAGTAGTAATTGAATAAAATTTATTATGCTACTCTGGATGATTTCTGAATGTGGATCCAAAGTCTGTGTAACCCTAATGAACTGCTCTGTCAACCAGAATTTATTGCATATTTGTTTAATCTAATTGTTTTATTGATCTTGCTCCAGCAGTTTATGCAACTGTTGGATTGCATTCAGGAAAATTAACTTTCTCTCCATTTGTTTTTACAAGTGCTCTACAATCACCTAATTGCATATTCTAAATATTCTTTGCATCAAATTTTGTCTAGAATTCTGTCCTGAATTCTCTCTATATATTATTCATTTCATCATACATATCCATCATCTGGGACTATTATTTCTTTTGTAATGTAAGGAGGATTGCGATTCACTCTAGGTAATGGAAGTAAACATCCATTGTCTCCTGGTATGGATATTCCCTCTTCCACAGTTCTTAACTAGTTATATTCTCATTAAATACTGATTTCTATGCATTTGGATCTCTCTACAATTATTAAGGAGCCAATCTATCTTCGTACCAATTAGCTGAAATTAATATAACAAATACCCATTAATGCTGTTTTGCTAAACTCAACTTCATTCGGTCGTCTCATTTATTAATTTTATTAATTTATTTTAAATATCAATTTGTTTGATGAAACTTCTTAAACATCATCTTCATTGGATTATCAAAAATTATATTAGATCTATTAATTGTATTTTAGAATTAGTATTTCATTTGAAATGTGATGAATTTTAAATTTATTTCTCAACTTATTTTTTGTAATTATCATACACATTAATTGGTATTATGGTTATTAAAATATTGATATTTAGCTTATTAATTAAACTTAAAATAGGATTTTTTAAGCATTTCATTTATGCTCATTAGAATCTATTTAATAATATTTGTTTATACAAAAACATTACTAATAAATTGAAATTTTAATGGATAATTACAATAGTAGTTGTTAGAGAATATAATAATTAAGTTGAAAATATTATTTTATATATTAGATTTATTCATTTCTTCTTCTTCTTCTTTTTTTTACCTATTTCTATTTTATGGATTTCTCTCATTTGAGTCTTAAATTCTAATAAATCATTAGAGGGAATGACTTTAGGTGGGGGCAATAAGATCAAAATTTCATTAAACTTATTAACTTAGGCCCAATAGGAAGCATTGAATCCGTTCTCATCTCTTAAATTGATGTCAACTCCATAATTAAGTAATAACACAACTATTTATTTGAATCCTTATCTGGCTGCATAATGTAAACATGTGAGACCTCTTTTATCTTACAAACTTGGATTTGCTCCATAATCTAAAAGTAACTAACATAATTTAAATTAATTTTTTTCAACTGCATAGTGTAATGCAGTCTTTTCTCCTACATCATAGTATTCCTTTAAGTTTGGATTTGCTTTAAATTTTAACAGAAGCTCTGTAATCTAAGGATGATTGGCTTAGACAGCATAGATTAGAGGAGTGGCACCATTAATATTACGAGCATCGACATTTGCTTCCTTATCTTCAATTAATGAAATGACTTCCTAAACATTTCCATGTGCCACTGCATGGAATAACAGTGGATCTCCTTTAAATTGAGGCATAGAAATTGGATTCATTTCTAAATTATAATTATTATAATAAATTTCATAAAACAGCTAATTCTTATGTAAACTACTCTGTTAATCCTCCCTCATAAAATGTTCCAATTAATAATTATTTCTCTTCTTGATTGCTAAAATCAGTTTTCTTTATTATATTATCTTGGATCCAGAACTTAAAATAATCTATTCTAAAAATACTGTTATTGCATTCATAATAAATGGAATAATGATCATAACACTAACTAAAAGCAATTCAGGATTGGTTATGGGAGACAAAAGAAAGGATCCTGCCTCATTCAATTAATCAGCAACTAGTTCTTGAAATCCAAATAATATAAATTTAGACACTATTACAACTGAATTCCATACAAATAATTGACATGCATACATTTGCCAATCAATTCTTACTTTTTCTTAGATTTTGAAATAATTACCACTCTGTAATTTCTGAATAATTAATATTTGTATATACTCTCATATCGAAATAATTAAATATCATATTTAATGATTTCATGAGCAAAAAGATTAATAGTACACCCAATGTTGAATCCAACATAAATGTTATAAAATACCAGATGCAAGCATTCTCATCTGTTTCTGCAGATAATTCAGTTGCTAATATCACATTCAAAATATGAGCTAAAAGTGCTGATAGCAATTGTTTAGAGGAGTCCTTAATTTTAAATTTTCATTTAAAAAATACCATTAAAAATATTTTCCAAACTCTTTTCGGTCTTTCAAAATATCTTTTGACTATAACTCACTTACTATAATACTTATTAATACTGTAAATGAAAGCACTCCCAAGCTTGCCTAAACCAAATAACCTTTCCAATCCAAAATTTCACATTACATTTTTAAATAAATTAATATATAAAAATGTTATCAGATTTAATCATATTTTATCTCTTCGCATGTAGATTGGTCACTTTTATCATAACTTATCTTATTCTTATTCCTTTCAGCTCTCCAGGTATTAATAATTTATACTAGCAATATAGTTCCCATGATATTGTCTTCTAATACATATAACTAAAAATACTTTATAATTACCATATATGAGAAATCTGCATTATCATTAAACAAAGTAAATAATCTTGCTATACTACCAGCATAGTTCTACAATTATGTAAGCAATGATAATTAACCTGTATTTCTATTTTAACAATTCAGTCTTATTTGTAAAAACCTGGCCATAAATACTATCATATTCATTAAATTAACAATTTACACAAACTCATATTAATGTAAATAGTCATATCAAAGATCCATTAAGGCCCCAGGCCTATGTAGAGAGGAGTATTGATTAGTATGAAAAAAACTGCTTTAAAGAGCCATTAATTAAAATTCAAATTTTTATCATAAAAAATGAACAAACATAAGACTATGCTATATTCCAGACCTACTATTGCATTTTCACCATACAAAATAAATTTTGTCTATTTATATAGATTATAAGCAGTTATAAATGAGAGCAGGTATAACTATTTTTAGGTGATTTTTATACTTCTGTGTAATAAGCATTAAATGAGATACCCTGTATTGATTAAGATTTCCAAATTTTATGAATTTAAGGCAATTGATTCATGATAGCAAATGCCACCATTAAAATGCTAATTGTTCTGCTGATTGTCTAGTTTTTATTTATGATATACATCAGAAATACAGTCACTACTAATTTTCTCATTTCCAAAAAATTATTCATAACAGAAATCAGAGAATATAATGAGTTTATAGTCTTCTTTTGAATGATCATTTGTCTATGCGTTCAAGCAAACTGAAAATGAAAATAAAAGCATAACAACCAACATTGCAATGAAAATGATTATTTTATTTAATGAATTTAAATAAAATTTTATATCTTCCAATCATAAATAATAATAATATTATTAATTAGAATTATTTATTCATAATTATTTCATTCAAACCATAACTATATTTATGATTAATATATAAAAGTTCAAAGTATCATGCAAGATTCAAATTGATTTATTTTTAATAACCAGAAATTATAGTTTTTATTTTGAAATAGAAATTGTAAGTTTATTCTACAAAACAATAATTATTGACAACTACAATTAAATAAAGTTAATGAATAAAAATTTTAATAAATAAATAAATTTTCATAGTCTCATTTCTTAAAAGTTGGTGAGCAATATTTTTCATTAAGATCAAATGATTAATCTCTTTTTAATAATTATGTATAATAATTATTTGTTTTTAACTAATTCTCGTTTACTTTATTTAATATTTCTAAGAATTTACTAGGCTGGCTATTTGATCTTTATTTATCAGGGGTTTAAGTAGTAGAGTATGTAATTTAAATTGATTAAGGTGATGTAGCCCTTTATGTAGACTATGTTTATTATTGGTCATTCTTTAATAATGCAGTTTAAACTATTTTAATTTCTAATTCGCAATCATCAAACAAACCTCCAAGAACTTTATTTTCATTCACCTTTTTATATACTCTGCCAAGATGTACATGAGAGCTTTCAAGCTTTTATAATTAGAGCTATATATCTTAGACTCTCTTATTGTATTACCCCATAATTTGCTTATAAGGTAAACATTCAATTTGCATTATTATATTATCAAGGTTAACTTCAATGTCACTATACATTTAAACTAATTCATTGTGATTATCTTTAATTTCTTATTATTTTTAATCAAATATTTCAACAGCTTTTAATTACAATTCATTCAAATAATCTATCTATTCTTTTAATTTATTATCTAATGCAATGACCATTTGATGATAATGTTCATTGACTTTGTCCTTCTACTTTTCACAAAATCGAACTAAGTCATACTTCTTTTCGTTTAATTACTATCCATTTTAATCAATAATCAAAAAGGTTTGCGATATAGTTTCTAAAAATTATTGAATTTATTCTTGTCTTATAGAAGTTTAGTCGCTTTAAATATCCTCTATCTTGAATCATCAAATAAAATACCTTATAACCTTGACTAATGAGTACAATGGCACATTTTGAACAGATCAAATCAGTCAAATTAAATTTAGGTTTTGCAAAAGGGACTCCAATGACTTTATATTTTGCCTATTTTGAATAATTTCACAGAATTATACTTTTTTATTGGTATGTGCTTTGCAAGTAAGTTCAGGTAAATTAATTGCTTCATTTTCTTTATTCATCTAATTAACGATTTAAATTATATATTAATTCAAGATTAAACTTTGACTCCCATCTATTAAAATACTTGTGGATTTTGAAAAATAGAATCTATTGAACAATAAAATTTGGATTTAATTAAATGGTATTTTAGAAAAATCTAGTAATAATAATATAGCTTAATGGTTATTGAAATTAGATCAACTGAGAATTTAGTTAAAATTAATTGAGTATTTCATGGTATTAAGTCAATGTGCTCAGAATCAAGTGTTAATTTATTTAAGAATTTGAATATTATAAATAATTAAAATAAAATTTCTTGAAGAAATACAAATATAATTAATAATATTAAATATAAAAACTGATGTCGCAACATCTTATTTAAAGACTGATCTTTTAAATATATGTCTATATTACATTGAAAAATAATATCTGAAAATTGCTTAAAGTGAGTTATATTGAATTGATATTAAATATAGATATTCATAATTCATTTTCCATTCTTATTCGTCTAAATTATCGATTTCTGATTTCTTGATGTATATTATTCTTATGAAGGTGTGGGAAAATATTAATTAGAAAACAATTGACCAAGACTTTCTTGACTGACGTTATGTAAAGCTCTTGATCTCAATGACATAACATTTGAGTACTATTTATCGAAATATTGAAATGACGATCTCTCATTTATTATATATGAATCTGCTTGAATCTAAGATTAATTCATTTAATTGTATTATTAGCTTTCTTTCTAATTATGTTTTTAAAATTGTATTGATAATCCAATTGGCTAATTTAAATATTGTAAATCTATTTATTATTATTATTAACCTTAGTATTAGAATTGCTAAGATAATTGTTGTATTTATTGTGATTATTGTTCTATTTTCTATTAAGACTCTAATTCTTATTTCTGTATGGTCTCCGTTCTTCTTACCATCAGCTTCTTCTGTCTCTTTACCTTTTTAGTTACGGGCAATTCTTCATCCTTCTAATATGCAGGTGCCATTTCTAGGATCTATTCGACTATAAAATTATAATTGATTTATTATTCTTCTAATGGTTCTTCTAGCTTAGTCATTTCCATATATTTTTGATTGACTATATACAATGTCAATTATTAAGAGACATTTATGAATGCAGGTTCAATTCGTTTGAACAACTCGCCAAACTTTTCTTCCTTTATAAACTCTCCTATTTTATCGAATTTTTAATTATTTCTCATTAATTTTATAGTGTAAAAAGCTGACAATGTTACAAAGAGTAACTCTCTCTTATATAATGAAATATCAGGTATAAATTCTGCCTATATTTTAAGAAAATCTTTAAAGTAGTTAAATGCACATGTTCTATTCTAAATGATATCAATACTTAATCTCCTGGGAGTAATTTGGTTGCAATTTTTTACCATAGTCAAATTACAAATTCAATAAATGCCAATATACTAATTCTAATTCATTGAACTCCATCATTTTGCATAGTCCTAAATGCATTTTGTATCTATAGCTTTATTCGTTTCTAGTCATCACTCTAAGGAGATGGTTCAAAATAAATGAAAATTCTAAGATGATACTCAGAAATTTTCACATACATTTATATAATAAAGAGTTTGACAGCCCATCTTAATCTAATTATTTGATTTTTATGCCAAGGTCTTATGTTTTATGAATAAATACCATTATTAGTTGTTTCTTGATTTTCCTCTAGTTTTTAAGCTTATTTTAATGAGTCCATTAAATTCAGAAATTAAAACTTGATTATCGGGTTATAAATAAACACAATATTTTTTAATATTTAATAACAAAATAGTATATTATGAGTGACTAGCTCTGGACAAGACACTCAATATAAATTAAGAAATATAAAGCACTCATCTAAAAAGTAGAAAATAGAAATTCTGATATAAATAAAATTTCATCTTATGATTTTCATTATTTAAACTTGTCTAAATTCCATTATTAGCTATATTGTTAATATACCCAAACAATTCATTAATCCTGCCTTTTAAAATGATTTATAATTTTAAAAATAGCATACTATCGAAAAAATTAAAATATAAATAAAGAGTAATATTGATTCCTATGGGAATATATTTGATATCTAATTAATCATTAAAATCGGTATAAATATCGAAAGTTTAAATGGTAATTTTGAATAAAAATATTAAAAAATTATATAATTCTATTAAAAATGGAAAAAAATAATATAGAGTAGTTTGGGATCTACTGTTAAGACGACCAGCATTTTCATAAAGGACAGAAAATAAAGTACCTGATGGTTAAAGAAGAAAAGGGTTCAATTACTAAGAGGTTATTTTGCGATGAATGCTTCTTAGGAAAATACAGTGGCCAGCAATAATATTGTTGCGATTTGACAGAAGTAAATAATCTTCTTAATAAACCTAGTTGATCAATGGTAATATATATGAAGCCTTCAAATACACACTCTTTGATAGTGATTATAAAAAAGAGTATTTTAATTATATTAGAAATCATCAACCCTATCTGGATGAGGAATTCATAAAAAATGTAAAATATTTCTAAATATAAATGTAGATGATTGGTTCACTTAAAGAGGAATTTTTATCAATTCTTGATGATCTTGAAATAAAACTTTTAGATAATTGCGCTATATATAAGGAAGAAATAAGAAGGTGGGCTTAAAATGATAGAATTACTGATTACTTTGATTGTCAAGATTTGAGGGAGAAGATACTAGATAAAGATTTTGAAAGAAGTCCAAAAAAATTTGATGAATTAAATAAATTAGCTGAATAGTATGTAAAGAAAATTAATACTAATGAAGAGAAGTTAAAAATTGAGATAGATAAAATTATTGGCAATTAGAAAAAATTGTAAGTATTCATTCTATTTTTTAGTTTTAACTTGGATAGATTCAATCTTTGTTTTAAAGAAACAATACAACAATTAATAAATATGCAATAAAGTACTTTTTCAGATTATAAATTTTCTTAATCTATTTTAGCCACACCATATATCGAAAAGGTCATAGAAAAAATATATTAAGGAACTGCAGAAGATTTTATTAAAAATTTAAACTTAATTTATAGGAAGAGTTAGTAGGGATCAAATTTTCAGAATTTATAAAAAATTCCTCAGTTATCAAACACAGATACTATTACTATAATTTAAACAAAAAACAAATGCATTTTTGGTGTCTATAATTGTAATTCTTAGCCTTAAAAGTCAATTCTATTTTAAATGAACAAAGAGAAATTTTTTTTATATAAAGGCAGTAACAAAGCTCTAACATTAAACGAAAGGGCAGATAAATCAAATTGGATTTTAAAGTTTGGAGATGATGATGTTGTTATTTAATCTACATTTTCTAGCTGTACATCAAATTTAGGGAAAGGCTTTGATATAGATGGAAACCAAACAATTGATAAGGAAGAATATTTATCAGATAGTAAATTATTTGATATTTATGATATGGAAATTTTTGAAGTAGGAAAAGTATAAAAGAATGAAAAATCTATTTCTTAAATACCCCCAAATCCAAACCAAAATATAATTCCTAACAATATAAGTTTAAGCATTCAAAGTCATAACATTAATAGTTCAATCAATAAAAATCCTCAGTTTCCACCTCCTAACCAAATCCCTCCTTAAGCTAATGACAACATACGAAATACTATTCAACATAATAACCAAAGCTTTTATCAAAATACAAATCCTGTTCGTTAAACTGATACAAATCCAAATAGTAACAGTTTTAATCCAATAATTAAAAAATGAGATGAAAAATTATTAAATAAACAATAAAATATAATTAGTAGATTTAAATTTTTATAATTTCATAATTATTATACAATTTTTTAAACTTCTGATTTTTCAATCGGATTAAATGGGATTTCAACAAATTTAATAAGTTAGATTTATTAATTTTTTAGATTATTTTGTATTAATATTTTATTTTTTATTTGATTGATAAAAAAGTTTGTATTAAATTCTGCTTTGAATTCTTAAAAATCATAAGGTTCTATGCATATATTTACTTCGTTTTCTGATTCAATCAAATCAAAATATTAGATTTAAAATTATTTTTTTTGGTTCTAAAATAATAAAAATAATTGAATTAAGAAGATATTAATTTAGCAATAATAAGAGTAGATATACACCTAACAATTTGATTTTAACTTAAATTTCCATCCATATAGTTTGAATAATTTAATGCATTACTAAAATCGTTTTGTAAGATTAATCTTTTTTATTTATTTACTATTAAGTGAAATCATTGAATAGACACCAAGTCTAAACGAGTGTTAAAATTCTGAATCATTCTTCTAAAATATCTTAACTGTTTTGTACATTTCTTCCTTTGCCTGTTTAAGATATTTTTTGAACTTATGATCGTTCTTCTCTTAGTTGAGATTTACTAAAATGATAAGGTGTTTTTAGGTTTCAACCCCCAAGTTAATAAATTTCAGTTTTTTATTGATAATTTTTAAATAAATTTATCTCAAAAGTATTTTCCAAATTTCTCATATCACACTTGAATAAGTAAGATTCTAAATTTTGGCGGGCATAAAGATATAGTCAATCTCAAGTATTAACGTGAAATTACCATCCTTTCACAAAAGTTGGAAATTATAATTAGGAAAAACATTCCAACTGATTTTGATTAAATTAAATCAAATTTAAGTTCTTCATTAATAAATTTGAATTAACAAAATGGAGAATTAATTAAATTTATTAATTGATTATCCCATTAATTCTCTTTAACTCTGAGTAAAAAATGTTTTCTTGAATTAAAGTCACATTTATACAATACTACAAATTAAAAGGTCATTGCAAATATCGTTAATAGGTAATCTTAAAAATCAACATAATTTGTTGTAACCGATGTAATTGACAATCTAATGGAACAGTGAGATATCACTTATATACAAGCGTCAGGAAAGTCACTTAAAAAGTAGAGTACTGATTGCAATGAGGTAACAACACAACCAAAATTATAATAATCTTATTTTTGAGCATCATTTGGATCTAAATTCAGCTGAAGCAAAGCAGTCATAACACTACATAAAGTAATAAAAAATCTGAGATATTTTTCATTAATCTTAACGAGAAGAACTCCAATAATAATGACTGCAATGTTTGCGCAGTTCACATACAATTAGTCGTATTTGCTTTTTGAGAGGTCTACAGCTACTTTTATGACATTTAAAATCAAACTACTTGGAGTCATTGTGTAGAAGACTTTTCTAAGTATTTCTTTTCTCCGAAATTCTTAATATTAAGTCTCTATTTTTTTATCTTTAAATTTCAATGTGTATTTGTTCATGTATTTTGCAATTAAAAATAATTACTCAATAATATATTGAATCAAATTAATTAAGAATCTAAGATATGAATGAAGACTTAATAATAACATATTTTAATTAAGTAAAGATTCTTATGTGTTGATCTCCTAAATTTAATAAATAATATTATTTTAAGTAAATTCTGCTTAAAGAGAGAAATTAAAATTAAAATTTATTATAATTGGAGAAGGTGAGAATTTAGATTATACTAAAATATTAGAAAATGTTAATAAATATATAGGTAAGGTGTCAAAACAGGCAATTATCACGAGGAAACTTTTGGCATGGATATGAAACAAGTAGAAATAGAAAATTTATTATTGAAATAGAATACTCATAAAATTCCTAAAAGTACCATGAAGGATACTTTTTGTTTGTCAAACACTCTTCTTAACATTCTTTAATAAAAATTAAATTGAGGCTGAAAAAGAATATTAAGTGTAAACCACTTTAATCATATTGGCTTACAAAAAAATTTATTGTTAGGCCATGGATAATAGTCAAATGTATTGATAAAATGATATGAGATTGCTTGAAACTAGATAACTAGCATCCATTTATGATTTATCATAGTCAGATTATAAGTATAAATCTATTCCAAATATGAACCAAATAAACATAGGTTCAAAATAAGGCAAAATCAGAAGAAGTAGTTGATAAAGTACACCATTTTGTGCTTGATATTAAAGAGGCTACGTAGTAAAGATTAGTTAAAAAGAAAGAATCCATTAATACTTTTAATGATAATTATAAAAAAATATCTTTAAGAAAATGATAATTATATTAGTATTAATAATAGCGAAAATGATGTATTAAAAATAAATATATAAGTGTAAAATAAATAATTAAAGAATTAATAAAAAAATATTTCATTTTATGGATTGTGTAAACACTTTCTGTGAAATCTGCTGCAATGATGAAAATCAAACAGTTGATTTGAATTGCAAACATAAACTTTGTTTAGAGTGCTTCAAAATTGCAGTTGTGCCAAAGGAATTATGTCCTTTTTGTAAATAACAAGTGAATCAGGTTTTGATAGAGAATAAGATCTTAAATATTTCAGAGTTTGAAAAACCTTAAGAGAAAGAATAAGATTTCGTATAAAATTTAATTAATCTTTCAACTAGTTTGAAGAATCTCATTTTGAATTGGTGAATGAATAATTTTTTGATGAAGACTTAAGAATCTTAATCATGAATCTAAATCGGGCTAACCAATTTATGATGCGTACGATTCGGTAGACTGACTCTTAGTTCAATCTAAAATGGTTCATTTACGATTAAATATCTGAGTAGATCAATAATTTGAAATTCACAAATAGTTTAGAAATGTTTTAATAAGTATTTTGATAAATGATGTTTAGATTAATAATCTGAACATTTGTTTGAATTTGATTTAATCAAATAATTGGGATCAAGCATAGTTTCAAAATTACAAAGATGTTTACAATATTTAAAATATGGAGGATAATTATTAATTTATAATCTAAAATAAAGCTAAGAAGAATAAGAAAAGAAAATAAAAACAATGATAAGTTGATTATAAATAATTTACTTTGAATAAATTATAATAATAAACACACCAAATATGTAGTCTGAATCAGATATGTCAGAACAGGATGATAAGAAGTTTATATTGCCAAAATCAACCAAAGATCTAAAGGCTTGCTAGTAATGTGGGGTAATACTGACAGTTGAGTAATGGAATAGGGCAGTGGAGTGTCCGAATTCTTGCAATGCTTCTTAGACCAAGTTATTTTCAGGGTAAAAATTAGTTATCTAAAAATTTAGTATGATTTGTGTTCTGAAACCATCATAAAGTTGGGTAATGAGAAAATTGGGAAATCCAAGGAGTATTCATCCAGGATTATATGCAATAGATGTTTAGGCAGATTGAAAATAAATATATTAAATAGATAATATTGTACTTATGCTTAAAATAAATTGTTTTCATTCCTCTTTGTTTGGTTTTACTCTCTTGGCATTCTTTCTCTTTCTTCTGCCTTCTCTGCCTTATCCAAATGGTGAAGTGACAGCAAAATCAACCAACTTTTCAGATTCGACTCTGACTAAGAATGATGGAGAGTTGACTAATCTCTTTCCAACTCTAAGATAATAAATGATTAATTTTACCTGAAATGTCGCTATCTGATCAAAGTTCTGGCATGATGAATTGAGGATGCTTAATTGCTTTTAAATACGAAAGTTTGGAGTCTTCTTTCCATCATTTTTTATGTTGTGAGACCCAAGACATAATCCAACTTTCTCTCTTGTTCTGATAACAAACCAAAACGAACCATTCTTCTAATCAAAGCTTCTCCCTCAAATAATCTTCTTGGGTCCTTTGGATCAAGAGTTAATAATTCTCTTGCTGCCTTTCTGATTCTTGCTAAAGTGAGTTGAACTCTCCAGACTTCTCTCTTGTTCTTGAGTCCATACTTACCAATAATTTGTAATCTAAAAATAAATATTATAATTACTCGTTGTCAAGACGTTCCTTTTCAAAGGGTTTTCTTGGGGTGGCTGATGTCTTTGATCTATTTCTATAATTCTTTCCCATAATAAAAAAGATTTAAATATATTTTAAATTTATTCACAATTAAATAAATCCCTCTGCTCTTATTCACTAATAACTAGAATTCATTTCATATTTTATTTTTATAAGACATCCAAATAAATTATTTTAATGTATATAATAATTGCATCTGCCATCATCCTTGCTATCAGTTTTACTCTCCAACTAACAAAAGTCAATCCCAAAAAAAAGTTATATATTCTGGATATATTTCTCATCCTCCTAGGTGCAATGGCAATATATAGTGAAACCACACATAAGTTGGGTGATTTTACAGAGTAGTTGTAGGCTGCATTTTCAAAATAATATCCAATTGAATATTAATTAGACGAACTCATTCTCAAAAATCAAATCCAACTTCATTCATATTAGTTATTTTATGGTATGAAATAGGATGGAATTTCCACTCTCTTCAAATTCATAGTCAACTAGTAAATTAAGGATAGCAAACAAGCCATATACATTAATATCCAATCTGAAATACAAACTTAAGAACAAGCCTTGTAACTATTTGGCACTAACAATTTACATGAACTAATCCATTTTACGTAGCAAAGACCAACCACAATTGTCATTGACAATTTGCATTTATCACTCAGCAAAAAACAATGCTATATCTGCCCAATATTAAGTAATCTTCATAAATTCAACACTACTACAATTCTCATAAGTGCCAAAGAATTACATAATCTAAATTATTTGTTGGATGATTATAGTGTCAATGTTATGGAAATCAGAGAATTCGATAATGGAAAATAATTGCATTTCAGATATGACTGGAGTTAACAATCTATTTAATATGGAAAGAAATATGAAGGTATGTGTATCCTCTAATTAAAGATATGGTTTTGTAGAAGCAAAAGGAATTTGTGATAGGCTTGACTGAAACAGAAAAATAAATTATGGGAGATATAAGAAAGTTAATTTGCAAAATCAAATGCGAAAATCAAAAAGTGAAAATAGATGACTTGTAATATTATTCGTTTTATAATAGAATCTATTAACATTCAGATTTGAAGTAGATTGTTGAAAAAAATTATGTAATTGCTTAATTTGGATATGTTAAATTTTATAATAGTTTTATCTTTGAGTCATTGCAATATTTATGATATTATATTCAATTTATGACAAGAAAAATAAATACTACAACTTCTACCAATATTATAATCCAAAGACACCAATCATTCGTATATGAAAGCAGAGTTTTCATTTTAGAAGTAGTATCCTTTATTTCATCAGTTGCTTATTCAACCTATATTATTCTTGTGAAATTGCATACCTTTTTGTTTAATTCGTTTATAATCTTTTTGTCCTCCTTTAAGGCTAAATCGAGAGTTTTCATATTGACTGCTATTACTCCCGTTGTCTGTAACATATTATCTAATATTTCATCTTGTTGTTTAATCTGATTGTTTTGAATTTGAACCAACTCGGTATGGGATTTTTCACTATAATCCATATTGGACTGCTTTGTAACCTATCAAATGATCATCAATTGTACTGTATTAAATATTTGTTTAACTTTCAATGCATTGCTAAATTGCTCAGATCTATTTTAAAATTCATCCAATTTGTTTTTTTATCTTTGTTATTCATTTTAAGAACTCTATCAACATTAATAACACTTACAGATTTTTCTTTTTATTTAATTACGTTCTCCCTTCATTTATCAATCCATTTATCTTTTTTATTTATTCTCCCAATTGTTTGTCAATCTATAATTATTTTGTAAATTACTAGATGAACCGATTCCTTTTAATTAAATTTTTAACTTCTCTGGTTCATTTATTAGGCTATTTTTGCATCCATCTTCCTTATTTCTTCAATGATATCTTCAAATGTAGATCCACCACTCAATGCTGTGTAGTTGCTCATGTATTAATTAAAAATAATAATGTTTAGAATATAGTTTTATATTTAATAGGCATAACACAATGCAGATATAATATATTTTATAATAATTCTTGAATTATTAGTAATATTCTTAATATAATAATAAAGAACATTGATTAAAGCAATGAGCAAACCCCCCTAAGCCTAAAATGACAGTCAATCAGATAATGGTAGTGTGAATAAAATAAGCGATAAATAGAAGATAAATACCTTGAAAAAAGCTGTTATTGAACTAAGAGAAGAAAAAGCTTAATTATTGAAGACCATTTCAGAATTAACCTAAAAGAATACTAATTTAACTTAGGAAAAGGCAGATTTGGTAAGAATGTCAAATTCATATTAACTTAGGATGAAAAGTACAATTCTGTGATTAGAGATTTGCAATAGTAGATTTAAACTCTCAGCAATGGCTAGGAAAAATAGAGAAATACAATTACAAGCTCCTTAGGATCACCAAGGTCTCTTATTTAAAATGATCCATTAAATAATAATAGCAACTTAACCAAATAAATAAAGCAACTTTAACAGTATAGATAATAAATATAATAAGAGAATTGAAATAGAAGACAGATGATCATGAAGCCCAGCTCTCTATTCTATAGACCGGTTATAAAGAATTAGAGAGAGATTAGAAATACAAGGATCATTAGATTGATAAACTTACTAAAGAAATTGAAGATAAAAATACTACAATTTAGCAATTAAGAAAGAATATCGAAGATATCGAAAAGGATTTATATAATAGGATTAAAGATTTATCTGGAGAAAAATTGCAATTGTAATTAAAATTAAAAACAATTGAAAAGGAAATCCAATAAAAAGATGAAGAAACAAAAGTAATCCAAAAAGCATTGGATGATTCTAGATTTAAAATAGCCCAATTATTAAGTGAATTAGAAGAAACAAGAGGAAAATACTTGCAACATAAACTCACACTTAACAATTAATTCTTAGATATTGAATGTCTATTAATTTTGAGACAGAATTTGTTCTAAGAATACATTTTTGAACTTGAAACTTCTGCATAGAGATTTGTTTATAAAGCTAGTGATATTACAGACCTGAAAATTAAGGATGAATAATCGTTTTATTTAACTATTAAATCAAGAAATAGAGACGAAGTGTTTAAGTTGTCACCTGGATAAGATATCAAGAAGATTTGTAAATAAATAAAGTAATCAGCATTCTAATTTTAGGACATTTTTGTAAAGAGCATAATAGAGCCATGCACTTCAGTAATCAAGCTAAATATAGAGTCCTAAGAATAATGGTCTACTTGGAGGACTTATATCGATATTTGGAAGCAATTCTTCAAAGAATGGAAGCAATACCAATAGTGAATCCAAATAGAAATGAGTTCAATGACATATTTATTGCATTTTATGTAATTATTTCAGTTAATTCACAAAAGTATAAATATTGTATTGGACTTCGATATTTAGGCTAATTAAAATAAGTTAAATTTTAATAATAATTTAATTATATTATAATAAATGATGATAAAAATGGGAATCTCTCTGATTTTCATTGATGCACAATTTTTAATATTATCTGATATTTTATTTGATATTTCTCCTATAATATATTATTAAAAATGAATATAATTTCACATAAAACATATAATGATGTAAATATTGACGAATATGAACAAAATGGATGGAAATTCATCTTTACTAAATCTGGAATGTACAACACAACCGATTTGGCTATGTTATAGGATGCATTGACTTTGCAAGCGATCCCAGATATCACAAATGGTAATAATTGTGGATTGATCTACAATAAGCAATTTAACTTCGGCATTTTAGTGGATCCTAAAGACGCCTTATATTTATGTAATTATTAGGCAAGAGCATCAAATTACATTGATATTAAGAAGGAGTTAAAAACAAATAAACTAAATTACATCTCAGTGATTCCAGAACAAGCTCAAATCAAGTATGCAAACATCTGGAATCAGAAATAAAATGCAGATATCAAAGTCTTAAATAAAACATCTGATACATTTTACTCATCTCCTTATAAGGGAACAATAGTCGACGGAGATTAGATTAATTATTAATTTTAAAGATTCGAACAACTTACAGGAATCAAGGGTAAATCCATATTTGAACAGTAATTAAATGAGAATGTGATTAAGAATGAAGTAGATTATCTGAATCAAGTATATAATATAAAATCGAAGACATACCATTGTGAATATACAGAAGAGGAGATTCCATTGAATAACTTAACACCAGTATTTGAATTATTTAAAATTAAAGGATAATCCAATTAAATGGGCATATCACATTACTTTGTTCGAAGATGAGTTGGGTGACAATGGATTTTCAAATTGTGAATATAGATTCAGAATAATGGGTGACTGCTTTTTTGGATTGATACGAAGTTATTTAAGAATTGACGATGTTCTGATTAGAATACTCGATACAAGAATATATCATTAATTCAATTGGAATTATGTGTTGAGAGACTTCACTCATAGAGAGGATTCCTGGAGTATTTTATTGCTTATAAATTATAGCTAATATTGAAAAGAATGGATTTAATTTCTCTCCTCAATGGTTGACAGATGAAAATTAATCATTTCATATTTAAAATTCAGTTCCAATTTTATTACATGTTAATGATAAGATATATTTCAATGCTGCATGATAATTAATGTGTAAATGTCTATATATAAAATTAATAATTATTTAAATAAAAATGTCTGAAGGAAATAATGTCTTTTGGTAGCCATTCAAGACAACCAAGGAGTTCATAGAAAAGGACTAGAAGATTACTAAAGGATTGATGCAAGGAGCCATTTTTGCTGTGATCGGTTATGGAGTTGGATTGGTGTTTTTCAGAGCTAGAACCCTGAGAGGGTTCACAGCTGGAACAGCAGCAACATGGCGCTTTAGGGATCAGATTGAATGATGATTTTAATAAAAATATAGACTATTTTTTTAAGATTTTTCAATAATAAAATAGAATTGAATTAGAATAAATGTTTAATAATAACCAGATTTATAATTAAATTATTTTCTTAGAAAAAATGATTATAAAATTTACTATTAAAATATTCTAATCACAATTTTATTTCATCTGGCTTTGCATTGATTATTCCCAGTTTGCTTTTACTAATATTGGTCAACAACTCTACTAATACTACTATTAGTAAATGAATGATCTGCTAAAGAATCAAAATACTAAATATTAGCATAACATTAGTTGCAAAAGATGGTCATGATAGCTCTAATTGCAAAAGCTTCAATTTGATATGAAAATAGGGTTTTGGTGATGGCCACAGTCATATTAGAAGCAAACAATTAAATGTTTCCAATAGAGCTCCAGCAATGAAACACAAAGTATAATTATCAGTATAATCACTAATAATGCTAACAATTAAAGCCAACTCAACTATTATTGTACTTGTAGTTGCCACCATATAAAAATGATCTCTATCTGATATGTACCCAGAACAAATTCCGCTAATGAACTTAAAAACACCAAGTATAATAAAAACATATGCTTGCTTTTTGGTTTTTACATCTAACTTTAGTCTTGTACAAAAACCCAGTATAAAATGATACAATAGTTCCTGCAATATAGTAATACTATAACATTGGTCTCATATTCTTGAACTTATGATAATACAAATTCCTCTCAGTTTTTCCTACAAACTCTTTACTTCTTATGGCTTCTCAAATTTAGATGGCAAAATTCAAAAGCAAACATCCACTAATACCGCAAAAATCATCATCACTAAAAAGTATACTATTGGTGATAGTTGTACTAAAACAAACCCAGGACATTACCAATAATCTATGATGATTACATATATACCAAAGTATTTACCTCTAGTTTCATTTGTCCTTATACTTGTAATGTACCATGTTTATGATACACATAAAGTACTTACATATTTACCAATTACTATTACACATAGATTGACAATTGTATATAGATTTTCTTTACTGCAAATCCAATTTGGGTGCCATTTTCTTTGCATTTATAGACAATAATATCGCGGGACATGTATAATGTATATCCAAATTATGAAAAGAACATAACCTAGCTACTCAATACATTTTTAGATACATATTTTGGATTAAACAATGCAATAACATTAAGTGCTAATAAAGTTCTAATTCTGAAAGCTGCGTGTAATGAAAATATCGAAATCACTCCAAGATCGTTATAATTGGTCTCTTTGTATAAAAAGGTTATTTAGTTGGCTGCTGAATTAAATGATGAAAACATGAATAAGAAAGTTGTTCCCAGCAAGGCTACCTTCCAACAATTTGATTATCCTTATAATAGTTTATACTGCATTAAAATATAACAAAAATAAGTTGAAATTATACTATGAAAGAGAGAATTGTTAAACAGATTATCATATGTGCAGTAAGCTGTATTTAGGTATGTAAATTTAAGATTTACTTATTATTTTTGATAGGTTTCTATAATTAAATATGCATATATAAATCCAATTTCAATTTATGCTAATTCCTGCTTAAACCAAACTATCTAGGAGAACTTAATGAAAATCTTATAGTCTAACTTTACCATCTTTGTCTTTATCGGCCATAAGCATCCAAGATTTAGCATCCTATTCTGTTATCGAATATGGCATTTTCAATTATTCGTAAGTCTCCTTAAGTAATGCAAATGCCTATAGACTTATATCAATAAATCTACCTCATTCTAAGTGATGAAACCATTTTTTTAGAATTTATTAAAAACTCTTTCTGCTAATTCAAGCTTCTTTTAGGTTCTCGTATTGTATTATTAATATTTATTTTTATCCGTTTCCAAGGGATACACAAATGTGTTTGACTATTGGCTTAATGGTTATAATTTTGAATTCGATATAGTTTTGGTGCTTTGTTAAATTGAAGATTAATTTCGTCTGTTTGATTCAGGAGCTGCTTTCAAGGAGTAACTTCCAGTTTCTTATTTAATATCCTTTGAAACAATAACAGCACTTTCTTCTTTGAATTCTAAATTTTGAACTACGTAGCTTTCGTAAGTAACTTAAATAGGAGGATAACCAAGTAGTTCTTAAGCCTTACTAGCATCTTCTTGATCTTGTGATAATAATTGTTTTGCATTATTTTCAACATCATCTTCTGTAATGGAGTTATCTTAATTTAAATCCCAAATCTATGCGTATTGTATTAAATCCTATTCGGTCAGGGAAGGCATAGGTAATTCCAATTTTGCATAGCAATCTTCTAACATCTTCTATACTTGATATGTCATATAAAATCATACATGAATTAATATCAAAGCTTCCATCCACCACATAATCTCTGAATACATTTTATCCAATTTTAGTTGCTGTCTATTCGTCACAAAGCATTTTTATATTGAAATAAATTATTTTATTTATTAAATAAATACATAAATGAATGATTACATTATTGTTGATTTACAGATAAATATTTGACTTATAAAATGATTAGTTAAAGTAAAAATGATAAATGTAGTATGAATAGATAACAATAAATTTCTAACTATGATTTAGTTATATAATTAATGTATTTTTAAGGTTTAAAATAAATAACCTAAAGTAAATTCGAATTTGAAAAAGAATCTTAATGAAATATTTAAAATCTAGATATTATTTGTTTCTTTTTATTTAGAGATTATAAATAGATCGAAACCTAAAAAAAATCTACCTATTAAAATAATTACCTAGTCCAGAACTTAAATTTAAAAAGCATAGAATTTAGGATCTAAAAGCCATGTGTTATATTCGAAGATTAAAAAAAATGTATATTGACTTTACAGGCAGTGTTAAAGGTGTTTGATTCTACAGTTCAAACCTTTTTAAAATGATTTAAAAATATTTAGAATCGCTGATAGCATAATTCATGAATTTATATGAAATAGACTCAAATTATTAGGGAAAACTTCAAAACTGATCGTTTAAGAACTTAAAATGAGTTAAGTAAACTAAAATAAGAGGAATTGAAGGGAATGCGGAAATGATGGCGATATCAAAAAGAGTAATTAGTAGATTATAAACAAATGAGACTTCATTTGAACTAAAATTTAATTATAAATTTATGGTGTTTTAATAGGTCAATGTGATATTAAACAAAAGTCTATTACAAAAAGACAAATTATATATTCAAAATAGATTGCAATTATACAAGCATTTCTTATTTTATTCGGCTTCCAATATTTATATACTATTTTCCAATATATTAAATTTCTTCCAATTCTCTACTACATACACCTAACATAGGTTTTATTTAAAATTAATGGAATATTTCTTTGAACTTGTGCAGATTGGATTGCCATTCAAATCGATTCTAGTTTTATTATTCTAACTGTTGTTGGGTTTTTTAAGAATTGATTATGTTTTTGGCTCAATCTTATTTAATTTAACTTTATTCTAAAGTCCAGCAATATGAGTATGATAATTCATTAATTTTTATTAATTTTAGATAAATACTGTTTCAATTAATATTAATATTAAATAAATGCTCGATAGTACAACTTCTCAAAAAAGTCCTTAATTATAGAAATCTATCAAGTCAAAATAAGAACTTCAAAGTTTTTATCATTATTCTAAGATTATGAGATTAAAAGAAGTAAAAGAAGTGACTTAGAAGCCAAGTTAATTATCTATCAATTTTAATTTAAGTCAACAAAATTCAATAGCACTTCGATAGAGTGATCATCTAAGCAATTTCGAGTTCCTAATTTAATAGAATTCCAGGCATAATTACCATAGACAAATAAGAGAATAATATCAATATCATTCGCAATCAGCATTAACAAAGAACTAGACAGAAAAAATCAATTGGTAGAAGTATAAAGAAAATCAAAAAAGAATTGAATAGGCACTTAATAAATAGAAGTTCAACCACTGTTTGGAGAACAATTAATAATCTATAACTAGGAGAAGAGTTTAAAGATTATCTTCAGAAACTTCAACTTAATCAAAATTCTTTATAGAATCTCGACCAACCTCTAAATAAGGAACCCAACTCTAAAATTAGGTTATATTTGATTCAATGCAAAAGAAATAATCAATCAAAGCTGCAAGTACATAACACCAAAGTTAAATTGATCAATATGATTATGAAATCTCTTAACAACCTATCAATTTTGATACATTGGTCAATAAAATCTTAGATAAGAAGTAGGAACAATAATCATAAAATGATGAAAATGAAGAAGAAAATCTAGAGGAAGAAGAAGAAGAATTTGAAGAATATAAGGATGAAAAAGATATAATGAAAATTAAAACTGAAGGAATATATGAATAAATTGAAAAATAATTAGATAATAATTTAAGAAGATAATTAAAAAAATAAGTGATTAAGTAGGATAACCTATATAATTAATAAGTAGTAACTGCAAATAAACAAACAATTTAGAAATTATAATAAACAAAAAAAAAGTTAAAAGCTTCTATAAAATAATAATTATAATTTCAGGGTAATTAATAAGAAACAGATATATAGCAATAATAATAATAAGTTTAATTATCTTAAAATGAAATCCTCACCCAAACCTTTTCTCCTAAAAAAACCAATGACGAAAAAGCAAAAAAACTAAATGATGAATACCTAAAAGAATTAAGAGAAGAATAAAATTAATATAAACAAAATTAATTGAGATCTCAGCAAGAAGAAGAGAAAAAATAATAGGCTAAATTATTAGAAATAAGGCAAATTTAAGAGGAAATAGAAAGGAAAAAAAATAAAAAGGAAGAATTTATATATAATTAATAAGAAAACGACAATGAAGAGTAATTTCTTAAGAGATAATCCTTACTAAAATTAGATTTAATTGAATCATAAAAAAAAGAGTAGGAAAGATTGTTGAGAGAATAACAGTTACAACAAAAAGAAAAAGAAGAACAATTGAATAAAGCAAAAATTTTAGAAGAAGAAAAGTAGAGAGAGATTGAGGAGAATAAAAAGAAGGAAATAGCCTTACTTATTTAAAAATAGAAGGAGGAGGTTGAGAAATAAGTCTAAGAGGAATTGTCTAAACAACCTTCTAAATTAGAAAGGTAAAAAAGTGTCTTAATAGTGCCAAAATAGACTTTTTAAGAAAGAAAAAGATCCTAAGAAGAAATAGAAACTTCAAATCTCTAAATAAAGAGAGAAATTGAATTAAAAATATAAAAATAAAAAGAAGATGATGAAAAAGAAGAATTGGATCAGCTGAGCTTTGTTGATTTCATGTTGAGATCACAAAATATTTATGATGTGAATTATGATGTAAATCTTGATTATTTAGATATAGAAATTTAAATTATATGAAGAACAATTAAAGAAAGGGAAAGAACCCCCAAATTATTTGGAGGAAGATGAAATAAATATCTACAATTTCCTAAAGATATGGAAGTAAGTTAGTAAGAAAGGATAACTTAAAATTTTTGGTAAATAAATCCAAGAAATCCAAAAAATACAAGAAATACAAGAATCTCCAACTAAATTTTGATTTATTGCAATTTTGAAATCAATAAATGGTTTCATTACTTTTTGCACTAAATAATATAATAATAATTATATTAAATTAATTATGACTTCGATTACACAGGAATATTCTTTAAATACATTCTAATCATCTAATTTCCATAAGGTAACAATTACGACAAATTGATTTAGGTGATAATCACTGTATTTTATAATAATGATGACTATAAAGCAAGATTAGACAAATTATTACAATAAATACCTCTTGATGTTGAAAAGTATGCTTTATCCTATTGTAATGACGAATAAATAGCAAGAAGCCATAATGTATTGAACTATGTAATTTTAGATTCATTAATTGCCTTCTGTTTTGATTTCATCATATCCATAATTAATAAATAGCTAAATATTGAGTCTGGAACCTGCCTAAATTGTAGTTTAATTAGAGAGCATATTTGAACAATTTGAAGTTGAGTTTAGAAATCAATAAAAGCACTATTTCTAAAAGATTGAATAAATGATTAAAGAAAATCCTATTATGTTATTTATTGTAGGCACACCAGAAAAACCAATGTGTAGATTTACCTCAAAGTTAATTTAAAAATTGCAACCTTTTGGTATTCAATTTGGATTTTATGATATCGAAATTGACAAACTTATGGTTGGTTATTTGAAGCTTTACTCAAAATGGTAAACTTTTCCCTAAGTGTTTGTGAGTGGAAAATTAATTGGAGGAGCTGATGTAATTCAAATTATTTAAGACTAAGGCAACTGTAGAATTAATTGAGCAAAAAAGATTCGCAGAACTAATACCTAAGGAAGCCTATATGACGAAGAATTCAAAGTTAGAACAGATATAATTAATTTCAAAATATATTATACTAATAGATGGACAACCGGATTTAAATTGTGAAATAGCAAGAATTCTGTCAGAAAAGAAAATTCCATTTCAGTTTTACAACATTGGAATGGATTAAGAGGTGAGATCAGAAGTCTTAAATTTCATGTCTAGTTATATTGAAACATCTCATGATTTGGAGCCTCTACTATTATATAAAGTAATACTTAGTAATATATTTAGAATACAATTTATAATGAAATAACTTTAAAAAAAGAATTGAGTATTTTATAATGAAAGTGATAAGTGATTGATTATTATTTTAATTATTAAGGATAAATATTTCACATAAAATCTTAATTTATAAAAATATACATAAAATATGTATTTATAAAAGTCAATCATCTTTTAATGATTTTAGGTAAATAAATCTTCGAAAGTGAGTAATTTTTTGATGGCGAATAGTGCTTCTCATATTTACTAGATTTCCGATTTAGAGATTTGGTTCTTACAAAAACATCTAACTATTTTAATGTTTTTTTATTCTTTTCTAAAAGCTTTGTACAATCAAACATAGATTTTAATAAAATAGATCCTCTATTCTTATTTTTTGTATCTTCGTTAAACTGTGTGCTAACTATCTTACTATTATTTGAGAACTCATCCATTTCTTTGATTTTTTCCATGGCTTTTTTAATTCCATCAGCGAAATCTATGATTACATAATTTTTAAATTTCGATTTTTATAAGATTGGAGTTTATAACTATCTTAATATTGAACTTTCATTCAATTCCTTATACACCTAATTTCTTAACGGGGTTTTTTAGGATGAATTTTTAAGATGGTTACTATTTGTTCCAGAATTTTGTAATTCCTTCTCTTCATCTCCTATTGGAAGTATTTTAATATATGAATGATGTTGAGTTTTTTATCTTTGTAAATATTAGCATTTATTTTTTGATTTTTAGACTACATCAGGTAAGGTTTTGCAGTATTGTTACTAAACGATTTCAGTTTTTGTAGTTTCATATTTTTCAATTAGTCTACTTAATTTTCTCATGTCTCTTTTGGGTTGTTCTAAGGTAGGACTTATTAAGGGTTATTCATTAGAATTGCTAGAAGGCTATTGAACTCTTTTGGGAACAATATCTGGAAATGGCAAACTACAATCGATAGGTAAATTTACTTTTAAGTAGTTTAAGGTTTATGTTATAAAAAGTGAAAATTTTTAGATTTTTCATGTTAGGCTATAAATTTGGTAATATATTTGGGAGACCCTTTATTATTAATTTTATGTTCTTCAATTTATTTAATAATTTATCCACCACAATCTAAACATTCACAACTTTTATTTCTAACTAAAATGGGAATAGAAGTTATATCAAGCTTTCTTTTCAGAGTGAACTATTTCTTTAATTCTCTACGATCTTTTAACAAATTCTTTAGCTGTATAGTTTACATATGGTTAAATATAATTATCTATCAAGTATTTTCTTTTACTAAAAACAAGTCTGCTAGAATTTTAGTTAATTTTATTGATTAATAATTAATATTTTAAAATAAGAATAATAATAATAAATTCATTGTTATTAAATTTATTGGATTATTTGTTATGGAGGCTGTTGATGTATAGGACTAGATTTTTAATCTTAAACTTATGCTTTTTGAAGGTCCTCTTCAATTTCCCTCTTTAATCGAGCTTCTTTGTTCAATTGCAATCTTTTTCCCTTTTCTCCAAGACAAACTGAATGTTTCTCATTTGAATAGCAACAGTCATATCCCCATCCAAGAACATCACTCCACCAACTACCCCATACACTTGTATGATCTCCATAAAAGAAATCTTCTAAATATTTGCTTTTAGTTAAGTCCTTCTTCTTCAAAGGATTCTTAGGTAAACCATCCTCTTCATACTCTACAAATCTTTCTGTTTATCCCAATAGTAAATCTATTTGTGGATTTAAATGTTCTTCTCCACCATATCTATCAAACAAACTCTCTGCCCTTCCAATTTTCTATTCTTCCTTCTTTACTTTTATTTATTTGTACTAGTTTAATAAAATTAAATATCATACTGTCTTTTCAGTCAAAGTCGGTAAAGAAACTGTATTGAGATTTAGATTGTGTTATTCTGCATATTACCATGCAAACCTTTCCTATTCATACATCTATAGAGTTTCACCAGTCAATCTAATTTGATTTAGACCTTTGAACACTTATTTCTCAGGTGGTAAATGGGGATTTGGATTTTCTCTCAAGGATCTAGATTTTGGATCGAAGTATGCTGAATTAACATCCAAATTCAATAAGTAATTGGCTTTATCTTCTCGAATACGTAAATTTCTTGTCATAGTCTTAGTCCTTGGATCTCTGGTGGTCATTTGAGTTTAATGTTCACCAGTTCCATTATCTTTAAACTCATCATCGAGATTGCCTGATTCTGTTTATTAACCTTCTTACAATCTAGTTTCTTTTCGTTTTTCCTCTAGAATCTCATATTCTTGGATTTACGACTTATAAGTCTCTGGATCATAGCCATTCCATCTATCTCTTTTTGCATCATAATTCAGACCTCCAACATTAGTTAAAATATCATCTGGTTGAATATCTGTATTAGAGAATTTTGCCCCTATTTATCTTGGTCTTTCACAGCAATCTTTGCTTTAATGAGTTGTGGAACCACAATTAGTGCATGCTCCTTTTTTAAATTTTAAATTGTTTTGACCCTAGATTATATCACTTTAGAATTAATACTTTTTATCCTCTTTAGTACCAGTTATCAAATGTGCTCGAGTTCTATTGTTTTCTGATTCTTTGATGCTTTAACGATGGTGTACTTTCCTTTAAATACCCTAAAAACATCAAATTTTAATCATACATGGAGCATTTATAATGTATTGAGGCATGTGAGGATTGATTTCTCTTCCGTCTTCATCGTTTGTTATTTGCATTAAGTCTTCTCTACCTTTTTTGTTAAATGACATTGTAGAAGCAAATTATTATTAAAATTATCAAAAGTTTATGATATCGAATTTATACTTTATCAATTGAATCATAGTTTATTTATAATATAGTAAAATCAATATATTTTGATAATGAATGGATAACTAAAATGCACGTTGGAATTTTTAACTTTAACTATTAAGACATTCTTAATAATCTATTCTTATTTGCTTTTTATATAGATTGTAACTAAGAATTAAGAATTGCCCTACACTGAAAGCGTAGGTGGATTGATTAGTATTTCATTATCATTTTTATTAAGAAATTCCATTTCAAGAGGTAATCCAATTGGACTATTATTTCTGAAGGGGATCTTGCAATCTAACTTTTTGCCCAATTTAAAGGCCATTTGAATAACGGGCAGATTATAAACAGCTAATTTATTGATTGAAATATACAATTCATCAAGGTTTTGGGACACTCAATAGAAGGAATAGTGATTTGGCTTTAAATTTAAGCACTTATTTAGCCTTAGATTTTTTGGTGATTAGAATAGGATGCTGTGATGAGAATGGTGCCAAAGAGTCCCTTCTATTCTTTAACGTTGGGAACTTTAAGAGCTATTTTCATGGAGAATTGCTTTTATGCTGGACAGGCAAGCATAAATCGATCATTATAATCATACCCATTGAGTTTTCTAGCTGAATACACATACTCATCTAGATCATCAAATTCTGTGTTGTTGCATATTACTTATATGCCTATTATCACTGTTTCATTGGATAGATTTTAAAATTAGATATCGTCTTCACAAATATTTCCTGGAATAACCAATCCGAAATTGACAATTTGTTTATTCACATTTAACACCTCTTTGATGTCACCAATAGTCTAAGGATGGATTAATAATATATTTTACTTTTTTTTAACGTCTTGATGAGTTGTCTTAAGTCATTTTTTGTAAGAATTATTATTTCTACAATCTAAACAATTCTTGAGAGTTCTCTTTATCGGGAGAAGACGTTGACTATTTTTGTGATTTGTCGATTATTTCCTCTTGAGGAATGCTTGGTTGTTCATTTAATCTATTTGGGCTTTCCGTTAACTAACTCATTTCTTGAACGATTTTTATTTTTTTAACTTTTTATTAAATGTTTTCAGTTAAATATAATTTATATTAAAATCATATAATTTATAATGAGCAGACAATAATTTAGGAATGCAAGAATGAGTCTGTTTGTAGGCAATATTTCAAGATTGGTTGAGTAGAAGGATATAGAAAGAGAATTTAAGGTCCATGGTGATTGCACTGTGGATTTTAGAGTAAAAAATAATGATAGAGTAAATACATATAATAATATATTAGTATGCATTTATTTAATATAAAAGTGAATAAGAAGCAGAAGCTGCAAAAAATGCATTGCATTAAAGAGATTTATAGGGTATTGATATAGGGTTTATGAATTCTGAAAGGATTGAGAATAAATGTTGAATGGTCGAAAAAGTCAGGCAGATATGATGAGAATAGAGAACCCAGAAGAGATCGACCAAGGGATGACAGAGGGTAGAATGGCATATTAATTATAGATAATCAAGAGGAAATTATGATCGATTCGAGAGAGAGAGGGAAAAGGAAAGAAAACCAAGAAGGAGAAAGTAATTTATTTACATAATTTAATAATTAGCTCAAAAAGTAGAAGCAGAAGTAGAAGTCCTAAAAATAGAAGTAGTCCATAGTATCGAGTGTCCAGAAGTCAAAGTGTTGATAGTGAGAATGAACCTCCCAGAGACAAAATGTTAGAATATCTTATGTATTTTAGATTGAGAAAGAAATTGAAAGAAATGACGAGGAAAACAGACAATGGAGAATATAAGGATTGAGTAGTGAGCATTATAAAATTAATTCAATTACAAGACTTATAATTGATAGCAGCAACCAAATTATTTATAATTAATAATTTATATTATTTAAAATTATAATGGTAAAGTATCAATTTACTAGTCAGGATGCTGAAAAATCGATCGCTTAATTTACCAAATTAAAAGAAATTATTGATAACTAAGCTATTATCATAAACTAATTGAAAATGGAAAATGATTAATTAAGGTTACAGCTTTAAAAATTATCTTAACAAATAGATAAAACCCAAAGGGAATAATAATCCAATAGTGATTTATTAGGAATAAATCAAAATAAAGTAAGTTCTACCTTGCCCCATTTTTAAACTGATAATTAAAATGTTGAAAGATTAGCAAACATTTATGACAAAGGTTATAATCCCTTCGCATTAAACCTAAATAATCAATGTCGAAATGAGCCTAAGTTTGATCCACAATAATAATATAACCCATTTTAAAACCCTGGTGATTCCTAAATACTAAAGAGGGATGCATTTTCTGATTTACAATGTTAATTAAGCTAATTGGAATAAGAAAAAGCATCATAATAAACTAATTATTAATAATTTTTTGATGCAAATAATCAACCACAATAAAAGCAGAGTCATTCTACAAGTATATTTGAAAATCCATCTTTACCTAATTTAAATGCTGCTCCAAATAATAATACAAATAATATTTTTTATAATGCTGCTCCAGATAATAATACAAATAATATTGTTTAAGATGCTCCTCCAGATAATAATATTTTTAGAAATGCTGCTCTAAATAATAATACAAATAATATTTTTTATAATATTAATGCAAATAATATTTTTTAAAATGCTGCTCCACATAATAATACAAAAAGTAATTTTTGCAATAACGTTAACAATGATGAAAATCAAAAATAATAAATAAATTCTCAAGAAAATCATGAATAAGAATCCTTATTATTTGGGGATCCTTCAAATTGTTATTATAATGTTTAGAAGTCTGAAAGTAAAGCTTTAGATTAGGTGTAATTATTTAATTAAAAGGAATCAATTAATGATTAGGATATTAAGCAATTAGAAAATAGTAAAGAAAATTCATCTTAGAATTCAAGCTCATTTAAGGCCAGTTCAAGTGAAAAACATGAAGAGTTTTAAATAATAGAAAAGGATGAAGAATCTAATTCGATTTGAGTCACAATATGAAATAATATATATTATTAGTTAATTTTTAGTATCTAGTTATTCCTAAATAGATGAAATATCAAATATCATATATTTTAACTTATTAAAATGAATAAGTGGACACTTAAATTTGAGAATTAAGCCTTGGAAAATTAATTTTAGGTGAAGTAATAAGATAACTACAAAACCTTTATTTTCAAAGTTATATCTATTTCATCCATTCTAATGCATATAGGAAAGCTTGTTTCTGATTCATATTAAAATACTCCTTTAAGAATTGAATTATAAGCTCCAGGATTGATTATTTCGGTAATCACTTTATTTGTGATATTTAAACATCCATAATATTCTTCAAATATGATGACTTTGTTAAATTACTCCTTTTCTATAGCTTAATTTTGGGTTGATAACACTTATGGTTAATAAAGAAGTTTTGTTCTTGGGTCAAACATTACAGCGTCTTAAATGATTTTGATGATGTCATTGGACTATTATTAAATAGTCCCATAGATCGTAATACAATGTATGTTAAAGTTGTTGATATTGAGTAAATATCAGGAAGAGAATTTAAGAATTGTTACAATATTGTATAGTGTACTTGTAGCAGTTAGTGAGATTGTAGCATATTATTTGATAGGCTAAGCTAAGAGAAAACAGTTTTTGTTGACTGTCAAAGAAGATAGATACTGTAAAAATATTGATTATAATAGTACAATATTTGCCCAAATTTATTTCAGTTCCTTTCATCTTGTTTGATTATTAACAAGGCTAGTTTTAGCCTATTATTTTAAGCAAGTAAAGTAAAATCAAAAGATGGAACGCTAACCTTTGCGATGGTTGTAATTTAAGAAGTTTAATTAGATATATTTATTTTGAAAATTAAACATTAGAAAATTATTTGTTAGAAAAGTTGAGTACAATAAAAAGCTCTTTTGAATAAGGTAACACTATAGAAGAATTTTCATTTACTTTTCGAGGTTACTCATAAATTGATTTCATAATAACGATAACCGATAAAATTAGATTTTTAGTTAAATTTGTCGGGGCAACGTAATGTTCAGTACAAGAGAAAATAGCCATTGATAAAATTAATCATTTTTATCGTTTGATAAGAAAAGTTTTCAAATGTGTTTAAAAACCTTAAAAATATTAAAACATGCTATTTGATATCTCGATTTAATTTATTTCTGGATTTTATTTATATGGAAATAAAGAAGTTCACTACTATCCAGTTGAAGTTCTTAAAAATATCATAAAGTTTGTTGGAGCAGCAAATGTTTTAATGAATGCTGAATAAACAACTGAAGGCTATAGTTTGATAGGTTCAAAAAATTAGTTTTCGGTTTTTTTTTTATAAGTATGCAGAATATTAATGATTACACACAGTGAACTTGAATTTATTGTCATAAGAGTATCTATAACAGGAGATAGTTAGTTGATTTTTGAATTTAGTTTGAAAAAGGAGAATTTATAGAAGTTTATTCATCTGTATAAGATTAACAAATTTTTACAATCTTTAGAATAGGTTCTTTTTGAGAAAAGTATTAATTTTTAGAGCAATTGTTAATTGAAAATGAAGAGAATTTCGTATGATGAACTTAAAAAATCATCTGAAATTTGATTGCTTTTTATTTGATCTAATAATAATTTCTTATATAAATATATATTATAATACTAACAATATAATGGAATACGATTACATCGGTGCTATCAAAATAAAAGATGGGTTATTTTTAGGAGATTAGTTTGCTTCTTAGGTAGATATTTGATTCAGCGTTCTAGGACTTAGAATTTATTGTAACTAATAAGGTTTCCAGAATAGTTAATTGTGCTTGTAAGCAAATTCCAAACCATTGGGAATCAATAGGAATTGTATATATGTCCTTGCCATGGATTGATAACGATACTTAAGTAAAATTGTGTATAATGAGGTTATATTCTAACAAGAGGATCTGATAAATTAAGTAATTAAATTTATGGATGATGCATTGAACAATGGAGAAAGTGTTATTGTACATTCAATAAGAGGACACAATAGATCAATAGCTGTTCTTTGCGTTTATTTTATGAAAAAATATAGATGGACACTATACAAGACTTTATAATTTATGCATAGCAGAAGACCGGATTTGGAAATCAGAGCTAATTTTTTTAATTAGCTGTTGGCAATCGAAACTAAATTCTAAAAGAATGGCTTTGGTGCAAAAACCTATAATTGGGAGGAAGTGTTTTCATAAGGAGATCCTGAAGAAATGGTATTGAGAAATACATATTTGAATGCTTAACCTCAAGGCGTAGCTGAGTTCAAAGATCATGATTAAAAGCCTAAAACTTAAAAGTAAACTCTATAACTATCAAATATAGGTTACGTTTTGCTGAAAAAATAACTATGTACATACCCCCCTACGAGAAAATAGTATTCAATAAGAAGAAATAAACTTAACCTATCGAAACAAAGTCTTGTCTTACAGGAAAGACACTTTAATATGAGTAGTAAATTTAATAATCTCCTCGTCCCTAAACTAATGTAATGTCTCAAACTTAACCTTTATAACCCATCCAACCTGTCCATTAAAGGCCCTCCTCTTAAGACGTGAAAAGAGTTGTTGTAAAGAGCGACAGTTCAAAGTTACAATAGCTACCTGAAGCCACTTGTAAGTTTTAAGTTAATTTAAGAATCATTAAAGCCCAAGAAGCAAGCCAATAATTTTATGGATTCAGGCGAATAGTTCTTTTTGAAATCACAACAAAAAATCAATTAAGATGCAAATTAAGGAAATCCCTAAAATGAGAGAAGACCTCTAACAGCACCTAATTAATTGAGAGCACCTAGACTCTAAGTCACTCCCTATAAAAAGAATAGCACTGGAGGGTAGAGATAATAAGAATTAAGCATTTAAGCCAATGCATAATTTAAACCCATGGGTAATAGACAAAGAGCTCATTCACCAAATGCAGTATATAATGCAAATCCTTATGTTTAAAAATAGTTTAAAACTAAGCCTTGGAAAAAATGAGTTTGTATTTATATTCTTTATTAATATATGAATTTAATAGTTTCAGCAACCCCTGACAATTCTTTCAACTAATTCAGGATTCAAATCGGATTCTGCTTCTTTTACAGTTAACTAGAAAAGATTTTGTCTCACCATGCTTATATAAGTTTAATCATATTATTTTTCTTGAACCAATTGACCTTCGGTGAACAAAATAAACAAAGCATAGAGAACAAAAATTCCACAATCCTAAAAATAAACAAATTTGTACTTGTGATGTTTTCTATTGTGGACTTTTTGTTTAAAGTTTCCATTGTATTTTGCTAGGTTTTTTGTAATCTATAATCTTTGAAATTCCTTCCTTAATGTCTTGGGACATCGCTGCATATGCAGAATCCTAATAGAGAATTATTTCTTTTTTTGGGTCAATGATTATACTTATCCAATGAGCATTTCTTAAATTAATTGGAAAAAAAGAAAAATCATGTTAGTAGATAGGATTTAATGATTGATTAAGCGATTTTGATATTAAATATTCATCTAATTTATTTTGCATTGATTTTATTCGAAATTTACCTTCTTCTGCCTTAGTAATTTCTATTTTTTACACAATAAATTAATATTTCTTCCCATTCTCATTTTCATAATATTTTTCTATTACTTATCGATTATCTTAAGGTGTTTAAATTGTGTTCTCCTATTATTATTTATCATAATAAGGTTCATATAAATTATTAGGCTAGGGGGGAGGATAAGGGGCATCGGGTATAGTTAATTCCAATGAATCCTTATCATCTATTTGTAATATATTAGTAGGTAATTATTTTGTCAATTAAGGCATAAAATCAACAAAAAAATAATGATCTGCAACATAAATCTAATTTAACTAAATTATACCTTCCTTTGTTTTGAAAAATACTTCTAAAATACTGTGATAAAAAATAATATATGTTGAGATGTTAATTATCTCTCTTAATTCGCTAATTATAATAGAAACTAATAATCTATAGTAACACCGTTCTTTCTCACATTGATGTTTTTGTACGGTCTCAGCAGCTCTTCAAGTTTGAGTTAAGGTTTATGATTAGCTTCCTTTTTCATTCGTAATAGGATTAATTTTTAAATATAATTAAAATATAATAAATATTGTTAAAGGTTGAGCTTCAGCTAATTAATTCTTCCATAAAGTCTTTTTCTATCTCTACTTAAGCTCCAATAACAGCCAACTTATACAGAATACTTTGTCTATACTTATTTATCAATATTTAATTGTAGTTATATTCTTTTCTTCTTAAAGTATACAGGAGAGAAAGCAACAGAAATATGCCGCAATCGTAACTAAAATCAAATGAAATACAATACCAATTTTCTTATCGATTATAGTATGGGATAATTTCAAAATCATTTGAGTTAAAATTACAGTATTCTAATATTTAATGTATCCCTTTTTTGATTAAAGGATCAATTTTTTCATAATAAGAATCAAAGTAATAGATCTTTTTTGGGTTGAATTGCACTACTGCACTAACCCAATGAGTTTATTATTAATTTATTGGGAAAAACCAATAATCTTAGTTTTTTAATTGATTTTCTGATAAATTATTATTTTCTGCAAATTATTTTATTAATGGACCAAGTTGTGGCATCGAAAGTATTTCTTTTTAGGGTTTTTATTCTATAGCTTAACTAGTAAATTGAAAATGGTAGGTTTTTTATGCAGGTTCTTAATTTAGAGGCTGACTTTCTGGTACTTCTTTTTAATTTTATTAAAATGCTTATTTATTTTGGTCAGCTTTAACTCGGGAATTATCCTAATTGGCTGCAACTTGATTTAAATGTTATTGATCCTAAGTTACTTGCCAATTTTGATTTTATTCTTTAGATTCTATGAATAATTTAGATTAATACTGTATGCAGTTGAATCATTTTATGGTTTTTTTTATGTTGAATCTTTAGATGAAGTATTTATCTGAGATGTATGATTTGTTGGTTTTTGATTCGATGTACCAGTTTATTATGTTTGCTGATTTACTTATCCTATTACTTATTATTTTTGATTACTCTAATTTGATTACAAAGATTTATCATTTATTTCATCATGCTAATTTTTGATTTAATTTAGTTAATGGTGTTCTTACTATTAGAAGTCTTTTTATACATCTACAAATTGTTAAGATTCTTTTGAATATTTTTGAGAGTTGCTTTATGTTTCTTCAGAAATAGTGGATTATTACTTTATAGAGGCAATTTATATTTCTTAAGTATTATTAAGCTAATACATTGGAGGATTTACTAATTCTGTTTAATCATTATGAGGATCTTAAATTTAAGATTGAAATGCTTTTTCTTAAGTATGTTATTTATTATCAGGTTATTTATATTTCCTATTACTATGATGAAAATCTTGCTGTTGAGTTTGACTTAATACTTCTTAAGATTTAGGATCTTATTGCGGTTTAGATTATATTATCTCAGAACGAGGATGCTATTGCCCTGAAGGTTTACTTTAAGTTTCTTAAGAATTAAGAGGCTATTAGTTTTGATGCTTAGGTGATTGTATTTCAGCATCTTTCTTTGAAGTGTTTTTTTTTTATTATTTACTTTATTCTATTTCGGATGGATTATTATCGTTCTTTGAAAGCTTCTAAATTTCCTGACTATTCTATTTATTTTGTAATTAATAATTTTAGGTAGATGACAAATCTTTTTCAATAGTTGGTTTAGGAGGTTCCTGAATTTTATTTTACTCCTAAGGTGTGTCTTGAACAGTAGGCCTTTTCCAATCCAACTTAAAAATTATAGGCTACTATTAAGGTTATATCGCTTATTCTTATGTTACAATCAAGTCACTAAAAAAGTAACAAGAAGCTGCAGCTAACTATATAAAAATGAATTCTTAATTACTTTAACATCTTGGTATGCTTTTTTGAATACATTCATGAAAAATTAAAGTTATGAACTTTCCAAAAGGCCTTAGTCTTGGATTTTTTGTAAGAAATTGTATTCTACTGTTACTCCATAAGAAGGATTTCGAAAATTGAAATCTTTCATTTAGGTGTAACTAATTGGATTCTTATAAATAATATTCTATCCATATTTTTCTTTTAATTTCTGCTCAAATTGATCTTCTGAATATTATTGTTTTGGCTTCTATGGTGATTTTTTATTCATTTATTTATTTTTTAATTTTCTATTAATATGTGTTTCTGCATTTATAATGTTTAATTTTAATAAGCTTTATAATTACAATATTATAGATTGTATTGAGAGTGGAATTTATGAATTAAATATCATTAATTATTGATAAATGTAATAGGAAAAAGTAATCTCAAAAGATTGGCTTAGAATTGATCCTTTTGATTCTCCAATTTTAAAAAATGCACCAAAACATCAACCTGAAAAATTTAGCCAATATAAGGATTTAAAGGATGAATAAGATAATGTGATAGGATTTCTAGTGGATGACTAATAGTATTTTTTTAATGAAGATGGAGGGTATGGTTATTATCAATACATGTAATAGATGGATAGATTATAATGGTTGTTATTATGATAAAGAAGGGCAACCAGCTGGATGGTTTGTTTTGCACCCTGGCGATGTTGTTCATGAACATTTCTACGATCAAGATGGTTTTTATGTACCTAGTGATGATGAAAATGGCGATTTAGATAATGTTAAGGCGGAGAAAGTGAAATCATAACAAAATGTAGCAACCTGAATAACAATTAAATTGATTTTCACAAATATAGGAAGCATAAATAATATATTATATAAAATATAGATTTTACCAAATGCAAAACAATATGCTTGAAGATCTCAAAAATATTATGAGAGAAGGCTGGCTAGAAAAAGAATCTCGGGTATTTAAATCTTGGAGAAAGTATTCTATATTATTCATTCGTTTTAGACGATGGTTTGTTTTAACAACGACAACCCTTTATACATTCAAGGCAGAAAAATAATATAGTAATCCAACAGAGATTATTCCTTTATCAACCATAAGTACAATTAAATCATGTTAAGAAGAAACAAACAAAGAAAATACATTTGTATATTTGTAAATAACATTAGAAAATCGATACACCTGAAACAACATTTTTTCTGATGTCAAATAATAATCAAGAGAAGGAAGCTTGGATTGGAGCCATTGGTAAAGCTATGGTTAAATTGCATATGAAGAAAAATTAAAAAGATGATGATTTCGATTGATTTGTTATTAAATAAAAATAAATATAAAAAGTAATATTTTATTGACTCACCAATCTTAACTCTCTTCATAATTATACAATCCCTGAAGATTATATCAAGTGATCTAAATTTAGTTATTTCCAAATTCAAAGCATTTAATTTGTCTAATGAAAGTATTCTTTCACGTCTTGTGAAAATACTCTGTTATTATAAACTTTTAGTTGAAATCAATGAACTATAAAATGATACATTATATTTCTTTGTAAATTAATTTCTTTGATAAAATAAATTACAATTATGAGTACTCGTTTATTTTCAATTTAGTTTAATTTATTAATAATCCTAACCTCACTAATTTTGGGGTTCTTTTATACTGAAGCTTTAATTACATTATAAATTCCAACTTATTTCAGTTATTCTTGTATATTGATTACCTAATTTTCAAGACTTATATTAAATAGCGTTATTTTTAATTACAATTATGTTTCATAAATAAAAATGATTCTTTTCAATTTTTACTTTAGTAATATTATTAGTTCTGCTATGATTTTTAGAAGAGATGATATTAACAAATTAAAAATTAATTTAATGTTATAATATTGATATTTTGCGAATAATTATAACACTAAAATGATTGATGCATTCGTAGTATGAGTATTGATATGAAATAATTGAATTAAATGGTTTTTTGAATAGTATATTTGAAAATGAATGTTTGTAAAAGAAAATGCCTCAAATTTAAATAAATAAAATTGTGTATTAAATGTCCCAATTCTTACAACCAACCATCTTGTTATTGAGAGAAGGCACAGACACCTCATAAGGTAGAGCTTAAATAGTGTCTAACATCAATGCTGTGTAAGCTGTGGCTGATGTGGTTAAAAGCACTCTTGGCCCAAGAGGAATGGATAAAATGATTCAGACAGGTCCAAAAGTGACCATTTCTAATGATGGAGCGACAATTCTAAATTTATTAGAGGTTGTCCATCCAGCTGCTAGAGTGTTGGTCGACATTGCCAAATCCCAAGATGATGAAGTTGGTGATGGTACAACCTCCACTACATTGTTGGCTGCAGAATTGCTAAAAGAAGCCAAGCCATTTATTGAAGAGGGAATCCATCCACAAATAGTGATTTAAGGATATAGAAAGGCTTTGGAATTAGCATTAGAAAAATTAGAAGGATTCTCAATAAACATTTCTCGAGATTCTCCATAAGAGAAGAGAGACACCTTATTGAAATGTGCTTAGACAGCTTTGAATTCAAAATTAGTATAATAATAATTAATATTAATTAGTTAGCCAATACTAAATAATTCTTTAGTGAATTAGTGGTGTCAGCAGTGGAGAAGTTGGACCCAAATATTTTGGATAGAGATTTGATCGGAATCAAGAATGTCACAGGAGGAAGTGTAAATGATTCATTTTTGGTTGATGGAGTTGCATTCAAGAAGACCTTTTCATATGCTGGATTTGAACAATAACCAAAGAGATTTGAGAATCCCAAGATCTGTTTATTAAATTTGGAATTAGAACTCAAAAGTGAAAAGGAAAATGCAGAAATCAGAATTGAAAAACCAGAAGAATATCAATAAATTGTAGATGCTGAATGGGCATTGATCTATGAGAAATTAGATATCATTGTTAAAGCAGGAGCCCAAATCGTATTATCTAAACTTCCCATTGGAGATTTGGCTACACAATATTTCGCTGACAGGAACATCTTTTGTGCTGGAAGAGTTCCTTAAGAAGATCTTCTCAGAGTTTAAAAAGTATTTAAATCCTATATTCAAATCAGGCTACTGGAGGTTAAGTCTAAACAACTGTAAATGGTCTAAACCCTGAGACTTTCGGAACTTGTGGATTATTCGAAGAAGTTTAAGTTGGAGCAGAAAGATATAACTTATTTAAAAATTGTCCATAAGTACATTAATCATTAACTATAACTCTTAGTCTAGAACAGCAACCATTGTGTTGAGAGGTGGAGCTGAATAATTTATTTAAGAAGCTGAGAGATCTTTGAATGATGCTATTATGATTGTCAGAAGATGTTTCAAAGCCAACAAGATCGTAGCTGGAGGTGGTGCTATCGAATTGGAATTGTCAAGATATCTTAGACATTATGCTAGATCTGTGACTGGCAAGACATAATACATTGTGAATTCCTTTGCTAAGGCATTAGAAGTTATCCCAAGAACCATTGCTGAAAATGCAGGATTAAACTCAATCGAAATCATGAATAAACTTAGATAAAGACATGCTCAAGGTGGAGAGGAAGGCAGATGGTATGGAGTCGATATTAATGGTGCATCTGGAGTATGTGATACACATTCTTCCTTTGTTTGGGAACCCAGTCTTGTCAAAAGAAATGCTCTTTGTTCAGCAACTGAGGTTGTTATTCACATTTATTTTATAGGCTGCTTGTGCAATTTTATCTATTGATGAAACAGTCAAAAATCCAAAGTCTGATTAAGATACAAAAATGAAACCTAGAGGATAACCAGGTAGACCACCCATGGGAATGAGAAGATGAATGTTATATTAAAAACAAGATATATATAAATGAATTTTGTAGCTATTTATTAAATATTCTGGTTTTGATGATAACAATATGTATAATTAAATCATTCTTCTCTTAAGGGTACAATTGCAGGTGCAACAATTTTTAGTACTTCAACCAATCTCCTGTGACAATTCAATACAGCTTGATGATCGCTATCTTGAAATTTACCAACAGGTCTTTATCCTAATTATTCAATTCATTTTCAACCTGTGATCTATTTATAGCATACTCTGAATAATCTATTTACTGTCTCTTGATTTGCAATCGATAAGATACGGTCTGCTTGAGCTTCACTCATCCTTCAAAATTTAATTTATATATTTAATAAATCAGGAATTCGCATATATTTTGAACTCCTCACTTAGCCTTTTCTAGCATTTGTATTCTTATCTATTATAAGACCTTATGCTATCCATATCTACAATCACAGATGTCTATATTAGTATAATCAATTAAATTAGCTTTTAAACTAATTTTTATATGGTTCAGAATTTGGGGTTCTTGCTTTCTTTATGCCCATAAAATTCATTACTTACTTGCCTTTCTATTATTATAGTAGTTGTTTGGACTAATTTGAATAAATATTTGTACCTTCCAAGTAATTTTTTTATCCTTCACTATTTATGCTACTGGGATTGTTTTCAAATCATCAAACTCCACATCATTCTCTAGATTAACTTCGATAACAATATCCTACAATGGCATACGCCATAAATCATTCACCTTATATTGAAGACAATAACTGGCAAATGACACATTCCAATCTATACAAAAAGATACTGGAATCCTTTATTAAATAAATGCTCTTGTTGGTATTATTATGTAATCAATGATTCCCTTGTAACTTGAATTTTGATAACCATTTTATAACCATTTTTGCGATATAATTATAAATCCAATGAATTTGGAGTGATCCTCCTTTAACACCCTTAAGTATCCGACCAATATTGTATCAACAGTTAAAGATTAGATTAATCATCAAATGTGAAATCCCCTTCCAAAGCTACCTATCCAAATATTTTAAGTTCCTTCAATCTCCCATCTTTCTTAGCAATCACCATTTTCTCAAGCATTCTCAGGCAAGGTTCATTTTAGATAAGTGGAGATAAATTTAAAAAAGATAAATCAGGACCAGAACTTTATTCAATTTAACCCTGTATTTACTGGTTTGGTCTATCATCTAAATCTAATAGATCATTTGCATTTTATTGTTACTTTGGCTTCGCTTAAATAGGGTTAGTATTTGGCTATTCTTCAGCAGAATTTTAGGCTGATTAACCTATATTTTGGAAGCTTCAACAGAAGTAAAGTTCTCTCCGTAATCCAGTAAATTAATTTACCTACTAGTTTACTGCTGAGGTGGCTTAGATTATTATTGTTTGGTTTGTTAATTGGCTTAATCCTGCTGTTCTCCAACTCTTTGTATTTAACTTTAAAAAAAATCAGCTTCATTATTTGCATATATGAACTGCTTATACCCTTATATTAATTTACAAATTGGGAAGACTCTTATGTATGCTATTTATACTATGTATTTGGTCTTTATGGTTTATATCTTTGGAAGATGTTTTCTTTGTGAACTTACTTACTCTTCATCTTAAATGCACAATCATATAAACTCTTCTTTTATTTTTGTTTTCATTAAAGTTCTTCTTAGTTCGTCTTATATTCACTCAAATTGGTAATTGGTTTAATAAATATGTTAATAATATCTAATTGCTTTTCTATAATTTATTGTCTTTTAGCGTATTTTGAAGGTATATTAGCAATTAGATCTTTTTCAATTGTGGCTTAGTGTGATGAAAACTCTTAAAGATGATCAAAATCTGTGATGCATCTAGATGAGACAGAAAGTTTAACTGCCAAATAAAATTATAATTTTTAGGGCAAAAATTCTTTAGTGTACAAGAATTCTTCTAATAATAGCAACATCGAGGAGTAGAATTGACTGTTACCTCCTAATAATTTTTGGTTGTGATTTCTTATTTAGAGTAGGTTGAATAGAATTCAGCTATCTTTTTGATTGCCTCACATCCCAAGAATAATTCATTGCGTTATACAATAATCAACAATATTGCCTAGGATCATTAGGTTGATTTTAAGTACATCTTTATTTACATTGCAAATACAAAAGTAATTTGATTCCAAAACAATAGATCGATCTATCTTTTTTGCAGTCTCTAAATGATTAATTGATGAATACTAATCTAACTAAGAATGTAATTATAAATATCCTTAGAATGTTGCAATGATAATTCATGGGAATAATCGTTTGATGAGACAACAAAGGTATTTTGTCCTCTCTTGTTTTTGATGATGATTTAGCATATTTTCATAGTTTTGTATTATATTAAATATATATATTTTCTTTATTCTCTTTGTTTTACTCCCTGATTCTGAGTTTTTCTCTGCTTTTGCATCTGTCAGCTGTTCTCAATTTGAATTCTTTGAACTCTGTAAGTGGTTTGTTGGACTTGAAGATCTGGAATTTGATAGGATTGATTTGCATTCTTGGTTTCGATTTTGATTTAATCTACAAAATGGGTTATTTTATTTTTTGATTGCTGAGATCAATTGACTAAGATCTATATCTATGAGATAGGTTAGTAAAGTAGGAAGATCTTTTAATTTCGCTTTAACTAATGGAATAGTGTAGTGAATGAGTTTCTATTTATCGTGGTTTTCTAAACATTTTGTAATTAAATTTAAATTATTAAATTAACATCTCTATTTAATTTAATATGTAAAAAGTGATCACTCCTGAAATTGTGAGAACATTCACAAATCCATGTGATAAATTTTTGTGCCAACCCTCAGAAGAAATTAAATTTATTAAATTTATACTCAGAGATGCTGATGATAATTTTATTTTATTTGACTTTGATAATGACGATGAAAATTAATAATAAGAAGTTTTGAGTTATCAATTCACGCCTCAATATTTCGATATCAAGACTTTGGGAGCAACAAAAATATTCAAGACTTTCGATAAGCCATTAAAGAATTTGCTCCTCATTGATAGGTATTTAACAAAACCAATCTAGATTCTATTTTAAAAATAACCTCATCAAAGAGTACGAATTTCGCTTTCCTTTCTGCATACCCCATTCAACCAATACTTGGGAATCCATGTATGATCAACCTGCATTAGGAGCTAACTTAAAAGATCAGATGCTCCTGAATCCATGGGAAACCAAAAGTGATACATTTCTATTTATTGATGGAAAATTAGCTAATCATGAAAGAATAGAGTATGATTTTAGTGGAGATTAAGAAGATTTTGATTGAAATATACATAGTTTCTATTGACTTTAATTAAATAAATGAATTCATTGCAATAAAAGTTGAAGCTTAATATTGGCACTCAAACCAAAACAGACAGTTCTTAACTGCCAGACATTGTTTAAAAGAGTCCTAGAATGGTCCTTCGGAATTTACAGTCAACTAAATTAAGGAGTCAAGAGTATATAAGCACAGAAAGAGTCCGAGAAATGAAGGATGCCATTGTATCTAATCATTCAAGATAAACCTCATTATAAAAAATGAATTTGTCTCAATGTAAATTTAGGATCAATAAATTGGCCAATGATGATAATCGTGTTTGTCTACCGAATTTTAAAAAATGGAATAAGGAAAAGGCTAAAAAAATGTTATGCGATTACATAAAGTAAAACAATAAGTATTCTAATAAAATAATTGTTAAATTGCCTGAGTATGAGAAAAGAGCTCCGTTTATCACAGAGCAATTTTCATTCATTGAGAAAATACTGCCTCAGAATTAAAAGTTCAGAAAGCAATTAGGGTTTAGTGAAGAAAGCATTTTGAGAAATAATTTATTACTTGAAAAAATGCTATTAGAAAGATTGCTATGAATTCTGGTTTTATACTATTTATGTATTATTATGTAATTATCTCAATCGGTGAAATAAAAGAAGTCATGGGCTGCATTATCATATAATCTCATGCAGAAACAACCAACTATTTCATAGTAAAATGCTTACGTCCATAACTAAACACAGCAGGGAACCAGAAATTTCTGATATTCTTTCTATACCATGCACCATAGAAAAGTCTCTTGAATAAGTATTCTTTAGGTCCTCCATACATAAAATGGAAATTGTGGTGTTGGTTAGATAATGATCTTGAGTGTTAAATGAACCCCTTTTAATTTAAATGAACAATTTACTCTCTCATAATTAAATTTGTCATGATAATTAGACAAATTGTTCTTGCTATTATGTACCATAGCCTCTGCTCTCTCAGGCAAATGTCTCAAACCGCCTCTGAATGTTCTGAATTCATCAGATTTGTATTCGCTTACATATGTCAACCCTGCACCTTTGGCGTTCATTTTTTTATTTAAGATATTAATTATTTAATTCGATAAGTTAAAGTCGATATCAAATATTATAATTATTGTCCATATTCCTAATCCAAATGAATTCAACCATATAGCCAATACTCCAATATTCCCTGACAATTTTTAAATCACTAATCAATTAAGTATTTTAGAAAAAGTATAATTTAATTTTAATATATATATAAATGTCATTTACTTATGCTTATTAACCTGAATTGATAAGAGCATCTTAAAAGGATTCGGAGATGATTCAATCGATCTATCAAAATATATGCAATCTTCTGGAATATTTTGTTTCAACTAGGTAAATCTTCAATAAACTCAATACTATTAAAATGATAAGTAATCTGACTTATTATTTATTGACATACTTACGAGAAGTCAAAACTATAGGAGAGGAATATACAAACATTTAAGTTTTCAATTATTCTGACTATGATGATCATTTTGTACCTTTGCAAAAAAGAAGGAAAGTGTTATTTATAATTTTATAATTACTCTCATTTTCAATACCAAAGTTAAGATCTAGATAAATAATGTATTAGTAATAACAGTCGGCAAACAAAATGCTTAAGAATTTGCCAGATATCAATGATGTATTAGAAGGGATTTAAGACTTTCACTTAGCATTATTTTTAATCCAAGGCTCTTACTTTGAGATAAGCAAGAGATTAACTCAAATCCAATTCATTTTCAATAGAATACCTCCAAATCACAATATTAAGTACAAAAGGATTGGCTAAGCTTATTTAATATTACTGATTCTGCAATTCATGAGAAGCTTGTACAACTTTGTTTTGAAGATTAAGAATGAAAATATGAAAGATCAAGTGAATAAAGAAAGAAATATAACAACAAATGAGAATAATGATAAATTTACATAATGTTTAATTTGTTATGATAATGCAACAAATGTGACTTGCACTCCATGTGGACATTTATATTGTTGGGATTGCATAATGCAGCAAGTTATATTGAAACAATAATGCCCAATATGCAGATAGGATTGTCATTTATAATAATTAATATAATTGTACAATTATAATTGAATAATAATAAATTTTAACAGAATATTATATTTTTAACGTATAATAAAATGATCCACGAACAGTATAGATTCTTCGGCAAAGAATTGGTTAATTCATCGGGTGAATTCTAAAAGGAAAACACAGACAGAAATAAACCAAAGCATCTTACTGTATTACCTAGATATCTCAAACTAAATTTATGGTAGGAAGAGAAAGAAAATAAAATGGAAGTTGAAAATAATACTCAACAATTATGTTCTTTTGATTAACAAATGATTAAAGACCCTTAATTCACTTCTTTATATAATAAGGAGATCTATACTTATTTGTTGACTTAAGAAGAAAAATATTTAGTTAGTAATAATTACATGAATGAATAATAACAACCTGACTTAAATGCAAGAATGAGAGCAATTCTTTTAGATTGGTTGATTGATGTCCATCTCAAATTTAAATTAAGAGATGAGACCTTATATGTTACAACTTATTTAATTGACAGGTTTCTTAATTTTAAGACTACAACCAGATAATAACTTTAATTAGTTGGAGTAGCTTCATTATTTATAGCTTGTAAATATGAAGAAATATATCCCCCTGATTTGAAAGATTTTGTGTACATCACTGACAATGCCTACACAAAATAGGATGTCCTTGAAATGGAAGGATAAATATTATAAACATTAGACTTCTCCATAACCCAACCATCAAGTTATTGTTTTCTTTAGAGATTTGGTAGAATTGCAGGATTAGATACTAAGAATTTAAGCTTGGCTTAGTATCTTTTAGAGCTATCAATTGTTGACATCAAATTTATGAACTATAAACCATCGTTTCTATCTGCAGCAGCTATTTATTTAGTCCACAAAATAAGGTATCAGAAATATATTTTCATAGGAAGACTCCTCAATCTTGGAGTGAAGAAATGCAGAAAATGACTGGTTATAATGAATAAGAACTTAGGTATTGTGCTAAAGAAATGTGTCTTGTTTTGCAATCATCAGACAAATCAAATTTATAGGCTGTTAGAAAAAAGTTTGCTTAGCCTAAATACTAAGAAGTATCACGTATTAGAGTAGAAAGGCAAATTAAATAATAAAAATGAATGGTTAATTCATTTCTAGTTAAAATGTTTAACATCTATAAATTTATATCAATTTTTTTATGACACTGATCTTCTTTTTGTATTTGTTACTTATATTATATAATTATTATTTGAATACAAGAGACTTTTTAATCTCTATTGAAGTTTATCTTAATAGATTTAATAGCCATCACTAATTATTCCCAATTGTTAGAAATTTTGATTGTTAATATTGTTAGATTTATTGTTATTGTTATTAATGCTGTTGTTGCCCTTATTTAAATTGCATTAGTTGGTAGAATTATATGAAGGAAAGAAGGAATTTTAAGTTTGAGATAATTTTTAAGCTTATTGAACTTATTTCATAAATGGAGTTTTGTGATTAGTTGTTTTACTCAATGATCTTTTATTATATGAATGTGAAGTAGTACTTTCAGCTCTAATATGATTATTTTCAGTATGAACTCTAGTGCCATTTTGATAAATTCGAGATTTAGTTGTTGTAAATTGCAAACTATTTCTTAATTTTGTCATAAAGTTAAATTTACTATTTTCAAAATTCATTAAATTTTCTTTGATCTTGTTTAATTTATCTCTTTTCATTAACTTATTTTTTATTAAGTAATAACATGTAGTTAATGTACAATGTTTATTCTGCTCTAATTATTGAAATAAGTTGACTGTTTCTATTTGATTCTCTTCCAACTCTTTAATAATTAGATGTATTGGAATATCATCATGAACCTTTAAATATTCATCTTCAAAAATTAGATTTTATGATTCTAAGAAATTCATTAATTCATTAAGAGTAATTCTTTTGTTTGGATCAATCGTAAGCATTGATTCTAATAATGAACAAACTTACTAAGAAATTGGAGAATTTATTTAAAATTGTGATTTCTTAATTTTATTTTTCAAGTCATTATTGTTAGTTATATTGTCAAATGGCAATTAGCCTTACAACATTTGATAAAGCATTAGACCTAAGCACCATATATCATATTTTTATCCGTCAAATTCATAATATAGCGAGTTTAACATTTCAGGAGATTAATATGATAATTTAATTGTAGAGTAATCTATGGTTGCCTATTAATCCATCTTGATAGCCTGGCTAAAATCGATAATCTTGGGTTTTCCATTTTATAATACGATGTTCTCTAATCTTAATTTACAATGAACTATGTTATTTTCATGCAAATACGAAACTCCTTTGGCAATTTGCTGCAAATATATTAAAGATTAAGCCTCTGAAAATCAATAAATTATAATTATGATACTTTTAGCATTAGTTTAATTTATGTTTCAGGTCATCTCCTTCTCCAAATTCAAAAATCATGTAAATATTGTATGTAGATTCCAAAATCTATATTAACTTGATTGAAATTACTTCATATAATTGTATTACATTCTAATGCTTGATCTATCTGAGTATTTGAATTTCATTCTCAAGGTTTTACAAATCTCTATTTAATTTCAGATTCTTTTTCTCTAATATTTTGATTAAAACATTTTCATTCACTAATTAGTGTTTCGCGATAACAATTTTTCCGTATTTGCCATTTCCTAATAACTAATCTTATCCATTATTATAATATTCTATACCTATAATATAATGTTATATTTAAAAAGACATTAAATTATATAATCAATTATTAAACAGAGTAATCAGAGCTATTTTATTATCTTGCTTCTAATTTAGTAGCTTAAATATTAATATTTCTTCATCTTCCTTTGCTCTTATTTATTATATATAAATAGTTTGCATCTTTACTTATTTTAAATACAATATATTAGAGTTCATAATTTAATCCAATTTTTTATCTTTGAACCTTCATTTGTGTTGGATTGTCTTTTTAAAAATATATCCCAAAATCATTAATAGATTTGGAAAATAAATTTGTTAAAATTCTTTTAACCACTTAAGAATTATTAGATCAAAATAAATTGTTTTTTGTAATAAAAGAAAAGTTATTAAACTTTGTTTAAAATGATAGAATCTTAGAATCTGAAAAATTGTGAAATGATCATAGTAATTTTCAAAATCTATTTTCCTTATTACTTTAATTTTTTATTTATATTTTGGAAGTTATACTTCTAAATGAATATAAAATTTGGCTTATTTTGATGGATACCTGCTTTTATATAGTTAATTTTTGAATCATAACATTGATTATTTCTTTTGAATAACAATTTCTTAAAAATGATTAATATAATACAATCTTTGAGTTTATTATTATTAATTTAATGAATACTCTTATGGTTTAATTATTTACTAACACTCACATCCACACATATATTTATAATTGAGATTTCTTTACAATGTACTAATTTAAAGATCTCTAATTGGTATATAAAATATTAAATTTATTATAAATCATCTTCTACTTAGCAATGAAGAAACAGAAGAAACAATCTTTTTGGTTTCGTCGTCTATGTTTGCATAATTGTCTTTTGCAATTTTGGTGAATTTTGTTATTTTACTATTGCAATCAGTCAAACACTATCTTTCCTTATCATTCATCCACTCGTTTTAGATATCAATGCATTAATTGGTACATTATTCATAAAAGAAATCCTCGATTTCTTAAAAATCCAATAAATCTTATACATTTCATTTGAATGTACGCTCCTAAATAGGTAGCGAGTGCTCTTTGATCAATTTAACCTCGACTCTATCTTATTTTCAGTTCTTTCTATTAATGGAGATTTTATTGCTACTCAGCAAGTTTCTAATCAAACAATTTCTTTCGATAAGATGAAAACATATAACCACAAAATTAAATTTAATGTTATAAGCTTATATAAATACATTCCTAATAAGTATACAGTTGTTTAATTTAGAACTTGGAATTATTAGAAAGGAGGAATCATTTATAGTGAGAGAAGAAATCAGAGAAAATGCCACTTGGAGTGATTTAAGATAGAATCGAATAAAATAGATAAAGGAGGATCTTGAAAGTGGGAACATCAATGTTGATTCTGAGATCATTGAAGAATCAGGATAAACTCTACTTACATAAAGCATAGTGATAGATAGATATGAAATATTCTTATTGTGTTTATTGTATTAAGGTAAAGCTATTAGTACATCCCATAGCAAATGTAAATTAATAGACCTACGAGGGAATGAGGCCAGTTCATTTGGCAGCAAGTCTAGGGAGATTGAAGATGCTATAGGATTTAAAATAATATGGAGCTGAACTTGATGCAAAGGACGAGTTGGGCATGACACCTTTAGAAAGGGCAAAATTATACAACCATTCTGAAATTATTGAGTTTTTGAAATAATGAATATTTATATTTATAAATCCTTTCAAAATACATTTCTTTATGTAGTCATAGAGTTTTGTTGAAGGCCTCTATGAATATTTGTTGAAAATCAAGTATATTATTTATTAGCTATAAAAATTATTATTAAAGTAATAATTAAAACTTAAAAGTATGGGAATACAGATTAAAGGAAAATCTTTAAACAAGGAAGAAATAAGTTTAGTTCATAAATCAAAAAGTTTAATTAGACTTATAAAATGATTATGGAAATACTTTTACATATATATGGACTATTACTATTATGATTTAATAAATAAATCTTATGTGTTTTTTGAATAATGTTATTTAATATTATTTCTTCATAAATTATTTAGGGTATAAGCACATTTAAATTCATTAAGAGTTTTTAGTTCTATTATTTCTTCTTTTTCCAATAAATTATCTTTAACTTAATTAAATTGTTCTATTAATCCTTTACCGTATATTTACAAACTCAACTTATTTTGTTGTTTAATGAAGTACTTTTCATAAAAATCTACGATATCCTTTAGATAAATGAGGGATGGTTACCTTTTACATAATTTCATCTATCATAGCAATGGCAATCTCTTTCTCTTCTAATTAGAGATTGTTCCCTCGAATCTAACTCCAAATGTAAGCACTCTCATCATACAATGATTTATCCTTCTCTTAAAGAGCAGATTTCTAAATAAATATAATTAAATACAGCTCCGTTTTTAATGTTATCCAATTAATCATCAGCTAATGATAATAAGACATTATGGAATTATTTCAAAAAGTCTTCAATATGTTAATTCACAACATAAGGCATCTATGCTGTGCCTTGAACGATTATAGCAGCACCATCAATGCAACCGATAGGTATGAATCTCATAAGAGCAACATAACCCAATTATCTTTCAGTTCTAAGATATTAGAATGCATGGTTATGGAAGAATTATTGTATAAGATTCATAATAGCAAAATTCTTTTTATTTCTGTGTCCAATTTAATAATAATTGATTGTAGCACCATTTACATCATTATTATCACCTCCCTTGTGAGTTAAGGGAACAACAACTTTTTTGTTAGTGAAGTCTCTGATGTTAAAAACATGAGGTTCTTCTGAAGTATGACTACTTGATTTATGGAATACCTTCCTAATTGTATGTAGAAGATCTTCTACTTCAGATCTAAGAATGTTACCACTTACAAAGGATGATACTCTAAAGTTAGAAAAATAGTTAGAATGGAATTCTTGTAGGCTTTCCAAATCTAGAGTAGCCAATTCATCTTAAAACAATTGAGAAGTATAATATTAGGCTTAAACAACTTAATTCAAATATTCTGACATAGCAACTCTGAATAGTTTGTCTTAATAAATATTGTTGTAATAGATCATCAATTTCTACTTCACTTAATAGAATGAATCATATTTTAGATTATTGATAGATTACAGAACTTTCTCAAAAAATGATTGGTAATTATCAGACCATCCATACAATTCAAGGGAAACTCCTTTGATACTTGGAGTAAATTGGAATTGATATCCAGCATCGATGGCTTCTTGGATTTCTTGATTCAAATTGTCAGTGACAAGAGTATTAAAAACTTGAATCAAGAGTTTATCCTTTAATGAATTGATGGATTTAGGAGTATTGAACATGACTCCAGTAAATATTTGTGGAACTTAGAATTACCTTTGTAATTTCCACCAAGCCTTAGTTTCAACAGTTCTTTTGATCATAAGTGGGTAATGATTAATGGCCTCATACTCCTTTTCATGTTAAATACAGTCTTCTTTGCTTTTAAATACTAATGGGGCTTGTATAAATGAGGTTTATTCTCTGCAAAGAGATTTGATACTAAAATCTTTAGGAATGAAGGTGTTAATCTTGGGTAATAACAATGGCAATTATTTGCTTTTGACCCAATCAAAGAGTACTACTTTAGTGGTAACAGCACTAGACAATTTTTTGATTTGTTCTCTAGAGAGTGTCATGATTTCGTATTCTAATCTGTATAGTTCTGATGATTATTTAAGATTCGTGAATTTGGGTGAACCATGGAAGATCACAATGTTTGATGGGTTGAGCATTTCTGTCAAATAGTTATAGATACTCTCAGGTTAGAATTCCTCATACAAAAATTCAATGCTCATTGCATCAGTATAATCAAAGTAATTTAAATTATGGGCTATCTGTTATACAGTTGGATAATGATTGTTATCTAGATAGTTGTATTGTGATAATTGCAATTGTTTGTATTGTTACCAGATTTCTTCTAAGTATGGTGTGTAATTGATTTCATTCTTATCCACTTCTTAAAAGAACTAGTCTAACATATTGTTAAAGTATCCAGTCACAGTCTCAGCTACTTTGAGTTCATCTACTCCTTCAATCAATTCAATTTCAATAAGAAAGAAAGTGAAATCCCCATTTCCTTCTAGAAATGTACCTGCATCAACATTTAAAGCCATCTTTTGTCTCACTAAATAATCAAGTAATCCTTCCTTATGTTTTGATTTAATTAATGATGCTATCATTGGTAAAGTCTTGCTTTTCTTAGCAGTTCTAGGAGAGTCTAATTGATAAGCTAAGATCAATTAGTTCTTGTCTCCATTTGTCTTATACTTGACCATGAGACCAGTTTTCTTTAAGGGTAAATGTAGCTTTGATCTTTTTTTCAAATTCAAATTTGGTATTTATGAAAAATCACTCTATTCTCTAATCCATTTGGCCATATCAGGATAATTTGATTTGACCACTAAACTCATTATATTTGCACTATAGAATTGTGAATGAAATTTTACTAATTCTTTCATTGGGTCTTTCAAAGTCTTCAATGAACCTATTGTGAATCTACCTATTGGTTTATTTGATAAAATCTAGAATAGATGAGAGATCTTCCATAAATCACCTGAAACTGCAATCTCATATTCACTATTTACTGCATTGACTTCTCTCTCCACCATACTTGAATCCAGTAAAGGATCAATGAAGAAATGAGCAAATACTTACAGAGCTTCCACTACTCTCTCATTGTTTATTTTCATATAGTAATTAGTTTCTTCTCCTCTTGTATAAGCATTTGTAGATCCACCTCCCTCTGCGACTAATTTTTAGAAATAACCCTCTTAAGGATAACTCTTAGATCCTTGAAATAACATATGCTCTAAGAAATGAGCCAATCCTGGGTACTCATCTGGTTCTGTCCATGAACCCACATTCACACACAATGCTGCCTATGCTATTTTCGCTTCTGGATCTTGTATCACCAATACTTTCAACCCATTCGACAACGTGAAATACTAGTACTCATTCTTATCTATGATAGGCAACTTCAAGTTGGTGGCTTCCTTATAAGCTTTCTCTTAAAATATTGATTTTAGATGAATTAATTCTTCGTCGATCTGCTTATGTTTCGATGATATCAAATCTCTTTGAGTCTAAACCATCGCAACTGTGTTTTGTGGTTACCATATTTAAAATATACTGTTAATCTTAACATAATCTCATATAATAAAACAATACTATTAACATCTAATACAATCAGCACCAACATCGCTATTAAACAAACTAGTAATGCTCCCACTATTATAAACATAGTCTTCTGTTTATTTTTGTGTTTTAACTTTGAAATACGCCTCTCTGTTTATGAAATTGGAACGTAGTGCATTTATCAATAAAAACGTATTAATTATAAAATTGAATTTATACACTATCTAACTTTTTATTTTATCTAAAATATTCATCAAGGTTTAACCAAATATCACTCCTATTTATGAATAGTCCAAGTTCTCACTTAAACCTCATTGGATTGTGACACTTAAAATATAATTCTTTAAGACTCCGATTTTATAGTTTTGTAGTCAAAGACAACTCTCATTAAATAATTTCAATCAGACTAGTTCAAATCACACAAAATTCAGAGATTTAACTGTTGATTTACAATATGAATTCCAACTAATTCTATAGATGAAGTATATTTGATTTTATATATGAAATGATAACATTTTTCTTATTTTAGAATATTGTATTATCCTAAATAAAACAATTTTATAATTCAATCTATTGGAAGTTCATTTAATATCTTCTATTAAGTAGATCTAGAGTCTGCTTTAATGAATTTAATTAATAAGCAACTATAATACACCCCTGGAATTATCATTAAGCCTCCAACTATCAAAAGGGAAATGTATTGCTGATATTTATTTGGATTTCTCATTAAAAATACAAGTCCAAAAATAACGAAAATAATACCTAATAAAAATAGAAATACAGTTAATGCCACCACCTAAGGCATATTTATACTTTTACTTTGAGGGGTATGATATTAAAATCGTATTTTTACTCTGGTTCTTACTGTTGGATGGAATTACTGGTTTGATCCATGTCATTACTCTAGCTATCCTCATGCTTCGATGTCGGAGTATCCTTATACGTTTCATTAATTTCAATTTCTTCAAATTGTTTAATCTTATGCTTTCTTTTATTATTCATTATAAATAGAAATAAATATAAATATTAATAATTTGATTCCTAATTAAATACACAATCAAAATAAGAACAGAATATTGAATATTCCAAAAAATAGTCAAATCCCTCTTAATTAAATATGTTAAAAATATCAAATAAATAAAGTAATTTGCTTTAAGCAGTTTCAATTGCACGACGGCTTCCTGTTCTTTTGCTTATCAGATAGTAATTTATAAATAGAAGAAGCTATATTCTTTCTTTACCTTTCAGATTACAATGGCTTGTCATGATAACGACAACTCAATACTATATTAAAATTGATTAATACTAGCTTTGGGATCTGATGAAGTGTTGCTCAGATTGGTATTGATATTCAAGATAGATTTTATTTACTTCTTGGTTTTGAAATGAGAATCCTCTTAAAAATGATCCTTAGAATTATTGGATCCTTAAAAACATAATTACGAAACTAATGGAGCCTTCTATGTTTGAAGCAGTTTTTCAAGTTCTATATACTTTTTATGTTGTTTTTGTATTTCCTTAGGAAGACCAGCAATTATCCATGGATGTTTAAGTGCATCCAAGGGTTGCAACCGATTTTACGGTTCCCAAGCAAAGCATCTCAATAGAAAATCAACCAAGTCTGAATCCTCAGTTCTTAATTTGTCATAGAGACTAACTGAACTAGGTTTTCTGTAAGATTTGATGTTTTTCTTTGGATGTCCATCCTCGTCAAAGAAATACTTCCTTCTTGGACATTTCAATGCAAAGTCTACTGAAGGAGCTCCAATAACTTCGATAATCAAGTTAATTTATTCGATTTCATCTTCTCCTGGAAATATCGGAGTACCAATATACAATTCTGATATCAAACAAGCAAGACTCCACATATCAATTTCAATGCCATACTTCAATCCAAAAATTACTTCAGGGGCTCTATAGTATCTGCTCTATATATAAGTATAGATCTATTGGCCAACAAAGCAACCTGATCCAAAATCAACAAGTCTAATTCCGCTTTTAGAATTATCTAACAACATCACATTCTCAGGCTTGATATCGCAATGTATGATCTTATGTTTATTTAAGAAATTAAGAGAGTTCAAAAGTTGAATGCCAATTTTCCTTGCTAATTCATGATCAATCCCCTTGAACCTTTGTTTTTAAATTAACTCAAATAGATTTTACTCTAATTTTTCAAACACTATGCATTGATGTCCTCGAAATGTAAACTATTCGATATTTCTAACTATATTCGAAAGCTAATCTGTATCATGATCTTTGATATATTACAGGATGTTGGCTTCAATAACAGCTTGTTTCTTTAGTTTGTCTTGACACTTGATTACTTTCAAAGCATATAACTACTGAGTTTTATGGTCCAAGACTTAGAATACTTAACCAAAACTGCCTTGGCCCAACAAACTGAGAATTTCATATTGATATCTGATGTGATCCTTGATATTATAGGAGTAATCTCCATTTGGTTGATCGACTAGACATTTGGGTTATTTATAATAAAAAACCTTGAGAATAATGATAAAATTTATACTTATTTTATACCATTCAATTCTCTTTGTTCATTTCTTGTCACATTATATAACTTAAGAAATTATTCAGTTGTGAGAGGAAGCTTGTGTAATTGACTTCTGTTGCTTAAAAAACTGTGTTGATTTTCTTTTTCTGATGGCGACCTAATTTTATAGGGTTAGAGCATGCTTTTGAGTGAATTGGTCTTGCTATTATTTATTGGGTATTTTTGTTGCAATTTACGGTCAGAAGACAGAAATGAAGTATTTGGACTTACACTCTTCGGTGATGTGTCCAATTTTTTGGTTGATTATTGATTATCAAACTTTCTCCTAGTGGAAAGCGGGTAGTTTAAATAAGAATTAGATGTGAGTTATGAAATATCTAAATGCACAGAGAATTTCTTCTTATGTTCAAACTTCATCTAATATTGATCTATTATTCTGTTAAATTTTTAATGAACTTAAAAGAATCAGAATCTATAAATGATTTTTTTAAAGATGACACTAAATTCATTGGAGAATATTCAATGCAGGATTACAAAGTACTCAGAGGATATATACCAGGCTTTGGACAAGATCTTAGACTTTATTATACCAAATTGGATCCTCCTAATAAGAAAGCATCCATCTGCATTATCCATGGATTTGGGGAGCATTAAGGGAGATTTCTACATGTAACACAATAAAAAGAGATTTGAATAGGTGGCTGACTTTTTCGCTAAAATGAATTTTGTTGTGCACTTGATTGATTTGAGGGGTTTTGGATTTTCAGGAGGACCAAGAGGATCGCAATCAATAGCAGATCTCCAATTAGATGTTGAGGTTCTGATTAGATAGGCATCGAAGGATCTGCCCCTATTTTTATATGGACATGCAATGGGAGCACTTGTTATTATAAGTTTATTGATTCGGAACCCCAAATTGAAGATATCAGGGGTAATATGTACTGCTCCCACTCTAGGATTTCCATTGAACAGAAACATTGGCCCATTGAAGTAATTTGTGATAAAGAACTTTGGACATTATTTAGAAGTATTTTTATTCTTAAACCCTCTGTAGGACTTAGTTATTAATACAAATGTTAATCCAACTAGTTTGAGTAAGAATAATTAACATATTTAAAGAATTTTTGAGGATAGATTGGTAATGCCATTTCTGGGAGTGGGAATGGCAAGAAGCATTTATAAAACATTGCCTTTTATCTTTAAAAATTCTCATTAATTTTAATACCCAATAATGATATTTCATGGCAAATAGGATACACAGAGTAGTTATGAAAACAGTGTTCAATTCATCAATTAAGTAGGAAGCAAGGATAAGCACATAAAATTGTTTGATGAAGGATATCATGAATTATAGCATGACGAGGAGTTCTAGAGTATAAAGTAGTAGTTGAGTGAGTGGATCAAGATAAGACTGGAGAGTAGTATGCCATTTGGTAAGTATTATTTTAATGAAAGGAATATTGTCATAGCCAAGATTATTGATTGGGATTCCAGTGCAGAAGAACAGAAGAAAGTTGATAATATTTTTGATGCTCTTGTTGCTTGCCTATTTTTTGACTGTGTTGATTAAGAAAGGGAAGTTTAAGAGAGTGCAATACCCATTTGTTCCTATTCTGATTTTGTATAACAAATTGATTAAGAAATAATTAAAATGAAAATTAATATTATTTATATCAATGGAGATTGACCACGAATTGACTCCTTTCAATATTAAGAAATTGGTAAATAATGGACACACAACCAGAGTGCTCTTTGAATCTGAACAAGATACCTTCATTTGCGAGATGTAAGTCTCTTGGTTAATTGATAAGCATTGGGCCGAGTTTTCAATAATCGCCAGAATGTCAATTAAATATCAAATTAGATGGTAATGAGATACTCAAGAGAGACATTTATAATTTGTTGAAGCATTTGATATTTACTGAGACATATTAGAAGCAATCCTTCACTGTGATTTTCGATACATGTCCTCCTTATTCAAAAGCATTCAATGCCTTGTATTATGCAGTGTTATTGCATGGAGTGAGAATGAAGGATTCATTTGCATCGTGTTCAGCTGTACTCTATAATCATGTAATTTAAAGTTTTTAGACGAAAACAGACGACTTGTTGTGGATAGAAGGGAGAAACAATGGAGTGCAAAGTTGAATTTGGTTTACTCAATTAATTTATAACAAATATTGTGTTCGGATGTGATGGGACAATTTAATAATGATGATTTGGGGTTGTTGATCTCTGGATGTATCAGTGGATGCAATCAGATATATAATTTTATTAAAGATCTCTGAGCATATAAATTTGATTCTAGATTTTAAACATATAAATAATTAATTGTTAAATATATTTCAAATGGATTAGGCAACATTTAAGGCAATAAAAGTGAAACTTACAGATTATGAAATTTTGTAAACTCTGGGCACTGGTTCGTTTGGCAGAGTCAGATTGGCTAAGAACAAAGAAACTGGGGAGTATGTCGCATTGAAAATGTTGAAGAAAGCCGAGATTTTGCGATTAAAATAGGTAGATCACATTATATCTGAAAATACAATCTTGTCTAATATAAGTCATCCCTTCCTAGTACACAATTTTACTATTTTAGATTAAAATGTTAGGATTTACATAGGATGAAAGATATCTCTATTTCCTTCTGGAGTATGTTCAAGGTGGTGAACTCTTCACTTACTTAAGAAACAAGGGCAAATTGGAGAATGATGAAGCAGTGTAAGTTTTGTTAAAATAATAAAATTAGATTTTATGCGTCTCAAGTTGTTCTTATGTTTGAATATTTACATTCCAAAAATATTGTTTATAGAGATCTTAAGCCAGAGAATCTCTTGATTGGATCTGATGGTTATCTCAAATTAACCGATTTCGGATTTGCAAAATAAGTTGAAGGTCGAACCTACACTTTATGTGGCACTCCAGAATATCTGGCTCCTGAAATTCTTCTCAACAAAGGTATTATACCACCATCTAAATCAAGGTCATGGAAAACCAGTTGATTGGTGGTGTTTGGGAATCTTGATTTATGAAATGTTGGCTGGAATAGATCCTTTCAATGATGAAGATCCTATGGCTATTTACCAGAAGATATTAAAGGGGAAAGTTAAATTTCCCAGAAATTTTTAACAGTAACTAAGTTGAATTCATTTTTATATAGAGAGGCCAAAAGTTTAGTCAAGCATTTGTTAATTGCAGATTTGACTAAAAGATTCGGAAATCTCAAAGGAGGAGCCAATGATATCAAAATGCACCGCTGGTTTTAGGCTATGGATTGGGAGTTTCTAGTTCAAAAAAAATTATAACCCAAATATAAGCCAGTAGTTAAGTATAAGAATTAATCTATAAAGGAACAAGGGGGATACCTCTAATTATTCTACTTATCCTGACAGTACTGAGTTACCTAAACCAGTTAAACCTACTGATGACCCTTTTATTGGATGGTGAATGTGATATTTAAATAAAATAATTTTTAAATTCAAAAAAAACATGTGCAAGTTTCATCTATTATACTGAAGATAGACCCTTTGAGATCTTTCAAGTTTGTCTTTAATTATTGATAATCATAACTATTTGAAATATAGTAGCATAGTGCAATTGTACCCGAAAATTCCTTTAATGGAATACATTTCAATTAAGAATTTAATTATAATAAGTTGCTTTCCTAAATATTATTAATAGACTGTTTACTTAGACATAATGGGGATCCATGACGATTCCTTAATTATTCTAGTATCCTATGAGGAAATAGGCTTTTTTGCTTTTGCCAACTATTGCCCCTGCAAATTAAGGAATCTGCATATGCTTTTAAAGTTCAGCGACAAAGTACTGATCTAATTCCTTATTTCCTATTATAGCATGGATGATTAATAGTTGAGGTTGTTTAAATTATAAATCTATTTGCTTTTCGATTACACACTGTTCCAAAAAGTTGATGATCTTTAATTGTTTAATGGTCTTAGCACTTTGAAGGAGATCTTCCAATAAACACATGATCTTGGGACCAGTATACCAATCTCCAATTTTTATATTATAGACTAGATCAGCCCTTTTGATTATTTATTGGATGGAAAAGGGAGCTAGAGTGGAAAAACATTGATTATCATCAAACAAGCAGATTATTTTAGTTTTGAGATCATTAGGTTTTGAATTAGTGCTTTCTCTAATCAATGAATTCTAGGTTTATAATAGATTAATACAGCCACTATCATTTAACCAACTCTTATTAAACACCCCCACCCTTGATCAGATATGGCCCTTCCTTCATACTGAATGTTGGCTCTGTAACTAAACCAAATGAAAGTCTCTTTTAACTGAAGGAAGGAATCGACATTCTGTATTTCCTAACCAAAAATATACATGAGTTCATTCTGCTTAATATCTTCACTTAGTAGATTATCTAATTTAAAGGCTGTATTAGTCCTAATTTAAACAAAGCTTACATCATATTCATGAAAGTTGATCCGAAACCTTGTTTTTATTTCATTTCTTTTAATTATATATAACAGTATACATATTAAACAATATTTATTAACATATTTGCAAACAGAATTAATATGTCTGTGTAGAATTTAAATTTGTTAATATATATTTTATCATAATTCCTAAGTTTTAGGATTCTTACGATTAATAAAATCGATCCATTCTTCAGCTTCATAGTTCTCTGCTCCATTCAATATAACTCCATTAGCTATGAAAATGGGAGCTCCAGAAACTGTTCTATAAGTACCATATTTCCACCAATATCTTGCCTTCAAATTCCAATCAGTGCCTGGTAGGAGTGATTTGGCGAATTTGACTTCATCATACTAATATTTTGGATACACATGCTCTTTGGCCAGATCAGCCACCTTGTTTAGTATTTATTACCAAGTCCATTCCAACGTGGCTGATTCTGCAAGGGTTTCTTAATTGTCAAATATGATTTTAGCGAATAAGTAGGCTGCTTCTGCATCGATTTCGGATAAAAAGGCAAATGCCTAAGCTTCAGGGAATGCTGCTCTATGATAAGGAAGAGGGAACATATGAATTGTGTATTTGAATCTAAAATATAGGAATATTATACTGTGTTCCATAACCTTGGGCCAAGACCTGTTCTAGGATCCTAAATGAATTCCTGCTATCTGGACATTATAAATCAAAGAATGCTTCAATTATGAGTTTTTTTGAATCTCCTTTACTGACTCCCAATGGTTTATTTGGAATCGGGACATACTAATTTGATAAGACTAGAGTTGCAATTCCAAGTAATAGGAAAACTCTGTTCATTAATTAATTTAATAATTGATTTCATCATCACATACATAATGTAGAATTAATTCAATTTTATTATTTACGATTCTGGATGTATTGAATCCACTATTGAGCTGACAATTCTTCTCCCTTATCAAATAGAACACCGTTAACAAAAATGGTAGGAGTTCCACTCACACTTCTGCTAGTTCCATATTTCCAACTATATCTTGTCTCAATGTTCTCTGGAGTGCCAGGTTTCATAGAATTCAACAATTCATCATAGTTAATTTGATATTAAGCTAATTGTGTCTTCACCAAATCGGCAATCTTCTAATTGACTTCAGTTTATTTCAGATTCAGAGTTGCCAAATCTATAATAAAACAATCGTTATACCTGTGAATTACTCTAAGTTATTCAACAACAACCCTTCAAACTTGTAGGCTGCTTCTTGGGACACGGTCTTCCAAATGTATTTGAAACCAGCTGATGCTGCAAAGGCATTCTTATGATAAGGAAGGGGGAATTGATGAATGATGAACTAAAATCTAAATCAAACTCTTACAGTGAAAGAGTCCTTCTCCAAAGAATCGATTACAGTTTTGAATATGTTGTAGGATTCTCTAGATCCTGGACAAAAGATGTCATAATAGGCTTCAATTACTAAATTTGGATTGTCACCAATAATTAAACCATCGGGGATGTTAGGAATTGGAGTGTATTGGCTGCCCACACAAACCCCCAAAATTAGTGATAGAAGAACAAAGACTTTTGTCATTTTAATATTATAAAATATATATATAATTATTGTTAATTACTATTTTATTAAGAATTCCCCATTCTCCTATTTAACTAATATGAAGTATATTTAATATGTAATAATAATTTTAAAATTGTTTAGGAATTCTGAAGAATTGAGAGTTCTGATATCGTGGAGACAGTCAGCAATCAATTGGCAATCACCCCTGTTTTCAATGAGAAAAACAAAATGACAATTAATTTCAATGTGCTTATAATAAAATTTTAATTATTTTTAACGAATTCTTGTATGATCGATTAAGAAAGTTTGCTAGCCGAATTAGGATTGTTGGATGAGAGAAAATTATTGCTAGAGTTAACCATTTAACTTGGATAGAATGAACATGATCTCATATATCTATACGAGGGAGATGATATTGAACTCAAGGCTAGTCAATTTTGTGAAAAACATCATCTAAAGGATGAAATTAAAGAGATTATTGCTCAAAATATTAAACTACATCTGAACGAGAAAGAAAATTATTTTAGCTTCGTAAATTAATCCAATTAGATAAGCAACACCAATACCAATAAACCTACATAAGATTAAACTCATAATTAGATAAGAGAAGTTAATTAAGAGAAGAAAGAAAACAAGAATGACATCTTAAACAAATCACAGGCTGCCATCAAAAAAACTGATATTTATGAAAAACAAGTCAAGTAGATGAATTACAAAAATAATGTACTCCAAAAGCAAAGACTACTCAAAGAAGAAGAATAAGTTAAAGAAGCCACCTTCAAACCAAGACTCAATTAAAATACCTTAAAAATAGTCAGTACTACAAGATAAAACAGAAATAAAACTCCAGAATATTATTTGTTGAAATATGGATAACAATTGCAAGAATAAAAAAGAAAGGCAGAATAACAATTTTTGAATGAAACTTCAAGAGAATGCTCCTTCAGACCTGAGATTAACAAAATGTAATTTTGGTTCTTTATATAGCTCCCAGAGAATATGCGACGAAATTATCAAAACTGATGTGAGTATGACTAAATTTGATCAACTCTACAATTAAGCTAAGAAAAGAAGGGCTAATGATAAATCTTAGACATCCATTATATAGGAATCCTAAACCCAATAGACCAGAAGAAGTATTACACCAAACAAATCATAAAATAAACAATACTTACCATTTCTAGAAAGAATGGAAATGTAAAAAAAGATAAAAGAAGAAAAATTGAAGTAAGAAGTTGAAGAATCTTTAATGTATGATGAGAAAAGTGGATAAAAACTATTTCAACCATAAGTGCATAGTGCAAATAGATCCAGAGGGGGACTAAGCATTGGAGAGTACCTTTATTAATAATAAAAATCTGTAAATGAAGAATCAATAATATAATTTGAATGTGATGATTTAAGTAAATCAGTCTAAACAGATAGATCTAATCAAATAGTGCTATAAATGAGAAGAAAGAAACTTGAAGAATATTTTAAATTAATGGATTCCGATAATGATGGATTGATCAGTGCTCAAAATATTTATCTCGAAGAATTGCCAACAGAAGCCTTAGAATTATTACAACCAGTTATTTTACAATTGGAAAAGTTGGATATATATTTGAATATTGAAACATGGACTGCAAAATGTTTGGATATTATCGAAAAAATGAGTGTTTTTGATAAAAATCGTCTTTTTTAAAAATAACCTAAATAGCAAAAGACCTAACCCGATTCTTCTAGTACCTTTAGACCCTAGTTAAATTAAAAATCAGAGATTATTGCAAAGTAAAGATAAACGTTCAAAGGACCTGCTGCCTTATATCAAAAGGCAATGAAGGAAAACATAGTTAAAGAATAAAAAATCAAGTAGATCAAAGAATAGCAAGAATAAAAAGAAGCTAAGCAATGTACATTTTAACCAAAAATCAAAATCTTTAATAGATCTACTACCAGCACAGGATTCTATTGATATATCATTTAGTTTATTTGTTTAAATTTTATTAAACAATAATATAAAATTTATATAATGAAAGAAGGCCTGTATTCTTTTAAATAACACCTTGATCAAACTAAAAACTTAAGGGCTCCTACTGATAAAAGAATGATTCAAAAAGATTTAATAAATCTATAAAAGAATGGCTTTGTATACCTGGATAGGATTCAAGAAAAGAAAATAGACTTGTTAGATTTAGACAAATGCTTATAAAAATTGAATCCTCATGAACATAAATAATCTGAATCTTTGAATAAACACATTTTATATGTTTAGATCTTAGGTGGTTTGAAATAACAAGAAGATTTGGAGAAATTAGATGAATTTATTCAATAAAAATAAAATAAGCAATATGAAGAACAATTAAATCAATTAACTAATGCTAATTAATTTTAGTAAAAACATCACTTATTTTTGGATGGCAAAAGAAGAGTAGAAGATATCAATATAGTGGAAGAAAAGAAAGGTATATTTGTTCTTGAACTTGTAACTTTTAGCATATGTACGAACACACAGATTGGGTGCTTTATTGAGTTGTTTAAAATCTAATCCAAAATATCTACCTGAAGACTAATAATAACAATAATAAGTAGATGAATAATCAGAAGTAAACCAATAGGAGGACTTATCCATTTCATAGTAAAAAACTAAGAAAAGTTCAAAACTAGATGAAAAAACAATCCCATAATTAATAGCTGAAAGACAAGAATAAGAACCTGAGTTAAGTAAAGAATTTTTAACTGTATTTAAAAATGACACTACTTTGGATAAGTAAAAATTACAAGCGGCTTTTCCTAAAATTGATTTTGACAATGTGTAATTGGATAAAAAGCTTGATCTTTCGACGATATAAACCATTGAAAAATTAAAGGATTCAACTCTGGCACCTTTAAAAATAAATAAAGTGCAGTTCAACCCAGTTGCTAAACATATTACATATGATGTAGATACATATGAAGAGAATGGGGAGAGTGTATTTAAAAAGATGGAAGACTTTCATGAATCTTTGAGAAAAGGATAATCTTAGGATACAATCATGGATAAAAAAATAGAGATTGTTACAGAAGCAGAAAAACAAGAATATAAATGGAGTTAAAATTAGTATGATTTATATGATAAAGTTAAGAAACTTTATATTGATAAATCAACACCTTAATACTATCAATAGCAGGTTGATGAGGATCAACATTATCATTAATTAAATAAAAATCCAAAATTCAATAATATCTATTTAAATACAACTGTTAAAAGAGATAATAATTATTAAAAGGCAGGCAATTAAGGTCAATCAATAGTGGATTCTATTTCTAAACTATAAAATTTAAAATTTCATCAATATGAAACAGCAAAAGATTTATAACTAGAAGATAGACCTACAAAAGATTAATCGTAAATAGAAATTCTTTAACAATAGCTATAAAAAGTACAAGAAAGCTACTTCGATAAGGATTTAGATGATTAAGAAGTCTTTAACTCATATAATGCTGATATAAACAGACTAAATCAAGTTATAGATAATAGAGGAAATGAAATTTTTGCAGGTGTTGAAAAACTTTATAGACAATATAATTCAAATTAGTTCGATAAATCTCTGTAACAAATACCTCCAAATTTTAATGGAGTGGTTAAATTAGATTTTGAAAAAGTAAAAGAATAATTTAAAGTAATTCCAACAAAACAAAAATAATATAATGATTAATAAAAGGGATAATTCTCACAATTTTACTAAAATATCCAAAATCCATTGGATCAATTGCATTAAGTTACTAATACTTAACAATAGGCCAAAGAAATAGAGTAGGATTTAATCCACAATGAATTACATTAGAAATCATTATATTTGATTGGATAACTGCCATAACCACAATTTTTTGCGAACAAATATACTACCCTTAAGAATGGTAACGAAAAAAGTGTTTTCAATTTGATTGGAAATTAACATCAGATCATCAAAACTCCTGATAAAGATTTATAAAAGAGATATCGATATTAAAATATTTTAAGCAATGTTGATGATGCCAGAGATAGATTCAAATATAATTTAACATGTTAATGATGATCGAATAAAATGTAATATACTTATCATCTTTTAAATCCTCCTCTTCCATAACTTCCTCTTTATTATCCACCTCCTCTGCTAAATCCACCTCCTCTGGGTGCTCCTCTTCCACCTCTTGGGGGTCCTCCTCTGCTAAAACCACCTCCTCTAGGTGCTCCTCTTGGTCCTCCTCTACCACCGCCTCTTGATCCTCCTCTGCTTATTCCTGGTGCACCTTTTGGCCTGGGTAAAAATCTATCCATAGGCATGCAATCATAGGAGTCCATGTAAATCAATTGATCTTATTTAAACTTTGATTAAATGTTTTGAGTACTGATTTTGGAGCAATTCCTTCTTCAAGGTTTACTGAGAATAAGTAATTTTCAATTGGACCAAATATTTCATCAACTTTACCGATTGGTTGCTTATTTTCAAAATACACACTTCTAAAGAATCTGGGAACCTAATAATGACCATCTTCAATACTAATTGTTTTCCTAGAGCCTTAACAATAATTTGATTTCCACAAACATGAGAGAAAGTAGCAAATGGTTCAACTTTTGCAGGTGGCCCTTATGGTTACTGAGGTCTTCCTCCTCGTCCTCCTCCTCTACCGAAACTGCCGCCTCTTGGGGCACCTCTTCCTCCACCTCTACTATTGAAATCACCTCTGCCCATAATTTAATTTTTATATATATTTTTTATTCATAATTCAATCTACTCATATAAGTTTTATGGTGGTTCGCTGATCATCAGGAAGATTAACAACACAAAAAAATACTCTGGCAAGGGGAATTGCAATATTATTATAGGCAAAAGTAATGAAATCGTCACTATTAATATTTTGTCATAAAAAATACATGAAAATTTTTAATCCATTATAATAGGCAAGAGCTTTACAACAACAAAACAAATAAGCAAACCTTACAATATATTTTATATAAATAGATAACTATGACTTAGATAGAAGTAAATGAGGAATATAAAAGCAAAAGTTATATCTGGTACTCTATCACTCAATATTTTAACAATAGGTAAACTAAGAACTATTTATATAAACAAAAAGATACCCATTAAGATCACTTGATTTTCATAAAAATTACTGTTTACCATGTCCAATTTTTGCATTAATATAATACAAGCTGTTAATCTACTAGCATAAAATTTAAAATTTATTTTTTGTTTGTGTTATTTTTCTTGCATAAGTGTTTTATTTAGCATTATAATTAATAACACTAATACAAATTATGCAAAACCAAATAATACTTTTTAATGTGGCAATATGGTATTTGTTATCAAGGGTATCAAGTAAAGTAAACTATAAGTCTCTTAAATATATTTAATATAATACCATTTTCCCTTGTCCCAATATTTTATAAAGCAAATAAATCATCGTAAATTGCAATCTTAATTGACAGACCAAAAATTGAACCAAGCCAACAACAAATATATTTATGTTCAAATTTTTAGTTACATCTCCCAAGAAGGCTAATGGAATCAATCCCATTTCCCAAATTATTCCTTAAAATTCAGTCGAAGTTTGACACGTAATGTATGCATCATCAGTTTTAATAACAAGTAATCCAATCATAAAAATTGATATATAAGCAACCTATTTGGTATTAGTGTTAGATTTACTTTTTCGTACCTAGAAACTCCTTTTAATTCATCGGCCAAAGAATTAGCTTCAATAATCATTGATGTTTAATAAATATATAATAAATTGACTTTTTATATGTTTTTATATTTCTATGTATTAAAATAAGTGGCTTAATGAGGTTTTTCTTTTACTTATGAGTCCTGAGATTTTTAGATGATACAAAAATTAACAAGATAATATCAAAAATCAATATTAGATTCTCAAATTTAGGGACACCAATGGTAGCTTCATGATAGAATTTAAGATTTTGGTTTGAATTGATCTGTAATAATATTAGGCTGGGCATCTTATTGTCTTTTTTTTGGTTTAATTTCCTCGCATGAACTCTCAAAATCGCTTAGACTTATTTCTTATTATTATTATGATGGTTTTAGGGCTATTTTTTCAAGAAAATGAGTTAATTTATTGAGAAGCAATTATTTGAGTTTTTTATTATCAATTTTGAGAGATATATTTTATTTCTTATTGTTCTATTAATTTTCGAATTCCTCAATCTCAGATAAAACATTCTTTAGATTTTTCAAAGGTTCCCAAGTGTTATCTGCTTCACTATACCCTTCCCATTTAATGCAATATTATAATTCTTTCGAAACAGGATCATATCGTTTGTCCACAACTTTTTCGACTGTGTATAATTGAGAGTTATGTTTCTGCTTTTGACGGTGTTTCATTTATATTTAAAATATATAGATATTTCTGATTTAAATCTCATTTTTCTTGAATTGCAATCATGTCTTCTTTAATTGTTGGATATTCTTTTGGAAGCCATTCCTCCAATTCTGCGCTCAAATCCCCTTGTAGTTCAATATCTCCTTTTTCATTGATTGAGGAACCACAACCAAATTTTTTACTAATTTTTTTTTAAGCTTCCTTGATATCAAGACCTTAGATAACTAGAATGATTACCATGTTTTTCTAATCCTGTTAAGGTTGTTATGAACTTGCTCCTGTTTCTTTCCTTGACCTTTATATATACCATTTCGCTTTCAGTCACCTTGACCTTCTTCTTTTTCTTTTTTTCAGGGGGTTAGCCTTATTATTGTTATTATTGTTCTTATTGAGGTTGTTATTGAGCAGCCTATTTTTCTTATTCTAATTTGAGATCTTCGGGATATAAATTTGCATAAAGATCTTTAAATGATGTTTTTAACCATTCTTTGCATTCTTGGGGAGCCTTAGAATATGAGCAGAATTCAACAGGGAATGTACAAACTTTGCAATAGATGACCACCTTTGGATTCTTGTGAATGTTTAATTGTTATTATGGTTGATTTAGTTCTTATTTGAGTTATTGTGGTTGTTATTCAACTTGTTAGGGTTGTTTTTATTTTTGTTATTGCTCAATTTTCTTTTTGCTTGGCTTCTTCTTTTTAAAAATATCATCATCTGAATCACTCATTGTTGTTCAATTATTTAAAAATAAATTAAAGATTTTAATTATTATTTGAAATGACCAAAAAAACAAAGAAGGTTGGAATTACAGGAAAATATGGTACCAGATATGGTGCATCTTTAAGAAAGATTATCAAGAAGTTCGAAATTTCATAACATCAAAGATATTTCAACACTTTTACTGGAGCTGTAATATATGTTATAATATTCTAGCATTCACTCAAGAGATAAGCTATTGGTATTTGGAGATGCACACAAACTGGATTACAAATTGCTGGTGGTGCTTGGGAAGTCAAGTATTACTTTATTTCATCCATTAGTACTCCTGCTGGATTATCTGCAAAATAAGGCATGTTGAGAATCAAGAAATTGAAGGAAGATGCTGAAGTTGAAGTCAAGGATGAGAAGAAGGAATAAAAAAAGCAATAACCAAAAGAGTAAAAGGAATAAACCAAAGAACAACCCAAGGAACATACCAAAAAAACATAACCAAAAAAATAACAAGCAAAGAAACAATGAGTATATTAATCAAATATAATAATAATTAAAATATGAATAAATTAATATCTACTGTTGTGAAGAGTATGTAATCCCAAGCTCCTCTCTATGCTTATCACTTTCCTAATGGTTCTGTCTATAACAATGTACCAAATCTTCTATTCTTTAGCCAGCAGTAACAGCTAAGAGAATCATTAAGGTGGTTGGAGAAAGATTAAGAAAAATCGACCCAGAAAGAGTATATCTTGATTCAATTATCTTTATAGTGGGAGTCCACCCCAATTACATTTAACACTAATTGGAATGATGCGGCGGGATATGTTGATGTTGCTACTTGCATTCACATTCACGACGCTCTTGAAAAGGAGTTTGGCATTGAGGTCAAGGACAGAGCCTTCCTTGTATCCAGCATCGAAACTGCATTTTACATAGTAAACATTCATCACGATAGTCATTGAGATATATCAAAAATATAAATATTTAAAACATTATTTTAATTTATGTCTTAATAACTATTTAAGGTGTATTTGCAATCCATTTCACATACTTTCAAGGACTTACCAAAAGGAAACTTTTACTGGAGATTCCATAAAAGAGATATCAACAAGATAATTACAACTCCTTGTCCAGTAGATTCACCAGCCTAAGAACAAGAAATATAATTGTATAAAGAATTAAGAGCATAAATTGGAGTGAGAGAAGACTTTGTATGTCCTCAATGTCCCCATCATTCAAAATGCCCGAAGGCATTTTAATAAACAGATGGAGGTAATATGTAAACATTGCTATTGCCACATCTTTCCAAATTTTTAGAAACCATCAGTACTCATTAAATGAACTTGTAGTTTATTATTTATTAATTTAGATAAAATGATTAAAAAAGCTTTTGGTTATCAAGTACAAGAGTTTTAGATACATTTCATTCTGTTTTAATTGATTTTCAACTCAACCAAAACAAACTCAACGAATAGTTTTTGAGTGATATAGCTTAAGTATCTGAAAATGAGCCTATTCGACAACAAGAACCTATCAAAAGAACAGATAAATATACCAAGAAAGCTGATTTTTTAGATGAACAAAATAATTCACCAAAAAAGGAAGGCAGAAAACAAGAAACTGAAGAATTTGATAATGAAAATAAGTATTAAGGCAGAAGATAAAATTCTTATGATAATTATGAGAATAGACATGAAAAATTTAATAGATATGATAAGGGAGACAGATATAATAATAAATTTGATAGATCAGAATAATTCAACAGAAGAGACAGATTTGACAAGTATGATAATTAATAGAAATATGATCGTTAATTTGATTAAGATAATAATAATGATTCTGGTAGATTTGATAAATATGCATATAAATAAGATAAATATGAAAGATATGATAACAAAGAGAGGTACAATAGAAGAGAGAGACCTTAAAGATATGATAGAGAAGCTAATGGAGACCAATATAGAGAAAATAGAAGTTTTGATAAATATGAGGATAGAGGTTAACGATAAGACAGATATGAAAGAAGAGATAAATTTGATAAATTCGATAAATTTGATAAATTTGATAAATTTGATAGAAATGATAGAAATGATAGAAGCTTTAAAGGAGATAGATTTGATAGAAGAAATACAGATTATAATGAAGAAAGTAAAGAAACTTCAAGAAATTATAGAGGAAGAAAAGATGATTTTTCAGATAGTTTCAACAACGACGAGAAAGGTCATTAAGAGAATGACAGATTTTAAAAAAATAATAAACAAACAAAAAACAAGGAGGAAGACGATTTTAATACCTTTGTAAAATAAAGAGAATAATATTTAAAAGAGAAGGATGAAAGTTATGAAGGAGACAAAAAATTCAATTAGAATAAAAAAGAGGTGAAGAATGTCTAATAAAATGATTAAACTAATTAAAATGATGTAAATGATGAGGAATCTCCATAAGGAAGAAAAGTTAAAAAGAGTATGAAGTTTAAAATGCAATGAATTCTAAATATTTTATTTTATATGAATTATTTATTATATATGGATCAAGTTAAAGAGATAAATCTAATTCAATTAAAAGGGATCATAATATTAAATAAAATTTATATATAAATGTTATCTAACTAATTCTAAATCTTCTATTCTATTATTTTTATATTAAAATTTTAGTTTTCAAGTTATATAGAGTTATTACATATTTTCAAAAATTTTGTTAGAAATGTAATTTTCATAAACAAATCATTATTAAAATAGAAAATAATGAGATTAAATTTTTTAGAACAGCTTTAAGACTCTTAATAAGAGAGATCTTGTATTTCTTTATAAAATATGGTTGAGACCCTGAAGGATCCAGATTTTATATAAAAGCTTAAATAGTGCTAATATGTCTATGAATAAATTGAATTATTTCCTTTGGTAGGTTATGGTATTACAATCACTAAAATAAAAAAAAATTCAGAAACTAAAATAAAAGTTAAGCAGTTTTCCAAAGTTGAGAGAATAATAGATGATAGCTATTTAGATTTAAATAAAATGTCAAGAAAAGAAGGAATGGCAAACTGTATTTTGCCTTTATTATCATCATAAGAAGGAAACACTGGATTATTAAACTGCGATCTTTTTAAAAGAAAGATCTCTTACTTAGTGCATCAAAAATTAGATTCTTATAAAGAAGACACATTTTGTTAGTTACTTTAAGCTAGTGTTCATCATATAATTAAGACGGAGGGCATTTAATCTTGGGGGTAGGAGATTATTTTTCTTATATTTGAAACTTGCAAGTAGGTATTTATTGGAACTCCATTATATTGCGATTCTGTTGTTTCATAAAAGTTTAAGAATTCTAAGTTTTAACTTCTAAGCTTATTCTGTTAATTTACCATGGGAACATTAACATCAGAAGAAATTTTTGAGAATTATATTGGACCCAAAGTGATTCTACAGAAATATTAGAAGTTCGATGATGATAAAATCTAAGGTTTTTTTGATAAATTAAAGTTTGAAGGTTTAGATAAGATTTATTAGAATATCAATTAATTTATCGAAAATTATTTAAGGGAAAACAATTATTTTATCATAAAGTTAACATAAAAAAAAATTATATAAGGACTCTTAGATTACATGATTCCAAAATGTCATTAATGGGCTTTTATAGAGAAACTTGAGTATGTTTAAGAAGAGTTGATGGAGTTAAGAAAATTGAAATATTTCACGATCTCATCAATGTTCACGAAGCTTTTAAATGATCTATTTGAGGATTATACTGATGAAAAGAAAATTAAATATTTTGAATCCTTCTGTCAACATTATGAGGAAGATCATGAGTTTTCATATCAAGTTTTTCTGATGAAACACGAAAAGTATACAGATATTTATGATGTTTATGCATTATATAAGGAAAACAGAGAAAAATTTTAAAGTTATAACTCTGAATAAATAGAAAAGTATTAGTCTATAGCTATTCGCCTTATTTTAAATAAAATACCTATGGACTAAATCAAAAGTAAAAACCCTGAAAGCTTTTTGGACTTTTCTTCCTTGAAAGAACTAGAAAAAATATAAAATTATTTATAGATTTTTCAAAAAATCTTTCAAGTTGAAAACGCACAAACAATTCATAATATGATAATTGAGGAAATTAAAAACCTGACTTGGTTGAATTATTTATCATCAATTACTAATTTTAAAGAAACCAATTCAATAAAAAAATTATTAGAGAATTTTTTATGTCATTTAAAAATTTGGAAACCAAAATAACAATAAGATGTATGTGCAAAGAATTTAATTGAATATAGTAGATTTAGTTATTTATTATTACAAAGGACACGAATGCTAAGATCAATTCATTTATTTAATTAATAATAACTATAGGATATTATGACAAAAGATAAATAAAAAGAGTTCTTTTGCAAAACGATTTTTGAGGTAAGTAAAACAGTTAAAGGATGATGTTTTATTAATATATATTTTATTTCTCCTTCATAAATTATTTAAATTAATTTAATCTATCTTTTCTCTTATTTAATAATACTCCCTTTCTAGTTCTGTAATTAGCTGTTTCTTAATAGATACTTTCACGTTCTTCGCATTTGTGAAAAAAGGTACTTCAATTTACTAATCAATTTTTTATCTGTAAAATTGAGTTTTAGATAGATTATTTAAAAACTTTTGACTCTAATCAAAGTCCAATTCTATAAGAATTTTTTCATAGAATTTCAATAATCCAATTGTAGATGAATAAAATCCTGTCCACCCCCTTGCAACAACAATTTCAAATATATCAAAGCAAACTTAATTATTCTCCACTTGACTCAAATTAATCGAATTTGTATATAATGTAACATACCAGGCCTAAGAATTAATAATAAAAATACAGTTGCAAATTGAGGACTCTCTATTTGTAATTATTTCCAATGTATAAATAATCTTGGTATAAAAATAGCAATCAGCCTATCCAAAATATAAAAATGCATTCTCATAGATTTCAATCCTTCTAGGAAAATGTCTCTTAACAATTTTTCTAGTAGTGATCTGAAGAGTCTGAATGACAATTCTTCATTTAAATTTGTAACATATAAGAAGAATACCATCAGCATATTCATCCCTTAATAGTATGAAATTTCAGGATTATCAAAAGCATGTAATCTAAGTAGATTTTCAAGTTTATTTTCATATTGGTTGACAATTTGATCTCTCTATTCACAATCAGTTGAGAATGATCTTTTGATGTCTACAACAATACTTCTCTCAATTTCTCTTGATAATTTCTTACTTGCAGATAAATAATCTTATTAAATTTGTTTATAATTCACTTCTATGTCTAAAAGTTGACTCCACAATCTTACTCTTTATTAAAGATTCAATTATCCTGTTTATTCTGAAACCAAAAAGTACCGAATCATTTTTGTTTTGATAGTCTTTGAGTGTTCTTTAGAAATACAAATGACATTCAGATAATTTTCGTTGAATTATAAGTACTTAAGCGATTTAATTAAACAATAGACAGGATTTTTTCTTTTGCCAACTTTCTATGACAATTATTTTTATCTCATTTATGGTTAAAATTCTTTGAGCATCTAGTTGGCCTCTTACAATTCAATAAATGGTATAGAACATGATACTTTCTATTGAATTGATCTAATGATTTCCATAATAATTGATGAGGTTGTTTGTGGAGGTAAATTAGATGCTATAAGTATTAAATTAACTATATTGATGGATTCATTTGAAGTGATTTTTCTTGTTTTGGTTGAAAAGAAGCCATTAAAGATTGAATCTTATTTTTGATCCATTTCTTTCGGTAATTGTATTTTAGAGTTTGGAGTCTGAAGAAATGAAACATACTTCAAAGTAATGTCAATCATTTGCTTTTATAAATGATAATTGGTAAGTAATTCCTCATAGATAGAATTCCAAAGTGTTTACGAATAAAAGATTTCAACTTTTTTACTTATTTTACTAAGAAGAGAACATCCTTAATCGCTTTTTAAGGATAAACTTATATAGATGATCTAGAGGAATTACTAAATGAGTTTAGAAGATGGTTTTTAATTCTAAAAGTCATCTTCAAACCATTTAAATAGTTTGAAAATGAGAATACGAAATAAGTTGGATTGAAAATGTGATTATAATTAGACCACATTTTTTTATTTCAATTCCCCAAGGAGAAATGACACTATTTCTTCTCTTTCTTTGCTAGAAAGATGAGGGATGAGTTTAATTTTGTAAAGCAATTAGAGATTTTAACTAATATATACAATATGTAACTTACTGAGGTTTTTCAATTAATTATCTCATAATTCTAAAATCTTCATCCTTGAAATTGGAGTTTTTAGAGGAATCAGTCTCTTGTAAAAGACTTGCTGCCTTGTTTCTAAAGTATTCATCTTTACTAGTAAACATCTCGCATTTTGGCTCATTCATAAAGTTAATCATTTTTTTTGACTGTATGCACAATTCTCCATATAGATCTCTAGTTTTAAACTTTTCTCTTTAGATATCAAATGATTAATGCAATTTTTCGTTTGTTATTTTGGCTGGTTGTTTGAACATGTACTCTAAGGCTTCAATGAATTTTACAAAGGTTTGTTCAGTTACTGTCAATCGAGTTTCTTCATTTAATTAATATTATTCATAATATTGTGGTAATTCCTTGAAAAATTGTTCCCATATACAATTCATTTAATTAAGAGACAATTTATATTGTTATTCATTTTGTGCTTAGATTGATTAATTCTAATCCTCATAATAGCTATTGATTAATGTATTCTTACTCAGCTGCTTTGTGTTTCAACAATTCATGTGATGCTTTTAAATTCTCCAACAAATGTCCATAGTTTTTAGAAATGGTGTTGTTTAAATGACTATAGTTGGCTTCGAATTGATAAAATGGCTCTATAGCCTCTTCAAACAAGATTTCTGATCTTGACTTAATGATATGACTAATTGATAATATATAATTAGATAAGACAGTGTTTTGGGACAATGTCTCTTCATCATCTACTTACACACTTAGTAATTTCTAAATGTCAAAGATATATAATTACATATAAGTGTTGCAAATCTTCGCTGAATTTTTTCTTTAAAATAAATCTTAAAATATTACGCATAATTGATGAACTTCTAACATGAATTGTTTTTACACATTTATTGACTTGATGCTTGTATTCATACAGTCATCTAAGAATTACTTTGTTTTGAATGGCTATTCTATATTTTTAAGCTTCATAAAACTTATTAAAATAATTTTAAAGAATTAATAAGGAAAAACAAACAAAATCGCAAAGTATCATTTTAGATCCAGTTTCTATTTGAAATCCTAAAAGATTTATTCTGCTTACTGATCCTATTAATTAATGTGCGATAATATCTAAATATTTTAAATAAATAACTTACTCCTTTTGAAGCAGTTTTAAGTTATTCGAGTTTCTTCGTATTAGACATCAAGACTTATATTTAATTTTATCTCTTTATCATTTCTAGTTGAAATTCTGGATCATTTTATTGAGTTACTTCGAATTCTTTTTATCTCTTTTCCTACAATCTCACTAGATGCTTAACATTGAATAGCATATCGAAACTTCTAATGGGCTATTTAGTTGTGTAAGCTTGAAAGTTTGGCTATTTATTATTTAATTTGGGAACTGGAGAATCATTAAATGATGTTGTGTCTATTTTATTTTGATTTATTTTATCTTAGATGGTTTAGGTTTCTTATTTCTCATGATAATGCATTTATGGAAGTGTAAAATTGCTCCTTGTATGCTTTTATGCATGTCGCATAGACTTCTTATTTTCATGAAGATTATTTATCTTTAACTTAAAGTCCTTGTGGGTTTAATCCTAACTAAGTTTCCTCTTTTTTAGTTCATCATCTAAGATTTTTTTATTACAGAAATCAATAAATTGGATTATTTTTGGTGCAGTTATGAGAGTACTAATTTATGATTTAGCGATATGAGAAATTTCACTCTGTTCTGATTTGAATTTGGGATAGCCGGCATTCTTAAGATTGATAGGTTCACTCTTGTCACAAATTTAATAATCAATAGTCGATATATGTTTCTTCTATTTATAAATTGAATATACTGCATCTTAGACAGCCGTAGCACAACTTTTGTTTCTTAAGCTGGATAACTTCTGATTTCTAAATGACGAAGCAGTGGTCATGAAACTAGGAACTTACATATTCGGAGGTTTTTAAGCATTATAGAGAATGAAATCCTTTTCTGGGGAGAGCATATATATAAACTTATTATTTTTATTTTAAGAAATGAAAATTTCGATCATTGAGATTTTTCACTTTAACTAAATAATATGTCAAAGAATTTAATAAGGGCCTATCCCTACTTCGGCCTTACAGTGTGGACACTAATGTATAGCATCTTGACATTCATCTACACAGCAAGGGATCCAAAAGCAAAATATTCTATATTTATGAAAATTACTAGTACGTCGTTAATAAGAATAGTAAATAACCGACCATTATTGTAGCTGCTCCAACTTCACGTATAATAACTGTTGTTCCCTTGTATTTACATTGAGGACAAAACACTGTTATTGGCACTCTTTTCATGTTGGCGTGATAATTCACTTGAATTAAAGCTCTCGAGAATAATAAAGATGCAAAATTACTATGATTATCTAGCATCTGTGTCTATTGTGATTTCGGTCTCATTAATAACAGGGGCAATTATTGTCGATGAATTATCTTAAACAGTTTACATAATTATTAAAAATTTAATTAATGAAAAAAAAAGTAATTGATGCACTGAAAGATGATAAATTCATGTTTAACCCAGCTCCTACATATAAAAATGAAAAAGGTACTGAAGACAAGCTGAAGAAGAAGAAACAAAGAGAAAAAAAACAACTCTAAAGAAGAGCTTAATTGGCTGAGTATATTTCTAGTGATGATGATGCCCCCTAAAATAAGCAACCAATCCTTGATCAAGATGACTACGGTGCATTAGGAGATTTGGACTAAGACATTTTGGGTTATTTCTAAATGAAAAGTCAAAAAATACTTAATATGACACAAAAAATACCTGATTAAGTATGATTGATTTACATAATATTTTAGATTTTTGATGTAGGATCTTTGCATTTAGGATGTGTCTCATCCATAGGTCCCAATGGAGTTTATTTGATTATCAATTTTACAAGAAACAAAAAAGGATTTGTTGATTAACATAATCTCAGAGATAGAAAGGGTGTGAATGGAGGAGATTACAAGGTTGGAGAATATGTTATCACTAAAGTTATAGAAGAGCAAAAGAACAATAAGGTCTAATTAAGTATGCATCCAAATGTCATCAATGATCAATTAAGTGTAAATTAACTAGTAGTTGGAATGCAAATACCAGGAATAGCTTAGAGTTGGAATGAGTTTGGAACCACTATCAATTTTGGATCTCAATAATTCAGTGGGTTTATCAATGAACAAAAACTCAAGTGTGGAAGAGTTTATCTTTTCAACATTAAAGAAATCAATTTGAAAGAGAAAATAGCCATATGTGACTTTGAATAAAGAGATGTTTAATTACAAAATAAGAAGCAGATCTCTAAACACTTGCTTACTCCTGGCAATCTATGGAAATGCAATAATGCTAAATCAATTACAGGTGGACAAATAGTTAAGTTGAATAAATTTGGAGTGTTGGGATATGTCTTCTAAGATTATTAAATTGAATAAGAGAAAAACTTTTTATGTAGAATAATTGGATTTGATGAACCTTCAAGATAAATCTATGTCTCTAGTAAATAAGAGCATGTTGATAATACTACTTTTATTCCTCCTTATGAAGTTGGATAACAATATCAAGGAGTTGTAATTAACCAATCGCTATACTCTGGGGCTTATCTTGTTAATGCCATCTTGAATGACGATCAAGTATAAACTAAAAAAAGTAAGAAAGCTTAAAAAGCTCAATAACCTAATTTGGGACCAATTTGTATGTTAAATAAAACTTAGATTCCAGCTGATTAGGAAATTATTGATCACATTTAAAGAGTTTGCATAATTAAAGAAGTAAATTATTTTGATCATGTTGGCTTTGTGTCTTTTGAAGTTAATTCACAACCTAAATTAAGTGATTTGAGTGTTGGAGCTATTGTCAAAGGTGTAGTTAAATAAGTGTTACTTAAAGAGGATTCATACAGTGTGTTATTGAAAATAAATGACAATTTTAATGCAATATTGCCATCAATTCAGATGTCTGATTATCCTTTGACCAACCCACCTAAATTCAGAGTAGGTAGTAAATTAAGAGTCAGAATTCTATAAATTGATGAATAGCATAACAATATCATAGTAACAATGAAACCTACTCTCTTGACTGATATCAAAGTCTTTAAGAGTTTAGATGATATAAATGCAGGTGATACATTATATGGTTATACAATAAAGAAATTAGAGAATGGAATACTTGTTAAGTTCTTTTAAAATATTGTAGGATTTCTTTCTAATTTGAGTCTTGATGGATAAAACCCTGATGATATCAAAGATGGTCAAATAATTAAAGTATATGTTAAGTACATAAATTAAAGTGAAAATAAATTGTTACTTTCTTTAAAAAAAATAGATCCAAAATAAAAATAAGTTACTGAAGGATAAACATCTAATGTTCCATTGACAAAGCAAGTTAAAATTAAATTAAATTTGGGAGAAAAAGTATAATGTGTTGTAAGTGCAATAAAGAATAATGTTGTTTATGTGAATCTCAAGGATGGGAAGTTTGGTAGAATTCATAAGGCCTTCTTTGAGTGTTATAGGAATGAGGATAGATTATTTAAATTGCAAAGTGAATTTGAAAATCTGAATGTGGGTTCTTAATTAACTGCTTAAATCATTGGAGAAAATAAGGAAGATAATAAACAAATATTCGACTTGACTTGTTTATCAGATCATATTCAACTAGAGAAAGATGTTTAGAAGGATAGCAATAAAATTGTTTACGGCATCATCAAACATATCAAGAGTGACTCAAAATCTCCTTTGGTAGTCTAGATCTATTACAATTACAATGTTTTCATTGATGGATGGGATATCAATGTTGAACAACCTGATATTTTGAATAATTTAGAATCTTCAATCTAGTAAGGATCTCCAGTTAAAGTAAAATTATATGAATTTGATAAATAATTGAAAGGTATTATAATAACTGAGGATGATCAATCATAGTAATAACAATAGAATCTAAATGATATCTTATACACAAAATAAATCTTTAGAATTTTGAGCCATCATGATTCATATATAAGAGTTCAATTGAAAAACAGATAGTTTGCATCTATAGATATAACAGAATTATAAGAATTATGGGAATTGAATTTGTTTGAATAGTTTCCAGTCGGAAAATGGGGATTGTGCAGAATAATCGCAAAAGATAAGGTGTATTGGGCTAGTGCCAGGGAAACATTCCTTAATGATAAGTTATGGAATAAATGTCTCCATCCAGTTAAAAGTAATACAATTTCCTATTAAAAAATGATACTTTCACTAAAATATGATGTTAGAACATAATTATACAAAAAGACACCTTTAGCTGTAGGTTAAGTTGCTATAGGATATGTTACAGGAAGTACATATAGTGGCACTTTTGTTAAGTTAAATTATGAAACCACTTGTCTAATACGAGGATTCAAAACTGACATTAAGTATAGACCAATAGTGTTAATGATTACTCAATTAAACAAGTTATAAGGAACTGTAGATTTAAATTTGCTTAAATATAAATTAGATGATAAATAAATAAGAATTGGAGATGTAGTCTAAGGTTTAATAGTGAATATTAGAAATGAGAAGGCAGCTGTGAAGATCTTGGGTACTCTCCAATAAGGAGAATTGGATAAGAAAGATGCTGAGGGATTGGAAGGTGAAGATGGTTGGTGGGCAAATAAATTATTTAAGATCGGATAGTAAATATAATGTTTGGTGATTGGATAAAGACAGAACAAAAATAATTAGACAGTTCTTAGATTAAGCAATATTTAAGAATTGATTAATACTGAGGGAAAAAGATAAATTGATTTAGGGGATATTCAAACCGATGTTATTGATTTGCATAATAGTTTTGAAGAAATGGTCAAATAACATCAAATTAAAAATAATGTGATAGTAGAATAACAGAATTAAAATAAAGACATAGAAGAGGAGATCGGATAGGAAGTAAATGAAGGAGAAGCTAATGAAGAAGAAGATTAAGAGGATGCAGAGGAGGAAGAGGATCATAAGGACCAAGAGATAGAAGAAGAAAATGATTAAGAAGAAATTAGAGAGGAAGTTCAGAATTTAGAATCAAGAGCTGAATATGAGAAGTAATAATAATATATTTATTTATTAAGGAAAATATTAACAAATCCTAATTCAGCTGTGATTTGGATTGAATTCGTGGCTTATGCTGCTGAAAATGAGGGCATTGAGAGTGCTAGAAATGTTATTGAAAGAGCATTGAGAGTTATTAACTTTAGCAATGAGTTGGAGAGATTGAATTTATGGACAGCTTATTTAAATTTGGAATTCAATTTTGGATCTGAGGATAATTTAATTAATATATTTAAGAGAGGTTGTTAAAATTGTGATGGAAAGAAGCTTCATGTAAAGTTGATCAACATCTACAGAAAGGCTGAAAAGGTTGATCTAACTGTTGAATTGTCAAGAGTATATATTAATTATATAATCATTATAGTCTTTTGTCTAAAAGTACAAATAGAGCTGTAAAAGTTGGATGGAATTTTTGTAGAGTTTGATGGAATGGTAGAAAGTACATGATGATGAAAATCCTTTATATTCCTTTAAGGATACATTAAATAGGGCTGTGTAGTGTTTGAAAAAATCAAAGCAAGTTAAACTCTTATCATTTTATGGACGATTGTAATTTTAGAACAATTAGATTGAAGAAGGAAAAACTACATATGAAACTATTTTGGATAAAAACTCATCAAGGTAATTTAATTGAATAATAATTAGAACTGATCTATGGTCATAATATTTGGATTTAGTGATCAAACATTGCTAACCTGATGTCGTTAGATCAATATTTTAAAAGGCTATTCACAATAACAAGAAGCCAAGAAAGATCAAATTTTTATTTAAGAAACAATTAGAATATGAAAACCAATATGGAGATAGCGCGACAATATAGAAAGTAAAGGAGTAGGCAGAACAATGGGTTTCACAATTTATGTAAAGAGATGTATAACAGGAAGACGAAGAGGAGTCAGATTGATTTATTAGAACATGTGTATAATTCATATTATATATAAATGAACAACTTTAATAAAATGATAATTTAATAAAATCAGATTGGGATAATTTATGAGTGTTAAGAATATGATACCTGCCTTCATTCTTAAAACTTATTAAATGTTAGAGGTATGAAACTCAAAACTATGGAGTTATTAGGATTAAATGAGTGAGGATATCATAAGTTGGACTAATTAGGGGACTGCATTTATAGTATATAATTAAGATTTGTTGGAAAAAAATGTTTTATAAAATTATTTTAAACATAGTAATTATTCTAGTTTTGTCAGGTAAGAAGTAGTAGTAACTTTAGATAACTAAATCTCTATAATTTTAAAAAGGTTAAGTCTAATGAAGGATTCATTTTTAGGAATAATTTTTTTAGAAAAGGAACTAAGTATTGAGTCAATAACTATAAATAGATCGATGCTATAATTAATCAAAAAGAGAAACTAAGAAGATTCAGCAATTCAATTTGCAGTCTAAGGAGAGCATGGTATATTTTTATGATTATTTATTTTTTAGCATCTCGCTAAAAATAGGAATAAAATCTATTTAAAGAATGTGCTATAGATATAAAATAAACTAATACTAATTTAAAGGAAGATATGAAATTGTTACAAGAAACATCATCGTGTCTTATAGATTAAATGTAAAATTTAAATTATGTAATAAATGATGTTATATTTAAGGTTATTTATAATTAAAATGTAGATATTGAATTAAAATTTAAGTAGGTCGGGCAGATGTTATAAGCTATTAATGAAGAGTTAAAATCTGAGAGTAAATTATAGATTTTTATTATTAGAATAAAGTGATTCATAGACTCTAAACTAGTCATTGGTGAGGAAGGAAGATTGCTATTAAGATTCTAAGGTTGGTTCTCCTAATCCATATGTTGATTATAACAGTACAGCTTTGAACCCTTTGGATTACGAATGTTTTCTTGACTCGTTCTTCTGACTACATATAAATTTAATTAAATCACAATATGATTATTGTAAGACTAATTTTAGTATTTAATTTATCATTATGTAAATTTATGATGTTTGCATAATTGGGGCAGGCCCTGTTGGGTTATCTTTGGCAGCTGCTCTATAGAAATCCAAATAATTAAATAAAGTCCTAATTTTAGATTCGATAAAAAAACCTAAGTTTAACAAGTAGGGTCTTCCTAATCAGAGAGTATTATCAGTCACATAATCTTCAAGAGAAGTTTTGCAATCAGTGGGAGCATGGGATAAACTTGAATAAGGAAGAGTCAATCCATACAACAGGATGATCATAGATGAAAGCAATGGTTAGGACTATTTGGAGTTCAAGAATTAATAAGCCCACATAATTGAATATGATAATATTGTGAATGCATTATTGGAAGTGTATGATGGAGAGATAGAGTTTGAAAGTAAATTAGAGAAGATAGAACTAAAGCCTAATGAGTATGTGACAGTAAATGATAAATTTCAATGCAAACTATTAATTGGCAGTGATGGCAATAAATCTAAAGTGAAAGAGTGCAGCAACATAGGTACATATGGTCACTCATATCATTAAATGGGTATTGTGTGTACAGTTGAAAGAACTGATTAAGACAGTGAGGTAGCTTACTAGACTTATTTATCAAATGGGTATAAGATAATGAATAAATTAGTTGTCCACTAGCCCTATTGCCTCTTTATAATCCATATAGTTCAATAGTATGGACAGCATATATGGATGACTACAAATATTTAATGTCGTTGTCAGATGAGGAATTTCTGAAGGTCCTTAATAGTTAATTGGGTAGATATGCACCAAGAATCAAGAGCATTTCAAATAAGAGGATGGCTTTTCCACTTTAGTCATTGCAAGCTCAAAGATATATCTAGAAGAGAATAGCACTGATCGGAGATGCGGCTCATTCCAATCACCCCATGGCTGGATAAGGTATGAATATGGGAATCAATGATGCTGCCCTTTTGGCCAATTGTATTATCAAAAATTCTAGGTCTGGGAATGACATTGGTTTGGAGCAATCTCTAGAAGAATATGAATCATAGGCTAAACTCATGAATTATACAACTTCAATAGCTATGGAGTTGATCAAGAACACTTATGAGAATAAGACCATTTCACCTTTGAGATAATTAGGAGCAAAGATTATCAATAACCTAGATCCAATTAAATAAATTATGATCTAGTATGGATCCAAACATCCATTAGGACCATCTTAATTTGAATGGGTAAAATGAAAAATGATGTTTTATATTAATCAAATAATAATAAATGTTCAATTATATGGCGATGAATGAGTAGTAAGTACGTGAAGGCGTACAAAAATATGGGCCAGCTGTAGGTGCTAGAAAAATAATAGATTAAGAATATCAACATGCTTTGGAAACACTAAATACTGGAATTTATGTATAAAACATATAATAATAAGATTACTTATTATTGTGCAGAGTAGAAATCAGAATGTAGCAGAATAGGTTCCACAAGCAAATGTTTTTGTGGTCATTTATTTAGTTAACACAAATAACAATTAGGGAAAAAATTTAATACTGGGTGTGAGAATTGTGAATGCAAAAGGTTTCAATTTGTACCTTCAAGACCAGAGGAATGTGGAATGTATTGGCTACCAAGAAGAAAAGACTTCAATATTTTGACATGGAGACCTCCTTGTAAATGTAATCATGGATGTGAGGATCATCTCCCAAATTATCCCTTAAGATGCAGGAAATGCCAATGTTCTGATTTTGATTCCTATTTTGCATGCATAGCCTGCGATAGAAGATGGGAATTACATGAAACTTTATTTGAAGATGAGTCAGAAAGAAAAGCTTTAGGCAAAAAGGTTGGCTAGGATTATCTTCCTCTCTCAAATACTCCTGATATTTAAGAACATGTGTTTTAGGATCAGAAATATTAATAAATGCCTTAAAAGTTACAATAAGGATTAGTAGGAAATGATAAACCATTTCCAAAACAATAAATACAAACTAATAAATAACAACAATAGACTACTGCTTATACAAGACCAAATTAATAATAATAATAGAAGGCTATTTAGTAATAATAATAAAAGCCAATTTAGTAATAATAATAAACTAATAAAATCGTTTAAAAGAAAAAGTGATTATATCTATGTATTTATCAATAAGATAATTATCATACACTTCCACTAAAATCTTTACCTTTAAAAAAATAATATACAACACTTATCTAAGTTATAGCTATTATTAATAATATTCCTATTTTAGCAGAAGCACACCATTTAACATTTTATTATGTTTATTCCAAAACTAATTTAATAATAATATTTACGCATTTAATGAGCGTTTTCTCTATCAGTAATCCAATTCTAATTTCTATAAATGGTCTAAAAGTTTCTGTTAGTCCTTGACAACTCTTTGGACATATCGCTAAATTGCTCTGATTATGCATATTCTTTATCTACGCCTTCCATGTCGAAATCAAAACTCACAGTCTTATAGCCTTTAGACAAACTTTTGAAACAGATATAATAAGTGCCCTTTTCTCTTAACATTTACTTCAGTGCTCCTTCTTTTGTATTTGATTTCTTTATTAATTTGTCTCCATTTTCTGATTCAATTGTGATTTCTGTTTTATTTTCATCAACTCCTGATATTTAATAATTGACTGTCAATTAAGTATTGCCTGTATATGATTTAACATAGAAGCATGCAGGCTTTTAGGTTATCTACACTGATAAGCTCTGTCCAAAATATATTAGACAGATCAAATACAATATTTTCATCTTTTTTAATATAAATTATACATAAAATTAATGAATTAGAGACCAATAAAAAATGGATATCTGTAATTAATAAAATAAGCTAAGATAGCAGAAACATATATTTGGACTTAAAACTACTAAATTTTATTATTTGGAAGGAACTTAATTTCTGATTTTCGAAGATGATAAAGTAAATGCTTATTTATTACCAGACTCATATTCCTCAAGAAAGAATCGATCTATCAGGTTTCATAGTTGATGGCACTTGGTAGGAAGATGGTTATTATACCTTTACACTAAGGCATCTCCAATAAGAGATTATTATGTAATTTATATCAATGACCTATGATGATGCTGCAGAATGGGTTAGTAAGATTAAATAAGCCATACTCATATCTGAATACGAAGCCCTGCTGCATTAATCAAACTATTAGATTTCGATTGACTAAAATAGATTGTATAAGAATGACTCTTCAAATGTAACCAAGTATATACATTTTCTATTGACATAGAAATATTCCGGAATACGTGTAAAAATAATTATAGCTCTATTAAGAATTAAGTAAAGATAAATGGATTATTGAGAAAACCTTAAAGTAAATGAAATTAACAACAATTTAATCATAGAGCAACATCGTATTAAAAGGTGAATATGTATTCAATACTTCCCTATAAAATGTAATTACAATTATTCAAGTATATAAATGTTTAAGTTAAAATAGAAAGGTGGAAAGCTGCTGGATTTATTTATAAAATCTTCTGAAGTCCATGAAATTGATTGTTGTTAATGTCATTAGGATGTATGGCATTTTAATAATGATGGCAAGAAATGTGTTTTAGAATCCAAATATATATAGTTTGATTTTCAGAGAAATAACTCATTTTTCTTAACGAGAGAATCAATTTCTCAAGGAAAGTTTCCAATGGTTATAACTAATGATAAACAATAATAGAAAAACTTGATATCTATGTTTAAAGTTTTGGAAATTATACACGTAGTTGAGGAGGATTCTAAATGCTTTACGCAATACATGTATGTAGTGAAGAAGGATGAAAATGAGAAAGTCATAAGAAAATTGATGAAAGAATAAATAATTAACCTATCTATAATTTCGACCGAATTGGATTTACTCTTAATGTAGATTAACAATGAATCTATACCAATAACCCAATCGAGAATTGTTGTTGGAACTGACCATTCAAATTAGGATAATTTAGAAAATGAATTTTCAAAGGGAGAAAATATTCATTTTCCACCTTAGGATAGATTAGGATATGTAGATAATCAGCTACAGCCAAATCAACCAGCAGCCATATATGAAAATATGCATAAGAGAATCACACACTAGGATGAAGAATAATTAAAGGCATTGGCTGAATTAAAAGAGAGAATTGGACATCTATATTTGAATGACTAGACTATGATAAGGTATTTGATTGCAAGAAATTATAAAGTCAAAGATACTGAGAAGATGATATTGAAATGCTTGGTATACATTTTATTCACTATTTTATAAAGTAATGGAGAAAGGAGAACAAAATCAATTCTAGAAAGACTAGTGACTACTAAATTTATGCTAATGAAAATGTGCATACTTAATTGGGGTTTTCAAGATGGGGCCATCCGATTTTAGTAACTAATGGAATGAATTCACATCCAGAAAAGTTTGAATCAGAATAGGGATTCTCCGAATAGGGGTATTTGGAATATCATTAGAGTTTGATGGAAGAAGGCATTAGATCGTATTTTTATATTAATAAATCAAGGATGAGAGGATATGTAGATCAATTTATAGTGATTATTGACTGTTATAAACTGACTCCAGCTAACTTCTCTTTCAGCGTACTTAAGAATGCGTTTATAGAAATTTTCAATTATTACCCTGAAAGATAATTTAGAATATATGTATTAAATACAAACTTCTTGACTCGATCTTTTTATGCTATGTTAAAGCCCTTTTTACCATCCAGAACAGTTGAGAAGGTTATATGATATTTATGGTTAGATAAATTTTATAGGCCAAGATTTCAATGAGATTAAGACTGCATTATTAAGAGATTTGGATGAGGAAACAATTCCAAAGAGGTACGGTGGTTAAAATATACTAATTTAATGATTATAAATAAAAATTATAGAGCATTTTGATTGATTATCTTGAATTTAATTGATGGACATCATGTTTGAAGGACCTAGAAAACTCAATTCAATTGATAATTTAAATTCAATATTTTGATGTTAATTTAACGTATAAAATTATTAAATTAACATTCTAATTGAGATTGAGGAAAAAAGATCTAACGTAAATAAATGAAATAATGTTCATTTATAATTCATTTAATAGTTGTTAAAGGTTCGTAGTAGTTGTAGGAGTGAAGAATTTGATTATTTTGTCTGACTTCTATTTTTAGATTATTGTATTTTTTATCAATTTTTTGTGAAACTCGACACACCAACACTTTTTTTCCGCTTAAAACTTCTAAGACTGCAGAAGGAGCAGACCGTTTATTATTTTTATAATAATGAATTAGAGATTTAGCACTAGAGTAATTGAGATTTAGAGCTTTGGCAACCTGATAGTAATATGTAAAAGAATACCTCTTTAATCTATTTCCCTTCTTGAAACACTTGTCGAAAGAGTTATTGTTGTAGCTCAATGGGAATCTTGTGAATCCTTCGAGTATTAGATTTAGAAATTATTCTTTTAGGGATGTAGTCTTCCCCCTCAGAACTTTGTGTACTAGAGATGTCATCCTCAAACACTATTTTTTTGTTAGTCCTATTCATAATTAATGGCTTATAAGATAATAAAATATTATAGTTTCAGACATTTTATAAATTAATCTCAATAAAACTAAATCTTTTTTGTTTAAATATATTGGCAAAGATAAATTGAATAAAATCAATAGGAATTGAGAGTATGCCTATATTGACACACCAAGACATAAGCGCATGTTTATTTGTACAAAGATTCAAATAATAAAATATTGTTTATTTGTATATATTTCATTAGGCTGCAACGACGGGAGGTTTTCTCATTTCTCTGACGAATCTCTCGTAAATCTCGTCCTCTCTCTACTTCAACTCTTGTGTTGTCGCAGGTGCATAATAATTAGGATAATCCAAGCCTAAGACCCATGGGTTCAATATTGTTACCATATTTTGTTATCTTTAGCAATTGTTTCTCAACATAATTCACCACCTTTGATGCATCAGCCCAATTTCTATTTGCATTTGATCTGTGACCCAAAATAAAAGGAGGACGCAAATGGAAGTATTATTATTAATAGTTCTTGATTATAGTAATGCATCATATACCAGAGCTTTTTCCATTCTAGCACTTACAGGATAAAGATTTGTGATCCTACCTGATTCATGATTAAGAAATACTCTCATGTGATTCAAGAATGACTCACCTTTATAATAAAATTCTCAAGTACCCACTCTCAATCTCTTGGCAAATGCCTCATACTCAAATTCAGTCAAATCAGGTCTCATAGTGCTGAATGAGGATTTGTAATATTTGAAATGCTATTCAGTGGTCATCTAACGAGCATTAATAGCTATCCCTCTCTCTGGATCAATGTACACCTCATCTGTGTCTGTGCCTCTCTGATTTCTTAATTGATTCATATTAATATAAATATTAACTTTTAGATTCAAATCCAGAGATGGAAATCAATAAACCCTTCATCATTACAAGACGACAAGGTGACTCTCTGTTGCCTCCTGACTGTGAAGAATTCAATGAGGCTATCGAGGATAAAATTAGGTTTTTGCAAAGTTCGAATATATTCATAATTGTAAGTTAACTTTCCATTATCGTTAGTGTGCATTTATATATTAGTGCATCAGATTCCTATACTATTTCATCCATTATCGAACCACTTGTTACACATATGCAATACTGTGTTTAGTTATAGTTGGAGGAAACATTTTCTGGATTGCAAGTTCAACCTACGGATTTCTTGGCATCAATTCAAGGTCCTCCTCAGAAATTGGAAAGTACCTCTGTTTGACATCAACCGTCCTAGCTATTCGCTTAATTACATACTTTTTGGTTTGGGCACTCATGCAAGGATATGCTTAGCAATACAATATTTTATCTAAGACTCGATTGCTCCAGGAAAATTCAACAGCTACTACTTAATAGACACCAATTCCTACAGAAATTACTGAAGACCAGAAGCAAGAAATCATTTGCGGATAACTGTATTAAGGAACTTTAATGATGGTTTAAGCTATCATTGAAACAATCTTCTTAGGAGTCATTATCTATTTTGTTGTGCAGGTCAAAAAGTATATAACAAGTATATTTAACATCCATAACCTTAGACTACGAAAGTAATTAAAAAAAAAAATAAAGGACATGGAATCTATAAGCTTCCATCGTTTGATTACAAAATTGTAATTAATATATTTATATATTCTATTGAATCATTCCATTATTGTTTTGAATGCCTTAAAATCGATATCTTTATCAATATTGTTTTAACATTTATTTATTAATCATCTTAATTAAATAAGTAAATGATGAAATACTATCCAAGTTATTATTTAGAATAAAAAAATAATTACATAGACTTAGTACTTTTTAAATATAATGGCTATAGACTCGAAGTAATTCAAATATTTATTAGCTTTCAAATAATACTTAATATTAGTCTACTTTATTATGAATAAATGAAAGAAATAGTATCCTTTTAATAAAATAAGTGGGTATAAATATAACTATCCTAATAGAGAATATTTAATTCATTAATTTAGATATTAATCCATAAATTAATAATCTTCTTATTTTAATTTATAGATTAATTATTGGTATAACTCTATTTGATGCTGAATATAGTTATTCATTATGAGATTTAATTTCAGATAAATTCCTTACCAATAATTATACTAGTTTTAAGAAATGTATATATATTCAAATTTAAAGTTCTCGATTAGTTAATACTTCGTTCTCATTCTCCACTTAATACCTATTCGTTATTTTGCCTCCACATTATTCTCATTTCTTATATAAATACCTAAAATCTATCATATTTTTGAGAGAGTATCTTCTCAAGTAATTTAACAAAAACATCACATCCATAGTAGATTATCAAATAATTAAATCCATGGTTCTACTCAAAATCAAAATACAAGTATTCTGCAAATTCAAAGGTATCAAACAATCTTACAAAATTAGCCTAAAATTAATTATATTATTTTACTAATTACTCTATAATTTTAACTTCACACATTACTCTCTCTTTATATTTATTGTTTTAATCTACAAATCAATTCAACTACTATCACTATTCTTACTTATTTTATGAACTTCTCTAGAGACACACCCAAAAAAAGTTTGCTCACAAGTATAATTCATAATAATGCACTTATGAAATAGGTTAATTATTTTCATAATCATAGTTTACCTATTAATGTAAAAGCAGTTGATTTTGGATAATTCCTATATTGTTTTCGCTTTTGTCATTGAATTTAGATATTACCTTACTAATTATTTAGCTTACAATATCACTAATTCTAACAGTACGTCTAAATAGATGTGTGTTTAATTATGTTTATTATATTTACAATATTTTATAATGTAAAAGATATGAATATAACTTATAATTATAATCTCTATAATAATAATTAAAGATATTTTATTAAAAAGCTAATTAAATATAGTATGTGAAATGATGTAAATCATTTACAAGTCATTGATATTCCAAAAAGTTGTTTGAAAATACTTTATTTTTTTTGTCTCCCTTCAATTATCTTTATATCTTTTTCATGGAATTCGTTCTTTATTTCTGGTTCCACCTACTTCACCACAACAACAAATCGTTTTTCATTAGTTCTGATTAGTTTTCTATTTCTCTCTAAGGCAGGAAATGACAGTTTGGGTTCACCACTTTTTTTTGCCAAATACAAAGAAACATCTGAATTCGAAATGTTTTGTTTCCTTATAATCAAATCAAGAACTTCCCCTACAGTAGTTTGATCATCGTAATCCACTTAAATTAACTATTTATTAATGTAGATATCGAATTATAGTTTCTCTACTTTTAAGAGGCTTTTTTTCACTTATGACATATTAATATAATAAATTATTTTATATAATTTTCATATTACAATTAAGTTAAAACACAAGGCTAACGAATAGATTTTATTATTATTTTTATTACAATCCCTTAATTGATGTCATTATTTAAAATAAATAATAAATCAATCAAATAAATCATCGTTAGCCATATCAAATTATTTCTATTTTTTGTTCCAAAGAAAGAGTTATTTTTTATAATATCTAATTTAATCTTATTTAAATTACTTCTCATTATATTCCTACAACAAATCATCGTCAAGATCATCTTTGAAGACATCTGAGAATTGAATTTCTGCTGTTTACTATCCAGATTGTTATTTTTATAAACTATTGTTTTGAAATCTATTATATTCTTTTATTTTTGGTAAATGGAATTGCCTGACTTTCTGATCATAATCCTTTCTCCTTTTCCAGATATCCTCGGCTCTAATCTTTTTCCCTCCCTCCCCAAAGGATGACTAATTTTTATGGTATTTATTGGGAGCAACTGATGAATGGCTAATTTTATTCTCAGATTGCATTTTGTTGCCATATTCATTTCTTACTAAGAATCTTCCTTTCTAAGGACTCTATTTATGTTCCTCATTCTTAAGTTAATTCGCAGCATTATTGTTATCAACATTCAGAACAGGCTCTTTGCTGTTTGAAATCAATGCTTCCGATTGCTATTTCTGCAGATGAACACTTTGAATGCCCTACTTAAAATAGGAATTACTTGCATGACTTTTCTAACTTAAGCTGCATCCTCTAAAGCCAACTTAATCTTGGTGGCTGAAGACTAAACTTAATAATTCATATTACATAAGTAATATAGAGGGATTCCAATGGTTCTGTTTTTTGCTTGTTTATTTATTGCAAAACTCTTTGTTAGATTATGGATTACAAAGTCTGCATTTGTAAATTAACTATAATTATTTTGTATATATTATGTATTTAATTACTTCGACTTTCGAACTTTTGCTTAAATCTTATCTCTTTTCTTTACTTCATCAGACATCATCAGCTCCCTCTAGATCTTACAATTTCAGATTAGCTAATTATATAGACATCATTATTATTGTAAACAAATTGTCAGAAATTTATATGAAAATGATTTTCATATTAATATTCTGAGTGAACATACACAGAACTTAATCATATAACTTATGCTTTCTAAAATTGGAATTAAAAAATTAAATAATTATGGTAAAAATGGAAGAGAATCTATAAAGAAAAAACTTATGATTTTGGCCCCACAAAAAAATATCATAAGAAGATCTTAAATTACCTTTACTATTATGCTTATGATTCATAAATTATGTCAATTATTATGCAATCTGAAATTAATAATCAATTGAACTAGATTTCTCAAAAAAAAAGAATGAAAATCTTAACAGGCTAAATCTCTAAAACTTGAGACTAAAAATCAACGCAACTAGATTTACAATAAGACTTCGAAAAGCCTAAAGTTTATCCTTAATAAACAATAAACAGCAATCAACTTTAGGATCTAATAGAGAAACTATTGTATTTATAATAAATATTCTTTCAATCTAATGTCAAAATCAAAAGGCAAATTACTCTTGTTATTGAAGATATAATTTTACGAAATCTTGGATTGAATATGTTAAGATAAATGATCTCATGATATTCATTATTGCTTCAATTAATTTAATAATTGAGAATTACTCTTTAAATTAAGATGCTTTCAAATATCCTATTGTATTGTTTTATAAGAGATAATATTATGGTGGGATTAGTTTTTATGTCATTGTATTATCAAATAAAAAAAAATGTTGTAGAACCAAAAAGAGAAATAGAATTCAAAGACTTTAAAATTCGAAATAGATATTTAGTTGTAAAATAAATTAAGAACAGAAACATATTTTATTTCTAGAACATAAGTCCTTTTAGTCCTAATAGGGTGAACATCTTCCAAAGTTAAGATTGCCCAGTCTTCCACATTCTGATAGCAATCAATAATGTCTTTCTAAAAGTCCTAAGAATATTCCTCAAAGAAGCGTTATCGAATATCCTTATTTACAATTACTAAGTTAATAAAGTTAAGACCTCAAGGAATTTATAATCTAATAACGACCAGTTGATAAACCATTTCAAAAAAAGAAAGTAAATACTGTATTTTAAACAGATGATTTGAGCTTTGAATATAGGAAACCTTAAACTTTAAGAAAATACTCCTTGTAATTTTAGGATGATAAGAAGTAATATACTTTGCGTTATATATAGATTCAATTTCAGTCCAAAAAATAAATAAATTTGATTTTTTTCATTTGCTCATATTTTATATTTGTAAGAATATTTTCATTATCACTTCTATTTATTAAAAAAACATATTGATTTATGGAAAATAAAAAAACACATTTGATTAAATATATAAGCACATTTTAAAATTAAATAAAATCTTTTTTTATTTAAGAAAGCATTTCATGGGAATTTCAAGAGACAGTAGACATAAAAGAAGACTCACAGGAGGTCGTATGCCCATCCATAAGAAAAAGAGAGCCTTCGAAAAAGGAAGATAAGCAGCAATGACTAAATTGGTATCAGGAGAAAAAAGAGTAAGAAGAATAAGAGTCAGAGGAGGAAATTTCAAATTCAGAGCCCTTCGTTTATCTGAAGGCAATTTCTCTTGGGGAAGCCAAGGCATTGCTAAAAAAGCTAAAATTGTAGAAGTTGTTTATCATCCATCAAATAATGAATTGGTCAGAACAAAGACACTTACTAGAGGTGTGATTGTTTAAGTAGATGCTACCCCATTTAGATAATGGTATGCAAAGAAATATAATGTAGAATTGGGATCAAAGAAGAAGGACAAGAAAGTAATTAATAAAATATTAAATTAGGAAGGACAACCTGAAGCAACTAAGAAATCAAGAAGTCTTATTAAGAAGTTAGAATAAAGAGCAAAAGACAATGCCATTGATGCATTGGTTTAAGAATAATTTACAAATTAAAGATTATTGGTAAGAATTACATCAAGACCAGGATAATCAGGAAGAGCTGATGGATACATTTTGGAAGGAAAGGAATTAGAATTTTATATTAAGAAAGTCGAATAAAAGAAGAAATGATTGCATTATTAATACATTATATCGCACAAAATTGGTACATTAATATATATTTAATTAAACTCTATACTAAAACCTATAAGTATTGTGTAGCTTTGAAACTATATATACATTATCATTTTTTTCTCTTTTCTGATCCAAATAACTTAGAAAACTTAGCTAATTTATTTGCAGCACTATGGGTTGTGGTTTTAGGAGAAGGTAAATTGCCAATTTATTCTGTTTTCACTCTCTCTATGGCATGTTTATTATTCTAGTCAGGAATAGTAGTCACTCTATCAGAACTTAACAATTATTTAGACTGATCAAACAATTATTTTAATTTCTAAATTATAGAATTCTAGTACTTTTAAATCTTGAATTGACATTGAAGGCTATTATAAGGTTTTAGAATAAGTGTGACCCTACTTTAAAGATTATTTAAGTATCTATGAAGATCTTGTGAAGAGATTGTGCTTTTTGAAATACTCATGGGCTTCACTCTTAATGTTTGGTCTCACATTGCTTTTACTTTCTGAAGGGGAATGCTTTACGATTAATTTTAAACATTTACTTTTACTTTTGATATCATTTATTTATTTGGAGAGATTGGTTCTTATTAAACAATTTATGAAACTAATTTACTCGTATTAACTAATTTTGTTCTATTTTTGAATTCTTATTAGGATCTTGCATAATAAAAGTTTTCCAATTCATAATTTGCTTTATCTACATTCTAACAAATTTAATAGACTTGTAAATACTTAAAATTCATATTAAAGATTTTATCCATACTATTTTCTAAATTCTGCATCTCCTTTATTAAATTCTTCTTCATCGAAATTGTACCTTTAAGGTTCTGGCTTATAAGGAGGAGGCAGAGTTTAATTTACTATTCCTTCAAAGTCAACATTATGAAACCAAACATGAGTTAAGATTTCTGTAATACCACCTTTTTTTCCCAATCTTTTATCTGGATCCTTTTAAAGTAATTTAATTATCAGGTCTTTCAATTCATCAGAAATTTACACATAATCTGGAAATTAAACATTCTCTGTCAATATTGCATTATAAATTTCTTAAGTGTCATGAGAATAAAAGGGAGGTAATCCGAAAACAAGTTCATAAAGCAGAGCTCCAAGGCAATAACAATCTACTAAATAACTATGTCCTGATTTCATTAACATTTCAGGAGCCATATATTCAGGTGACCCACAGAAAGAGTAGGCTAATTCTCCGTCTTCCATATTTGGTTTGGACAATCCAAAATCACTTAACATCATATGACCATACAAATCCAACAAAATATTTTCAGGTTTAATATCTCTGTATACAATATTCTATGAATGTAGATAGGCCATTCCTATGCATACTTCTACAAAATAATATTATGCTTCTTGTTCATTTAAGCGTTTCAATTTTCTCAAGTGGTAAAATAACTCTCCACCAGCAGAATACTCTAAAACAAATGCAATATAAAATCTAGTTTCGAAGGCATAATGTAATTTTATGATGTACTAATTTTCCATTCTTACCATAATGTCTCTCTCATTTTATACAATTACTTCTTTCGCATTATCAAAAATGAACTTCTTGTCAATTAATTTCAATGCATAAAATTAGCCATTGTCTTTTTTTTTGACCAAATAAACCCTTGAAAAACCTCCTACTCCTATACATTTTATGAGATTAAAATCTTTTAATCCAACTCTGTGGGTCTCTTACAATTGAGAATACAAAGGTTACAATTAGAGTGTTATACCCTAAAATATATTTAAAGGCAAATCTGGCAACGAAAGGTAATAATCAAATGGAATATTTTTATTAACTGTTATGAATTGGCAAATCTTATTCAATTCTAAATTAAACTTAAATATACCATCTTAAATGTATTAATCTTCAGTAGAGCCAGTTCCTCCTCCTTCTACCTTTGCTGATGTCACTTCAATACTTGCAATCTATTCCAGAAGAAAGTTATATAAATTATCCGTCCTTTAGTCCACATAATCGTACAAATAGTAATATCTAATATTATAGAATGTAAAATTACTTTGTTTATTTGTAGAATAGAACTATTTATAATTTCTTTTTAGGGTCGTATTATAATGAGTCATCTGTTTTGATTTTCGACTATTACTTAATGATAGGAGTCGATTCAGTTTTTGAATATCCCTAATTAAGGGATTTAGAGTCTCCCTCTGTTTGTTTTGATAATTTTGAATTGTAAGGTTGAGGAGATCCTTTAGTAGATTTTTAACTTATCAACATATCTTCAATTGATTGTCTATGATTTGTTGATGTGTCTGATTATATAGATTACTTATTTTACTTCAAATTAAAATATTATTAGTATTGATTTGATATCATTTGAGCATTTTTTAGCTATAAACTTTAATAATAAAATATACCAAATCAAACAAATATTGGTCTTTTGATTTAGACTTATTTAAGATTGGTTTTGACTGATTAGAAGGAGATTGATTGTAAGATTACTTAGTAGTTGAAGGTTATTTTTATTATTCTTTTTTCTATAACTTTTATTTGTTAATTCATACATCAATTGAGACAGTAGCTAATGATAAATTTTTTGTTTTTAAATTTAAACGTTTAGAGCTATTCCCATCATCTGTTCTTACTCTCTATTCAATAAGCTATTTTAGACTATTGAAATGATGTACATTTTATTATGATGTTTTAATCCTTTCACTTTTTTAGGTTTAAAGGAACATATTATCAATGCTTTTACTTCCCTTTAACTTAGCCCGAATGTTATTAACAACCTAAGCTAATGAGTTTCTTTCTTTCTTAAAATAATCGTATAATTTAGTCTTCCCTTTTTATTAAGGTCTTTCAGTTTTAACTGTTTTAGCAGGGTTTTTTAAGGATTTCTTTTCCAATCGTTAAGGAGATTCTTGCAGGCTATTGCGACCTGCAATGATTTACATCTATTGATTTATTTTCTTCATAACGATTTATAATAATTAATTTATTTAAATAACAAAATTATACAGAGGTTAAAATAATTTTTATTAATTCTTTGAAAGAGTACATTCCTTTTGCTTTAACTCACTATGAAGTAAATAATAATATGCAGGTATTTATTAGATAATAAATAATCAATTAAGTATAAATTGTAAATTAAAGAACATTAAATTGTAATCATAGATTGTATTCTGTGAGTGATATTGGGAAAACAATTAAAGCTTATTATATTTAAATGATATTTCAAGTCTATTTTTTCATTAGGGCTGAAAATGATGAAAAAACATCGTTTTAATTGTATGTTTATTTTTTTTAAACTTATTTCTACTATTATTTTTCAACCATTTTTTTTCCTATCTCTTCCAATCTAGTCAAATAATGGTTCTTATCAATTTTATTCTTTAAATCCCTCGATAATATTTAATATTGAATTTGTATCCATTCTATGTCTTATTGAGAGCCCCCTAATTCCAGGGCTTTGCTCAATCTTTTTTTTTGCTCAGGGTAATAAATAAATGATTTGTTTGGACTGGCATAGTTGGTGCTGACGTCTGAATCATATTCACTCAAACCCAAAGCTAGCTATTATAGTTCAATAAATACTTCAAATCGATATTGTAGTGCTTTATGGGAGTGAAATTTGTCATTAACATCATTAACATTTAACTTAAATTTTTCATTTCCTCCTTTCATCAATTTGTCTCTTTCCTCTGCACTTAGCTAAGAGTATTTTTTAATATTCGTAACTCCAGCTTCGGTTGATAAAATCATTGCACAATTTTCACATAAATATATTGCATTCAATATACACACCCATGGGTCGCTCAAAATAGCGTCCTTAATTATTACAATCTGTACCACATTCTAGGCAGTGATGACTGAATAACATAGTGAATGTATATTTAAAATAATTAATTTTGTTATTAAAACAATAAATCAAACTTATTATAGATTAGTAGCTTCGACTGGTTTGAATAGGCTCTTGGTTACATAAACAGGTTGTTTATTAGATTCAGTTGTTGCTTTTTTTCTTTGAGTTTCCTTTCTTTGTAGATGAGGAGCTATAAATGAATTGTTTAAACATACTTGATGCGGTTTAAGTCTATTAGAATATTTCAAAAATCTTTTAATATGGAAACCTATCAATTTTATTTGAAAAAACAAATAGCTTTAAAAAAAAGTATTCAAGCTGGTGATTATTAATATCAATGTCCATAAAAATAAATGTTTCTAAGATCTATCTTTTGCTTAATTCACCATTATTGCTTTGAAGAGAATCAAAATGCTACTTTAGAGAATTCTTGTATTTGATAATAAGTTTAGTAATATCCTCTTTATGCTTCATTTCCTCATCAGGATTAAATATCCTATAATTACCAATTATCTTAGTAAAAATGCTCTTAACTCTCTCTAAGGTTTCTGTTAGCTCAATATTAAATTCAACAAATTCTTAGGAATTATCTTCTATTAAGAAGCGAGCAAACATTAATGCTTTATCTTATTCAAATAACATGAATGGTTCTTTTTCAAATCTCTTTTGTAGTTGCTTAATACTAACTTTTTTCTCTTTTTTGTTGTCATCATCAAATAAGAATTACTCTATAACATCAATTAATATTATTTTCTTAATTCTAAATCTGTAATTTAATTCTTCTCCAATGTGTAAAACATCATTCATTTTGATGGCTCTTAATTTTTTTGGAACATAAATCTATTGTTATTAAAAGCTATCATTGTTATTTTTTAGAGTTAAACCTACAGTTTGTTCTTTCTTGTGAATCAATGACGATTAAGCAGTCTCCTTATTTTTAGCTTAAACCTAAATTAATAACAAATTTTTGTATTTATCATCTAAAAGATCATATTGATTTGATATTTTAGCAATCTAATCTTGTAATACTTTTTTCTCTTTAGCTTAAATTTCTGATTTCTCATTATTCTTAATTTTTAATTCATGGACCATCCCTTTGAGATACTCATTATCAGATAAAACACTTTTAATTTGCTTATTTTAATCATCTATTGTGCATTTTAAAATTCTTATCTCTTCTTTTAAATCTTCCACTTTTACTACTTTATCAGCCAGCCCATTATTAGTATTTTTCAAGGCTTCTATTTTTTAAGCCAATTTATCCATAAATTAGTTTTTACCTTTTAGATTCTTATGTAAGTCTTCAATAGTTTCCTCGTACCTCCTTACTGTTTTTAAGGTTTCAGCTAACAAATTTTTGTAATAATAGGTTTCTTCCTCTTGGATTTTAAGCAATCCTGTCATTTAGTCATTTTCTGTTTTTAATTAATTCATCATCTGACTTTGGATGTACAATTTCTCTTCTATCAAGGTATGATCGTTGTAATTAAACAACACTTATTGTCTTAATTGTTGATCAAGCATAGTTCTTAATCTTAAACATTCGACATGTGATTCTTATAATTCAATTCTGATTTCATCAATTTTAGTAGTCTTAACATTTTATTTTAATGATTCTAATTCTGATTCTTTTGTTTTAAGGACAGTTTTGAGATCTTGGATTTGTTTTTTTAACTAAAATACATTGAAATGACTAGTTTTCTTATTACAAAACATTTCAACATTTCTAACTAAATCTGTTAAATGAATAACTTGTTTTTCCAAAGATGAAATTTAAGTTTTTAATTTAGTATTTTCCTCATTACATTAATTATATTTTTATTATAATTGTAACAAGTCTTAATACAATTCTTCTTTATCCTTTTTTATGTATCTTGGTGTTTATCGTGGATCAGTTAATCTTGTGTCACTAACTTATTTATTATCCACCATAGTAGAGCTGCTAATCTTTTTATTCTAATATAGTGAAACAGCTGATTATGGTCTTAGAAAATTGTTAGTAACATGATGCAATGAATCTAAATCCGAAAAATACTGTATAGCACTTGGCATTAAAATTTAACATTCATTTGTTGACTTTTATTTATATCCCTAGGGTTCATATTTGATTGCCTAGATTCATGAATTATATTAATTTATACATACTGATTGGGGTCGTTTTATTTGTCTGTGAAACATTTATTTAATAAATTAATGAGTTAAAAGTGGAAATTAATTCCATAATACATTTAGGAACTATAAGAATAGAACGACGAAAATTCAATGGCTGTTTTAAGAAAACTGGGCAAATTATAAAGTTTGAAAGAAGTATTCTCGACTATTTAATTGATAGTGCGTGGATAGAGACGAGAGCGAGTTAAAGAAACAATATATATTATTGATGAGAGAGAGAAACGAATATTTCAAGAAGTTAAAAGCCATACAACAAATAAATGAGCAAAATCCCAACTCTCAACTAGCCTAATCTATATAATTGTTATTCGACGCAATTAATAAGCAATAATGACTGACATACATTTTAAAATAATCTGTTATATTATATTAAAAATCATTATACTCTATAAATACTTTCCTTATTTTTGAAATTGTCTCCATAAAGAAACACACAGTATATTAATGGTATCAATGCTACATTAAATCCAAAGGAATAAAACAATTTATTTTTCAAAAACCACCCAGGTGTATAACTTCTTGCTCTAATGTCCAAACCAGTTACCACTAATAATTATTAATTGAATATACTTAGGTTCAAGATAGCAGTTCCAATGATAGCTGAAATGGATTAAATGTTATCATTATTCCCATATAAAAAATATTAAGATATTAGAATGGCTCCTATTATAGGAATGGAGGCCAAAAAGAAGGTGGTTCGAGCCTCAGAGGAACTGTTGAGCCAATCCAACTAGGTTTCATGTTGAGACATTGCGAATCCCCAATGAATCCCAGACTATTAAGAAATCTAAATGGATTTATACTTAAAATGCCACATTGATCGATGCATATTTTATTGTTGCATGCATTAATTATCCTGTATAGATTGCATAGGCTGGATTTATACACGAATATAATGTGGCTGATGATAATAAAAGTAAAGGACTCAAAGTAGCAATTGTAATATATTTAACCTCTCTAGGGGCTTTAGTCTCTTGGGTCAATTCCTTAATAAATTGCCTTCTATCTTCAATAATCTTGACCATTTATTCATCAGTAAATGTGTTCTATTCAGCCACACTCTCTAAGGTTGAAGTCGACTCTTGATCCTTGACGTCCTGGATTTTATTTTAAATTCTCTAGGCCTTTTTTGTTGAGAATCTATACAAAGGATTTAAGGTTCTTAATATTTTTTACATGATTGATAATAAAATTAATTACACAAATTAAAATTCAGATAGTCAATAGTGTTGGATCCAATAGATTAATTAATTCAAAAGTTGTTGGAAGATTAGAATATACAAAACCAAACAACAAAATAGATTAAAAAGCTTTGAAATTATGTAATAAATATTCCAAATTATTATTAATAAATTAATATGGATAACTAATCTGAGGTTCAAGATTCCCAAGGATCTTAATAAAATCATAACCATCAAAATTCTAATGGATCTGCGTTATATCCTGAAAGTTTTCATTCATAAAAAAGAAGTGATTAAACAGTTTAATCTCAGGCAGTAAATGGTTTGTAACTTAAAAGAAAAAGTTCGGCTTCAAATAAAAATGAACCTTTACTTTAAAGCAATGATTAAGAAAAACAAGATGAATATGATGAATTGAGCTAGAGTCAGAATGATCAAGATTCATTTAACCAAAGAGAGAATTAGGCTGATTAATCTAATACATAAGATTAAGGCAATGAGGAGATAGAGCAAACATTTCAATAAGATCAATCCAAAATGCTGGAAAATCCTGAAGACTAAGTATTTTAAGATCTACCAGAGAATAATTAAAGTAAGAAATCTGACGATCAAAGTAATAAACCTACCCGAATTGCAAGAGAGGAAAATTAATCAAATATCATCCTAAAATAAGTATCAACTGAAATCACAGAAATCAAATAGAATGAAGAAGAAATTTAAAGTAATGATAAAATGCTAAGAACTTAGGAGGTTATGGATAAATTCAAATAAGTTATTAAATCACCCAAAACAAGATCACCTTAACTTTCAACAGATGATCCTTATTAATTAAATAAGCCAATGATCAAACCTTAGCAATTATCATAGTAAGACAATGAAAGAAGTTATGAAAAAATAGTAGAGGCAAATACAAAGGAAATTTATAAATTTTATTCAAGATAAGCTCAAACTTCAAATAAATAAAATACCTTTGATCAACTTCATTAGATTCAGTAAGTTATGACATTGTAAAAATTTATGTATTTTTGTAAAGATTTCGAATTAATAGATTTGGAAATAAACAATGATTTTGTCTATCAACATACTGGATAGGGTGCAAATAAGCCAATCAATAAAATCAAATACAAACATAAAGAGAAAGAAAATTTTGTTGTTACAAAGTTAATCTTAGTGGAGATCTTTAAAAAGTGTTCAAATATATAAGAATTAACTTATTAAGAATTCTTGTTGGCTTTAATAAAGATCGCCGATATCATATTCCCAGTAGACAACTCTTTGAGAGCATTCTATGATTATCTAGGAATTAATGATCCCAAGATATATCGGAAAAAGATGGTTGTGGTAGGAAAACCATTCAACAGCAAAGATCAAAGTGAAGTCCTGACTTAAGAAAAGCTGTGTTCTCGCAGATTGGTTCTACCAGCAAAACCTAAACCAAGAGCTGAAAGTTATAAATACGAACCTCCTGTCACAAATCCTAATAATATTTCACTATAAGAGAAACCCAAAAACTCAGTTAAAAATTTACAAAAGCAAAAGGAGAAACCCAACAATCTTATTAAATGGGAAGATTTAGGGAATGTATCTAAAGAGTTTGATCCAAAAGAGTTATTACTTGCTTAAGACTTATCAGATAAGGAAGATGACTATTATTTGCAGGAATATTTAATAACTAGTGCAGAGAAAATAAAGAAGGAGGAATCATTGTTAAAAGTTCAATAAAAGAAACAGTAAAATAGCAATAAATAATAAGAATAATAAAATTAAGCTGATGAGAAACCGCCAAAACACAATCAAAATAATATCAATACCATATAAGATCATTCACAATCAGTTCCCAATTAGTAGAAATTATTTAAATAATTGATTAATCAATAAAAAACCTAAAATTTACAGACAGCGACATAAACTAATTAATCTCCTGCCATTAATACCAATCAATCTAATAATCAAACTCCATTATTATTATCCAAACAAAAAAACTTGATTGCAGCCAGACCGTCATTAGAGATTCAGTCCTATAGTTAATCATATAAAGCTTAACAAATTAAAGCAATAAAATAATCAACAAAGGCTGTCTTAAATACCTCAATTGAACAAAGTTCTCCTAGCACAATAAGGAAGGAAAATGATGGATTAAATGCCATTAGGAAGATTGAAGCTGAGAAGAAATAAAGAGAGTAACAAATTTTGGTGGCTTTTATGAAAAATTAAGAATAGAGAGAAAAAAAAGTAAATAAAAAATGACCTAATTTTTAATAATTTATAACTAACAATTTAAAAATGTCTTACCTTCTACCTCATTTAAATAACGGTTGGCAAGTTGATCAGGCAATCTTGGATGAAGAAGAGAAACTAGTTATCATTCGTTTTGGACATGATTGGTAATCAGGTATTAATACCAATTTAGGGATCCCTAATGTATGCAAATGGATGAAATCCTCTATAAATCTGCTGAAAAAATAAAAAAGTTTGCAGCTGTTTATTTAGTTGATATCACTAAAGTGCCTGATTTCAATACGATGTATGAACTATATGATCCAGTGACGGTGATGTTTTTTTACAGAAACAAACACATGATGATTGATTTGGGAACAGGGAATAACAATAAAATAAATTGGGCTATGAATGATAAGCAGGAATTCATAGATATCGTGGAAATCATTTATCGAGGTGCTAGAAAAGGCAAGGGTTTAGTTGTTGCTCCAAAGGATTATTCAACCAAATACAAATATTGATAATTAATATATATTTAATTATGGATTAAATAATTGAATTAATATAATGGTCAGCCTAACCAGACAATTAGATTTAAAAATAAGTATATAGAAGAGCTTAGGAGTTGAGTTAAGACATTTAATTTTTAATTCATTTATGTTCTGTGATAATTGGAAATTATGAACCAGAAATTAGATATAGGGCTGCTGTGATATTAAAAAGTGCCATCAAAAATTGCGTCGCATTGCCTGAATAATTATAGCAAATGTTAGTGCAAGTTGATTTGAGTGTTCAAATTATGAGACAAGCCTTTATTATTATTGTCCCAGAGGTTGTAGTTAGAAATGGAATTAAAAGTAAGCAAACATCATACTAATCATAGATAGCAATCTAATGATGGAATATTTAGTTAAATTGATAGACACTGATCCAGTCATTGCAACTGATTGTTTATCAAAAATAATTGAGGATCTCAAATTCAATTCTGAAAACATAAATTATTATGGAACAGATTCAGGATTGCAATTAATCGATCAATTACTTTTGAAATTCATTACCTTAGTTGAACATTAGAACACATAGGTGGTTGTAAATTCATTAAATTTTTTAAACTATAATATTTTCTTTATGCCTCCCTCATTAAGTCAATACATTGATTGTTACATTAAAATTTTGATTACTGGAACATAATCTCCAGAATAATAAATAAGATTGAAGTGCTTTTAGGGTATTCAAGCTCTAATAGAGACTAAACGAGATAAAATAAAATAGATGAATTTAGTTATAATGGCATGTGTTTAATCATTGTAGGATTAAGACAAGGAAGTTGTAAGATTTGTAGAATTGTGTTTAACTGATTTTCTAACAATTGATGATGCAGAAGATTATGAATAAACTCATTTACTTGAGCCCTATTTACAAAAAATATTATAACCTGTAATACTAAATCTAGCAATCACTAGAGCTGATTAAATAGCCATACAACCCACATTCTCCAATGTTTACAGTTAAAGTGGTAAGGCTGAAGATGAAGAATAGGAAGAAGAGAAGACTTTAGGTGAATATTCATTGAGATCAGTGTCGAATTTGTTGCTCAAAAAATTAATTGAATTTTATGATAAAATTGTTGTTCCAATTGTCTTATAAATTATTGATCAATTGCAATAATAATAAGATTGGAAACAACAAGAAATTGCTGTTTTATGTCTAGGAGTATTTGCAGAGAAAATAATGGAAAATCATGGCAATCTTGTACCCAATATTTTAATGGCTTTGTTTAATGAAAAGAACCAACAAAATGAATATATATATGCTTCTACATTATGGACATTCTCATAATATAATGAGTGGATTAAAACAGTAGCCATCAACGAGACTTAGTTTATTTAATCCTATCTAAAATTATTATTGATCTCTATCGAAAATTAGTCAATGTATAAATATACTTAATTATATCCCATAGAATAGTAAAGGAATCTGCCTGTTCTGCATTGAATTCCTTGTCAAAAGATGCATTCTTTATATTACAACCCTACTTATTAGATTTGTTCTAAGTGTACTTGAAAGCCTTGTCTTAAAAAGGAGGAGTATTATTATACATTTATTAATCAATAACCACAATATTGGCTGAATGTGAAACTATTGAGAATTAAGAATTAATAGATTTAATAATGACTAAATTGATCAGTAATTTAGTTGACTTGAATGACTATAACATATGTCCTCTTTATGGTATTAATAAATCGCATATTGATAGAATGTTTGGCAGAAGCAGTTGAAAAATTTGGATAGAGAGCTATAAACTATATTCCAATCATTTATCAAGCAACTATATAATCAATGAATGGTTATGTTTAATCAATAAAGAATGGGAAGACAAGATATTTATATTAATAAAAGGAAATTCTAAAAAGATCCTTTGATTTGTGTATAAAGATTATCAACATCACAAAAGAAAGATTCTTAGAGTTATGTGATTAATCGTTTTTGTAAATTGTTGATCTTGCATTGTAAGATTCAGAAACTGATGTTAAGCAATATGCACTATCTCTAATAGGTGATTTAATAAAGGATTGCTATGCAATTTTTAAGAATGTCAATATTGCTATTATATTGTAAGAAAATATATAATATTTAGAAATGAATACATCTATGCTTAGTCAATCAGTATTGATCCTTCTAAACTATTTTTGGCTACTTCGAATAATGCTGCATGGGCATTGGGAGAATTAGCTATAAAAGATCCTTCTTAAATTACAGTGATTTTTAATGCAGTAATGGAGAAACTAATAAAAATAATAAATGAACCAAAATTCCCAAAATCCATCGCTTAAAATTTATGTATTGCAATATGCAGGATTGCTGGGTCACATATTTAGTCAATTGAAGAATTCATTCCTAATTTCTTTAAGAGAGTTTGCTTGATTCTTAGCTAAATAAAGAGTTAATCGTTAGATGAATACAAGGAGGAATCTTTTAGGTAAGACTGTCATTAAAATTAGGATCTTGATCAATATAGTGAAAATGTATCCAGGAAGAGTAATAAACGATATCAAATATTTTGTTTATTGTATCGTAGCTTCAACAGAGTTTCCTTCAATTAAGCCTCTTTTTATTAATATATTATAAGAATTGTAATAGTCATTTGGCTAACAGAAATTTGATAGTATGTTTAGTAGTGATGACTTGCCAAATGGATTTAGGATGAAAATGATGAATGTTTATGGTGTATGAATAAATTAAAAAATTATGCGTTTTTGAATATTATTTTATATAAATGAGATTCATCGTGATTGCAATTTTTGTGATGCTTGCAACATCGCAAGAATTCGTTGAATTTTACTCTGCATTTTCTAATGCAGACGTAGGTTAATTAGATGGATGGACAATACAAGGATAAATTTCAAAAGCTTAAACTGATAATTTCTTTACTTGTTCAGATGCAGCTGTATTTGGAGGACCTAAGGCATTTGGTAAAGGAGCCATAGTGACCAGACAATTTTAATTGCCTCCACATTTTTAGATTAAAGTATAAGTTGAAGTCTGGAAGTATAACAATTCATTAATTTTAGATTTGATGCATGGGACACTCAAAGATAATTTTTTTATTTGGATAATTACCTTTGGGAAACTATGTGGACTGGAAGTGATGGAACAAAGAGATGCGCAACTCCAGCAGGGGGCAATGTGAATTCATTCTCAGTTGATTAAACAATAACTCATAATCATGCAGCATTATTTATTGCATTTGCATCTTCCGCTGATAAGACTGCAGATAAAGTATAATAATTACAAATCTTTAGATGTCTTGGGGTATTAGAAAATTGAAATTATCCTATTTGCCATGTCCAGCTGAATGTGGTACATGTCTTGGACCAGATGCTATTGTTTGTTAAATGTGGGTGCCAGTATCATCAAGTTGGATAAAGAATATAGATGCTGATGGATGGACTGCAAAAGGATCTTCAACTGTCATTAAATCAAGCACTTGTGTAGGAATTCCAATTATTGGTGGTCCTGGCAATTTTGGTAATAATGTATCAATCTAAAAAATCTTTGATAAACTTGTTCCACATTATAGAATTAAGGTGATAGCATAATTTTGGAAGATTGATAATTGGGATAATGATAATGCAGTTTTGTCTATTGATAATCAAGAAAAATGGAAATAAAATGTTGCTTAAGTAGAGGATAAGGAATTCTTCATTTGCGATAAGATCAGTCCAGGAGGTGTTGATGGAACAGAAAAGATTATTAATGTTAACTTTGAAACTCCACATAATTATGGTGCTGCTCTTGTTAAATGGACATCCACAATCAAGAAGTCATCCAAATAAGCATCATGGGGTATTAGATAATTCCAATTGTATGTTGCATAATGTTCAAGCAATTGTGCAACATGTACTGGACCAAGTGTTGAAGATTGTACAGCTTGTGTTTCTCCTTACGTATTATTGGACCCAGAAGATGGAAATGGATCTGGTTGTGTATTGAAAGGAGATTGGGTTGAATTCACTTCAGAATTCTAAGGAGCAGGTTGGACAGCTAATGCAGATTGGAAAGTTGCTGATGGTAAAAATGGACCAGATTTTACAACACAATGTGGAGAATTCAAATTCTTTGGTGGTTTTGATAAGACTGGAAAAGATGCTAAAATCACTAGAAAATTCAATTTACCTGCTCATAAAAGAATTAGAATTGCATTTGAAGCATGGAAGATTGATAATTGGAATGGAGAAGATTATTTTGTTAAAAGTTGATGGATTAAATGTTTGGTAAAGAACATTTGGATTTGGAGATCCTGGACTTGCTGATATTTGTGGAGGAGATGGATTTGAAAATTATGCTATTGTTGATTTTGTTATTGGACATGAAACACCCACTTTGGATTTACTTATATCAACCACTATTGGAAAAAACAATGACAATGCTTCATTTGCACTTAAAGGATTTAAACTCTATTATGAAAAACCAGATGCTTGTGCCACTCTTTATACAGAATGCAATTATACAGGTAATTATTATTTTCTATAAATTACATAGGAAAATCATTTAACATGTGTGAAGACTTACCTAACTTCCAATTAGCTAAATATCCAAGCAAAATCAAGTCAATTCAAGTCCCAGCTGGTGCTAAAGTGATTCTTTTTGATGAAATGGATTATAATGGTATTCAATAATATTAATATCTAGGAAAAACCATTGAATACACTGAGAACCAAAAATGCATCGAAGAATATCAATACAAATTCCTTTAAACAAATTAATAAAGCTATGTCTTAACAGCTAACAATTGACCAGATGAAATATCAATATTATATTTTATTTCATTATTTGCATAACATTATTATTTATTGTTTATCGATAATAAATAAATTTATAAATTATGAATATGAAAAACTGAATTTAATCTCATTTTAATAATTTTAGTATGATTTGTTTCCTTTTTTCAATTATTTCTTTTCTTTTTTAAGGATTCTTTTCATTTGTTAACTCATTTTTCCACTTTTCTGCCTCCTTGATCACTCTCTCTTTTGCTTGAAGTGTACTATTTCTAACCTTGTATTGAAGTTCATCATCAATATTATTAAAGATCGGGACTTCTTCATCAATAAAATTTGATTCTAGATTATGTTCGAATGTTTCCAATTCTATTGCCTTTTATTTAGCATCGTCAATAACCTCCTTTGGAAACTTTAACATTTGAGCAACCAATAATCCATAACTCCTATCTACAGCTCCATATCTAACCCTATATTCCATGGTAATTTTATCATCTTCTGTGACACAACTTACATAATAATTTTTTACTCCAGTAATTTCATGTTCCATAAGTGTCATTTCATGAAAGTGAGTTGCAAATAAACAATAAGATTATATTTATTTTGCTATATGTTCAGCAATGGCCCAAGCAATTCCAAATCCTTCAGAAGTGGATGTTCCTCTTCCTAATTCATCAATTATTATTAAGGAATCAGGTTTTGCAGTTTTCAACATACAACTTGCTTCAAGCATTTCACTCATAAAAGTACTAATACCTTTGGTCTAAACATCACTTGCTCCTACTCTTGTGATTATGGCATCTATTACAGGTACAACTGCAGTAGTGCAAGGCACAAAACAACCAATATGTGCCAGCAACACACAAATGGCAATTTACCTAATGTAAGTAGATTTTCCACCCATATTGGGTCCTGTTATTATATGCAATCTTGATGATTTTCTATCCATTTCAAGATCATTTACAATACAGGTAGAATCTATTGCTTCTAACAATGGATGTCTAGATTCTTTTAATAAAATCTCCTTTTTCTCGGTAAATATTGGTCTGACAAATGCTCTTGGAGCATTTCTAGCTACTGATGCAAATGCTGATAAGACATCTATTTCTGATATCAGTCTTGATGCTTATTCCATAACGGGATAGTAAGAACAAACAATTTTCAAAATTTCTTATACTTTTTCCTATTGAACTTCTTAATAAAGATCTCTAAAATGAACATAATCAGCAACAGTTGACTGTAGCTTCTCTACTGTAAAGGTTAGAGCTCTATTCTTCACAGAAATAGTCTTATATTTTTTAGGATTTTTTCTAAAAGCTTCATCAGCACTTTGTTTTTTAGCTTCAAAAATATAGGTATATGTTCCAGACTCAATTAGAGTAACAGTGATTCCTAATTCTGTTTCAGTGTCTAGCCTTACATTTTCAATGTCATTCATACATTATGTAATGTTTTTACTAAGTTACATTAATTTCTCAGAAAATCTAGGATTTACAATAAATTCACCAGTGTAAGCTTTGCTTAAATCAATGGATTTCTCAATCATTTCTTCCAATTTCTCGAAATCACTTAAGTTTTCTTCAAAAGGTTTAAGAAATATCTCTTAAAGTATGGAATTTTGACTCTAATACATTTCTTGATTGACTCTTTTGATTATGTCTTTGATTTTTTGGATTAATTAGTAAACTTTAACACAATCACTAAGATTAGCATTATTCCTCTTATCACTTGCCACCTTATAGAATTTGGCATATAACTTGTCTAAATCAGGTATTCTTTTTAAAAAGTCTTCATTTAAAAATTATCTGAAGGAAGAGTTCTAATACAAGTACTCGACTATATTCAATCTTTAATTGATTTCTTGTATTGATTATAATGGCATTTTGATCCATCTTCTTAAACATCTTTTTCCCATTTGAGTAATACATCTATCCAAATAATCAACTAAAGTGCTAGCATTGTTTCCACTGTCAAATTATTTTATGCCTTGCTTTGGGAATATCATTAAGGCATTGATGGCTGCCAAGTCTAACCTCATAAATTTATGTAAGTTAAGTAATCCTATATTAAATTTTTAAGTATTTGTGTCATCTTTGTAAAGACGAGTATGTTCTAATAAACATTGAATACATTGAGTGCAAATCTACTCTTCAACTCTGCATGTGTTAAAATTCTTCTTCAAGACCTTGTTTAGATTGGAAAGATTAATTTCTGAAAAATCTTTTTTGTTTTTTTCAATTACTTCAAATTCACACTATTCTAAAATATCCCGCACTTTTCTATTCTCACTCTCTAACTCGGGCATTTATATCAACACTGTTAATTTAGCATCCTATCCATCTGAAAGTATTAAATTTATCATTACTTGGATTTACTTAAAGAACCAGACACTCAAACACACTAAAATGTTCATTGTCTTGAAATTCACACACTTCAATCATTCTTCGATCTTGATCTAAAAACGCACAGTTTAGATGTCTCTCATTATTTGTATATATTATTTAAACCACTAAAGTCAATAGATTCTAGTCCTAATCCATTAATAATATTAATTAATTTATTATTCCTCAAAAACCTAATTATTTATTTCACTTATAAACACATAAATATTAATTTTAATATATATATTATTCATTTCACAAATATTTTCTTACTAATTTTTTCAATTCTTTTTTCACTAATTTATTTCTTAAGAATGATGGTACAACAACAGCACCGAAAAATCCCTGAATTCTATGTAGAATGTGTCCATGAGTAGAATATTCTAATCCCAATCGTTGTCTATTATACTACATATAATTTAATTACAATGCTCCTTTGGCAGACTAAATTGGTGATATAGCTCCTTGTCCTTTCTTGAAATTTGTCATTGCTGTTGTTACATACATTGGTCTATGTGCCATAATATCAATATTTGTATATTCAAGTGCTATTGATCTTGAAAAGAAATCATCAAATGCTTTGGTTGCAGCATATGTTTAATGATAAGGCAGAGGGACTCTTCCAGCGAATGATGATAAATTAATTATTGCAGATTTTGTTCTCTAAAGCATTTTAGGAATTATCTTCTTTGTCAAAAATACAATGGGGAAACAATTAACTGTAATCATTTCTCTTAGTTCATTGTCATTGTATTTCTCTAATGGTCTTGTCTACAATATTAATATTATATTTAAACATGTGATACTCCAACATTATTTATTAGCAATCCTATATCCAAATTTTCAATCTATTTGTATACTCTATCAAAAAATCCTTCCTCCAAAGAGTTGTTAAAATCAACCACAACTATCTTAAACTTTGAGGTTGATCCCTTACTTAACTCCTCAATCAACTTTTTAGCCTTCTCCTCATTTCTGACAAGCATGCAAATGTTCACATTTTATTAAGCCAAAACTTGGCAATAGCCTTTTCCAATCCCATCAGATGCCCCTGTTACAACTGCCCAACAGTCTTTGCCATACTTAGCTTATATATTTGGAAAGGGTTGTAAGCACTTATAGATTTCTTCTAAAATTCTGAATACAATAAAAGCTATTGTGGCTGATCCAATGATAAAAAAGAACATAATTAAATAAATAATGTTGTATTTATTTTGTAAAATTTCCTTAAATTTTAACACAAAACCTTAGGATCATTGATTCTTTTTTGCTCTTTTAATCAAAACTTACTTCAATTACTTTGTTCTAATAGATTAAGGTATGATATAAGTTAATAAAACTCCCATGACCCTGTGATACCAATATCCATGGCTTGTTACTTCCAAACCCAATCTTTATAATCCTCCTCGAGCACATTATTCTGGTGTAATTGCTCCAGCCTCCTTTTCATAATTTGTCAAAGGAGTAGTAACAAAAAATGGTCGATGTGACAATATATCTATTCCCTCAACTTCTATCGCTAAAGATTATGAAAAATGATCATCAAAAGCTTTTGTTGCAGAATAGGTTTAATGATAAGGCAATGGCAATCTACCTGCAACAGATGATAGATTGATGATAGCAGATCTACTTTTTCTTTGTTTCATAATTGGCAGAACTTTTTTTGTCAGGAAAACCACAGGGAATATATTTATTGTAAGCATTTATCGAATGTCAGATTCTTGTTGTCTCTCAAAAGGGTTTTTCTTATGAATAGGAATTAAGAATATACCATTGAAACTCCAACATTATTTATAAGTATTCCTATATCGAGATCCTTGATTTACTCATAAATTTTATCAAAGAAATCTACTTCTGCACATTGTAAGAAATCAGCTATAACAATTCTAAACTTAGACGTAGATTTAGCACTTAATTCCTAAACTAATTTATCTCCTTTTTCTTTATTTCTGATAATCATACAAACATTAACATTTTATTTCGCTAATTCTTAACAATAAGCTTTTCCAATTCCATCTGTTGCCCCTGTAACTACTGCCCAACAATCCTACCCATATTTTTTCTTAAGATTTGGAAATGGTTACAAGCATTTATATATTTCTCCTAGTAACAAAAATACAAAATAAAGCACGGTTCTAAGACCATATAATTCTATTACGAGGTAGAGATAATCAAGCATTAACTTAAAGGAATTATAAATTAATTAATAATAAATGAATAATCGGTAATTCTATAATAAAATCATTATCTATTAGCTTTAGCGATTATAATTATGTGATACGAAAATAGTATGTGAAATAACTTAAAGAATATTTTGTGATTAAATTATCATTAAACTATGATTTCTTGAATTTAAATTAATGTAAAAAGTTGAAAGAAATAATTACAGTAAAAAGATCTGCTCCCTTTTGTAAAATTTAGATCTCTTTGCATAAGAAGTATAACTAAGAATTAATAAAAATGATAAATTCTTTACTCCCCTTGGAATAATTATGTCCCTGATTTTAATTACACTTTCTTTAATATTAGCAATTAACAATATTGTGGATGTTATTCAAAAAACAAATCCCTCGGTAGTCTCCTCTGATCAATAAGAATAAGAAACTCCAGTAATTATAATTTGTATTTTCTAAGAATTTTATACTTATGCCAAACAATTTTACTTTTGTAATAAGCGTAAATAAATTCAACCTGGACAACATTTATGGGCTTGATACCCTATTTAGTTTGTAGTTTACCTAATGTTATAGGAAGAGAGATACTGAAACCAGAAAAATAACTTAAGAATGTTTTAATTATAGTATGAATAATTGTGAAGATAGTAATTTTGAGGCATAATTTTAAAAAGCTTATTTTTAACAATTTAATAAAAGTAATATTTATTGCATAAATCAGGATGAATGGATAGCAAATCCTTTTGTAATATGTTAATCCATATTCTATAGTCTATTCAAGGATCAGCTGCCTCTAATGAGTTTAGATATCTTAAATTCAATTTGCTTGTGTGTTAAAACAAAAGTGAAAATAATACCTGTTACCCAAAAGACTACATCCAAGCAAATTTTCCAGGAGGATTACTAGTTTATTATGTGCAAGATTAACTGTTAGATTTGAAGAAACCTGAAGAATTCTTTGTTCCATCTATTCGTCAAGGTTCGGCCATATTTGCCTAGAAAACCTAAAAGACTATAATTGCATACCATAAGACTGTATATGTTCAAACAGATGTTGGTTTATTCATCGAGGATCTTTAAGAACGAAATAGTTACTAGAATTACCTAGAAAAGGAGTCGTCAGATGCAGTTGATACAAATAAGCTGATAGAATATGTTTATCAATTAGATCCTAGGTTGTAGTTCATTGTTATTTAGATAAACCTTTTATAATAGATCATATCCCAAGATTCAAGATATAATAGGTACAATAGGAGGTCTTTGGCAAGCTATGTATTTTATAATCTCAATTCTCATTATGCCATTTATCTAAGGGTTTATGGAATTAAGTTTGATTAATAAGTTTTTCACATTCTCATACAAAACAAATGCAATTCTCGATGATTGTTCCATATCCTAGAATAGAAGTAATTTACTTAGTCCTCCTCAGTCTAAATCAACAATTAAGAAATCTTTTACTACTTAAAAGTTGTAAATAGAAAAAATATCAGATACTACTTAAATTGCATAATTCTTAAGGGAGAGAAAAACTTTACTAAAATTGAACCTATCTGATTTATGTGGTTTCATTTTTGGTAGTTAAAAGAAGCAAAGAAAGCAATTTGAATACAGTCAAAGAAAAATACTATAGAAATTGGACATAACAGTAATTAGTTAGATATATATAGTTTATATTGCACAAATTATTTGAAATAGATAAGTTAAAGATGGTTTTATTCACTGAAAACTAGTTGAAATTGTTTAATTATTTTCCAAAACCCTGTGTTTCGGATTCTTTAATACTTAATTCAAACGATAAACTATTGTAGAACCAAGAACGACAAATAGAGTTTTCATATCTTCTGAAAGAAGAACTAACACATGAAATGAAGGTTCAAGAGGCTTACAAGGCTTATAAGAAAATAAAGAAACTGAATAATTAAGAATAGTTGGACCAAAGAATTCTAATTCATTTAGATTAGGATCTAAGAAATCTATTTGATAGCCTCATTGAATCAGATTTATAGAATGACTCATGTAATTGTAATTATTCTTATGTTAATTTGAAGTAAACGATGTCCAAATTTTAAATGATTCAAAATATTAAAATATAATCACAACATATAAAACCCACGAAAAACCGCATATAAAATAAAATGATTGATAATTAATATATGTGTTGTTATTATAATGTTGTTGTAAATAAATTACAATTACTCAATGATGCTTAATTTTGGTTTCCTCACCCATCACTTATTCCACATAACTTTGAAAAGAATTTGTCTTTCTTCCTTATGCTCTACACAATAATACAATCCATATAAGCACAGCCAATGCATGTATTATTGTGATGAGATATATTAAACCCTTCAACTTTGGATTAATGCTTCCTGGTAAAAAATCAAGATCGCTGAGAAATTCCATTTATTAATTAATTAAATAACAATTATTCTCAAATTTTATATTTTTCTCATTCTCATTATTAATCTAAATTGCTCTCAATTGAACTATCTTTTGTAGACTCTTCCTTCTCAACTTATTTATCCTAATTATTTTCAAGTTTTTAAGTCATATCCCTATCTTTTTCTTCTTTTTATACTTTATCTTCAAGTTAATCATTCTTAATTTGTGAGCTTTAATCAACAACTTATTCATTTTCTTATTGGTCCTCTAATTCCAATTATTTTTATAATTCTTCAATATCTTCTTCAATTTTTTAGATTTCCTCAGCACTTAATCCCATCCTAAAAACATTATTTTAATTATCAGATTGACTATCATTTCTCCTTGGTTAATACATATGAATCATACGCTTTAATGAATCCTGCAGTTTGGTTTGTTTAAGCTATTATGATTAATCCATAATCAAAGTAAATTTTTTTATCTATTTTATATCCACTAAACTCTCTGAAGTATTAATTTCTAATTATTTTAGCTCTAAAATGTGAAAATTATATTCAGATCCTAATGATATAAATTTTGCATTAAAATTGATTGATTATCCTTGCTCTAAAAGGTTAAATTTTTCAATTGAATATTATTATGAATTTACACCTAATACAACATCTGGTATGTCATCTGTTGATTCTGTTGGATCCATTTTAATATAAACCCAATGACTGTATGAATAATTCATATCATTATTAGATTTAGTTTTGACATAAATCCTAAAATATAAAATAAAGCCATACCCATTCCAAGCAACAATTTTACCTTTAAAGTTAGTTTCAAATTGATGTCTTGCCTTAAGTCCATTCTCAACAAACTAAAATTTCCCACAAAGTTATAAGAAATCCATCCAGGATTTATCAGTAGGATAATCAATCTCAATTTTTATAGGCTCTTTTTCTATTTATTATTAAAAATAAAAGAATAACAAAAATATTATGCCCAATAGAATCAATGCATATTTCCTAGAAGCCACTATCATACAATTACCAAATTTAAATTGCATAACTTAATCATTTATATTTGGTAATTGAAAATAATTCCTTTTTTCTAATTCTTAATTACAATACTAACACCTTTTTATTATTACCTATATGTAGATCTAAAATTATTACTTTAGTTGATTAAAATACTAATGGAATAAGCAACACGGACCAAATTCCACAATAGTAAAGGCATATCAGAGAAATTATGAATGATGCAGGAGATGGTCCTTATTCTAAAATGCCCTCTTTTGCGGAACCACAATTTGGACAAACTGGTAATTTTGGATCAACTACACCTTCTTATTGATCATCATTATCTGTCTTCGAGATTAACATATTTGATAATAATTTTAATTCATTTAATTTATTTCAATTTTACTAAAGGAGATCCTAGATGTTAATCGTTGAAGAGAACTTAGGTTTAATTCTAATTTTTTATTGTAAAAGTAATTTTGTGATCTTTTTCTGGTGTTCTACTACATCTATAGTATCCATAGATTAACTCTTCTTGAAAAAGTTGATTTAACATTTTCTTTTCTTAACTTTGCTTTATTCTTGATTTTAAACTATTTGAAAAAATTGAGTAAATGAATTGATTTCACTGGTTTCAGGTTACTTAGCGTTCTATTTTTTTTCATTTTACAATTGATATAATGATTAACATTTATCAAGATGTGGTTTTTACACTATTTAGTTATTAAGAGTCAATTGTTTTTTGAGCATTAAAGCACTCTTCTATTTTTCAGAGACTTTCACGTTATCGTATTATTTAATTAGATTCTCTGCTATCTTTTTCACTTAATCACAATTCGATTCTCTTACTGAATCAATTTAATACAATTATTAATCGACATCTATAGATTAACTTTTTATCAATCTTTTTTTCTTATTTTATGGAGTTTCTTCATATTAAGTTCGATTAGGACCCACATTACTATGAGTCATCAAACTGCTATTATTATTTTTGCATGATTATTCCATACTGCTATTAGTAAATGTACTTAGTTCTATGTTTTTCAAGAATTTCCATTAATGTCCAATATGTGGTAATTTTAGATAATTTGGAATATTATTATTAATTTTCATTTTATATTTATTATTTCTTAAATTAAAATTGCGCGATCAGAATTTAAGACTTAAAGAAATTATAACAAATTCAAAATATTTTTATTCAATAAAACATGAAATATTAGAACTCCTTTTTAATTGAAGCATAAATTAACAATGTATTTAACAATGGTATTTACACATAATAATGATTCAATATTACATAAAACTTGCATATAATTAACTATCATAAAATCGAGTAAAGAATTATTTGTAATTATTATAAATATATGAAAGTGATCCATTGAATTTGGTTCTATTCATTTCTTTTTTTGTCCAATTCTATAAACTTAAGATTTTCATTACTTATGATGCATTTCTCCAAGTCGTATATATAAACGGATTCAAGTGAACCAATGTCAAAACCAGACTCACAATATTTAGAATAATAAAGGTTAGCTCTTTCTTACAATCCGATACAAATACTATAATTATTAGAGTGACTTCTACATTTATAAATCAAAATAAGTAATAATAAGTATAACGCTATCCCTGTAAATGTGACTAGCCCTAACAAATATTTTATATTTCTCCTGCCTATGCAAGTTGCCATCAAAAAACAATGCGCTTCAAAATCGTTTACACAATGATCACAAAATTTGCAATGATAACAACGATCAATTTTAATGGCTTTGCATTTTTCACACAATTTGCCATCAAAATATTTATCATCTTAAATCGTTTGCATTTGAACTCCTGGTTCTAAAATCTAAAAGGTGTTACTTTACCTGTCATATTGACCTTGAACATTGAATAAATTGATAGTATCTGAAATGTTACAATTACTTTACTTAAATTTGGGATCTCACAATATTTTTGGAGTAAAACAAAATCACAATATAAGTAAAGCAAAAGCGTCCCAGCTACTGTCCCCAAAAACAAAGGATATTAGGTCTTATTAAATTATATCAAGTATGATTTACCCTATTGCCTAATACATAATTTTTTCGAACCCATAAATTTCCCTGATAATTTAACATCTAGAAATTTATTATTGTAATATTTCATTTCATAATTAATATCATCTAACCGAGAATTGCTCACTTATTCAAACATTACGCCAGATCAAATATTCAAGAAACTTTTCAGAATTTTACGATAAATCTGAATTCTTAAATAAGTTATATAAAAAATTTAAGATGTTATAAGTAAAAAGGCTAAACTTGATTTCATACTGAAGCAAACTTAGACATATAACCTAAGTTTATTCGTTCATATATAAATCAAGAAATTATAAAAGAAATAAAAAATATATTTATTTTTATATCAATCCTATATAATTAATAAGGATAAAAATTGCCTAAATATCAGTATGTGATTGGAGTAAATTTCATTTTATAAATATGTATTATGCTTTAAGGTTTGCATAAAAGTACTTTTTCTCAATTAAGGCTTGCCAGTCTTAATAAATAATTTATACAATCTATAATATATTATTAATTGTATTTTACAAGTATATTCGATCAAAGAAGATTGGCAAATTTACTTAAACGATATGTATACTATTATTACTATCAATAAACTAATAATAATTTGCTTAATTTATACACATTAAGAGAAAATGTGGTTAGTAGGTAAATTTTGCAATAATAACAATAAGTGTTTTATGATTGAACTTTCTTAACATGTGATCATTTCCATAAAATTGTAAAATCTATGAGTAGCAAAATTTCATTTTCTAAGTGGTCTCTCTTTAATTTGGTCTAATTTTTGAAATACTCATTTTATATTAAATTACGGTTGTTAGTATTGGCAAACACGAATATTTTTTAGTACAGTTCGACAAATATAACATTTCATATATTATCATTTGTGATTCTGGGAAAGGGTTCCCTTAATAACTTTCTTAGATTCTGAGGAATTAGTATTATTAAGATAATATAAAGAAATGAATAAAGTTTGAAATAAATAAATCTGTAATCGATATTTTCAGGTTTAGGGGATTAGATTATAAACTTTGATTTATTCTTTCATTTTTACAATGATTTAGCTTTAGTTTTATTATCTGATGGTTTAATGTTCATTCACAGGATCATAAATTTGATACCCTTCGATAACAGCTTATTTTTGAGTTGTCACCAGGAGTGTAACTTTGGGGATAAATATTGGAACTGAGTATCTGCGAGCATGTTAATGTTATTAATGGGTTCCATTGTATTTGTATTATAATAAATACTCCTCTTAATTTTCGAGTGAAAATTCAAAGCTCAGCATTTAGATAAAATTTAACACTTGTACTGCACATGTCAATATTATTCGTTAATCAATTGAGATGTAATCGACTATTTTCACAATTGTTTCAAACTAAGTTAATAATAACAATTACTTCAGTATTTGTATTTTATAGAAACAAATCCAATTTTCTATGTTAAATTTATTCTTTCAATTTATCAGTGATAACTTAGGATGTCATCTCTACATATGCTTTAGTAAGTAAGAAGGATGGAAGAACTAAAATTCCTTGTTCCCAAGATTCGTTCATTTAAATTTCAAATTTAGTTATCCAAATTTTAAAATCATGATGGACTCGATCAATTACTTCGCTAAAGAACTTCTGTTTAAATTCCTTTTCTATGATTAGAATTTGGTCTTTAGCAGTCCAAATAATATATGGAAATTCATACATATACTTATTGCTTTATCCGAATGTGGAATTTTATTCAGGATTGTCAAAGGGAATTTTGAAATTATTATTGTTGCCATTTTCAATATGTTTATGATATTTATATGTTTGCTATCCTTGAAGTAATATCAAATCAAGGTCATTTTACTAATAAATAAGTCCCATGTATCCCCCTATCAAATATAGATTTTCATTGTCACATGTTAATTGTTTGAAGATCTTTTCCACATTATTTGGTAGATGCATTACAACTTTAGCAAAAATGGTATACACATTCAATACTAATTTGGTGTTGTTTTTATTTAATGACAAATTGATATCTTAAATCAATTGATTTATTTGATAACTATAAATAGTAAAATAGACAAATCCATTTTCAATATTTGTGGTAAGCAAGTAAAGACTTTTGTTTGAATAGCTAACACAAATTGAACATGGCTTTAGGTAGCCTTATTGTACATTTTCATCTTATTTGATATTTACATATAAATATATGTATCTGGTTAATTAGAAATTTTTAATTAAACCAACTATCTCATTATTATTATTGTCTTAAAATATAATTCTTGCTTAATAGTTCACATTATCTTATTCTTTATATAAGAATTTCATAGCCTTATGCATTTGAGCGAATGGCTATTCAACTTAAGGGCCATTCAAGATGACATTCTTGGCATCAATACTGATAATAGAGATTTTCTTTTTCTAAAATATCTCCTATGAAGATAAATTGTTTGAAATTTTGAGAGTAGTTATGCTTAATATACCATAAGGAGAAAAGGGATCAGTTTCTTCTAATTCGTTGGTTTCATTATTCCACCTATAGGATTTTCCTAATATTTGAGTGGCATCATTCAAAATATAGATCTTATCTTGAACTGAATAGATGTTTTAGTTTTGCGAATAAAAACTTATGGGATTTATCTTTTACCCTCGATTAGTGATGGCACTCACATAATATTGATTATCAATCTATTAAAATTTGTATCCAATGTATTCTTATTATTCCATATTTACAAGTAGTTCATTTTATGATCCACCGATAATCAAGATAGCAGATTCATCGTTGTCTCTATGAATCTCAATAAAATATTTTACTACACACTTAGCATCAAGGATCCATACATAGGTCTCATAGATAATGGAACTATTAATTCCTTATTGATTTTTTCAGATCGGTACGACCCTTCACTTATGAACAATCTTTCAACTAAATTGCAAAATCCCATGTTCTGGAATTCTTGATTATAATGTCCTCTAACTTTATTTGATATACGTACAGAAATGATCCTCCAAAGGTCCACACTTCAGAACAAGTCTTTTATTATTGGCCAAATGAGAATACAGCCGAGGAAGCGTATGCTCTGGCAAAATAAGTGTCACTCTCCTTTTTTGTATTTTTGTCTCTATATATGGTTTTATATGTTTGCTAATATTGAAGGAATTAGATACTTTTTCAAAATTGTATGTGTCTATCGAATCACATAGGGTATTATTCTTGGCCTCTTTGCCATATATACAATATATGTTATTCTTTAATTTATCAAAACACAGAGATCTAAAGAATACAGGGGGCTCAGTGGTTTCATGGATGACTTGTATTTCTGCCCAAATTTAATTGGTTTTCTGAACAGTGTTTAGATATTATTCATAATTCACCAAACATACTTAGTATGAATCCTATTTGAATCTATTAGCTTTTAAAAACATCTTACAATTCCAATGTCTCGAATATCAATGAATGATAACACGTTAATAAAAAGTATAGTTTTCAATTTATAATTCACAAAGTACTATGTAAGTCTATTGTGTATATAAACTGGAGATTATAATCTTCTTAGATATATTTACAATAATTGAGGTTCATCTATTATAAATAGGATATAATACCGTTAACCAAATTCTCTATTACATAAATGTAATCTTTTAAATCTTATGCTAAAAAGGAAACAAATTAGGAATCTTCTCTTCTTTATGTTTTTTAATGCTATTTAGACAACAATTTATAAGTATGGATTTGTTATTAAGTTGATTTAAATAAATTGCTGAATAGATGCTTCTGATGGAATTGATACAGTTTATCTAACAGGTTGGCATAGGATAACTTATATTGTAATAGATCCTAACACTACAGATTAGGATCTTACATACGCTTATCCTTATCCTTAACTTCTTATAGGTAGGATTCTAAAGATAACCAAATATATGATACTTCTACAGGATTCAAGAAAGCCTGACAATATTTCAAACATATATCTTTCCTTTTCTTTATTTAAAACATAATGTGTAATATTGCCTTACTTTTTCTTTTCATAAAAACTATTGCTCTTAACTATTTTCATTGCATAATTTGCATAATGCGATAATTCACAATTCTATTAAATAGATGGATGTAAAAACTTAAAACTTTACTAAGCGTGTGTTAAATAAATATTCAAATAGTATAGGATATTCTTATGGTCAGTTTTTAGGAGTTCAATTTCAAATCTGTGATCTTGAATTTATACTCCAGATGATAAAATTCTAGGTAGAAAAATGACTTTGTAATTACTGATCAATGACAAATGAGTAGTAATTTCTGTAAATAATTTGGAAGATAATTGGATATCAGATTCTTGATTAAAATATGCAAATGAGTAACTAAAAATAATAACCTAAGGCTAGAAAGATTTGATCAAAGGATAAACAAGTAGATCTAAGATGTGTCTAAAATGCATATCATTTAATCTTTTTTATTTATGACTCTATCTAATTGGAATGATATAAGAGTTTTTGGCCTACATAAAGCAATTTCTGTCCTTGGTCACCAAATCAAACATTTAAGATTTATCGTCACTATCCAACATTTCATCCAAAACTGATATGTATTGGCATGAATCTGAGTAATTATCCAACAATTTGTAATTGAATTCTGAATCATATCCATCCATATTGAGAAATGTAATTTTCGGCAGATATTTCTCTTTCATTTACTTGACATCCTCTGTACCTTCATATTCTTCTTCCAAAATTTATTCATAAAAGTCACAAATCGACAAAGCAAGGGGATGTATAAAGGGATCTAGAATTTACAAGGATATATGTTTTAGAATAAGAGTTGAATTGAATTCTCCTTCAGTTACTTTGTTCAATAAATCATATACCATAATTATGAAGTGATGTAAATCAGTGTTTTCAATCAGAAATTTCATCAAAATCTCCTTCTAAAGATCTGACTTCTTTTGTTGATCAAAAAAGGATTGACTCTAAAAAAGTGAGGTGTGTTTTTCAATGTAATTTAAAAAGTCTTCATTCTTTATCAATATATTAACTATCTTCTCCCTAACAACTGTAGTATCATAATGTATAGCGTTGCTATTTTTAATTATGTGAAATGGGTTTGGTTGCTGAAATTTAAATTGTTCTTTACTTTAAAGTTATAATCAGCATATTAGAGAAAAAACTTTCTGAATAATTGAACAGCAACAACGGTGGACCTATCATCTAGATTTTCTGGCTCCAATTAAGCACCAATCTTGAGAAACCTTCCCGTTCTAGCATCATTGTTAAAAGGCGAACATTTTGAAAACATGAAGAAAATTTCTTATAATTGATTATCTTGATAGCCTTCTGCAGGCTTACCAAACTAGGACTCCAATAATATGAGATCTTCTTCTTAGCAATGAGTGAATATCTGTTCATAAATCTTTCGCAAATTGGCATAGAACTGTCGGTCCACTTTCAGCCCTAATCGATGTTAATCCTAGATACCTAAAGTGCGCACATAACTTAAAAACACATTCCATTTTAATTTATCATCTACAGCCAAATATTATGTGCACATTAATAATAGTGGCTTTTCACCATTCGGATAGACTTCACAATTATATACACAATGATTCTAAGACAATAGAGAAATGTAAATTACCTTCTGCTATTAATTGTCAATACCAGCCACTATTTAAGCATCATTTAATGTTTAATTTAACATTATTATTTATTTATGAATCAATTAAACCAAAAAGAAACAATTAGTCAAGATAAATTTACTAATAAAATTAAATTATCTTAAAACTTAAAGAATATTTGAATTCACCAACATAATTAATACTAAATAATCAGAAACCCAGTCTATTCAAACTATATAAGATTGATTGATTAATTTTTTTAATACTTTTGTCAAGCTTAAAGTAATAGCAAAATAATCACACTCTACTAATTAAGCTGACTCATAGTTAAATATTACAAATAAATTGCGAATTAGAATTGCTTAATATTATAATTTATTATTGATAAATAATGACCTCTATAGTATAATCATCTATTTAGAAATTTTATCATAATTCTAACTTGAATTTGGTAATACTACATGGGTTGATGGGATCTAAAAACAATTTTAAGACAGTTTCTTAATCTCCTTTATGGACTAGTCAACTCAATTCAACACATTTATTGGATCTGAGAAATCATGGGGAATCTCCACATACTCAGTCTATGACTTTAGGGGAAATGGCAGGAGATCTATCAGATTATATAAAAGGAATTAATGATGTTGTATTGTTAGGACATTCTTTGGGTGGCAGAGTTATTTTTAAATATCTACAATAATATGAAAAAGAAGTCTAAGAAAAAGTGAAAGGAGTAATTATCGTCGATATATTGCCAAAAGCTGTTCAATCAACATATGTCCATGAATTACTGAAAAAGCTAATCTAAATAAACTTAAATCAAATCACCTATAATCAATTAATGGAAAAAGTTTTTGAAGCCTCTCAAAATAAATCAATTGCTTAATTATTAATGACAAATTTATAATCATAACAACCGATAATGAGAAGTAATTATATAGCGTATATACTAATTAGAGGATATTTAATATGATTTTAAATGGAGGGTTAATTTATAAGGGATACTAAATGATTTTTAAACTAATATTTTAACAGACATAACAGCTAATTGGAAAGGTCCTCATTGTGTAATCTGTGGAGATAGATCTCAATATGTTAATAATTAGACGGTTAATCAGATGAAAATGGTTTTCCCTAATTTTAAGGAGGCACATTTCATTTAGGATTGCGGTCATTGGGTCCATTCTGAAAAGCCTTAGGAATTTATACAAATTGTGAGCTCATTTATTTAAACTTTAAGATGAAAATAATAGATTAAATTGTTCATATTATACAATTAATCATTCAATTTTTATACTAAGTTAATCTCTTCTTATTCTATTCTTTCAACTTCCATTTGAGGATTGTGGGCAGTAAAGCTACTACAGATAAGCCCTCCAGAATCGATAGAGCCTAAAGAATTAGTATATAGAACTTCTTACTTGATTTTTGTTGATAAATTCATTAAGTTCTTATATGAATAATCCTGTTCAAAAATGGATGATATTTCCTGGCATCAATCTATTTTTGAATGACGAATTACCCAATAAAGTGCCGAAGTAGAAATATGTAAATGGAAGACCAACAATTGGACCTACTTATATATATCTATTTCGGTACTCATATTATTTAATTAATAAATTTTTGCTGTTATTTTTAATTTCTATGGGGAATTGTGCTACATGTGACGATCCATCTATTTATGAACATGCAGGGGAATAAATGAGACCCTTCAAGAACAAGCCAAACTTTGAAGATCAAGAAAATGTACAATAACAGGCCTAGAAAAGTAAGTTAGCTCAGAGTGCTGTTAAATCTCAGAATGCTAGTTTCATAGTCTAATAGCATATTAGGTTGTTATTGATGTAATAATTGTAGACAAGACTTAAAGAAATTGGATTCAATTCCAGACTTTACTAATGCTTTTACCAAGCCCTTAATTGATTAGTTATAACCATTTAATTACGATCAAAATGAACCGTTTGAATTTAAATCACTACCTTTCTATGGGCCAGTTGAAATAGAACCAAGTGTCTTTTACTATGGATAATGGAAGAACGGATTCAGACATGGGAGAGGAAAACAATTTTGGGCTGATGGTTCAATTTATGAAGGATATTGGTTACAAGACAAAGCTAATGGAGAAGGAAGACTGATTCATTCAGATGGAGATCTCTATGAAGGCAAATGGTTAAATGACAAAGCCCATGGTTTTGGAGTCTACAGTCACAAAGACGGAGCTTTTTATAAAGGGGAATGGTATGAAGACTAATAACACGGCAATGGATTAGAAAAGTGGGCTGATGGTTCTATGTTTGAAGGAACTTATACTAATGGTATGAAACATGGACAAGGAAGATTTAGTTGGCCAGATGGTAGTTCATACGTTGGAGAATTCATTAATAACAATATTCATGGTAAAGGACATTACATTTGGGCAGATAATAGAGAATACGAAGGAGATTGGAAGGATAACTAAATGGATGGTCAAGGAGTCTTTAGTTGGTCAGATGGAAGGTAAATCTATCAAGTAATATATATAGACGTTATGTTGGTGGCTATGTGAATGATAAGAAGGAAGGATATGGAGAATTCTATTGGCCAGATGGAAGAGTATACAAAGGTTATTGGAAAGACGGTAAACAACATGGAAAAGGGTAATACAAAGGAACTAACAGAATTCTAAAGGAAGGAGAATGGGTTGATGGAAAACTACTTAAATGGAACAATTGATATTATATTATTAACTAACTTATGAATTGAAGTTTATAATTTACTATTTAAAAGATAATTCGAAAATCAATATTCCTTGTCCCAATTTGGATCACGTGCCTTCTCTGGTTTATATACATTTGATGCAGTCGCAGGATCATTCTATTTGTTAGACAATTCTATACTTTTATTTCTTCGGATATCAATTTTCCGACCTATATTGCTTTCTAAATGTCTTTGTCACTATGTAATTTATTTTTAGGTGGTAAGTATGGAGGCTTCAATTCTCTATTTATCAAGCTATCCTAATTTTATTAATAATATATATTTACATAATCGAATCTTTCAAAGAAGGCATTATTTTTCAAACTAGCATATGATGAACCAAGTCTCAACTCAGGAGTTTTACTTAATAATTGTTCAATTAGTTTTTTGGCTTTTCTATCTTTTAAAACTGAAGGAAAAGCTAGAGCTTTCTTCTGAATTTCTTCATAAATTTCATAACTATGTAATTAATTCCAATTAGTTACGGATCGTCTGCATCTTCAGCATAGGGTACATTGCCACACATGAATTCATAGAGACATATACCAATAGACCATAAATCTACTGAATACGTATATCCTTTTCCTGTTAAAATCTCAGGAGCCATATAATGTGGAGTACCAATAATAGTATAGGTTCTACCATTTTTGCCTTTTAGATTTTTGGCAGTTCCTAAATCGATTAATTTCATAAATCCCTATTTAAATATTAATGTTGAAGTACTTTTTCATCTATCATGATATTTTCTGGCTTAATGTCTCTATAGATAATATTATTAAGATGTAAATATTCCATACATAATATCAATGACCCAACATAGAATTAAGAATCATAAGTATTTAGCAATCCAATATCTCTAATAACGTCGAATAATTCCATTCCCCTTATGTATTCTTCTAAGAAATAAATATATATGTTGTCTTTGAAACTTCTTGCAAAATGCATAATCAATGGAAAATTGACAGTCTCCAAAGCAATCTTTTCTTGAGCTAAATGCTTTTCCAGATTTTATTCAATTATTTATGCTTTTGAAATGCATTTAAGTGCATATGTTTTCTTATCCAATTTATTGTAGACTAAGTAGACATTACCAAATTAACCTTAACCCAATTTCTTAACAGATATCAATTAATCTAATTCAAAATGCTTATACATATCTTATTTTTGCCCATCCTCCTTCTTGATAAATCTATCATGGGCTTTTTCATTTTTAGCAAAGATCTACTCCAAAGAACCTCCAATAATTTCAAAGAATTGCTTAAAAGTAATAACAGCAATCATTCCATCATCCTTCATTATGACAGGCTCTCCCAATTTGACATTCTCTCCTTGATCCAAAAACTTATCACCAAACATTTATCCTTTTTCAAAGACTTCTTTGCCATATTTAATAGAACCTTGGAGGACAATAATAACTTCTCTGCAAGGTTACCCTTTTTCAATGATAAGTTCTTCTGCCTTCTTTTAAATTTGTTGCATATTGCTAACAATTCTTTCTACTTGCAATTTGGTTAATTTGTTAAGTATAGGATGTCTTTCAAAAGCCCATCTCTATAAATTGCTATACATGATGAACTAAATTTTATCTCCTAAGATTCTTGTCAAATCATCTCTTGCTAATGCTAAAACTACAGCATCTTCTTTGATGGCCTTAGCTGTTGCTCCCCTTACAGAATTGGATTGAAGTGCTTGTTCTCCTAAGGAATCCCCTGCCTTCATAATTCTTAGTTCTTTTCCTCCTCTGGAAATCTGGATTTCTCCTTTTTTGATAATGAAGAATGAATCTGCTTAATCCCCTTCATTGACTATGATTTCCCCTGCCTTAAAGTTGAGATTGATCAAGGCAGAAGGAATGGCTGCCTTTTGATCATCAGTTAAAGATTCTATAAATCAAAAATTAGATTACCGAAAAATTAGACTTTATTAATAAATTCTTTATTCTGTTCGTAATCTCGTTATGATATTGCTTCAATGGCCTTTCTGACTGTGTTTCTATCAATAGCCCAAAATGCACAATCTATGGTTCATTATCATGATGAGTTACCTCCTACAGCCTTGACTGATGCAGATCTTGGAGCATTGTAAAGCAAAGCCAATTCTCCAAAGGCTTCTCCTTATTTGAGTGTTTTCTTAACTTCATTGTTGATTATGATTTAGCATTAACCTCTCTCAATTAAAAAGTAGGAACTCGCTTTGTCTCCTTATTTGAAGACCATTTCACCATCATGCACTGTGCAATAAAACATTGATTCAATAACTTTAACTCTTAACATAAAATTTGATCTTACTTGTCTTCAGGTTGCATTTAACCAAATATAAAACTGTTGGCAAAAACATTCAACAATAGTTGATAATCGAAGGGACTTTTGAGTTTTTCTTATTTTTATACATTTTCATATATGACTTCCTAATCAATAACAGCAGCTATTTTGGCCATCTTTTTCTATTCCTTTCTTTTGGGCTAACATGAATGTAGTTGGCAAACATACCTCATTCTCTTATTTCGGTTAATCCTCCTGTAAGTTTTAATCTGCTTTTATATCCTACTAAACTTTAATCTCCGTGATCTCTGCCTTCACTTCTTCAGCTTTCGGGGCCACTGCCTATTGAACAGCCGGAGGTTAGGATGTGCTGATTTCATTGTTTTCTTTATCAATAATTGTATTTTATCGACAAATATTGCCCATCGATGTCGATATTTATTTTTCAAATAAATGTATATAACAAATATATTATCAAGATTTAGAATTTGGGTTACTCAATAGTTAAGAAGTGTAAGAGCCAGAAATACAAATGAAATAAGTATTGATGTCCATTCATAATAACGATTTAGTTAAAAGATCTTAGAATGAAAGCTTAAATATAACTCAGAAGAATAAAGAAGATTATTCATAGAAGATGGTATCAATGGTAAACTATTAGTCAAGATCGATCATTCAAATATTCACCATTCTTCTTTTTTCTTATAAATGGAGTTTTGTTCTTTAAACTCCATCTTGAAATGCTAAACAAGAAATTATGTAGACTATCTTAGTGAGATATTTCTGGAGTATTTATTTTTAATGTCAAAAGTAGTTTAGTTAATAACCTTTTTAACAGGAATGGCAGTAATTAAGGTTATTTAGATTGTGATTCTAATTCTTTACGAGATATCTTATATTAGTAAAGTAGAGTTCTTGTGTGTGTTTCAATAAAGAATCCTTGCAAATACCATTTTGGAGTGATCAATTGCCATCCAGAATTAGAGTTGTTTTGATATCGTTATCTAACAGTATAATAATATTAATGAAATATTTTCAAAATGGAATTAACTAAATTTGTTCATAAATCATCCGGCCACTTAGAGCGGAGTACCAACAATATGATTTAGGTATTTATAATTAGCAATCAAACCTTTAGGACCTATTTAAGATTAAACATACACTAGAAATGATTTCGATTTGGTGAATCATTGTCAGCAGAGAATAAAAGTATCTCTATTTTAAGGTAATGTTTAAAGTGATGTTTGCATCATTTATTTACATTCAGCCAATGGGTGTAGATTGGAAGCCTTGAGATATGTGAACGAGATCTTGAATTAAAACTATATGTTTCTTACTTTTGATTTTACTGGCAGTGGCATATCTGATGGAGACCAAGTCACATATGGTTATAGAGAGATTTATGATTTGCAGACTGTCATCACACACATTAGTCAATATGCCAAAGCAATAGTATTATGGGGAAGATCGATGGGTTCTGTAGTTGCTTTGTTGTATATGCAGTAATTTCAAAATGTATTTGTAAAATGCTTGGTTCTTGACAGTCCCTTTATTTGTTTGTAAGATGTATTCAAATTATCCTATTTGAGATTGTAGTCTAGATGGCTTCCAAAAGGACCAAAATTCCAAATTTCATTTTGAACTCTCTATCCTCCTATGTGTCAGATGAAATCAAAAATCAATGCGGATTTACATTGAATGAGATCAATTGGTAATCATATTTTAATAATGTTTTTATAGTTTAAATAATCTAAAGCTAATAAAAATACCTGCATTTTTTATCACTTCCATAATCGATTCAGTAGTCTCGCATGAATAAACTGAAAAACTATTTAATAATTATCAAGGAATCAAGTAAATCTATTACACCAATCAGGATCATAATGAAACCAGAGACTTTGCTTTGGTTGATAAGGTGATGTGCTGGTTAAATCAACAATTGCAAAGCGTTGGTTAAAGAATCAAGTCCAAAATAATATTTAAAGATCACCCTATTCCAATCAAATTGATTGATCTCAACAGTTTCAATAACAAGGAGAGATCCTCAACTTTTGATGGTAAGAATAATATGATTTTAGACAATAGAATTATATCGATTTCTCCAAAACAAAAGACTACCAATGTGTAATAGAGATTTCAATAGGTCCTGCAAACGCAGAGATCAGCCTTTATTGAGAGGTCAGTTTCAACTAATAAAATGAACATATCGGTGGATGGCTATGACACTAATTAAATCAAGTTAATAAACCAAAATAGATTCAAATAATAAAATTATTTTAATCAACATACTAATCCCATCATGTTTTCAAAAGTACCCAATAAAACCAGAGATTCAAGTCATCATAAATATTGAACTAATCATATATGTTAATTAATTTAAGGATAATATTTAATTCATTCATAAACAAAATAAATTAAATTTAATTCAAAACTTTGATTATAACAAAAAAATCAACGAAATTTTTTAGGAAACTATTCTGAATCTTCCACCTTCCTGCAACTCAAATGAAACTCTCGTATTTTATTATCATAATAATGATTATGTTAACCAAATTATTTGGGACTAGCAGTATTTCTCTATTTCAATTCTTTGATTGTTTAATTCTCCTGTTGTATTACTGATAATATAAATTCAAAATATACATTTAATGAAATCTCTTAACTTATAGAAATAGTTTTTGCGATGCTCATCATTTGTGTCGATTCCCTAATGTCCAATGTTTTCAACCTCCCAATATTCATACAACCTTTGACAATTGTTAGACAACAAAGTAGCATGATGCAAATCAATAATCTCATCCTCCTTCCCATGCATTATAAATACAGGACATGTCACATCCTTAATTCTGTCCACATTCGGGAAGATATCATAAAAGGGAGTCTATTTTATTTTGCTATTGAGCACTCTCAATCCTGAACTCAACCCTGAATGAACTACCAGACCCCCCACTGGGAATTCGATGTCAGATACCAACATAACACTGGGTCCTGATCCAATACTGTATCCATAAACAATTATTTTGGTCGGATCAAAGTTCAGTTACGAAACCAAGAATTCGTATGCTACTTAGATGTTATTGATGATGTTGAGATCCGTACACTTCCCTTATGAAAGTCCATAGCCTGAATATTCATAGGCAAATATATTTATTCTTAAATTGCTACAAAGATCTTTGAACAATAAATTATAAATGTTACCAATTAATGTATCAATCATGTAACCCAAATCGCTGGCATTCCGATGACTGAACAACATCACGTAATCACTTGCGGGAAATTAGTACTTCAAGTATAGGGATGCTATTCGATGTGCCTTTCTTCCTTTTAAGAAATATCCAGTCAATTCCAAATTTTCTTATTTTGGAATTGGAATTTCCTAACCCTATCCATCAATCAAATAAAAGTCATATGCTGGTTCAGAAACTCTATCCCTTATTATTATCTTTACTTTTATCTGATTGGACTTGAAGTTTCACTTGTAAACTGCATGATTTCCTCTGCCAGATCCAATAAACCCGATTGGTGAATGTTTTCATCATCATAGGATTTAGATTTCTATCGTTTCTAGTGTTCTGATTCAATAACTTATAAGGAAGAAGAATTTGTTTAAGTGCTCTTTGTCATCTAATCCTCCAATCTGGGTTTCAGAGAATAACTCACCTTAGGTGGTTAAAAGGCGATATTTTTTAAAATTTTTTATCTTAGACCACAAAAACTTAAAGACTAAAATATTCCTACTGTAATTGAAGACTTAAGACTCGACATAATTTATATATATAATTTAATTAATCTCATCAAAACAAAAAGTATTATATAAAAGGATTAAGTTTTATCATAAATTAATATATAAATTTTAATTTAAGGAAGAAATAATCTTAATTAATGTTCTCTAAAACTTTAAGGAACATCTCTAAAATCGTCTACAATTGCTCTTAACAATCCAAAGATGTTTGGTCTGATGCTGAATTGTTGTACCATCCAAAAAATCCCCTAAATTTCTAAAATGTATTATAGATAATCAATAATTTTAGGGTAGATCCTCTCTTTATTAGAGTTAGATTTTCAACAGATTCAGAAATTACTATATTTTGATCTCTGCCTTAGGAGGGTTTCTCACCTATTATAGTGCTAAAAAGATATACAATTACCAAGATAGAGGATATCTGGGAATTCTCTTCTATTTGGGTCTCTTAGGCATTACTGTTCGTTCGATGAGATCTGTAACCAGTCAGTATCAAAGACTCCTGATGTATATTCTAATTCCCTATCGATTAGATCAATTGATTTGTTGCCTTGTGGAAGGAAAGTATTGATTTAACACCCTAGTATTTACGGGTTCTGCACTTCAAAAGAAGTTGACATAGCTACTATTTCAAGACCAAAGGATGCTTACTAGAAAAGCATACAGAAAATGGAGCATGTTTTTCCAGTGATTATGGACACACAACTATTGTACTTACATCGAGATCCTGATTTTATAGTTAATAAAGAATTGCTGCCTGCAGTAATGAATGCGAAATATATCAAAATTGATTGAAGCGTAATTTAATTAATTATTATAAATAAATACGTTAAATTTTATATGACTTCTATTTATGAGAAACTAAGACCTGTTGTATTCCAAGCCAATCCCATTTCCTAATAGAGATCTGCCTCATAATCAATGATGGGAGGGAATATCTCCAAATAATTTAACTCATCTGGAGAGGTTCAGAATTATTTCATGCAATGCAGAAAGAATGTCACTCAATAACATCAAACCACAAGAGAAAAAGAAAATACTTTAAACACCACTTCTACCATTAAAAAGGATGAAATAGCCTTTCTCAAACAGAGAATTACACAATTAGAAAAGATGAACTCCCATTAGATCAATGAAAACAACAAACTTAGCGAAATCATATAAAGACACATGGAAAACGAAAAGCTATTTAATGTAAAATCTATTGAATACATATATTCAGAAATCCCAATTGTCTGAGATCTAATATCAAACTTAAATCTAAGAACTTGAAAAACAAATTGTTCGTTTACAAAATGAAAATCAGGTTTTATTATAGAACAAAGAACAATATGATTAGATTGAACTAGACAAGTACAAAACCAAATGCTATCTATTATAAAATAAAGTTAAATAATTTCAGTAATAATCATTTTTATTACAAGAGAAGAAAAAAGGATTACTGATCTACAAAAGAAAGGCAAGAAATTATACTTAGAGAACTAATAATTAAAAAGTACAATTGAATATTTATAAAGTGAAAACTCTACAATGCAACAACAATTGCTTACTAAAAGCACTGAAAATCCAAAATTTAAGTATAAATTATATTTATCAGTTAAAAGGATCACAAACTTTAGCTTGAATTGCAATCTTAGATCAAATATATGACTCAAATCATTGATTTAGACCAAGTTAAAATGAAAAATCTAGAAGAAAAAGTAGAACTCTTAACCCAAGAAAACAGAAGACTCTAAGAAATCACTAAGGAGAAAATGATATGAAATTGAAATATATCTACTATCAAATACCATTCATTTATATTAGCATTATGTAATCTATCATTTAAAAATTAAATTTATGAACAATTATTAAAAAATTCTTTATATTTAAGGATATTATTAAAATGCTATGTAAAGAAAATTTTCATTTTTATTCCAAATTTATATGGCCCGATTAGTGTTTTTTCCTTGCTTAAATTTAATTCTTACAATAACATAATGAAGCTCTCCTTCAGCTACCTGGAAGTCATAGGGAGAAATTTATTCAAATAATTAAGTGGGTCCGAATGGATTGGTACTTTCTTTTTTTAACCATATTTTTATGGTTAGAATGATAGGGACAAACTCTTTGAATTTTAAAACTCATCGAATTTATAAGTCTTTTTATTTTTTTCGTTTCCGTCATACTCACTCTTGGTCCTACTATTTCTTGCACTCTATATTAATGGCACTCCATGATGTTTATCAATGCAAGTGTACTTTTTATCATAAAATAGGCTCGGTTGTTCTGAACGATCCTTGAGGGCACATTTGATGTTGCACCCAAATGCTATTTTTGGTCTCTCCTTGATTGTCTATTGAAGAAGCTGTGGTCTTCTGTTTATAGTGACTTTTTTTATATAGAATCTTTTAAAAGTAATATGACATGGTGTTTCAAGATCATTTTCTCTAGAGTTCATTTGAATCAAAAACCTTTAAAATTTTAATAAAAAGATAAAAGTTTAAATAAGTTCCTTGGGATCTTAAGATGCAAATAAAATCAATGCACTAATTTAAAAATACCTAAAAATAGTTTCTTAAGAAAATGATTTAAATCAAGCTGTATAAGCATTTTCATAATAATTATAATACTACTTTATAAATAATATTTATATTTAGGAATTTATAAAAACTTATAAGATATTATTTATAACCCTCCTCAAAAAGTGTTTAGATTATTTGAATAATGCATTCAGTCTCTAAATTTAGATAAGTACTGTATACAAATATTGACTAGCCTAATAACTAATGAAGTAAATGTTATAAAATTAATAATTATTAAGTTGATATTGTGCAGATTTCAATTTTTAATAAAACACATGAGATTTTATCCACATGTTTGAGTGGAATATAATATTATGCATAAAATCAGTTTAAATAAAAATTAACAATATGATTCATTTTCTAATCTCATTCTATCTTATACCATACTTCTGCCTAAAATATTTAAATTCTTTACATAAGAGATACTAAGCTTTATTTAAGTTCTTTTGAACTCATTGGTATGAATTCATCCTATTTGAGTATGATATTAGATTTCAATTCAATCATAGGAGTTTTCACTTTCTTTATCAATTTTTATAGACAATTTAATTTTGTTGGTTAAATAGTTTATTCTATGGTTTCGGTTTTAAGAATGGAATAAGGAAATCGTTCACAAAATTATTATGAGACTTCGGATTTTATTCTTGTACTCCTTATTGTTCTGAGTTTTGGAGATGCTTGATGTCTATCAACAGACTTAAAATTTAAATTATATTATAATGGAGGAAACTTTTTTCCTGAGGGCCTTCTCCTTTCTTAGGAAGATCCAAAAGCCACTTAATTTTTGGCGTTTGATTCTTTATTAACTATATTTAACTTAATTTAAAGTGAATGATTCATTTTGGTAATCTTATTGAGTTTAAACTTTCTAAAATCAAGAGAGTGTTCATTTTTTTCATTTTCATTAGGTTTTGGTAAAGAAATCAAATCTATTGTAGGCAAATGTATCATATTTTTTATTAATATAATATATTTATCTGATTATATATAAATATAGGTAGAATTCTGATTGAAATACCTAAAATAGAATTACAATAGTAATTGATAGACTACAATAAAATATTCCATTTATTAATAGAGTAATATTTATTAAAGCATATTGAGTATTTTCCATTTAAATATTTTCAGTAGAATTCTTTGTTGGATATCTGTTAGCTAAATCAGAATAAAATGATACAAAATTAATAGAAATCACAAAAGAGTCTCTAAAGTACTTGTGAAACGATGAAAAATTGAGATATGGATATGCTATATGTATAATAATTATTCCTATGTTTAGTTTTTAACATTAAATTTATTTAAATAATTAAATTTAACATGCGGGGATTCTTTGCTTTAGCAAAATAATTTGTTAGTTATTCAACGGTGCAAACTCAACAAATTAAGATTGCCATTAGATTGTAAAATACAATAGCATAATTTTTAGAGTTAATTAATCAGTAAATAGCTAGTTTAGATTGTGCTCAACATTGGCTGCCTTAAGATTAAATAATGTATATGGATTGCATTAATCATCAAGTCTTGCTGATTCAGAAGGAGGTAAAAGTATGTTTATATTTAGAACTTGTCTTAGAAGCTGCAATTTCTCAATTGTTATCTCTGTCCCTCAAGGCCGAACTGAATACAATACGAAATGGCTGATATTTATATAATAATATAATCATTGAATATTGACATATACTCTAAGCTCCCTCTCATTTAAACTATAATTATTTTATAATAAAGTCCAATATTTGTAGTACAACATCGGTTTTATAGATGAGAGTTTAGAAATTCAATTTAAGTATTTGGAGATTCTGAAATACTAAAAACAGTTTAGTTTATGTAATTCTATAACTTGAATAAATCATTCCTGTTAAGTATAACATGCTGCAATTTTTTCTCCATCATAATTTTGACATGCCCATCTAAGCAAATTATTGATGATTTCATCGCCAGATTCTTCAGTATATTTCTTATTAGCCACTGCCCAAGGAACTCCCAGATGTTTGGGAATAAGATTATCAGTTTCATCAGCAGCAACTAAATGTAACAATTCTCCATTTGAATTCTAGGGATATCATTAAATTAATACACTAGCACAATTGATGACCTCATTTGCATCATATGGATAATATTATTGGCAATGGTATGCTGCTTAAACAAATGAGTTATTTGTATAAGGCTTCTAAATAAAGTCTTCCATGCAATGGACAACTCCAGCCTTAGGAATTTCTGCTGCTGCAGCTCCCAATGCTTTGACTATACTATCTTGTGCACATAATTCAATCAAATCCCCATAGCATTCAGTTTCGCCATGTTGGCAAGTGAACACCCATTTTCCAGCGACAATTTTTCTTTTAGTATTTCCGTAAGGAATTAATCTTATGTGAACCATTTATTCGATGTCTGGAGTTGTAATTGCCGTATAAAGTGAATCTTTAATAAACATCATGCAATAAGGGCAAAGGGACTCCACATAAATATCTGCAGTCAACCTACTACTATTGACTATGAAGAGAGAGATTGCTAGTATCAGAAATTTCATTATTTTTATAAATTTATTGTTTCAATCACTTTTCCATCATCATCATACGTAATCTATTAAATTGGATGATGTAAGTCATTTTTATATATCATATGCACTCCAGTTGGATGACCATTCTTATGCATTCCTTATTGACTAACCAAAATTATATTTCATCATACATCTTCCCGTCATGATATTTATATGTACCCTCTCCATCTATTTTGTCATCCTTAAATTTCCCAATATAAGTATCCTCTTTTTTAGAAATGTACTTCCCATCCCCATTTTTAATCCCTTTCTCAAATTAACCAATGTAAATATCCCCATTATGAGCTTTATATGTACCCTATCCATCCTTCAAATCGAATTTAAATTCTCCTTTATACATGTCACCATTTGCATACTTATATATTCCCATTCCATGCTTCTATCCATTAATCCATTCTCCCGTATAACTATTAGATATAACTTAATTTTAATTACGAATCACCATCTTTGCATATCATTTTGCCTAAGCCATTAATAACTCCATCAATCATTTCACCACACACTATAGAGGGCACACCTTTTAATTAAATTGATCTTTATCCCCATGATAAATTTCCATCAATCCAAATTCCTTCTTCTATCTTTTGATCATCTATTTGAATGAGTATCCCTTGACCATAAGGCACTCCTTTATGAATCTCACCATAATAATGTTTGTTTTTGCCTTCCAACTCCATAAATTCCTATGTAAACATGGTTCCTCTTATCAAGGAGTGTTTCTTGGGTGCCATTTTATAATCCAATACATTTTCTTAATAAAAGTTTTATAATTCCTTCTCCTAAATATAAGAATTTATAAATTTCTTTCTCTAAATCATTTTGCACTCTTTACTCACAATATCATGCAATTTCATAATGCATTCTATTGGTCTATTCAATTGTGACATGATAGATTGCTTAATTGAATTATATTCAACATTACTATATCTATTAATGACAGTCAATAATTCTTCCTCTTTGATAGAATGTTAATGGCAGTGACACAGTTTAAGTAGTGTATTCTAAATATAAACAAAACTCTATATTAAATTGTCACAATCCAAATTGAATTCTGCTTCCAATTGAGAAACATACTCATGCAATTTGTTTTTCAAACTCTACAAAATCTTTGCTTTTTCATCTATTAAACTAATAAATTCAAAATGCTTCTATTCATTATAAGTATTCAAAGCTACTGCTTCGAATTCTTTTATTGGTATCAGATCTTGAACATGATTTAAATGATAATCCTAATAACAATAGCTACATGCTAATCTAATCTGACAATGTTTATTCATGCAAATTGAGATAATCCTCTCTTGACCAGCTTTATGTTGACGAGTGCAATATTGTATTTGGGATTTATTCATTATTATTTTTTAATTAAAATGTCACTTAGTTAACTGTCAGGAAAGCAAACTATCAACTATGCAAGTATATATTACAGTTAATCAATTCTAGAGAACTCAGATAAATGAGGACTCCAAATGATTAATAGTCATTTGGATTACGTTAAGATAATCTTATGTTTTAACATAATCCTTCAGATACATAAAAACACTAAAGAGCAAAATCTTCTTTGTAGAATACTTATAGACAAGGTACTCCAATAACAGATTTGGAAGAATTGGAAGGAGAAAAATTATTTGATTAGTTTTTTAAGTTGAACAATTCTAAAAGTGATAGTGATTTTATGAGAGAATCAGTTTAAAGAGAAACCAAATCAACTGAATCTGATTTCTTAAAATTTGTGGAAAATGCAATAGAATATCACAGACAATCAGAACTTCATTTCAGACCTGGAGTAAAAAAGAATACTCAGCAAGATCAAAAAATCAAGGAACTCAATCTATCAAACAGATTATTGGCCAATGAGTTGAATCGTTATAAATAAAGAGAACACGAATTGAAAAATAAAGTTAAACTAATGTAGAAGGAATTCTAAAGTGAAGTCTCATAATTGATTTAAAAAAATGAATGGTTGGAAGAGCTTTTAGTAAAATAGAAGATAGATAATGAAAATTCATTGTTGGCTCTAAAGAAATCTTTGGAGATGATCTAAGGAAAATGCAAATGTCAAAAAGTAATTATAAAAATTATAATTGTAAGGATTTGAAATCATAACCTAGACCTCAATTTGATTTATAAGCAACTCATTCCTCTTCAGAACTAAGTAGTAACACTGAAGAAGAAGATTTCCAATATGATTTCTTTAAAAGAAGAAAATCTCTATCTAAAGTAATAAATAATATCCTAATGTTTTAGAATTCTGACGATCATCAATTCTTTTAGAGTAAGATAAAAAACCCAAAAGACTATTCACGCGATTTCTTTCTTCGTAAAAAATCTGCTCAAGATCCATATTATACATGAGTATTTTTATTTAAATTATTACATAATGGTTTTCATCAATAATTTAGTGCCCCTTTCAATACTTTATTGTCATGAAGGAATCTTGTTAGGATTGAGTTTATAAAGTGTGCCATCCGAGCTCAAAGAGAAAGGTGCTGAAATAAACACTTATAAATTTTCATTTTTGATTCTCTTACCTTATCTATTTAGATATATACTTGCACCTTTGATAGATTCAATAAGCTTAGAGAAGTTTGGTAGAAGAAGAAGTTAATTAACAATTTTATATGCTTTTCTAGGGTATGTTCATAAAAATAATAAGTTAGAGTATTGCTATATATTTCAAACTTTTAAACTTTGGATTAGTCAACGTTGTTTTGGAATTTATTTTGGATTTTTTGTGTTTAATCGCTTATTGATTTAATCATAGCAGCATGGCTTGTTGAAAGTTTAGATAGAGAAGATAGAGGATATGGGGCAGTAGCTTAATTTTTAGGAATTATCATTGGTGGTTTTATTGGAGCTTACATCTTTTAAATGTTTAACTCTCTTGATTTCTGTAACACTTATATCTACACTAGTCCTCAGGAAATTCCATACATTACATTATAAAGTATGGATATTATTGCTATAATTTTAAGTTGCATTCCAAGATTTATCATACCTATCAATAGGACTGGCAGTAGCTTGTTGTTTCATCATCTACAAAGAAAATACGAATAATTAAGATGTATTTTTAATAATCCATATTAGGTTATGGAGACATATAAGGCAGCATTTAACGCTTTTTCTAATCGTTATTTGATTATCCTATTTCTTTTTTTCTTTTTTTTTCGAATTGGACAGATGCCTATCAATTTAGCTCATCTACATATGAAAAAGACTTCATTTACTGAAAAATAAATTCAATTTCTTGAAATCTTAGCATTTCCTATAGCTTGTGCACTCCCTTATTATATGACAAAAATGATTAAGGCTAATGTATTAGAAATAAGACTAATTGTTGTGTTTTCAATATATGAAATTAGTAAGTAAAATTGCGATATTTTTAGTAATCTCAGGAGTTTTCATAATTTGCTTACTTGCAAATGAGGAAGGTTTACTATTTCCATATAGAGATTTGCTATTGAAAATATCACTAATAAGTGTTTGGTTGTTAAATTTGATTAATATCACATTGGCATACTCTTATATCTACAAAAACACTAAAAGTTCAATATCAGCAACATTCATTGCCTTGTTATGTATGAATATGCATATATTTAGCAACTGGTATAACATTCTAATTCATTTTTGAAGGGCTGATTTAATACCTATTAGAAAATTATAATTATTATTTGATTTGGTTATGTGGAATTGGAATATATGCTTTATTTTTCTATTAGGTTGCCTCTAGAACAACAAAGATTGATTAGTTGGATTGTTCTGAGTTTTGCTTGGAGATTGATATAAAGAAGGAGAGATTTCTAATATCAACAGAGTTAACAACTCTATCTTGATACTAAATTGAATCATAAAATTAATGCATTTTATATTTTTATTAAAATTTTTAATTTCAAAATTAAATTATTTAATATATGAATTCATTCATAATATCCAAACTTTTGAATATGATAGATTTTCTGTTTACCTGACTAATTTAAATTCTAAGGGGCATCAAAGGATTAATTATTCTAATTGGTAACATAAACTCTCTCCTTTTTATGATTCTGGGATCTGCCTCCACTCTAAAGAATTCTATTGATCTACTGAAATTCTCTATTAGTATTTCTATGAGGATTGGTCATATCTAACTCCTTTTTATTTCTTGAACTTACTTTCTTACCCTCATCCCTATTTCTGTGTTCAGTAGAGGCTATGTTGTTATTTTTTGTTTTTGTTCCATAAATGTTATTTAGGATATTTGTTGTTGGTATTTTGCTGTTATGCTTTTTGATATTGGGAGATTGATCAAAATAATTCTCATCTTTCTATCTAGTCTGAACACTTGATGCTTATCCATTTCTCCCTACACGATTCACACTCTAATCATTATCAGCTAATATTTTATTATTCTGTTCTGTTGTCTTAATAATCCTTCCTCTATCTTTATCATTAGAATACGACCTCTATTTGATTATTTCATCTCTCATCTACTATTTAATTATCTCATTGTTCACTAATGAGTTTATTGGAGCTGCAAATACAATAAAAATGTACCTTTATTGGGTCTTTACTTTGGTTCTAGTAATCTAATATCAAAAGACTCAGAGTTCAGATCAGCAGTGGATCTGCCTCCATTCGTCAAATGTCTCTTTAATAACAGATGATAGAATGTGGTAATATCATTGTGTTTATTTGCATCTAGACATTTTTAAGCGTAATCTATGTCAATCCCAAAGGATTTTAAATACTTTAAGATATCTTAATCTACTGGAATTCTATTGTACCCTACAACTATTCCTGGGGGAATTTCATAGGATCGACTATATATTTTAAACCAAGGATGATTGTGTATTGTTTCAATAGTGAACCTCTTTTCAGGATCCACAGTTAGAATGCCAGTAATCATAGACTAGGCATCCTTTGACAAATGAGATGGCATTTAATAAGTGCCACTTAAGATCTTTTTGTATAAGGCGGATGTATTTTGATCTTCAAAGGGGAGATACCCACACAAACAAGCAAATAGTATAACTCCTGAACTCCAAAGATCCACTCGCAATCCTTGATACTTCTTACCAGCGATCATCTATTCATCTATATTAGAATAAATACTTCAGGAGCAGCGTAGCAAGGACTGCCACATGCTGTCTTCAATAATTCTTCATTCTTGTATGTATTTGATAATCCGAAATCAACAATTTTGAGGTTCTTCCCTTTATCAAGTAATAAATTTTCTGGTTTCAAATCTCTATGCACAACTCTAATCTTATGCAAGTATTCTATTCCTGCAATAAGTTCTTAAAATAATTTGCAAGCTTCCACTTCCTCCAACCTACATCAATTACTATATTACTTTGTATTTTTCACTATGTAATCAAATAGTTCACCTCCATTCACCATTTCCATTACCAAAAAGATATGCTTTGGAGTCTCAATTATCTATTGTATTAATCTATCCTGCATACTTCATATAATTAAATTATATGTGGATGTCGAACTAATTTCAGAATGTGAATCTCTCTCTGAACTCTCTCCACATCTGCTGTCTCTACTATTCTATCCTTCTCTAATATTTTGATAGCCACTTTCTCTCCTGATTATTCGTGGATGGCCATCTTCACTTTCCCAAATGTTCCAAACCCAAGAGTTTTCCCTATTCTGCTGAATCAATAAATGATCACCTATCGCATAGTTGCCAATCATTCGAGTTCTTTAATTTTATACCTTTTCTGGATTTGCAGGCTCTGTCATTGTGATAATATAATAAAATAAGTTAAGAAAATTATAATTTATATTACATGTCTATCCAATACCACTAAGTCCTCTATCACTTAATACTCTCCAATTCTAAGTTATTTAAGACTTATCTACTTAAACAATTCTCTAAAAATGTTAAATCATGACATATTTTCACTTTTAATGAAATAAATGGAAATCATCTTATAACATAATCTTCAAAAATTAAAAAGATTTCTATTTATTTAAAACAATTTATTAAGGTTTCCGAAAAGAATGCTAAATGGATAAAATTAAAATAGAAAATAAACAGATTGAAGGAATTAGAATTAATTAAAAAAAAGAGACAATATCAATATATCACAACTATTTTATTGTTATTTGATTGCATAATATACTAATATATATATATATCATAATGCCCATCTTGTTCTGTTTGTGTCTTTTCTTGTATATCTTTTGGTTTTGGTAGCAGCTACATGTCTGTGTCTTAAGTAATTATGATTATGATATTTGAGATCTTTCAAACCATAATCAGCAACTAACCAAAGAAATCCTTAATAGTCATGAGTTCTCAAATAATACATGGCCGTTCTTCTAGCTGCTAATAATTTTGTAAGTGTCAAAGCACAATATTTGTCCTATCTGTTTTTTTCCATATGATTCATTAATGAGATAACTCTCTCATTCAAAACTGCAGCCTTGACTAATGCACTTGCTGTGTCTAATGGCCATTTTTGATATTTTTTAATTGCTTATTAAATTCGATAAGCAACAATTTAACCATCAGTCGCATTATTAAGTCCAAAAGCTTTTTGAACTAAGGGTGATGCATCTTTCATTTCTTCAGGTTCAAATCCATGTTAATACCTTTATCCCAAGGTCAAATTAAAGTCCTTAACAATTTATTATGCATTTTCGATTGGTGATTCTTTCTCATAGATAGAGTGTAAGTATTTATGTGATTTTCTAACATAAATTTCACTATTCAATCCTACTTTAACTCTTGAAAAGAATGCAACACTTCTCAATAATTGGAATTATTTTGTAAGCATATAATAAAATTATTTTTAATACGTGTAAAAAAATGGCTCCTACCGAAGAGTTCAAACCTGTAACCCATTTCTTAAGACCACAATATGTGTACTTGTCTTTGGCAAGTTTATTGTTTATCCACGTGTTGCCACTAATTACAGAGGTTCCAGCGGGTGTTTAATTAGTCGTTCAATCTTTGGCTTGTCTCTATATAGGAGCTATGGCAACATCCAAAATAAAATATAACAAAGGTACATATTTAAATTAAAAATAGAAAACAACAAGTTGGAGAAGGAGGAGAAATAATAAGAAGATAAAATGACATAAAAGGATGCTCTACAATTTCCACTCTATTTATCTGCCTATTTATTTGGACTCTATCTATTGTTGAAATATTTAGATGAAGCATTTCTCAAGACTGGCATAACTTTGTTTTTCTCAGCAGTAGGAGTAATGAAATTCAATTAAATTTCAAGGTCTTATGTTTGATGGGAATCATAGAAGATGCAATCGAAAGATTATTCCCAATTGATTACTCTACTAAAATAGTAGTAGAAAAGAAATTCAATTTAAATTTGATATTTACAAGCAAGGAAATTGATATCCAATTAACTAAGTTGAATTTCATATCATTCCTTGTTTCAATGCTTCCCTTGGGTGTGTATTTAGGATCTAAAAATTGGATTTGCAACAATCTATTTGGCATTGCCTTCACAGTTTCAGGAGTTGCAAATTTTACAGTGATTCCAAATTTCAAGGTATAGATATATAATGTAATTATTATTAAGATTGTTTACCTGATGCTTTGGGGACTCTTTTTCTATGATATTTTCTGGGTTTATGGAACTGATGTGATGGTTACAGTTGCAAAGTCCATTGATGCTCCTATCAAATTATAATTCCCATTTACTGCTTTGAATGATGAAGGAAATCCATTTACAAAATACAGTATTTTAGGTTTGGGTGATATTGTTGTGCCTGGAATCTTTGTTGGCATGTGTCTTAAATATGATGTGGATAGATAGATTGAAAAAGTAAAGAAGATTTCTGAAATCAAAATCACTTATTTCTTGTGGTGTTTTGTAGGTTATGCTATAGGAATTGTGACTACTTTGGCTGTTATGATTTTATCAGGCCATCCTTAACCAGCATTGTTGTTTTTAGTTCCAGGATGCACCTTGAGTGTTCTAATCAAGGCTTATCTAGACAAATCTCTTCTTCAATTTTGGGCTTACGAAGCAGACCCAGAGAAGCCAGATGACAAAGCATCTAATGCAGATCCAATTAAAAATAAATGACATATTGTTTTTAATAAATAAAATTATTTAATTATGGACGATTAATAAACAGAGATTAGGATGATGTACAAGAATTTAACTACAGATCTACGAAATAAATACAGTCCTCATTACAACCTTTATTAAGTACTATTCTGTTTCACAATAGAAATAAACTTTGGATGAGAAAATCAATTGTTTCAAATAAAATTCATAATAGCCTGATTTGTATTATAAATGTTTTGCTGCCATTGATGAGAGAATGTAATCGAACTCAGTCCAATTGCAATAGTCATTCAACAAGATTGAAATTGAAGATCAAGGATGCTAATAAAAATGCAAAGACTCCTACCAATAGGATAACCTCAAACAAAACATGTGCTTAAAGAAATGCATGGAAGATTTAAGAGAAAAAGCCTTCAAATTATAGGACACCTTCTATCAGGCAATCTTAAAGAATAATGCTGAATTTAAGAAGATCAAGTGAGTCCTAAATTGTTCATATATTTATAGCTTATTATTATTATTATTAAAACATAAATTCCTCATACACAAAGGTTTTTAAAATATGATAGTTATTATTCTACCTCTTGATAATCTTTAAATACTCTTTAAAATCTCAGAATGTCTATTCTTTAGATCTATGATGTCTTGTCTTGCTTTTCCCATGGAAAAGTAAATGGAACCATATTCTTTTTAAACTATTTCTGTAAGTAGCCCCACCATTTAATCTTGTCCTTTATTTCCGAGTGCAAGTATTAACACCTTAATCCATAGGAGCAAGTTCCAAACTTATGATAGTTCTTGCATGGCTTTGTTTTGAAGTTCTCATTCGCAGGTACTCTATCTCTTAATTCGTTGTCTCCATGGGCGAATGAACACTAATTTTAATTATCTGTACATTCTCCTGATATTTGCAGGACCCCTTGAAAAGAAAGTTCTTGCAAATCTCTGTTTTCTTCTTCTCCTCATTTACTTACTCATAATTGTTGTTGCTTTTTGCCCTAAGCGAGAATTGAGTAGAATAATTACTTCTAGAAAATGCCTCTAGTCGAACTATCTTAACAAGCAGAAGACATAAATTTTAAATAAAATAACCCGCTCTTAGAACACATTTTATATCACATGACTCTTTAATTTTGATCTTTTTTTATTTTAAAAAAAAAAATTAATAAATAATTTTGTAATTATAAATAACAACATATTATAAACTAATATTGAGCCACGCCTTTTTCAATATAAACTATATTTAATTTTAAAGTAAAATTTAAGACAATTAATGAAAATGCTTTTATTAAATGGATTTATTTTTCAATTATGACGATTCTTAACAGGAATTCGGATGTTTATATTCTAAGTTGAATGATAAGATATTTAATAATTATTTTTTATAAATGGAGAACACATTCTCAGATGAACAAGATCTCAATACTTGGAACGAGGATTCGAATCAGATAATGTTGCTATCTCCTATTTTGCTGGGGCGCCCTTCTCCTAGAATGAAATACATCCAAGAGGATTTTTCAGTACAATCATTACCGTTTTAATCTGACACAATAGATGAAGAATAAGAACTCAATAATCCATTAGACTCTGTCGAAAAAATCCTCAAGATCACCAAAAAAATAGACAAAAAAACTAAAAAGTATAGAAAATAACCAAAAACCACTTCCAATCCAATCTTAAATGCTGCAAGGGACTTCTTTTCTTAAGTCAAACAAAGCAATCCAGCTCAATAAATCCAACAATTTCAATAGATAAAATAAATGATAGACAGTATGGAGGATTTTCTCGGACAGGTGAAACAATAACTCATAACCTAAGTCCACTAAAAAGGCTCCAGAGTTTGAACTTTATTTAGTTATTTATCTAAATATTATAATATATCCTAGAAGTTAGAATCATTTTTAGTGTTTGAAATATCAATCTTTAGAGAGTGGAAATAAATATTAATTTACAGCCATGGAAGTATTAGTAAAATAATTAATAATACTTGCCTTAAATTATTCATTTGGAGAATATTAATAATTATAAATATAAATTAATATGGACAACACTTAGATCACTAATTCTTCTATTCTTACTCTAAAAAGAGAAATGTTTAGGAGCAAACTAAGAAGGGATATGTTGGAGAAAAGGTTTAAATACAAAAGAGCAATGAAAATAAAAGCTGTCTGTGATTAGATAGAGAAACTATAGGAAGCTAATAATATGAAAAATGACTCATGTTCAGAGCACAATTAGATCTCTGAAGAAAGTGCAGATTACTTTGCAGTGTTTTAAATTGGCAGAGGAAGCAAAAGACAAATATTGACCTACAAAATTTTAAAATCAATGAAATTTTACATATAGAAAAATAATACCTATTAGAATTAAATGTATAAAGTGTTTAACTTCTGTACAGAACAGCTTTTGAATCCTCAACAAGAAAATGCAGAATATTTACCTTTGCTTGCAGAGATAATATTTTTATTATAAAATTATTCAAATATAATTGAGCCATAAGTAATTGTACTAATATAATGCTTAGCCCTTCGTTGTGCTACTCAGAGCTTTCGTTAGACATCAGGAATACAGTATTTTATAATTTATAGAATCGCTAATTTTGCAATATCCAAATTTAATTGAACAGCTTGAAGAATTTTGTTAAGAGAGAGTGGATAATAATAATTTGATAAAATTATTATGTGAGAAAATCACTTATGTAAAAGTATCATTTATAAGCTATAGGCCAACCTGAAGATGATATCATTTTTATTTAATACTCTCAAAAATAAGGATGTTCTATAGTTATTTGAATTGTATGGTTTGAAGTAAGTATTAATAAAAAATGTAAATAATGAAAACTATGGAAAATTGATAAATAAGATCCTTTTCACGACTGGTTGGATAGATGAATAAAATGAATCAGAGAATTAAAGTTATTAAATTTTTGCGGACGTATATAACGTTTTTTGATTAAAATAACATTGCTCATCATATTCGATACATATATTATAATTCTAAATGGAGATCAACGATTTTATCTTCTCTTAGTGCGAATAAGAAATCGATACTAAAGAAGATCACCCTAGTCTACTATAATCGGACCAAAATATGCGCCTATCATTGTTTGGATTGCATAGTCCTGAACCATCTATTATTGAAAACTTGTCAAATAATGGAAGTTTGTTCGATTATAACTTCTCCAACCACGACTATTATGGCACTAAAGAATCTGAAATTGTTATCTGTAAAGCAATTAGGAAAATTCGTAAAAGGAAATCATAAAAAAGTGGACTTCTGAGCAAAAATGAATTCATTGCCATTTTAAAGAGAGTAGAGTAATGTCAATCCATATAATTCTTTCTGGATTAATTATCTCATACTGTTAAAACAATGAAAGAGCATTTATTGAATAAGCTCAAAAAGACTTGCGATAAATGAAATATCTAAAACTTTCTATTTAGATATTATGATTGATATTTATATACATTATCAATATTCGTTAATACATACCTTATAAGTTGATTTCTTATCCGCTTTTCTCGAGTAATACATAAAATAAAAATAAAGAAATAAATAGGTTTATATTTTTAAATTGGGTCAATATTTGAGAATGAAATATTTTAAGTTAATAATAAGGTTTACAACATGATATAATTAAAAAATACTTACAAAGGATATTCAAACATTACTCAAGTTTTCATTTTATCTTAATATTTCTTCATCTCTTTTCTATAAGAAAATATTTCAAAATTATATCCATTGCCTTTATAAAACTTACTCTAAAATTCCACCCAATGTAATCTTAGAGCATGTAAAAAACATTCCATAGAATCCATGCATAATAGAATCCCGAAAGTAGACAATAGGAAAGCAGGCATTCCAAGCAAAGATGCTAATAAATCAGCATTTGCAATCGGCTCTTTCAATGTTAAATCAAATAGGACTTTAGCTAATTCAGAATGAGCCAAAGATAAAGCCCATAATCTCAGGTAACTAGCAGTATTACTGATGCATCCGAGCACGAATTCTAGAGTTTCTATTAGATGTTCAACAATTATATCTATATAAGATTGATGTTATGATTATTTAGAGACGAAATCATCATTTGATAAATTGCTATTGATGTTCTAAGGAATCATTTCAAATCTTGCAGATTCTTTCTTTTTTTGTTTTATCATTGCTATTGAATCAGCAATTATGGGAGCAAATAAAAGGAAGGGTAAACACAATATGCAAATAACTAATATTAATTTTTGCAATTAACTTTGATAATCTGCTGATTCGAAAGTCTTTAAAGTGACTTATCCATCATGCATCCACATATCAACTAATGTTGTAATTATACTAGGTGCTTATGATGTATCTGCATAAAATGTAGACCATTTTATTATTATTAACATTACCATGTAACCAATAAATAAAGTGAAAAATAGGAGTCGTGCTGGGAAGAGTATGAAAAGATTTATCCATTTTTTAAAATACAAGTAATTAAACCCAGAACATAGTATTCCTAATAACATTTGACTAAACCCAATTATTATTGCCAATTTCATTTTATATGAATTTCTAAAGCTTAGATCTTCATACTATGGATCAAGGCCAAAAGGGTATGTGCAATCTTATATATTCATGCATGATCCAAATATATTTAAAGAAAGTCCAAAGTATTCATTGTAAATGAAACCAGTATAAAGAGAAAATGCTCCACAAAGTAACAACATATATCTCAAATCGAAAATAATCTAAGTTAAATTAAAATCATTGAGATCTTCATCATTGAAATCTTTTGAGTTTACTTATCTCTTTATTTGCAATCCTAATTGAATTCTTTATTCTCTAAGTTTCTTTTACTCTGATCTGGGTGAAAACACTTTATTCATTGAAAGCAGTATTCCAAATATCAAAATGGCAGCCCCATGACCAATATCTCCAAACATGACTCCAAATAGAAATGGAAAGGTAATTATGGAAAACATTGATGGATTTATTTCCTTATAATCAGGAATTCCATATGTCTCAGTGATCAATTAAAATAATTTGTTAAATTGATTAGTTTAAAAATAGGTTGGTGGCTGCTAATTGACAATCTCATTTATTTTAATTTACGGAGCAGGTATATGAGGATTCTTCTATTTAATAGTTTAAAGTATATTCTCCAACAATTAAATTTCACTTGTTCTAACCCATAGGTTGGCCAAAAAGATGCTTTATTACATTTTCACTTTATTCAGATTTTCATATAGTGTTCTTTCCCTTACTAAAAAGAATCGTATAAAGAGTAATGATGGCTAGGTATTTTCATCCTCCAATAAGGGCTTTAGAATGGATTGCAATAATTAATGAGTCAATTTATTCATGTTTTCTATCTCAGCTATATCCTTATCGTAATCGCAATATCTTTAGTCCCATTATTCTTCTGTCAATGGTAATGAAATATGGTCTACTTTCAACACATCACACAGTTTCTTAATCTTTCTCCAGGTCTCTGATTACAATGAAAAAGTAGGAAATATCAATAAAAAACAGCTTCTTGAAACAGACAGCAGAGTCTAATTGACCATAAAGTTCCCCTTAGTTATCCGAAACACAGTTCTTTGGAATATTTGATAATCTTTTGAGTTCATGACTCCAACAAAATGAGTAAACTTCTAAGAAGGCATCATACCACCATGTTAATGATAGGATTTGATCATTTATTCATCAAAGTCTAAAGCAGTACTTGATTTGCTATGGAAGTAAGCTCCTCCCAACCAATCCCTTGCATAAATCATTGCCTACTTAGCCTCTCTAGTATTTTATAATTTAGATTTCAATCTAGATAGAGTATCAATTTATTATTGAACTTATTAATATTTTCCAGTTATGTATTCTTCAATCTAATTTATAAATGTATGTTTTTGAATTTACTTTAATGATAGGACTCTCTACATTACTAATATTTTCATACATCAAATTCCTATAGCATTAGTTTGAAATCATAAACATGATCTATTGTTTAACCTATCTGATTTAATTAATCGAGTAGATACTCTACTTTGTTCAATATTTCATCGCATCTACATATCCTACATATAATTACCTTTGGACTTAATTGATAAATGGCTTAGATAATAAATGCTATTAATGGTCGATTATCATCACACTATCAATTTGACCCAATTCACTCATAACATCATAGGATGATTCTCTGGGAATCAACAACTAATAAAGACTCATACCTTCAGATCTAATCATTAGTTGTTATAAAAATATTATAAATGCAATATTAAAAATAGAATTACTCTTTTTCTTGATATTCAAAATTATTAATATATTCTGAACATTAAAATAACTATCCATAAATTTCTAAACTAATAATTTATTTTTTATATTATCTATTTCCAATGTAATTATGCCCATAAGTCGATGACAATGAACCTATTGTATTAGGAAATGTGTCAGAAGAGTGGCAATTCTTTTTGGAAGCTTGGAAACACATTCCAATTAAGGTAAAATTCATCTAAAAGAACTAGTATTATTCATTACAAGTTGGCAGTGGCATTACAACTAATAGAAGATTGCTATATATTAATCCCTAAAAGAGAAGGAAGTATCATATTAAATAAAAACAGAATATGCCTCATCTAATATCAATATAAGAATAATTCTCTCAATATTGTCTAAAGATGAAGGTATGTATGTTAAATTCACTATTACTCCTCCTTCAACTCCTTGTAAAATCAATGTCAAATTCGTTATCGAAGATATCATTACTCAGTTACCAGTTGAGGGTATTGAAATGGAGATAAATGTCAAAAATTTTTGATTTTATTACTATTATGATAAATTATTCTAAATACATAGTTTATTAATTTATTAATTGCTTTATCTATATAATTGAAGATAAAGCACACTATAAATTGTGATTTAAAACTACGTTATTTTAAAGAATAATGAAATCAACTACAACGTTTTGAAGCAATTTAATCTCATACTCTTAAGTTTCTAAGCCTAAGATAAGTTGATGGATGAAAAAATTGCTATTAATAATCTAAGATTTTATTTTGATTATTATGGTATTCGATTAGGTAATTTTAATATTAAAATGTAAATAAAGCAGTACAAAAATAATTAGTTTAATTAAACTACAAAAATGATAAATATAATGTAGTATCAAATCAATTATTCTTGGTATAACAATAAACAAATAGGTAAAATTTAAAGTACTATAATACTGAATTACGAGATCCATAGAGACCAAATTCCATTGCAATTTGGATCTTCTTGGAAGCTATGAATATACCACCTTCCTTAAAATCCTTTTTCTAATTTATCTGTTTCTCCTTCATAAATAATAAGATTTTTTTTCGATGTTTGATTAATTTTTATTTATTTTTTATATCTCTTTATCATAAATATTTTCCAATATGAATCTTGTGTGTATTTAATATGGCCTTTAACTTTCCATGTTCCAAAAAATCTTTCCCAGTTAAAATAAGACTGATATAATGATTGTTACATGTAGAAATTGTAAATACTGTCTGCAAATTTTCAACTGCATAAGTGACATTTAACAATATAAAATTCATCTGCCAATTTTATTATGAAGCATAAGAACAACCTTAATTGATCAATTCGATTTATGGGTGACTTTATTTTTCAAGATTACTGTTGAATAAGCGTTATTCTTGATTCAATATGAATTTTCTTCTACAATATTAACGTATGATTACACTTATTGTATAAATAAATATAGAATGAATCAATTTTTATTTTGTACTGATCCTCCTAATATTGAGGCTAATATAATCAATATAATATTAGAATGATCATAAGTTTGGGCATAATTTCAGTAAATAAATCAATATCAAATCAGATTCATATTGAAAGGTTTAAAAATATTAAATATTTTTTCTGTGTTATCAAAATAGATTATTATTTGATGTTAAATTTCAATATTAATTGAGAGTAAATAATTAGCTACTTCCTAAAAAATCATATATAAAACAATTTCAGCATCATCTGAAGAATAGTGATAACTTAAAATTGTTGAAATTCCTCTTGTATACCAATTCATAGAAAATCCAAAAATGCTAATTTTACAATAGAATTTAATGAAACCTGGATTAGTTATGGCTATACTTCTTACCACTTCAATATTTTTTGATTCTCCCATCATCAATAGAAATTTTGAAACAGCTCTTTAGTCTAATGTTTGGCTCATTAATTGTGATTCAGTATCTAATACAGATCTCATTATTTAATTGATTATTCAACATCATATTCATTTCCTTATGTTCTGTAAATTATAAGTAATTCATTGCTATATTGTCTTTGAGGTATGGTGACGTAGATGAATTGAAAAACCTTACACTTAGGGTGAGAGAAATATATTTTTATGTAATTTTTTGATGATATTAAACTCTTACCTACTTCATTTAACTTTATTAACTTGAATTTATTGTGCTCTTGTTAAGATAGGAGTTTCTAAATGAGGAATTCTGAAATGGTAATCTTCTTATAATTCAAAGAAATTGCTAAAATTGATTACTAATATTAATTTAAATTATAACAAGAAACAATTACTAATGCAAATACTATGTTTATTTAAAATTCTGTAATTTCATATCAATTTAAAATTTGATGTGCTTTGATAATACAGTATCTCAATTTGTAATATAATTGATGTCTTTGTTTGCAGATATTTATTGTAAGTAAATTTATTTTATATATCTTTTGATTTACTAGCAGGCAAATGATAATATTATTTGGGCATTTTAATACTTATACTACATTATTCAAAGGAATTATATTGATTTAATATGTATTTCATCTTTCAAATTAAGTCTTGAAATCCAAGTCTCTATCTGAAGCTGATCACTTCTTCACTTGATAAGGTGCTATCATTTCTGTATTATATCTCATCGAAATCTAATTATCAAAGATTTAGTCATACTTCTTCTTCTATACTTTCTTCTTCTATTGTTAAGAAAATGTGTACCCAACCTTGGATAACCTTGATGTTCATAAGACTAAAATACTTGCTAATAATATGATAGGAACTGTGAATATGGACACATCAATGCCCAATCTAACAAACCAGGGAATAGGTCTCATTAAATAATAATTAAAATATAATGCAAATTAATTGTTTGTTTTGTGAAAAGCAAAGAACGGATGGCAAAATCAATTTCCCATTTCTTCTTAAAACTGTAATATCATTTGAAAATAAAATCAGGCTCTATATTTGAAGTATAATTAGAATGATGACCAACCAATCGATGATGTGATAAAGCATTCTCATAAGAAATGGGTGATTGACTTTTTTGAGAAAGCCTAAGAAATCAAAGATGAAGCATTTGTCAGAAGCTATTATTAATCAAATCAAATAGGATCTAAATTGGTAGATTTAACCGAATATTATAAATATCGATTGGATACTCCTCATTTTTTTATGCTTCCCCTATCTAAAGCCATAAACTAATACAATAAAATTCGAAAGTATCATCTATTATATTTAGAGAATACCATTACACTCAAATCAAGTATCAATTAGGAATGCTAGTTCACACTAAGAATAATTAGAATGATCTACCTTTTGTAAAAATGCTGAAGATGGGTGAAACTAAATAGGAAGATTCAGTTTCTAAGTCTCTAATATCGTTGTTAAACAAAATTAAGCCAACTCAAATTAAAGCTAAATAGATTAAATAAGCAAAAGTATATACACAACAATCAAGTTTATCAACTACTAAGTTAAATTATTAACCGCTGATTAAAAAAAGTGAGTTAGTGAGTAGAAAATTAAAGGCTATCTTAAATGAAAATGGTCATTCTCCAGTAAAATAGAACAATTAATATAAAAAAATTTAATCAAAATCTCAATCAAATGTGCATCTAAATACTTAAATTAGCATGTATAATTATAAAAAACTGAGTGTGCAATAGAGTATGCAAATGCTTATGCCTACAAAGAGTGTACAACAAAGCAAATTAGGATCATAAGCTGATATAATTTCGAGCATTTATTTATCAAAAAATAGCATTAATCTCAAAAGTCGATAATAAAAAAAGTTAAGAAATATGTTTTAGAAATGAAATTAACAAACTATTACTATTTATCAACACATAGATATCAATTACAAATTCATTATTAAACTTCTTCATATAAAGGATAATCTAGATAGCCTTTTTCTCCTTTGGTATAAAACGTGCTTTCATCCCATTTGTAATTTAACTCATAGTTCTTTTGAATTCTAGTTACCAGATCTGGATTAGATATAAATAACTTTCCAAAAGTGACAGCATCAAACCTGTTTTCTTCGATATTTTTAATGGCTGTTTCAGGAGTATAGCCCATATTGCCTATCAACACGCCCTTAAATAAGGGTTTAAAGGCTTGAAATAAGTCTGGTATTTGTTCCTTGCTCCCAGGGTATCCATAATTAGAGTAATTAGCAATATCATTATCATCCCGTAATTCAATAAAGGCCAATTATCTTGCATCGAACTCCTTGATCAAGTAAGAAAATAGTGATAGTGGATCCGAATCACACATGTCATTCACTCTAGCAACAGGAGAAATCTTGACTCCAACTCTGCCATTTCCATAGATCTTAATAATTTCATCAATGACTTCTAAGCAAAATTTGCTTCTATTTTAGATACTCCCACCATATTCATCATTCCTTTTGTTGGCACTATCCCTGAGAAATTGATCTATCAGGTACCCTGTGCCACAATGTAATTAGACTCCATCAAATCCTGCTTCTTTGCAATTAATAGCAGCTTATTTAAATTGTTAAATGACTAATTTAATGTCATCTATGGTCATTTCATGAGGGACTTCATGGAAAAATTGTGATCTTCTTACTTTACTTCTTGGGGTAATAGCTGAAGGAGCCCAAACTTGTAATCCATTTTAAAATGATGAATGACAGGCTCTTCCTGAATGCCAAACCTATGCAATAATTCTCCCTCCTTTTGCATGTACACTATCGACAACCTTTTTCCATCCTAAAGTTTATTCCTTTGTATATATTCCTGGTTATCCTGGAAATGCTAAACTTCTTTCGGAAATCGGAACACATTCAGTTAGCATGAATCCAGCTTCTGCTCTTAAAGTGTAGTACTTAACCATTAAATCATTTGGGATTAAGTCGTTGATATCACATCTTTACCTTGTAAGAGCAGCCATACAAATTCTGTTAGGTAGAAGCATATCTCCCATTTTTAAAGGTTTAAACAGTATATTCATTAATTTATTATTTGATATTAAATCCATTTTGAATTAGTTTAAATAGGAAATTAATTGTAATTTCATGTTAATATGGACTATTAAATTCACTAAATCTTAAGATTTCTATTCTAAGTAAATAATGTATTTTGAACATATTCTATATTGACAATATTTATATAATGCTTAAGTTTTTGAGATATAAGCAATCTTGATGAATAGAGACAAACCAGAGTAGGTATGACTTCAACTAAAATTTAAATAAAGGCTAAAATATTTATGACATTAGTTAATTATCATTAAATAAAATATCTAATGAGTGATTTTTTAGAATGGGCTTATGAAAACAGAAGATAAATTGGGTTAGATATTTTGGCTGGGTCTTTTAGTGGAATGTGTAATATACTGTCTAGTCATCCAATGGATACAATCAAGGTGAGAATGTAAATGTCACATGATGGAATTATAAAAACAATCACATCTATTATGAAAAATGAAGGGATATTTTCGTTTTATAAGGGAATGCTCTTTCCTTTTATTTCTGTTCCGATTCTCTAGGCAACTGTATTTTCAAATCACGAGTTTTGGAAGAGATTCTTTGTGGGTGACAGTAAATAATCATTAACTTGTTATTAAAAGTAAGTAAATAGTAATATTGAATAATAGCATGATAGCAGGAGGACTTTCTGGATTAGCTGCTTCATTTATATCCTGTCCTGTTGAATTGGCTAAATGCAGATTATAGATGCAAGTTTAAAATGTGAATAAAATGTGGAAGAATCCAGTGGATTGCATGATATAGGTTAATTCTTAGTGATTTTAGATTGCAAGAAAGGAGGGCATATCTTATTTGTATCGAGGGATGAATGTTACTTGTTAAAGAGAAATTCTAGGATATGCAGCTTTATTTGTTGTTTATGATGTAGTGAAGGACGCTCTAATATCTGTAAAAAAGTAGAAGGAGGCAAGCAACTTAGATATGTTAATATCTGGAGGTTTGGGAGGCATTGCTTGTTGGACTATTGGATATCCTTAAGATGTAATTAGAAAGTCTATCTTAAAAGATTATAAAGACTATCTTGCAGTGTGATACAGGTATTGGTAAGACTAGAAAGTATAAACCACATTTTTTGGATGGAGGATTTTATAGTTGCTTGGTTGAATAGGTAGGCAAAAATGGTTGGAGATGCCTATTTAAAGGATATTCAGTTTGTATTTTTAGAGCATTTTATGCTAATGCTATAGGGTTTTATGCATTTGAGACAGCGAAGAAGTATTTAAATCGATGATTGTATTAGAATAATGTGTTTGTGTGTTGATATTTCATATATAAATAAATTCATAAAATTAATGATTCTGATCTTTGTGGTTGCAAATATTCATCTAGTTCTAAGTAAGAATTGCAATACATTTGATGAATAAATCATACTTGGTGATTATTACTCAAATTAAGAGGGTTAGATTATGGCTATACTTCAATATAAGTCCTATGTATTAGCAATTGATTAATTTAGGAAGAATGCAATACTTTTGTTCAGGTAAAAAGAATGAGATTAAAATTTCAATCAGAATTACTAGAGAATCGTTATTTTGTGTATACAACCCAGATCTATTAGAATTATTCACTCTAAATTAATACAGATTATAATATCACATTGGGATTGAAGTCTCTAATTTTGAGATTGCCCACTAGAAATGGTAAATAACCATTCAAACTACTAAATCAATACGGGAATTCTTACATATTAAATGGGAACTCACTGCTAAATCTATAGATTGAAGAACTCGATGTAATGAGCTTTAAGATTGAGTCAATAGCCTTAATTTTTATAAATGAATGCAATATCAAGAGAATACTAGATCATTTAAGCAACAAACAAGATTTCTGGATAGTAATGTTTGGAGATTAGAGTTGTCAATTCTAATTATCACATTTGCAATATGATACTTTCATATCGACATCTGAAAATTAACATGTAACATTTTTAAAAAGTAATCCATTTAAAAGAAACTTTAAAATTGAATTCCAAATCCACAATTCAAGTGTTCTTTAATTCTAACACTATTAAAACGATGAACTGATCTAAAATGAATTCGTTAATAAATCTTTTTTGGTTTCAACAAATTTAGGTGATAATTGTATCCCATATGGACAAAGAATTAGTTTAGGATATTATTATACAAATTACAATAAAGAGGATGACATAATTGACATTACCTATAATACATAGGTAAATTTACAATGATATGTTTAATAGTCCTATTGTCCACAGGGATTCTTGCATATTTTTGACGATAATGGAATTGATTCATGGATTAAAATAAGAGAGACTAGAATTTTGAATATGAGTAAGATTTATGAGAATTCAAGTTAATAATTCACTTATGTGACTTATATAAATATAGTATCTTTGAATTCTTAAACAATTTAAAGGTTGGGTCAGATCTATTATTATGAAATATATGGAGACATCTAAACCAAAAGCAGTAAGTATCAATTCAAGGTGCCTTTAAAATAATATGACAACAAAGAACACAAGATCATTTTCTTTGGAGATATGGATTCAAATTGGACAGGTAACAAATCTAAACAAACCTTCGATTGGTTTTAATCAATCCAATACAATCAAAGTGTTTATGATGCATTAATATTCGAGGGAGACATGGCATATGATCTCGAATCCCAAGACTGTTAATAGGGTGATTGGTGGTTAAGAAACATGACTACATTTACATCGTATTACCCATTATTATCGACTCCTGGCAATCATGATTCAGGAGCAAACTATGAATTCGATTTCTATAGGATGTCCTTCCTCTCCCCTGATAAATCTTAATACAATACAAGAAAGAACTATTATAACTTCTATAGTGTAGACTTGGGTTTGGTTCATTACATTTTTTACAATCCAACCAATATTGTTTATGATGATAGTAACCAGCAATAAATAGATGAAATGGTTTAGATTATGGAGAATGATTTAAATTAAGCCAATCAGAATAGAGAGAAAGTACCTTGGATAATAGTTAATAGTCATTTCCCCATGTATTGTAGTGACTCTAGTGATAATTAGTGTTCCCAAAATTTTATAGCTTTAAGGCCATTCGCTGATTTATTCACCAAATACAGAGTGGCTATTTATATGTCAGCTCATCAACATAATTATGAGCGAGATGCCCCATTCATTAATAATTAATCATAGGTGAATACTGGATTAATCACTGATGGACCAGAATAACATCTAGTGAAGAACTCCGCTGCTCCCATCTATGTAGTTGAAGGTTCTGCTGGTCAGGAGTATTATACACCATTGGTTCCATGTATGTTATGATTTAACTATTAATTTTTAGATGAAAGCCAACCATACACTGTATATCAGACTGGATATAATGATGGAATTGGTATTATGACTATTCACAATTCCACTCATATCTATTTTGAATAATTGGATCTAGTCACTCAAGAAGTTGTGGATTACTTTTGGTGTGTTTAGGACCGTTAGGACAGCAGCAGTAAGGCCTTAAATGTTATCTTGTGGACTTTTATAGGGTTTTTCATTCTTGGTGTTTTGGGGATGGGAATTTTCTATTTGATTAGAAGGCAGAAAATTAAAGAGCAATTGCTACCTTGAATTTATTAAATATTATTTATATATTTATGAATCAAGAAATTAATAGTGCACCCAATGTTCCAAGCAATAACATCGATGCAATAAATAACATAATATAATATTTTGATCTCGACTATTTTTAACTGTTGGCTGCTTCCTTTATCTCTTAATTAGCATGTTCTACATTTGATTTTGTTTGTTGGAGATCATGCACAACTAAATCAAGCTACTAATCTTAAATTACACACTTTACCTACCCTAATCATTTACTTTCAATCCCAACTCATTCATTATTTTTTATAATGTCATTGACTGATTCTAAATATGATTTATGTCTTCTTGTCTTTCTTAGATCATTTGTGATTCCAAATCTAAAGATTCATGTGTAAATTGTTGCTCTTATTATTCAGAAATCTGATTCTATTGTTGACTTTTATTTTGGGTATGTTCAATCTGAGTAAATGACAACTTATTTAATTCTTTTGATAGTTGTTAGTATCGATCTTTCTATTTTGCCAACTACTATTTTGCATTCTTAACTTATTTTTTCTATTCAAAACCCTTGGCTCCTCTCTCAAGCTCATTAATCATTGTTTGTATTGAATCTAGGAGTTTCTTTCTAAATTACTCATAATCTATAAATACGATTGATCCCTCTATAATTAGATTAATGTCATATGCTCATCATCCAAATCAAGATTTCTCTGTACCGAGTCTTACAATTAATTGATTCGTAAAGTTAATGCTACAATTTCCTATTTAATTCGCACTCATACTTCATATTTAGATTCAAAAGTTTGTTTTTTGTTCAATAAATTCTACATATTATCTTCATTCATCATTTTAATAATATAATTAATAATTTATTATTAATATAGATTTATTAACTAATTCAAATTAATCGCGTAATCTAAAACAGAATCTTCACTTCATATATTATCAATCAATAATCATTGACTAGACTCAAATATTGGGAAATTATATATATATAAATAATCATCTATTTAATTAAACCTATATTAAATGAAGTTATATTCATAAATATTTGATAATTCTAGACATGTAAATTAGTTTTTTTTATTATTTTAAATGTGTTATCCATAATCTTTATTAACAATATTCAATTATTATTCTAACTGTTTCAAATTTTATATTTTTAATATAAATCAGAGATCAGGCTAATCATTTAAAATTGGGTGCTTAACTCAAATTAGTTTTTGTAATTGTTATTTTTCTATTCTAATATATGTTCATTGACTTCTTTGTTTTTGATGATAAAAGTTATTTGTTATATAGTTTCTTTTTAGAAATAATTTAGATTAAGAATAGGCTCATTTTTTAGACTCACTAAATTATATTATCAGTTATGTACAATAATATGCTTGAACACATTAGACTCATTCCTTTTGTCTTAAGACAATTCAACTGAGTATTTGCTAATGCTTTTCATTATCAGCAATTTATTTAATGAGGCCATTAGAATTTAAAACATGTGGATTTTTCATTTAATTGCCATGTCATATGCTTAATTACTAATTCTTTAAGTGGGTTATATCAAATGCAGTTAAATTGGGCTTATTGATCATCTTTAACAGACAAAGTTGTTATTTTTTCCTTAATATATTTAAGAATATTCTTATAATTAAAATTATTGGAAATTAATTATTTATTTTCATTTCATATTATTAATTAATTATCCAGCATAATATGATATTTGTTAATTAGGGGAAGGTAAGAGTTGCATAGCCAAATCAAAGATTCCATACTTGGCACACTCCAGTCGAAAGATAGTGGTGGCTTAACATAACTTAGATAGAATTTAAAGAGCCTAGATCAACGCTTCAGAGTTCTTACCTGTGAAATAGCCTAATAATCTTTTAAGATCTACAATAACTTTATTACTCAGAATTTAATCTACAATGTCTGACTTACTATTAAGCATAACCTATTTTTTATCGTAGTATGACAATGTTTTAATTTCTGTTTCATTTAAAATTCTAGGATAGATACGCAAATCGCAGATATAACCAATCGGTTAATCCAATGATGCACTATTACCAATAAATTAAATATCAAATTAAGTAGTCACTTTATTTATTTGACTTTCATAATTGCCATTCAAATATAGAAATGCTGATTGTTATTCATTATCTAAGATGATCACAACATGATTCCATCCAGAAAGGTTCTTTTCAGAATTCTTAGGTTCAAAAAACTTGTATCCATATCCATCTGGACCAACATTGGTGATCCCCAATAATTAGGAGTAGGCATCTGAAATAATCAAGGAAGTAAATCCATCACTAGAACCCAGCAATGTACGTATTTAGTAATTATTTGAAGCACCTCTCGTCTTACTAGTTTCAGGATTAAACATGACCATCCAAAAGACCACTGAGATCTGTTTTTTATTGATTTTCAAAGGATCTTCCAATTGAAGCACTTAATCCTTATCAAAATAACACCCACAACCATCATAAAATAATCCTTGATCTATAGTCAATTTAGTGGGGTCTCCGAAGATCAATATATTATTTAAGTTGCTATTGTCGAATAGATTGGTGGAATCAAACTTAATCCATAACAAAGTGTCATCAAATCCTTCTAAGAACATATTAACAGTTCTCAAAGCCTCTCTTTATTGTGTAAAGCATTCTGGCATTCCAGCGATGTCCACTAACATCTAGACTACATCAAAATCTCTTTTATTTTCTTTTATCGTTTACACTAGTGTTTATTTAATCTTGAAACTTAATGTACAAAAAAAGACATTAAGAGATGTTTCTTTCATGATCTCCTCAGACTATTAATATTTATAAGATGAAGGCATTTAACAAATGTTATTCGGAATGAGTGATAAACCTAATTTCAATATTTTACAAGTTTCTGGTGGAACCTACATGTATTTCAATTCAGGAGGAAGTTCTTATGGCTCTTTATCCAGTCCTTGCTTTCTAACTATCTTTTTTTCGAACTTTTTTCTCTAGTCATAGGCTTCCCGTTCCTTCAATGTTTTATCTCTTTGATCCTGATAATGCTGAAAACATTTCACTACCAATTACACCATCTCTAATTCTGGATTCTTGATAAAATCAAAATGGGCAATCATCATCACAATTAATAGAAAAAGAATTTCACTTGTTGGGTTGTATTGTGTTGAATCCAAGAATATTTCCTTTGTTAATTTCTTAATATACTCCTTTAGACTTATCGAATTGATCAATAGGATCAAAGTATAATCCTTTAGTGTCAGACAAGTAAGCATCTCCAGTATCTATTGTTGTAATTCATTAAAGATATATGGATAATCCTCTAATATTTGAATTAACATAATTGTGATGCATTGGAGATTCAATTCATGCTCCTCTGCAAAAAATAAATGTAAATCCTTCTTAACTCTCAACAAAAGACATTTCGTTTTGTGGATGAATTAGGCTTTATCAGGATTAGGCTTAGGACCCTTACCAATCTGATTGATGTTTTATTCAAGTTTTATCAATAGCTAGTCATCTTATTCGGTTTTATGGCCTGCCTTCTACTTGAAGTCTTTGAATTGATCAATGTAATCTTTCCAAGGCTCATCAGGAAGCATTTCATCTTCATCTGTATTAAGTTATTGATGTGGCTTCATTTCGTGATCCAAACTCCTTTGCCCAAAGACAAATCAAAAATTAATATATTTTTCAAACATTGTTAAGATACAAATATGAGCATCACATTAATTAGAATTCTAAACTATTTCCATAAGCAAACGACAATTTTCCTATCATCTTATCAATAGAATCCCTTTAATATAATAACAAAATTTCAAACATTTATATGCTGGATATAATTGTTCAATGTCTATATAATAATAAAATGTTACTATTTTCGCCATGCTTCTGAATTAAAAATTAAAAAGGTATTAAATTATTCCACAAGAACTCAATCCAATCTTGTATTTTGTTGAGTTCTTAATTACTTACAATTAAGAAGTTTTCGTCCAATATTCTTAATTTTGCAACTCAGCTTCTGTTCGTAATTTAATGCCTTTTCCATAAACATGCTACCTAAATTCTTTATGAACTTCTTAGAGTTCCAGCTAAATTGACTCACTCATTCAAACTAATACTCTCTTTATATTATAATATACTTTGCATATTTATTAATGGCCTATTCATTATAAACAACCTTAGTAAAAATTTATTACAATCTACATATTATTCAAGACTTATCCTCAATTAACTTTATAATTATAAAAATTAATACAAAATCTATGAAAATCTAATTATTTTCATATAAATTTAATTAATTCTCTTAATCCAATTTCTTTATGATCTTAACGTAAATGGTTCATTCAGTACTAAAAATAGAAAATTGATGTTTAGCAAGATTCAAATTCTTAGAATCATACCTAAATTTATATATAGAGTAAGTTCAAGCTTGTTAAACAATATCATAGCTTAAGCTTGATTTCTTAAATTTAAATTAATTAACTTTCATCAAAAATTAATTAAATTCTATTAAGGAATCCTTGCTTTTTAGAACTGTAATTTTGTTATCTTATTTATTTCATGCTTTATATTTTTGTAAACTGATCATAAGGGCACGCTTTCAGGGTTCTTTACAAAATCCATTATTTAACAATTATGAACAAAAATATTTGGATCGAAAAAAGATAAATAATTTTACATTAAAAAAGAAATTATTTATTTTGGGCCAAAAAAGATCAATAATATATAACCAAAGCACACTAGCTTAGCTGGACAAATCTAATTTTATTTTTATATTCAATTTCTATATTCTACTTTTATCACATTTCTTATGAACGGGCTTTAGTTTGACATTTGAATTATTTAACCAATATTTTCTCATTTACTTAAAAATCCATAAAAATAAATATTAATTATAAATAAACCTCCAATTAAACAAACAGAAGAATAAATTTTAGAAGCAACTTAATAAAAAGAAAAGGGTATCTTATTATATAATTTATTATTGATCAGACAATAATATTATCATTTCATTAAGCCTTAAAGTTCTATTATAAGGGAACATGTAATTCATTTTGAAAGTTCTCTTCAATAGAGATTTCCGACTTCGTGTCCTCCTCCGCTGAAGAACTCAAATCCTTTACATGATTAACTAAGTATTCAATTAGCAAAGCAATTGTCACGCTTTAAGCTAATAAAACAACTATGATGTAGTAGAAGATAAAAAATAAGTAAATAAAATCACTTTATAGACTTAATGAAAAATCGTATGACATCACATTCCAATTGTTTACAATTAATAAAAACCAACAAGTACAAAATCCAGATAAAAAATCATTGAAATTAACCCATTAGTAGTTAGAGAGATGTTATTGATTATAATTAATCTTCCCTCCAAATATTAATTACCCAATTGAATTAAATATAGTTATTGTTACTATTAAAGTTCCAAAAAGTTACAATAGATAAGTAGATATAGCTGATATCTTGAGTAGGATATTTACAAAATTCTTAGATTTTAATAGCCAACTGCATCCTCTGAACAATCTGAGACTCATTATAGAACAACAAACCTTGATTAAAATATCCTAGGAGAAACTGTCTTATTAAACAGCCATAATTGCAATTATTAGTGTAACCAAAACCAAAGAGATAGTAAAATCAAATATCACAGCTGGATATTTATTAATGTTGTTCAGACCTCTTAAAATAGCAATAATTATGGTTTCGATAAGCATTACAGTATTTAATGAAATATTCACAATTTATATGTCTCTGTCGGTGTTATCCTAGAAGATAAAACAAAAATCAGCAATACAAAGAATTTACATAATAGACTTAAAAATCCAATGATCCAATATTCTTTGAATTAGAAATTAAGAATTCGTATTTGCTTATTATTGTTATTACTTTATGAGATTAGCAATTGAATTCTATTTTTTCTTTCGAAGTACTTTATTCTAAAACTGTTGTAATTTATTTCTATGTTAATCAAGAAGGGATTTCGTTCGTTCTTCTACTAATTTCTTATATTATGAATAGAACAATGAAAGAATAAGATTAATCATTAAGATTGTATTGACGAATTAATAGGCAATAAAGTAAATAACGGCTACACTTCTATCTCCATAATATGGTAAATAAATATCTGGTGAATTTACGGTAGTTTATAATTAAAACATAATAAGAAATGTGCAGTAGTTCTTTTGACTAAAAGGTAGACCAGATGAATTGCAAATTCCTTCTTCTTGAGTAATATCGCTTATCTCTGATTAATTTCTAAAGATGGCAGTCCCTAAACCAACAAAAAAGACATAGGAGAATATCATCATAAAGTATATCTCCTTTCCTCTGTAAATAATTAATGCGTAATCCATTATAATCCCAAGAAAGTACTGACTGAAATTATATTAAAAAGAATAAGTACCTGTAGAAAATCAAGAAGATTGGCTTGAGTAAAGTGGAAATATTGTATGAATAATCATTATCAAATATCATTACAATAATGTCATTTATGATTATGATAATTCCAATAAATACAAAGCAATAAGCTACGATCTTTCTTTCAGTTGTAATAGAGTGAAATGAGTAGTATTTTGCAGCCTTGAACATCATCATAGAAACTATCAAAAATATTTCAATCAAATAATAGGGTAATACAGGTATGTAAAATGTTAAGAATGCTGGTATTTGATATCCTTATTCCAGTTCATATTAACAATCAACCTAATTATAATTGATAATATACGGAATATTATCTTGGATTGCACCAAATAGGCTTCTGAAAGATGGTCATTAATACATAGATTGTCACAAATAACTTTCTTATCAATTTAAGGGAAGAGTAAGTTGCTTTTATAGATTATGCTTTAGGATCATTACTTTGTATGAAGGAGTCTTAAATTCATTTAATACCTACCCTATATTTTTTTGGTAATTCTTGTCAACGCAAAATAAGAGGCAAAATCGTTGTCACTTTCTATTCTTCCTACTTAACGAAAGTCATCAATCTTGCTATCAGACATTGATATATCTGACATTCTAATCGAGTTTGGGGTTTATGCTTCAAATTCTGTTTACATAATCTTGAAACCTAAAATTAGACAACAAAACAAATAATTAATTATTGGATATTTCACATACTCTTTTATTTAAAAAACAATTGCTTTAATTTTCTCAATCATTATTTGATATTAATTCAAATTGAATCGTAAACTATTCAACATACAAATATATTTATTCACGCTTTTACAATGTTGTAATCAAAAATATATTATCAAATATAATTAATTATGAATTAGTTAAATTCAATTTAAAGTTCTCTTGATACTCAGAGGAAAAGAAATAAATCCCTAAAATAGGAGAAATCGTATTATGAATAAGCCAAGAGAAGAAAAAGTGTCTTTGTAGATTAAATAGACAGCCATAGTTCAAATTAGATAATTAAAAATTACAAAAGTTTCTTGCCTTAAATAAAAAAGAATCAAGTAAATTCTGATGGGCAGGATGTGTCAATTATACTTAATCATTTCAAATTGTATTAATAATAAAATGTAAAACCCAATAATTGGAATTAGTTTTTTGCTTCAATATGGGACTTTATTCAAAAAAATGGGGATATCTATGATTTATACCAAGAACTTTTTAAGAAATTGTTATTCCTGCAATTCTAGCAATTACAAAAACAAATATTGGATCTATGTTACTAGGAGAAAATCCTAATAACCCTAGGTTATGAATTACAATAGGATCAATTATTTAACTAATTATTTTCTTAATTTGTACAGAATTATTAATTATGCTTATAAGAATTGTTTTCAAAAGGCAAATTTAATAAAAAGCAATTATAAGATGTTTAATCATTAATACAAATGAACAATATTATTGAATACGTAAATATAGATGTTCAATCTGAAAAATTTCAATAAGGAAATAGTACAATTTGGATGATAAATAGAAAATGTAATTAGACATAATAATATAAACTCAATTTGAAAATCATTAGAAGATATTTTGCATTGTGGTTGCATGAAGCTAGAAATCTGGAAATAATAAAAGTACTGCCAAGGTAATTACTTACTGCTTCTCATCCATTCATTAATGCAAAATTAAGTTAACCAATTTTAATTGTTGATTTAGATGAAACATTAGTGCATTTTGATTAAGCATCCAACAGACTGATGATCAGAAACGGATCATAATAGTTTTTATAACAAATGCATAAATATTATTATGTTATAATTTGGACTGCCTCTCTTCCAAGATATGCTAAGTGGGCTCTAAAGAAAATTGATCAACAGATTCAGTAATAAGTATATTATTTATTAGTTAGTATATTGATGTTTTGCTGACTCGTGAATATTGTATCCCTCATGAAAAAGGATTCTATTAGAAGATACTCTCTATGCTAGGATAAGAATTAAGTTTGTTACTAATAATTGAGAATGATTATAGAAGTGTGATTGATTCTGAAAAAGATCACTTGCATTTGATAGATTCTTATTTGGGTTAGGATGATAATGTATTATTTGACCTAAGCAATCGTTTGATTGACGCATATAAATTTTACTAAGATGGATTTAGTTTGTAAAGAGCATTTAAAATGACTTCAATAAAATAAAATTGATATCAATTTATAAAATACAATTATTTCTATTTATAATTTATGAGAAACCCAATCTCATTGTACCTAAAAGAAGTAAAAGATTTTTTGTAGACTTATTAATTCTTATGGTATTATAAACACATTATTTCATTCATAGAAATAAAATCCCAATATCATTATACTTAAACTATTAATAGATAGGATTGCAAAATGAAAGCAATTGTATACGGGTAAATTCTAATTTATTATATTCTCTATTTTTTAGAGTTGTTGGATCAATCAATATTTAGAAAAATATAAATTATTTTCTCTCTTAAATTGCTTAATTAACTTAATTATTAATTATATAATTCCAAGTGAGCCTTTTAATATAAATAGAGTTTGTTTATTCGTTAATTTTAAAATAAGTCCATTAAGCGAAAATTCAACACTGATTAATTCAGAAGTCTAGGAGATATGATATTATAAGTGTATTTGTAATAAGTCATAGTAGATGATATGTAAGTTAAGAGTTTCACAAATTATATTAATGAGTATTTTTATATTAATTATATTTTAATGACTTAAAGAATTAGATCATATAGCTTTGTCAAAAAGAATTTGGATGGATCTGGTTTAGTTAAGGAAAATTCAATCCTAAAAGATAAGGTCCATAAGATGAAATTTTTGGTAGAAGATAATTTAGATATTTTAATCAATGAGCTTGATCAAGATTTGAAGTAAAATGCATCAATTACTGATATGTCTAATGTGTTTCTAATTATCTAATAAAATATAGAGAGGTGGAAAAATCAAATCAACACTTTGAAAAATAATACAAAAATTTTAGAGGCCCAATTAGAAAGACTAAAGGAAGATGAAGAACAAATGAAAATCCAAACATTAAATGATATTAACATAATATCTGAAAAAAAATAATAATAAATAATTGATAAAGATAATGTAATAGTTACATTAAATTAATAAGTGAAAGATTTATAGAATTAAATAGAAATAAATAAGTCTAAGTTATAAGACTAAATTCTACATGGAGAAGAATTAATGAAGTAACACTAGTAGCAATTAATACAAAGAGTTGCATAATTAGATAATGAAATTATTTAAATTAAATAACAACATTAGTTTGAAACCTAAGCTGTAATGCATAATCATGAGAAAGATCGAAAGTTTTTCAAGGAAGAATTAGATAATTAAATTAGTTTAATAGAACAAAAATATAAAAAATATTATTTGGAAAATTAATAATTCTAAGAGAAGTATCAAAAATAAGTGCAATAAATTAAGTAGCTTAAATAGCAAAGGGATAATTTTGAAAAGTAATTAGATTAATAAAACCAAAAAATTAAATCGTATATTGAAGAACTGGCAAGTGAAAGAAAAAATAAAGCAAAAGAAAATAAGCAATTATAGGAACAATAAGAATTGATTAATCAATTGTAAAATAAAATACTAATTGAAGAAAAGCGCCAATAAAGATTAAAAGAGCAGATTCAACAATTATAAGATTAAAATTAAGCACTTTTGCAGAAACATAACCTTGAAATTAACCAATCTAATTCTCATATTGCATAATTAAAAAGAGAAATAGAATACAAGGACATATACATAATTAATTAATAGTCTAATTTTACTTAGCAAATCTTGATTCAAAAAGTAAAATATGAAAATATTCTCGGAAATCCTGTAACTATCGAAGGAGAATCGTAAGAATAACTAACTAAAGAGTTTTCTCAACAATATGATGACGAAGTGTAGATCTAATATGTTAAAGGCTTGGAACAAGAGATTAAAAGACAATAAGGTATAATCTTAGAAAAAAGTTAATAAAATGCTGATTTATAAGTTAAATTTTAAAAGCTTTAATAAAGTCTAATATAATAAATTGAACAAAAAGTAAAAGAAACACAATATGAATGTAAACTATAGTTCAATAAAATGCAATAGGAATACGAAAATCAAAGAGAAAAAATGTTATCAGAACATTCTTATAAAATTAATCTTTTATAATAACAACTCTCATATGAAGTTGATAAATTTAAGTGCGAATTGAAGGAACTTTAACAAAAAATAGAACTATTAAATAAATAGATATAAGAAAAGGAATAAATAATAATTTATTTATCAGAATAACTATAATAAAATAAAGAGTAATAATCTAAAGATAAAACTTTAGCTGAAGCCAATATCAATAACCTTCAGATAGCCTAAAAATAATAGGTCGAATAGTTAGAAAAAATACATTAATAAAAACTAAATGATATAATTTCATAATTAAATTTATAAACAAGTTAAAATGAGCAACTAAACTAATAGTATTCATAATTGTTAAAAAATAATTAAGAATTAAGAAATGAATCTAAAGAGCAAAAATAATCTATTTAGTAATATAAAATATAATGTGATAAGTTATCGAAAGAATTATAAATTTAATGGGATATTGCAAAAAGTCTTAATGATAGAATAAGGTAAATGCAGGTTGAATTAGAAAATGCTAAATAAACTTATAATATTTTTACAAAAACTACTCGAATTCCTGCTGTTATGAGCAGTGAGATAAGATTGTCAAAGTTGAGGACTTCGCCAATGAACCGTAAATTGCGATCGATATCAAATACTAGATTATAATAATTATAAAATTTATGAATAACTCAAGCAATAAATGCATACTCTCAATCTTTAATTCAATATAATCAAATAAATAATTTACATCACATCCAATTGAACTATTCAAAAGTACTTTTTGATTAATTTAATTATTATTAGATTTAACGAATAAGAAAAATGATTAAAATTATTTATTTAAATTATATATATGAGTATTTTCTTAGGATTAATTGTGCATGATCAAGTACCTAGAGATAGATACATAAGGGCATTGACTGAAATAGAATAATTAATTTATGTGCATAAAGAAGAATTAGTAATTTTGAATTCTGATAATATTTTGAAATTCAAAATCCAAAATTCAGTATTTTGGTTACCAAAAAATCCCATTTACCTGAATACAATATATTATCGTATTACTGGAAATGATGATTTGTAATCAGCCATTGAATTGATTTGGGATTGTCTATGCATATTAAAAGAGAATTTTCCATCTAAATTAGAGTTGTATTAGGAGAATATCGATGAATTTAATTTGAAGGAATGGGAGAATGAACTATTAAGGAGACAACTAAACAATTTAAATAATCGTTAATCAAATGAACCTCTTACAAAAGATGAAATAGAAGATGTTTTTGCAATATTGAACATTGCTTAGTAATTATAAAATGTAAAAGGATAAGAAATATGTCTCAACTTATTGAATTAAGTATAACCATTTTTCTTACAAACATTATCATAATCATATTTAGATTAACTAGAATAAATAGCCAAAGGATAACACAAAATTATTGCAAATTCTTTATTAAACAAGATCATCAAAGTCACATCTAATACAAATAACTAAATTACTTAAAGACCAAATAACCATGATTAAGAGTTAATCAATTTTATTAGATAGAATCCTCGTTATGAATAATAATTTAGTAATAGCTCAATTATTTTTTAAATGAAAGAGACAAACGAAATTGATAGAATTTGTTTTTATTTAGATTACACACTTTGCAAGAACTAAATGTTACTAAAGTCTATTAAACCTACAATACAAACTATAATAGAAAAATATTATGACGGTAAAGTTTTAAATAATAAAAGGTTAATATGGATTAGGCTAATCAGAGTTGACAAAATACTGTGTATTCCATACATTACTTGGCTAAACAATTTTGAATATCTAGCAATTTGATACTACTACAATTTAAAAAATATTTGTAATATTTGAAGAGGGAATTTTGAATTGGATTCAAAGTCTTGTTTAAATGTCTCCTAAGTAAATTTATACTCTGTTTCCGAGTACATTGTTGCAAATCTATTAAAATTAATAATATTCATCATAAATAAAAAGCCATAAGAGTAACATATTTTCCATGATTTGCAATAAAATGGGGATGACTGCCAATAATAACAAGAGTGACTAACAAAAAATCTACTAGAACTTAGATGAAATAAAATGCATATCTCCATTGTTAGCTCAATTTTTAGAATAGTTAATATGATGTTATTAATAAAATTATTTTGGGATTGAATAAACTTCTTATAGTTTATATAGAACTATTTTTATTTATCCTTTATATAGAATGAACTGAAAAGAAATCAACTTTTATTTCAGTATTAGATTTATATATATTATTTATTACAATCATAATTTTAAAATAATATCCCAAAGTGTCCTTTTGTTAATTAAAGATTCAAGATTGATCATAATGCCCTCAACTTAGAATAGAAGTCTTCTTTTGTAAACTGCATTAACTTTAATTTATTGGAGTTTCAAATCGGTGTTATTATTTTAAACAGGTTATTACTGGGCACAACTAAGATTAATTGATATTTTTGTATACCTTTCGAATTTAACATCTATTTTGGTTAAATTTTCCATTTTTGATAAAGTTTTATTCAATTATTTGATGGCTTGTTTTCCAATGTTTTACCACCTAATTAAATATAAATTATTTACAATACTAATTTAACTTCTGATAGATTTCCTAGTTTCTTTAAACAAGTTGATAGTCCTAAGACAGTATTATCAGTGATGTCTTAATTTCCATCTCCCCATCCTTTTAAATTTAATTCCAGCTTTCCCAAATTAGACAATCCACTAATTCCGTTCATTAGATTCTTAGCTCCCTCATCAGTTATACTATTATTTTCATAGGCCCACATGTTTAAGTCAAGATTGAACTCATGTAATTGATTTTATAGAATTAAAGCATTGGTTATATATTATAGTGATTTGTCTGTAATATTTTGATTCCAATAACCCCAACTAATAATTAATAACATGATTTAATACCCACACAAAGTTAAATTTAACTACTCTAAACTTTAGAGTTTTGATAAACCCTCACTTAGATCTCTTACTCCCTTATCAGTTAAGTCAGATAAATCTAAATGCCATCTGATTTAATATATTTATAATACTTTTTGCTTAAATCGATCGATAAGTTCTTCTAAGGTTTAGACAGGACAAGTTCAGAAGACATCGTTTCTACACACTTATCATTAAGCCTCTTTTATTATTGAAATCTAAATATGCTTAAGTATTTACATTTCAATTTAAAAAGGAGATTTAATTCTTTATTCGCTTCTAATTATTTGTGATGCAAACTTCTTCATAAGTTTGTCTTTTTTTAAATTCAATTTGCTAATTGGCTTTTAAATGGGTTTCATTTTATGTTCTACAGATTCATGATAGATGCATATATCCTAGCAAACTTGTTCAAAGTCCTGATTTTTGCTCATTTTAATTAATAATAAAAAAATAAGTATAAGATAATATCTTAAGAAGTTTCTTAATACAATCTTGATCAATAATGAAAAAAGATTATTTTGAAAAAGTCTTTTTTGCACATAATAAAAAGAAAAAAATTTATAACTATTATTCTTAATAACATTCATTATGCATTATAAAACAACATATATGCACATGTTTGAGCTTGTGTTGGATAACTTCTTCCATAAACATAATGTAGATCTTAATCAACAAATAACTAAGGATATTGTGATTTAAATTACAGATATTTTATCATCATCAAATTTAAACCACTTTCCTTATATTTTTGTTATGCAAATATAATGTCCGTACAATATGCCTTGACCCAAATGAATAATAATTGTAGTCAATTCGTAAGTCTTAGTCTACTTCTGAGCCTTTATTCTTAATTATTATGAAAATGGAATCTTTGTTGACACTTTAATCATCTGACCGCATCTTTCATCATATTTAAATCTTTTCAAATGGATTACTAAAACATTAGGTAAAGTATTCAACAACAATCTTAATATATATCTACTTTGAATACCTTTTAGATGCATCCTATTTTGATTGGCATTTATCACAAAAAAATTGATTCTGTCCATTTAATTATTCCTCTTTTGACATTTATTACAAACATGTGTTCAAACTATAATTTGGAAATAAGTCTAAAGACAAATCACAATACATTTCTTCTCTTTAAGAGACTAATATTATTTTTCATAATTACTTGTATGGCAATTTAAACATTCTGTTTATGTTAATTACTATCCCTAAAATATTTATCGAATCCAATTATTTTGTTTATCCTTTAATAATTCATCGCATTCATTGATAAACCACATATAAAATTCATGGGAATCTTAATGATATTTTCCATCAAATATTTTATTTTTTGTTTTGATGTAATTCATCATTTTCTTTGTTGAAATTACTCCAGTCCTCTATTTATGATTTGATATTGATTGGAACAACAACTTCGTTAAATCTAACAAATTATTCTGATTTATTGAGTTTTAATGCTATAAAATGTAATTCCTAAAGTCTTTGCAATAATACAATGCCTACAATATTACATTTGAGTAACAAATGTTACTTGGCTAATATATGATTAACTTATACATTTTCGAATCCAATTAATATTTCCCCATCTGGAAAGTCTTAACCCAAATACTTTTCTAAATGATCATTTTAACTAGATTATGTTACTCCCATTAATATCAATTAATAAATAAATAAATTATAATAAACCTAATAACTAAATCAAATATTTGTATTAACTAAATTTTATTTTCTCTCTGATATAGAAATTTATGTATAATTTGACATTCCTTTTTTAAATTACAGGAAGCAAAGATAAATATCATTAATGATGAAATTATTGTAAATAATAAAGAGATCCTTAAAAACTACAATTTTATATATCTACCTCCTAAGCTTCATAAGTAAAATGAAGAACTTTTATTCTTATAATTATTTATTTCCAATTTATACTTAATTTATTATTTTTTATATGAAGTATTTTCACATCTTTGCAATTTGTTCTTTTACTATTATAAGAGAGAAGAAGGTTTTGATAGCTTATAATGGCTGAGTATTCTTCTTTTCATAATAAATCATTATTTTTCTTCTGAGTAAATTACTATTGTTATTATCTCGAAACTGTAAGAATCTTTTAAAAAATCAACATTTAAGTTGTTTGAATAACTTATTCTTAATTTATAGTACTCAAAACTTGATCCAAATTATATTATTTTAATACCTAGATTATATCAATATTTTTCCTAATAATGATTATAGATTATCATGTTCAATATCAGTACATTTCTTTAGTAGTTCCTAAAATCTATATCATTTTAGCTTAAGTTGATTATTTTATTCTTTTTTTCTATTCTCAATTAACAGATCAGAAATTTGATAGGAAATTAATAAATACTTTTTATAGAGCTGATTTAGTAATTCTTTATATATAATTTTTGACTGCAATTTAATCTAACCTAATTTATTAGAATATTTTTGGAACTATTTTAATATATGCTCTAAAATTCATTCTATAAGTATGAAATAACTGTTAATTGCTTACTATTTTCTTCAATGAAATTGGTTTGCTGTTAACAAATGCTTATGCTGGTCATAAAAAAAAGAGTTATCATTTTAATTATCATAACAATATTTATTAGTGGGTTGGCAGAACATCTTCTAAAGAATCAAGTATTTCATCGAGATCAATCTTCTTGACTATTGGATTCTAATTATGATGAAACCTGTTTTTCAGTTGGAAATAATTAGTTTCCTTCTAATTTAATTAGACATTGATAAATTAAAATATATATATATATGAGCGATCCATACGATTGGCCATTCCCAAGTAGGAAAGATTTGATGTACTTGTCATCAATAAGTATAAATTCTATATCATAAATTAGATAAACGAGATGTAGGCACTGTAAGACCTGATAAGTTAACAGGATAAGATTTTAATCTATAAACAAAGGACATTGATGGTAACTGAATTTTCAAAGTAGGTGCTTAACCATGTATGAAGCCATATAAATTTACTAATAAACAAGACTTTACAAATACAACAGATGATATTGCAGGCACTCGTTCAAAAGTATTGATTCCCTCAGTTGGAAGAGATGTAAAAAATTTGATTATTTTTAAGGGATTCTCTCTAAATAATCGAGATATCAAAGGCGCTTATCCATAATTGAATAAATTTCAGACTACAAGACCTCCAACAAATCCAGTAGATCCTGTTTATGTTCTCCCAAAAGCTGTACCTGTCGAACCTTTGCAACCGAAATTCATTAGAGATTAAATAAATATTGATGTACAGCGAATAATAATGAAAAGGACATACCAGGAACCAAACCCAATCCTCCTGCTGCGAAATTGAGAAAAACTGTTCACATATTTGATGAAGTGGATGGAGCAAAATCAAAACCTGCATTCATGCCAAGAGATCATATGGAAATTATGGATGTTAAAGACATCAATGAATATAGAGTATTTAAATCATCTCGTGTCACCAATCCACTTGAACCTGAATATTAATTAAAAGATGTTGAAGGTTAACCAGCTAATTCAAAATACGGTTTTGTGGGTGGAAGTAAGAGTAGAGTATTGCATCCGCAAATAAATTATAACACTAAGAATTTAGATACAAAAGATATAGAAGGGTGTCATGTAGGCGCTATTAGTGATCATTTTTTGATGAGATAAAAAAGATCTCAATATAGAGCTATTAATGACACTAAAGATGTACCTGGAGCTTAAGTTGGCACTTTGAGAAAAGGGCTACTCAATCATAGAGGCACTAATCCATTGACTCCTGAATATCAACTTTTAGGCAGAAATGAGATTTATAGTCAAAATGTTCCACGCACTGCTTTTGAAGGCAATCGACAGAATCAAGGAGGTGAGAAACCAAAAACTTAATAATCATTGAGATCAAATTCATTAAATAAAATAGAATAACCATTATCGACAGCCTAAAAATTTGATTAGTTTATAAAGAAATGAAGTATGATAGTAGATATCATAAAAATTTTACTAGTTCTAATTATTAAATGGATTCAGAATGTAATTTCTTTTCTTGCTCATCTAGCCATTTAGTTCTTTTTCCATCTTCCCAATATCCTATTTTTCGATCACCATTTGTACAAATACCAATACCATTTTACTTGCCTAATTTGTATATCAATTTACCATTTGTCCAACTAGATATCATCTTCTTGCCATCATTCCAAGTAAATTCACCAAAGCCATTTTTCTTATCATCTTAAAAATGCTATTAAAATTATATCACAATTACTCCTTTGAAAATTCTTCCGTCTGGAAAGGTTAACACTCCATAACCATTCATTTTTGACTTTTTCCATTATCCTTTATATACTCTTTTATCTGTCCAAGTCATTGTACCTTATCCTTCCAACTCATTATTAGAAAAGTCACCTTCATAGATAGTGCCATTGGAGAATTTTAAAATTCCTTAACCATGTTTTTTACCATCATTGTAGAATCCTTCGTATGAATTTCCATCTTACCAAACTTCTTTTCCCTTCCCATGTTACTTATCATTTTTCCACTTATTAATATGTCAAATAATAATACATTTCCTTCATATCGTGCCCCATTTTTACATAAATAAACACCATATCCATTACATTTATCATCCTTCCATTCTCCTTCATAATAATCTTCGTCATCTAAAATTAATTTGCCTTTGCCATTAAGTTTGCCTTCAAGGAAAGCACCCGAATAGATACTGCCCGAAGGCCATTTGAGAACTCCTTATCCATCCTTTAATCCGTTCATCCATTCTCCTTTATATGTAGTTCCATCTGAAAATGAGATTTCTAAATTAACTAAACCCATACCTTCTAATTGAACTCTCTACATTTTGCCTACAGTGCTTTAGATGAGTTAATTCTCTTTTTTCATACTACTAATGCTGGCATCAGATTTGCCTTAATCATTATCAGCGTTAAATCTCTCTGTTTCTTTATTATTTCTTTAACTTTCTTTTAATGATTTATTTTTCGATAATACAACCTCTTATTTATCATTGCCGCCTTTACTACTGATTTCTTAATCATTAGTACAGCAAGTATTACTACATGTTGCACCCATTTATAATTAAATAATTAAATTATGATAAATAGCTATCAAAACAACTGTTATATCATTTATTGGTATTACAGTTATCACTCTAGCTTAAATTGAATACCAATGATAACGTCGAGCCTGATTACACATAAGAATGAAGTGTAAAACAGGGGTAGGTATATTATCATACAAATAACATATATATTAAAATCGGCATTTATAAATCATAATATTATCTATAATTATACCACTATTATTGTTTCGATGAGCTATTTTTGGAAAAACCTATGAGGATCTCTAAAGATGGTTCAAAATTATTATGAATATATATTCATTTATTATTATAAAGGTTAACTTAGTGCTAAAAATTCAGGAGTGTAATGGCTATCTTGTTGAGAAAACAATTTAGTTTATTGGGGAGGTAAACTAAACTCTGGTGTTTATGATAATTGCATTGATATTTGATTTTCAAGTACGAAGGATTAATTTTATTCGCATATTTTATTTTCATGCTCTTCATATTAAATTTCATCTTAGTAAGTCATTTATTTAACATGATTAGCATTGAGATCAGTGTCTAGTTCAGGAATTGAAGGCAATTAACAAATCTGTCCCATCAAATTGGTAAAATTTAATTTATTTTACTAATTAAACTCTTCGTTCTAATTTGAATGATTCCTAATATTAGAAAGAAGGTTCAAAAAGATTTATTTAATTAGAAAGATCATTTAAAATAAGTTCTAAAAAATTAAAAAGAAAATAAATGATAATAACTTAGTATTAATTCGATCTTTAAACTTTGTATTGTTAGTATAATTATATATTACTTAATCGAATCTAATAGTAAATGTTTCTACAAGTTAATTGGAAAGAATTTGAATGACTTTGAAATATTTATTACATAAATTCAATTAATTAGGATCTAAAAAAATTGATTTTTTTTGTAAAAGCATTCAATTTAATTAACAAAAAATAATTTTGCATTAATAATTGATACTGTTTTATTGTCTTATTTTATGGATATAGAATTTTAAACTTGAGGGAGTTATTCTAATAGAGGTTTTTAGTTTGTATTAGTTATCTTGTTAATTAAATAATGTATTCTTAAATAAAATATTGGGTAATTATATTAATAATATTTTGAATTTGTTATGGACAATCAGAATAATGAGGATTACTCTGACTTCTTTAAAGGTAACAAAATGTAAAAATTAGAATAGTTGTGCTAGTAGGCGATGCTGGAGTTGGCAAAACACATTTAATGACCAGGTAATTAATTTATACAACTACAGATATGTGAAAGGTTGCCTACCAAAAAATGCTGTACCGACCATTGGGATTGAGTTTGCTGGAAAGACAGTCACTTTATAAAATGGCAAAAAGGTTAAGGCATAAATTTGGGATACCGCTGGACAGGAAAGGTACAGAGGAATCACAAGCACGTATTAGAATATAATTAATTCAGTCATTTTCGAAAAGCAGGAGGAGCTTTGGTTGTTTATGATGTAACAAAGGAGAAGACTTTTGAAAGTGTTGTTAAGTGGATGGAGGATTTGCGATATTAGGCCGAACCAGATGTGGTTATAATGTTAGTCGGTAATAAAATAGACTTAGTTGAAAACAATGGAAGCGCAAGGTTGTCATATTTCGTTATACATAGAAAAGTTTAAAAAGAAGACGCAAAAAATCTCGCATAACAGCATAAAGTATTGTTTGAGGAATCGAGTGCTGTCACAGGCTAGAATGTAGGATAATGCTTCGATAGATTGCTTTAAGGTTCTAATTGTCTTATCATTAGAAATGTACAAAATAAAATCACTAACCCCTGGACAAGATAATCAAAATCAAGGGATTTCATTAATCAATTAAAATCAGACCTAAAATCCTGACAACTGCAAATGTTGAAAATCATATATATTAAATCCATTTTATAATAAGTATTCACTCAATTTAACATTTTCTAGTTCTATCCCTCTTTTTAGTGAGTAACTATTCGAATATTAACGATTTTTTTATACTATTTCAAATTTTAATCATTTATTTAAATATCATATAAATTTATATTAAAGAAATGAAACAATATGTAGATAAACATATATGTTAACGTTTCAGCTTTCTTAGCTCTTTATGGTTAACTGAAATTTTGAAGGCCTTGAAGTATGCAACATGGTTTTAGTCCTAAGCAGTTTGCTCTATTATCTTGATGATGAGAATGGTTCGCTTTGATTGTTTTCATAGTCATAGATAATCTTGTTCCCCCCTACATCTAGATTGTTAAGCCTATTTTAATTATTATTATTAATACTATTTGTAACTAATAATAAATTTAGCATGTTGTATTAGATACATCTTTATCAATTTAAATCTATTGCGGATCACCTATTTCCTTTCCTTTGAATTTCTAAATAGTCGTAAACAATATTTATTATTATTTTATACAATATAAGGAAATTTAAAAACAATATATTGTTTGACTTTATCAACTTGCTCTGATAATCGTTCAAAGTAAGCAAATAGGATTTTAGAGATTACACGCACAATAAAGAAAAAGTTAAGTATTGCCAATAAGAAATAGGCTGGTATCACTATCTCCTATATGCCTAAACTCTAAGAAGTGTAGATAGTTTATGACAGAATTATTGAGACTTTGCAAATTGCAGTTTGTAAACTGTCAATGCTGTTCAAATCTCCTGCTTCATAAGGTTTATAATGATTAGTCAGATATCCATAAACCAAAAGTACAAAAAATATTAGGGATGACTTAACAGGTACATAGTCCTCGTAATAAATTAGAACATATATAATAAATTCTTTCTATAAGATTTTAATGGTTTCCCAATAATAGATGTCTACTTTATATTCATTATACAAGTATCCCCAAATTTTCCTGACTTTGCTTGTGTTTAAATGTGCTCTATTGTGATATACTACATACCAAAAGAACAACGGCATCAAAAATCCAACGATAATAAATGATGGTATGATAAAGAATGATAACCATTTATAATGTTGTTCAGTATTATAACCATATGCAACATTCCCAGTAATCCACAACACATTAGATATATTTCTATAAGACAATAAAGCAACCAAACCACTAATGATATTTGGAGATAAATAGATGTATATGTAAATAAAAGTTGTCGTTATGAAAGTAATGCTCATCTTCTTCTTCTTGTCAAAAATTAACAATAATAGATGCATTCCAATAAAAATAAGAATGTAAATGCCCACCATAACAAATGCCCATATAATTCTAAAGTATAAGATTGGAATTATAGTCATTTAAGCTAAGTAGCAATCCAATGAAAACGACATTGATTCTATTGGGTTTCCAACTGACCTAAATGTTAACTATATTCCTGCAGGAATTGATAATTGGAAAGTAGATATTGAACTAATAATCTATAAATAATTAGTAAACACTTTAAGCAGCACTGAGGTTTAAGAAGATGAAAAGATAATATGCTTTACAATAGTCTTTAATTTAGTGTAATAGGTAAACTCTTCAATTAATTTTATTGTGCTGTTGACAGATAAAAATACTGATAATAAAGTCCATATAAGGACAAAACCAATAGTTGCAATATTAGCAGCCATATCCTCACAGCTTGAGCATTGATATTATTAATACAAAGAAAATGATCCATCGCCTTAAATGTTATAGAGATCGCATTATTCGCATAAAGCACCTATGTGGCCCCGAAAGCAGGACTACTCCCCTGTGTGCCAACCTCCTTCGCAATTAACTCTCAAATGATAACACTCTTCTATAATATTGCTATAGTAATAGGCTCGCCAATATCCTTCTCTCAATTCTATCATAGCTGGCTGCAAACTTTTCATCTTGACTTCATCTCTAAACTCGCATTTTAAAGCATCTATAGTAACTGAAAACTAATTCTATGTGATATCACATTCTACACAACCTCCAGAGGTAGAATTTAAATATTCTCCCAATTAACATTTAAATGTTCTTAGTTATACTAATACATAATAATCAGAGATGACACTTGTTTTTTCATAAGGGAATACTTCATTAAATTAAAATACCTATATTTAATCACAAGCAATAGCCAATAGAAGTGATATTTTATTATCAGTTTGAGGATTAAAATAAATAATCAAATCATCCAAATTAAAATCACCAGTTGTTAAATTAAACTCTATTTTGGTAATTGATAGATATTATTTTGATTATTCTGGATCAAATTATAATTTGGAAAATAATACCTCTTCTGTATTTTAAATCTCTTAAGCATATATTGAACAAAATGAATTACTTAGATTAGTAATTTATTCTCCGAAAGAATTAATGGCGAGTATTCTAAAAGTCAAATTATAGTCCTCATAAGTTTAAGTAGTAAAATCAAAGTATTTATATTTAGAAATTCTAATTCCAGAGGGCAATAAAAGTGTTGAAGTTTTACTCTCTTATCCAAAAATGGAATATGGTACAATTTCACTTTCTTCAATCAAGGAAGAAGCATTCTTGAAAGCTATTTTATTTTGTAAAATTATGTGTGAATTAAACTTCAACTTTAATTATTTAGGATATTCCACAACATTATCCCCGTAATAATGAGCAATGTTATTTTTCATCTATAAATTCATAACTTTAGGTTATGCCATTTAATCATTACTCATATAAATACCTCCAGCAATATCTGCAGTATTATTAATTATTAAGCTGTTAATGACAGTAATTTGAGTGTTATTTGAAGAATAAAAAATTCCACCTCCTTTATACTAAGCTTCGTTGCTTAATATTTAACAATTATCAACTAGAAGATTTACACTTTAAATGTAGCAGGCTCCTCCATATAAGGCTTTGTTGTATAAAAATTAACTATCCTCAATTTTCATCTAAATATCATACAAAGGACTATATTCAATTTCCACTAAGTTTTAAGCTTTTAAAAGTCTATTGTTTTCATTCACAATATCATTTGATTAAGATTAGAAAATTGATAGGCATCCTAAAGTACCACATGTGTTATTTAATACTTTCATTTTTTTGATTTTTAATTTCAATGATGAAAAATCGAATTCTTAGATTGATATCAAACCAAAATAACAATTTTTACAATGACATGAATTCAATTCGATATTATCTAATTAAACCTCATGCAATTCCTAAAAACTATTGAGTTCAATTAGACTAAAATTATTAACAAAATATGTTTAAACTAAATTTAAGTTACAATTTAGTTAATTAGTATTATTCTTTAGTTTAGTTTAAACAGAAGGATTTAATAGAATATTTTTAAACTCAGTTGGACACAATAATTAATTATTGATGTTTTAGATTTCAGAGATACACTCCTATTTATTGAATTGATATATTGTGAGTGATTTAATGATCAAATTGTTAATAACGAGCCTTGCTTTAACATCTAAATAATATATATATTCTACATACCTTATCTTAAAGCAACTCTAATAATTTGTGAAGCAAAGATTGTAGAATTGAGAATCTCCACATTAAGAATATTAATATTTATTCCATTATATATCTCAATCAAATTTATTAGATGGATTTCGGGAAAGGAAGAATTTACTATCGTAAAATTGCTATATGAGATGTAAATGGCTGGATTTTCTTTTTAAAATGGTAAAATATCTTAAATAGATAAATCCTCAATTTATGACAAGTAGATATTGAATTCTTATTCAGTACTTTAAAATATTGATTAGTCTATGATAATATTCGATATTAGAGATTATAATTTACTTGGCGAAAAGAATAATATAGAGCTCTTAAACGAAAATGAATTTGCTATAGACACATCCTAAAGTATGATTTCATTTTAAATTCTAGATGCTTCTATATAGATAGCTCCTCCTTAAGTTCGAGAATACGCTCTATTTATTTTAGTCTCAGTTATTGCGAGATTTAAGCGACTTTTAGAAGCATCTATGTATAAGACCCCTCCTGAAGAAAATTAATTACTATTTAAAATTGTTAACGTATTTTCGAAAGAGGAATTGCTTATTATAATTTTTCCTGTTGATTTTGTGTTAATGTAAAAAGCTCCCCCATTTACTGCTAAAGAATTATTGATTACACACTATATCATAGTCAACTCATTAATAAAGAAATATCCACTTCCCCCTTAACTCATTATATAAAAGATTTCATTGACTATATCATTGTAATTTGTTTAATCTATAGGTATTAATAAGTGTTTTTGTAAAAGCTAATGAGATAATTGATTTTAATTAATGAACATACAATTTTAAACAACAAGGGTCTCTGATTTAATATATATATTAGAATCAGATGAGTTTGAAACTGTGTTCTACTAAAATAAGCAATCCTAGATAATAACCTATCCTATTTAAGAATCAATGATAATTGTAGACGAAGAATGTAATTAAGTGTCGTCTTCATATTTGTTAAGGAAATTTCCTTAAAACGTAGAGTTCTAAATGAGAATTTTAGTATCCTAGTAAGTTTAAAAAGAAATGATCGAAGAGAGTCGATTTAATTAGGTTATAATCAACATATTATTTGCAAATTATGAATTCGTAATAGTAATAAAACCAGGCTCCACTTAATCATTAAGGTTTTAGCCTTCAAAGATAAAGTAAGGGTAATCGATAATAACTTAATCCGATATATTCACATCATCAATATATACTTTGAGAAATGATTTAATACTTAAAACAAAGGGTAAATCAAAAAGGTAGAACTATCTAATGCAATTAATTGAGGTATGCAAAGATTTCAGTTCAAATTAAGGATTTTATAAAAGTGTAAATTTCTTCAATTCAACATGTTTGCTATTCCTTATTGTTAATTCTGGATAGCCTAATCCTCTAGTTATATTCAAATTTTCAAAAGTGCAATAACTACATTCAAAGTAGAGTTAACTAAGGTCGCTTGATACAAAACTATATGAAAGTTTACCCACTTAAACATAAAACTACTGATTATTAAATAAATAAAGATTATTAACAGTTATGCTTATGTTTGATACTTGATTTTATAATATATAAATAAAAGCCTTTTCTTAAACATATTTATTGTTAGTGAAATTGATATTTTCCAAATATAATACTTCTGAAGATTCTCTTACTTATTTTGATTCACTAAATTTTCCAATATTAGTAATTATATGCCCGAATTCTAGATAACATGCAACTACATCAAATCCAATAATGCTAAAAGTGTTGCCAATAAGAAATGATGATAAATCAAGAAATTTAACATTTGTAAGTTTAAAATTTTTGACTGAAATTTATTTTCCTGAAAGAATCCTAATAAAAGATGATGAATTCTCAAAGATTACATCAATCAGAGTGAAATTTTCTAATTATATTATGCCTATGTCATAATCTTTTTGGAAATTGGAAGTTATAAAACTTGAATTTCTTGTAAATAAAGTATTTTGAATTGTTACATTAATAAACGAAATAACACAGTTAAATGTATTATTTTCGGCAAAATAATAGAATAAAGTGGAGTTATACAAAAAATTATTAAAAACCCTGAAATTTTAAACTGTCATTTTTGAAACTTCTTTGCTAATAAAAGGGTAGTACTAAAAAAATATTGAATCAGTCAAGTTCAAATTAAATTTCATATCGATCATCGAAAAATATTTTGATCTATTGCATTTTAATGTGAAATCTAAGGTGTTGTTTTAATCAGTTTGGACAAAATTTACATTTTTAAATATTACTATTTAAGGATAATGTTTATTAGTAATCTCAAAGCGAAGTGTAATATTCTTTTCAATTGTTGCATAGTAAGGGGAAGGAGATTTAAAATCGAAATCTTCAAAAATGATTTAATCATAATTGATCACTCTAAAATAATTAAATGTTGAATATAGAACATATTTATTTAAAGCAAACATCTTAACATTTACTCTTTTTAAATTAAATACATTTTATTTTAAATTGTTTTATAGAGTGCTACCGAAATCAAGATATAGTTATGAAGATTCTAGTTAATAATTAATAGAAATCTCTTCGATATTTTAGCTATTATAATATTCTAGCAATTCAGGTGTTTCATACTATTACCACATATTGTATAGCGTTATATCTAAAAGATATTAATACATCTCAAGTAAATTGATATTTGTTTCTTCTGCTCTAGCATCAAGCAACTACCCTAAATTGTTATATACTTTAAATTTGATCTCTAAAGTTTTGGTACATTTTTAAAAATCTCTACAATTTTATAAAGATAGAGTTTCAGGTAAAATGTATTTATAATTTTAATTTTGATCTACATAATAGCACTTAAATGAATATTTTAAGTACTGAGAGGTCTAATTAAAAAATAGATTAATTTATGAGATTTCTGTTTAAGTTCTTGGATAACAAGCTGAACAATAGTTAGGACAAGTTTCACATTAAGAATCTATTTATAATTAATTTTCAAATTTATAACTTCTTAATTTATTAAAAACATTAGATTTGCATTTGAAACACCTAGATTAATATTGTTGAAAAGCATCGACCATTACTCTACAATCTTCGCAATCATCATCACATCCTAGAATACAAAAATTATTAAAAAGGACATAATTTACTTAACAGCTTAAACAATTAATTTCCTATTCAGAATCATCAGAATCAACGACATAGGTTTCAAATGGATGTTAACCATTTTAATTTATAAAATAGGAATAAAATGCTTTGATTTCCCATTTCCAATAATCTTTGTATTTACTACTCTATTAAGCACATGCTTTACAAGATTGTGGACATTGTTTGCATAATCCAGTTAATATGCTTGAATAATACCCTTCTTTACAAACAATACAGAATGAAGGTAATGTAGATGAATAATTATTAATACATTGTAAACACAATTTAGTATCTTAACAAAAAGTTGATTAAATTGAATCTGATAAAGATTGACTTTTTAAACAAACAATACCTTGATTTACATCTAAGCTCAATCCTACGTCACATTCCGCCATATCATCAGCTAATAATTGACATTTTTAAGTTTAGAAAGAATAATAGTATCCTTTAACACATTAAGCACATCCTAGATGAATTTAATACATATCCGATTGAATATTATCTCTATTTACATCTATTGAAACTATTAAATTATTGTCATTATCATAAACATATTCAATACAATACTCACAATTTTCTATTGAACAATAGCCACAATTTATTCCATCTAAACTAACATAATATTTCTTATTCTCTATGCAATAAAAACACTATTCTGAATCACATTATTGGCAAAATTATCCACAATCTATGCATAAATTATTTAAATAGTATTATTAATCTAAACAATAAAAGTCATACTAACACAGTTCTTCATTTCTATCATCAAAATAACACAATTCACATTTTGTACATAATTTACAAATTCCTTCAGCCGTTAAAGCATATTTAGATGAACATTAAACACAGAAGTATTCCGACTTGCAAAATTCACATCCTTCTATACATTAACGACATTCTCCTTATTATAAAAAATATCCGGCCTTGCAAAATGTTTAATTCTATTGCATATATTTACCTCCTACTACTTAGTAAGAAAATTCATAGCGATTATTAAAATTAATTTTATATCTTAATTTTAAATTAAAAATTACATCTCAGTGTTAGAATAGTATCGTTCAAAATAATAAAAAGGTGATTCTGAATTATCAGCGATTAAGTCAAAATCACACATAAAGGTTTGGTTAAAAATCCATGGACTAAGATAACATAAAGCACAATCTAATTTGTAGTCCTTTATATCTACGGAAAAATGGGGACTCATGATAAAGTAATATATATACCACTCTATGCAAGAACCATAATATTAAAAATATCCAAAATCACACTATACTTTGGATTCATCGCATTGATAATAACCAACAGTATCGCAAGATACTTCAAAATATTTCACCTCAAATACTCCATTGTAATCTGATAAGCCTTTGAAATATTAATAGAATGATACTTTTGCATTCTGCTGTTGAAAATGTTTCTAAATACCCATCTAAGCATAGGCATTAGTTAGTATTTGGGGAGTAAATTCTATTTAAATTTTCATTACAACTTAGACAATCGTTAGCCGTAATTCCTTTACAACTCGAACATGTATAATGGCAAGGAATTTCATAAGATGATTCATAATTCCTTTAGCAATAATAGGAGAACTTCCAATCACTTAAATATCCTCGAAAATTATAAAGAGATAAGTAATCACCTCCAATTTAAAATTTCAAGATCACATCAGAAAAATGATTAATTTGATTACTCCATTTGCACTCAATAAATTTATCATTTTAAGGAAAATATACTCTATAAATAGGTCTTCCTTGATTTAAGGAAGAGCCTTCTTCATACTAAATAAAATGCCATTGAGTCAATAAATCTTACAAAGAATCGTCTAAAATCTTAAAGGTTTCAATCTAATCAGAAGACAATACATAAGGGAAAGAATAGCTATAAGTAGAGGCTGAAAAACCATTCAAACTTCTTACTTTATGTTGATTATACAAAACCTTTAACAATTAATACTATTGCTATTGATTCTAAGAATTTATCCAATCTATTGATATACTTAATAATGCACTATCAAGTTTGATTTCTATATCTATTGGATTCTGCTTAACCCAACCTGAAAATTTATAAGCATTTTAAAAAATGTTGTCCGTTTAACCATCTGTACTTTGGCCTCCAGTGAAACTTTAATTAAAATGCAAGAGCTAAGTTTTGATTTACGTACAAATTAATTCGACATTACATGTTTATTTAAACGAATTTAAATCTTCTAAAATATTGATTGATGTGGTTTCTACTTATTTAATAATACCTAAAAATGGGTAGGTGATGATATTTGATTCTAATATTTAAATGTTTTTGAAATATCTTATTGAACTTTATAATTAATCGGTGTTTTTGACTTTGATCGTTGAATCTAATGTTTCCTAATATAATTAATCTAAATTAGATTAATAATAATAGAATAAGATATGATTAACATCATAATGATTATAAAAATAGAAGAAAATCCAAACTCCTTCAAAATTGAAAATATTAATTGGAAGAATTTTCTTCACTATTGATTAGTCTGTGTAAAAATAGATTATATAATTGATTGTCTTTTACAACTTATTAAGTTCAACAAAATTGAAAACTAATTATGACTCATCAGAAACCCTTATTAATGAGTAAATAAAGTAATTTATAGTATCTAAGGTTAATTATTCATCATTTAATTCTAAAATTTAAAACTTAACTCGTACATTGTAAATAATCCTCTTTGAATGGAACATATCGAAACCAGAATCCTTAACCAAAAGATGCAAACTCATTCTAATCATTCAAATCCTATATCTAATCAATTTAAATCAAATTATCATAATCCATTACATCCAATTAATTGTAAATGCATTAATTACACTTTACAATTAGAATGCTTTATCTAAATACATAAATACTTGAGTGAAAAACTTAGTAAAATGATTGCAATTTCCATTGTTAAAAATTTACAAAATAATTTTACAATTTGTATTATTATTATCAAAAAAATATATCAATAAATAAGTAATTCAACCTTGTTGTACGATGCGAAAACCTAACTAATCTCTTTAAGCACCCATAAAAATGATATATATTTATATTTATCATAAAAGGTCAGAGTATAGCCTAGATAATGTACTCATGATATTATAGTACTACTCTTTACAAGTCATCATTATGCCAAAAGACTCTATGTTATTTTATATATATTCAATTTAACTAATTTTTTAATTATTATGGGAATGCCTTAAAATAAAATTAGAATCAAGGATCTCCATTTTCCTTCGAGTTCTGTTGATATTTTTTTTTATTATTTTTATTGAGATATATTATAATCAATCTTTTGTATTGATTAATTATATTAGAATACAAATGAAAGGCTATTTTTAAAACTAAATTCAATTGAAAATTTATATATTAAATTAATTGTTGATAAAAATAGTTAATCGAAATCCTCATTTTATAGGATATCCTCTTTTATACTAGACTCAAAAAGATGAGATTTGATACAGAATGATTTAAAAATTAAGTTTATTGAAAAATGTAAATGAATAATGAAAAAAATAATAAATTGAAGAAAGATGCAATGATTAAGGCTAAAACTTCGAGTCGGTAAGAAATGAATTCATTATTGGAAGTTGGTGGATGTAAAACAATAGGAAAAGAATGAAATTATAAACACACAAAAATTTGATATTAAAAAAGAAAGGAAAAAATTTATAACATAAAATGTGATATATAACTCTTTGCAATAACATGGTGGAACACTTAAATTATAAATTATTATTAAATCATTAAATGATAGATGAATAGTGAATTTAAAAATAGTTTAATTTCAATAGTGAGGAATGTTAGCAATAAGAATAAATTAATTATGTTGATAAAATTTTGAAATGATTTATCCTTTTATCATTTTTAGTTTTAAGATAAATCTTCATGATTAAAATGTTATTCTTATTTAAATTTAAGAATTTATTTCTAAAAATAAAAAAGCCAATTTGGAAAATCTAACTTTAAAAAAGAATGAAGAAAAGGGCTTATTTGATATATATTAGAAAGAGAAATCTAATTTCAGAATTATTTAAAATAGTCAAAAATATATTATATAGATCAACAATTAACTATCTTTATGAATTCAACTGGCTTATGTTATACTCATTATTGCAGATTATCAAATATATCTTTATTATTTTAATACATGAGAATTTACTTTCACAGTATTTGATAAAATAACATCAATTATTCAAGAATTTTTGAATATAATTTGATAGTTATTGATTTCCAATATAAAATTAGATATTCAATCATTATTGAGCTGAATTATAGCAGCTAACACAAATATCAAAGTCACATTCTCTATCGCTCCAAACTCCCTGTCCTTTTTTAAATGGAACCTCTCCACAAAAATCACAAGAAATGCTTGCACGAGCCTATTAATTATAGAAAAAGTAATACATTTTAATCGAATTATAATAAATGGTTGTTTGGGCATTTTTAATTGTAAAAGTATGGTCTTTTACATTATTAGCAATAAATCTTTTAGCATTATTAACACTTAAATCTGGCTATTTCATTGCTTAATGCACATCTACCGCATTTTTGATTGTATATTGGTTGCATCCAAATTAATTGATGACCTTTATCGCAGGTTAGTTGTTTTATTACTTAAGGTCTAGCCACTAATTATTGCAGTATCTTAATTTATTCTTATTATTCTTATTAGGTGGCCTACTGCTGAATATATAGTTATTTAATCTGATTTATAATCTAGCTATAATCTTCAATCTATTATTTCAAAGCCCTAATGCAATTATGATCTTGACTTATCTTATAAATCGAAAGACATTTATCACAGGTGATTTTCCTAAATTAACATTTTTGTTTATGTTCTTCCAGATTTAGGTTTTTTACTTTCTCTTCGCATCCTTCATTCTAACAGTTTTGTATAGTGTGTTTACATTCTTTAATATGTGAATCTATCATCCCCAACTCAATAATTTGTTCACAATCAGCATTTTAGCATTTAAGATTTAAATGAGAAATTGAATTTTTAACAAACCTATGAGGTTCTTTGAGTTTAATATCACTTTCAGAACATCTATATGGACAATTTGCTTAAAATTATAATTATTAATACATTTCTTTTTCAACCAATCATTAATACATTCATGGCAATATAAATGTTAACAATTTTCGCATTCCTTTGGATTTACAACCAATTAACAGCATATACCACACAAGAAATTCTCATCAATATTATCAGGATTCACAATTAAGGATCTTAGCAATTATGAATTTATTTAAGACATTTGGTTGAATTAATTTATATTTTATTAATGCTTAAGTTGATTTAAGTATTTTTACCTTTACTCTTAAACTCTCTATTTGCAATAATGAGCATAATTTATTTATAACTAAAAGGTTAATAATCATACTTCTTGTATTCTGAAGTTTGTTGTTTAATCTTGGGAGCAGCCTTATTTATTGTAGCTCAAATTTAACCTAAGAAAAAGCAAATATGTAAATTTTTATATTCATTAATTTAGAACAAGATCATTCCCCGGTCCTCTTTATTATTCTATTATTGGTGTAGTTTTGCAGCCTGCTATAATTAGATTATAGATCGTTAACTTAGAATATATTAAGTTTGTTAATAGGTGGAATGTTATTCCTTCAAAAAATCAATTATACAAGTTAACAAAATTACATCAAAATTAAAAGGACAAAGGCACTCTTATAATCTACAACATTATTATTCATTATTATACTTGTTATTACATCACAGAAATAAAGTCAGTATCAGTTTGTAGAATTAGCTATAACATTTATTTTAGTGATAGTTTTTTTAGTCATTTAACTTTTGCCTAAGAAATTGGACAAAAAATCTTAAAATAAAATAATCTCACTTACCTAAAATTCAACTACTTAGTAAATTAATTCTTATCATTTATGGGAGAAATTCTTAGAGAAGTAAATTTTAGTTGTGTCAGCAAATAAAAATGATATTGTTATTGAAAAAATTAGTGAATATCTAGATTAATATTTAAAGGAGAAAAATCAAAATATTGATGACTATTTAAAAAATACTTAAATTATTGAAATCTCTTTTGTTAATGAAAATATCATACTAAATAAAATGATTGAAGTTAAACAATCTCTGTATTAGTATATAAAAGATATATTAAATGATAATTAAAAATAAAAAACCATTCCAAAAAATTTGAAAATATAACATTAATTTTAAGAAGATCAATCATCTAAATTAATGTCTCCCAAAGAATCTAGATCTCAATTATCAATTATGTTCAAATAAGATTCCCAATCTTAGAAAATATGTAGTACAAATAATGGAAATAATGCAATTGATTAAGTATATTTTTAATAATATTTAGAGTACATTTGAAAAAGAATTCTTGAACAAATCAACTAAAGATTTAAGTTTAATTTTGAGTAATTAACTTTAATAATCCTATTCTCCTTTGATTTAGAATAAATTCAAATTGTTAGGAATATATAACTAAGAAAAATACAATTATAAAAAAATCACATTTAATAACTAAAATTAAGCTCTAATTTTAGAGTTTGAGGAGGATAATATTGAATAATTAAAAATACAACTAAATGATATCTAAAACTAATATAAATTAACAGTCACTAAGATATTATGTTAGAGAGTATCATTAATGTTGAAAGATCTAAAATCTAAATTAAATTAAATAACAACTCAAAACCCAGATTTAAAACGATTAAATTAAATATAATCACAAATATATTTATTAAATCTATGTAATAAAAATATATTGTATTTTTTAACAGATGATTTTAAAGAAGGAAAACAATCTTAATTAAATTTGGATGTTTTTCTTAATAAAATTATTAGTAAATTAAGTTAAGATACTCTTATTTATGAGAAGGGTATAAAAATAAGCATTAACAATGAATTATTACTGAATCAAACTGTAATTACATATCCTTAATTTCTGTAATTCATAATTGTCAATCTCATATATAACTCAATTTAATAATGTTCAAAAACAGATTCTACTCATTCAATAATTATAAATTTAAAATAATTAAACAATGAAGATATTAAATTTGAAATTATAGATGATGCAGGAGGGTTACTTAACAAATTAGATTATTCAAGTAATATTATTGTTTATGGAAGGAGTTCTTGCTGGAAAATTAGGTATCTTTGTGGCTCAGAAGCTGTTGCCACATATATCATAATATCCAATATTGAAGTTTAAAACTATTGATTTGGATGGAACAAAAAAAGGAAATTTAGTCTCTTTTTAAATATCCAGACATATAAAAGAAATAAATAACTTGAAAAGTTACTCTACATAAAATATCTTGAATTAGGATATCTACAATGTAGCTAAGTTATTATAATCGTAATGAGAATGAATCAATCGATTTATATTTTATTATATTATTTATAATTCAACTAAATTTGTGTTAAAATACACTAATAATTTTACTTGGATGAATAAGGATGTAGAAGAAAAAATAAGGGAGAGAATCAAATCGCAGTATCCATTTCCCCCATATTAATCCTAACTTGATTTGTCTAAAGATATTTACGTGAGTTTGGCATAAGGAACTAAAGTATAAATGTATATGATTGTGAAGGTTTCTATTTTTGAATCTCCAACAGGAACAGGAAAGAGTTATGCGTTAATTGAGGGAGCTTTGAATTATTTAGAGGATATCAAGTCAAATACATTAATCAAAGTAAAATAGAAATGTTAAATTGATGATGGCATGCCAGATTGGTTTAATGAACCAGACGTTGAGCTAAAGTTAAATCCTTTAAGGAAACCTAATGGTATATTAGATTTTTGAAATAGAAAACAAACAATAGAAAAAACATGTTAAATTAGTAGATGATGATGCTATATTTGATTATTCAAGTAGTGAAGAAACACAAATTAATTTGAGAGGATAGTCATTGAATGATAAGATAATCTATTGTAGTCGTACTCATTCTTAATTGAAACAATTTATTAATGAAATTAGAAGATCTAAACATAAAGTTAGAGTTTCAACGATTGGATCTAGGTAGCAACTATGTGTCAATTAATCAATCTTAAGTAAGGCAAATAACAATGTTAATAAATTAAATCATCTTTGTAAAAGTCATAAAAAGTAGTGTTCTTATTACAAGTCTTTAGATACTTTGGAGTAATATACATAAGAAATATTTGACATAAATGATTTACTCACTGCGAGTAAGAAGTGTCAATCATGTCCTTATTATGCAGCCAAGGAATTGTCATTACAAGCTGATATTATTTGCACTCCTTATTAGTTGTTGATGGAATCAATAGATTAATATATTGAACCTATAATAATTGTAGATGAAGCCCATAATTTTGGTTCAGCTCTTTTACAAACTGAATCATGCGAAGTATCCTTAAGCTAATTAAATATTATTGTTGGGGGGTATTGATGGATTATGAAAAAAAGTATCCCCAAAGGGTTAAAAGCTAAACTTTTATATTTATCCTAATTTAATTTATTACAATTAATTTAAATCTTTAAAAAAATAAAATCAAAAAAAAATAAAAGGGGGAA